CGTTGCAAAGTTTTCATTTGTGCAGATCTTATGGGAAGCCTGATATTTGTGATACAAAAATTATAGAAAATTCTTTCAATAATTTAATGAAATTGTTTTCTCAAGTCTTGTTTTTGACTGTTTCTTTTCAAAGAGAGAATGTCAGTAAAATTATTTCCAATTTAGTTAATTTTGAATTTGAAAAATGATTTTTGTTTCTTGCAAATTTAACAACTTAATTTTATCTGCACAAAAAAACAGTCATTGCGATATTTGAATTACTAATTATTAGATAAAAAAAATTACAGTTTAACATAATTTTTGTTTTTCACAGTTTTGAGAAGATTCCAATTATCTTCAAGTGTAAATATTTTGCTATTTTTAGGCACTCTGAGCGCAAATAATATTTCCCATGCCTGTTGAAAATTGATTATTTTTTCTTATTCTTTTAATACACTTAAATATAAAAGCGAATCGCGGTGTCGAATAAATTTAAGTAGTTTTAATTGCGGCGATACCGGCGGAAAATAATTTGGCTGATAAGTCTGGTGTTTATTCAGCCGAGAGGATTTTTCGGTGTGATTGCAATTGCGGAGAATAAAAAAGAAGAGAGTTACCAAGGCCGGCGGGGGACTGGTTTCCATCCAGTCTGGTGTGTTGCATTCGACACAGCCTCCGCTACTGTTCAACATGCGCGACCAATATCAATTGATGAACACGGCCAAATTAAAAAAAAAAAAATGTAACATTCAAAACAGCCTTTAATTTCTTTGAGACCCAAACATTGAGTGGAATATATGCATCGGTGCATTTACTCGGCAATCGAAAGTAGGAGGTCAAAACCTGAAATTAGAGGCCGATTTCTGGCACCCGATACGCGCGGCGAATGCAAATTTGCCGCCCGAGACACGACCGAGAGAGAAAGAAAGAGACGCGTTGAAATTGCAAATTGATTAAACTGAAATTAAGTCTGGATTTTTTGTTTTCGCACTCGCGACGAATCCGGTTTTGTGCGCTCTTTCCAGCTAAAGAAAAGGTGTCCCACTTCTTTTTTCAATTAACCGAACTCTAAAGTTTTGTTAAGAAAGAAAAAGGTAGAAAATTATTCAAAAATAAATTTTTCTTCGTTAATTACAATAAACCAATTTTTACTGAATATGACTGAAGATTTTTGAGAAATTTGTAGAACAATATTAACTTTGTGCACTTAAAATTTAATGTTATTTTGATTTTATTCTTTACTGAAATAAACTTTTAAATTTTCATTCCATTTTTCTTGGGTTTTGAGACTTTAGAGGATTACAGACTTGTCTGTCAGTTTGCGAGGAAAAAAAGTCTTTTTTCGAATTTAATTCAGCTTCTTATTGACTCGGCTCGGAGTGGCCGATTTTCTTCTTTCTCTCTTTTTATTCTATATACATTGTGGTGTTGCTCGGCAGCAGCTCTCGTCGCTGCTGCTTTTAACATGATCAACACATTAAAATTTTATCTGGTATAAAAAGGGCGCACCGGCAGCATTTTTATTCGGGGCTTTTTAATTACCGCTCCAAATAAATTATTTAATGCACGCCTGCATTATAAATTATCGCGGCGGCGGCGTCGCGCGAATCCGAAAATTGATGCCAGGAATGTTGTACAAGCAAAGCTGCTGCTATAATTTAAGCGCGGACTTTGCGCCGAAAATATCACATGCATAGCGCTTGTAATTATTGTGATGTACACGTGAAAAATATTCGCACGCCGCGCCGACAAATCCACTGATAAAAACAATGAAAAAAATCCGAGTTAAAATAAATTTTTCTTTTCAAGAGCAACACCTGCGTTTCAAGATTCAATCTCCCTTTTTACCAGTTGGATTCTTTCAGGTTCTCTTTATAATTTTAGATAAAGAGTGTGGGGATTTTGACAATTTTATCCGCAAAAATTATACAATTTGCTAAAAAATTAATTTTGATGGTGGTTTTTTTTTTCTTTACATTAGCTTTGGTTTTCAGAGACATTGCAAGAAAAAATTTAATCATTGAGAGAATGGAAATTTTTTAAAATACTTTTAGTTTTCCGGACCAAAATTGATAAGAATTTCAAAAAATCACGTTCATATCACCCAAATTGAGCTAGAAAAATAAAATCAATGCGTCATTTGACATCACAAAATTTACATTGAACTGAAGGGCAAAAGTTTAAAAGTTTCAACTATTGATTTTTAAATTTAAATTGAAATAATCAGCAGAGTGCGATTTTGAATCGGTGCAGCGACATAGAAACGCCGTCGTCTGGCAATAATTCGATCATTAGCAATGCAAGTTCCGAGCTTTTGCTGCGCCGCCGCCGCCGACTGATTTTATTTTTTTTATTTTTTCACTCTCGCTCGCACGGCGATCCGAGCGCAATATTTCATTTTGTCCGCGGCGCTATCACAATAATTTATCCCACTCCCGCGGCCTACAAGATGATAGTGCCTTGTAAAGAGTGTGTCTTGTTCGCCGCGCTTAATGGCCGCCTATTTCAATTCAACGCGCGGTGGCAGGTGCACGCAGGACACGACACAAACGTGATCTAGGAATTTGACCCAGCATCCATTTTAAAACGTGCTAATGGCCCCAGTTTCCCTCTAATGAAATCAAAATTAAATTGAAAAATAATAAAAATTACACTGCTTGTTCATCATTTCGATAATATTAAAGATTTTAAATTTATCTTTTATTTGGTAAATGTAATTTTATTTAAAAATAAATCAATTTTGATCTGCAATTTTTAAAAAATTAAATTGAAAAAGTAAAATTTCACAATTTAGATAATAATTCAATTAAAATTGCATTTAATTTGTTTGGAGTTATTTTATGTAATTTGTATTTTCTTATTTCAATTTGATTTGGAAAGTTGTTCATCAACGGCCACGTGCGACGCCAAGAGAAGACAATTCTCCATCGGAAATTGTTCCCGAAAAGCAAAAAGTGCCCAGAGTCTGGGGCTCGCCTTGAATTAAAAATTCCCTTCGTCATTTTTTCACCACATCCTTGACTCGACTCACTCAATATTATGTAAATGAACATCAGGCCGAGTCCGAGGATGGTGGGTAAAATAAGCAGCTCGGCGGCGGCTGCGGCGGCGAATGGCAGCGGCAACAACAGGATGGCACAAAAAAGAGCAGAAAAGGATAGGTAGGAGCACCGCGCAGACATAGCGTGTGTTGAATTGTAAGCACGCACTTAGAAAAAAACGCCACTTGAACATATAAAAATGTTTGCATGTTTTCGGTAACACGGCGGAAAGCGAGCACCGCAGTGTCGTTCCAAAAAACAGACGAATATTACATTTAAAAATAATAATTTTATGTATGAATGAAACAAACACGTCGTCACAATAACACATCAGGCGATCGCATTGAAAAATCAATTCTCCTTTTCATTCCAATAAATTTGAGAAAAAAATTGGTTCCTTTTGTAATTTCTGTCTCATTGTATTTCGGGCAAAACAAACTGTCTAGAAAGGAGCGTTACAAGATAAGAATTTGGTATAATTGGAGAGACGAAACAATAAGTTTTGTTTACCGACGCCCGTAGTAAATCAAGTGTCAAAACATTTCCGGCGCCATTTCTCCCCGCAATTAAAAAGTGCTCTTTCAATTATTCGCGCCCTCAGATTGGAAAGAGATCATTGCACCTTGCTCTGCAATATTGTCCTGCCGAGCAACGGGACCGAATTTCTTTTAAATTAGACTGCGCGCCATTGTGTGTCCACGGTCATTATCAAACTCATCTCACAGCGGGGCCAACAAAGAAAGGGCTCCATCTCACTCGATAATGCGTTTTCATTATTTCGCGGCTCGCTGCTGCAAATTGCCTTCTCCGCGAGATTAGAATTTTTGCTCTCTTACTTAATAAATAAATAAAAAGTTCGCGCGTAAATTGCTTATTCAGAATCAAGAGTTTTAAATCAAAATGATTTGTTTTATTGTTCTTGGCTGGCTGGATTGAGCGTTCAAGCCGGCCTACGCAAACTGGAATCGTACAGTAATGTCGCCTGCGAATATAAATAATAAGAATAAAAAAAAAACTCATACATTTATGCAGCGTTTGGGTGCAAAATAAAATACAAAATAAAAAGTACATTATTTATGTCGAGCGCCGGAATTTGCAGCTTTCGCAAGAGACGAACTAATTGTGAGGCTGGAATAAAATAAATTACGCTGTCTGGCAACGCTCAGCGTGGGGCAACATCTCATTTCTGCACTTGTACAAGTGCACGCGGAATATATGCAACTTGAAACGTTTGCCCAAATGTATAATAATGACATGACATTATCACGCAGGCGGTTTGCATTTTCGATTATAGCACTGGCCTGAAAAGCGTTTTGCACAAGCTCGCTAAGTGTGTAATTTTGCTAAACGTCGCCACCACTGAAATAATAGCCTGCGTATTCTAATTCCCAAGGATATTTCACTCAGAGCAAATAACTCAAAATTACACACCAATAAATACAAACTTAATCGGTGCGTTGCCTGCCGAAATTTTAAAGTCGAGTAATTGCTTCAAGGAAAAAATTTAAATTGTGAAATGGAAATTCAATGATTTTGATTTAAATAATAATTTAAATTTTAAAATAACTCATCTAAATTAGCTATTTTTACTGCAAATTAAATCTGAATTATGTGAATAAGAACAGTTGTAAGGAAAAAAGTAAAAATGAGAAACAAATTACAATTTTCTTTTAATTTAAATTGCTGGTTTTAGTTGATACAAAAATTTATATTTTTAAATAACTTTTCAATAAATAAATAAATTTTCTCCTCTGCTAATCAATCCTGAATAATTAGAATAAGAAGAGTTTTTGGGGAAAAAGCTGAATGAGAAATGAATTAAAAATTTCTCTTAATTTAAATCGCTGGTTTTAAAAGATGTAAAATTTTAAACTCACCAATAAATAAAATTATTTTCTTTTCTGCTAATCAATCCTGAATTAAAAAAGGGTTTCGGGGCGTAAAGTAAAAATTGGAAATCAAAATTTTGGTTGTACTCACCTTTGTTGAAGCAGTCTGAGGGGCGACGGCGCCGATGACGACGGCAAACACGGTGACTTCGTACACATCACTGCCGCCCTCGCGGTCCAGCACGGCCGCGGTGGCGATGGTGCCCATCTTGGGGTCGACGTCAAACAGTCTGTCGGCGGGTCGGCCACTCACACTCGTCACGTTCGTCACGTAGTACTCAAGCTCGGCGTTGCTCGCGTGGCGCGCCTTCACGCTCAGCATGCTCGTCCCGATCGGCTCGTTTTCGTACACGCTGCCCGTGTACGGCTCGCCCAAGAACGCGGGGCCTTCCTCACCGGACGTGATGATGGTCAGGTAGGCGTCCGTGGACTTTCGGTCTGACTGCACGGCCTCGTCAGTGGCCTTGACCGTCAACTGGTAGCGCGCCTCGGGTTCGGAAATTGACCTCTTCAGGTGGAGGGCGCCCGTCTTGCGGTGCAGCCGGAAAAGGTCGGTGTTGCCGGACACCAGTTCGTAGGTGACGAGGCCGTTGGTGCTCGAGTCGAGGTCATTGGCCACCACGTGAGTCACCAGGGCGTCTCTGGCAGGGTTCAAGGGCAACAGGGCGGCGCTCATCGAGGCGAAAACTGGGGCATTGTCGTTGACGTCTTCCACGATCACGGTGACCAACTTTTCGGCAGAGAGGCGCGCCTCTGGTGGCTGAGCACCGTCCGTGGCCACCACCGTCAGGCGGAAGGTGTCGACGGCCTCTCGGTCGATGGGCCTCAGCGTGTGGATGACCCCGACGGTGGGGTCGATGCCGAAGTGGCCGCCAGGGGGTTCTTGTTGGGCGATGGCGTACCGAACTTGGCCGTTGGCCCCCGAGTCAGGGTCCTCGGCAGTCACCGTCACGATGGGCGTGTTGACGCGGATGCCCTCCTGGATTTGGCGAACGATGGCCGTGCTCGGAAACACCGGAGGGTTGTCGTTGGCGTCGAGCACGCGCACGCTGAAGGGCACGGTGGTGGAGAGGCGCGGGTTGCCGCCGTCCGAGGCCGTGATGTTCAGGTGGTACGCGTTGATTTCCTCAAAGTCCAGCGGCCGGTGCAGGTAGAGCACGCCGCTGCTCGGATCCACGTGGAAGGTGTCTCTGCGGTTGCCGGCCGCCACCGAGAAGGTTACCTCGCTGTTGACGCCCAGGTCGACGTCCGTGGCCCGGAATTGCACCAGTTTGGTGTTGACTGGCGTCGTTTCGGAGATGGCAATTCGCGCTTCGCTTTGGGAAAATTCCGGGGCGTTGTCGTTCTCATCCAGGACGTCGACGCGCACGGTGGCCGTTGCCGTCAGGGTGACGCCCTCGCCGGCATCAAAGGCTGAAACCTGCAAGTCGTAGCGTGCTTGAGTTTCGCGATCCAAGGTTCTGGCAAGAGTGATCTGCCCCGTGGCCTCATCCATTGCGAATCGGTGCTCGTCGTCGCCGCTGGTGATGGCGTAGAAAACGTCACCATTCAGCCCTTCGTCAGCATCAACAGTGTAAACGCGCAGCACCTGCGAGTTGGCAGGAGAGGCCTCGGAAATTTGCACTTTGTACGGCGTTCGCAAAAATTTTGGCACGTTGTCATTCACGTCAGTGATGTAAACATTAACCTTGACCTTGTCCTTCAGCTTGGTCACTCCGTTGTCGGTGACCACGGCCTCCAGAACGACGTGACTCTGCCCTGTGACCTTGACCAGCTCCTCTCGATCAAACTGCCGCAGTGTTTTCAAAAAGCCATTCTTTGGGTCTACAACAAAATCAGCCTGCTGAGCACCAAGCAAAGAAAAGGTCAGCTCGGCGTTGCGGCCAATGTCCAGGTCAGTAGCGGTCAGTTTTCCAACAAACGTGTCCGGTGGCTGATTTTCTCGCACGAAGAAATTGAAGGTGCCGTTGGTGAACTCGGGCTTATTATCGTTTTCATCAATTACATGAATTACCACTGGAACTTGAGAGCTCCTCGGCGGCTCACCCTCGTCTCTGGCAGTCACCACCAGTGAGTAGTAGTCTCGATTCTCTCTATCCAAGGGACTCTTCACGTACAAGTAGCCATCTGGGAAGACGCCAAATTTATTCTCACTGTTGCCTTCTGTGATTTCATAATTCACTCTGCCGTTTGCTCCGAGGTCTGCGTCTGAGGCCGCCAAAGCAAAAAAGCGGTCATTCACCGGCGCCGACTCCAAGATTGAGGTTTCGTAAGAGGTGTGGTCAAAGACGGGCGTGTGGTCATTCACGTCCTCGATAGTGATCAGCAGAGTGTGCCTTGAGGTTAGAGAAGGTTCTCCAGAGTCGCTGGCGGTGATTTCAAGGGTGATGGTGGTGCCAGGCTCAGCGGTCATCGGTTTGTTGAGGTAAATGACTCCGGTGGCTTCGGCAATGCGGAACTGCTCCCCAGGGTTGGTGTTGAGGCTGTAACTGACCCTGCTGTTGGAACCAGCATCTCTGTCCACCGCCCTCGCGAGGTACACTTCGTGTCCGGCAGGAGCGTTTTCTCGGAGTTTCACCTCCTCTCTGTCCCGCGAGAATTGTGGCGCGTTATCATTTTCATCCAGGATGGTGACGTTGACCTCCGTGCGGCCCATGAGAGCAGGGCCCGCTCGCGCCACGCACGTGAGGCGGTACGAGGCGGCCGTTTCGCGATCGATTCTGCTTGCCGAGGTGATTAATCCGGTTCTCTCGTCAATCTGGAAGGCCTTCTTTGGGTCACCAAAAACTATGTGGTATTTTATATCTCTGGAGGTGCTGGCAACTCGAACGCGGCCAACCTCGCGGCCAACAGATGCCTCCTTCTTGTCGTGGTCTTCGCGAATTTCAAAGTGGTAACCAACGGGCGATTCGAATTTCAGTTCTTCCAAGTGGGATGCCTTGATGATTTCAACTATGGCGTCGTCCACTGCTTTTCTGTCTCCCTTGTCTTTGGCGGATATTCTCAGCCGGTGCAGAGGTTTGTGTGAAGTAGAAAGAGGCGCCATCAGCGACAAAATGCCGGTGGCGCGGTCCAGTTTGAAGAGGCCGTCGCCGCCATCCACGATGCTGAACTCGATCTGCGCGTTTTCTCCCTCGTCTTGGTCAGTAGCAGTCACGCTCAGAATGGAAGAGCCGCCCTTGGTGTCTTCAGAAACGGGCACAAAGTACCGCTGAGGGTAGAATTCAGGGCTGTTGTCGTTCACATCGTCAACTGAGAGGAAAACAGTTGCCGTTGAAGACTGTGGCGGCACGCCCTTGTCCTTGGCCACAACTGCAATTTCATACTTGGCAATTTTCTCTCTGTCCAGCTTCGTCCTGGTGGTCAACTGGCCGGTGGTGGAGTCTAAAGAAAAGACACCCGGATATTCCTGCTGCACATCCGAGTGCAAACTGTAGCTGACACTGCCGTTGGTGCCCTGATCTTGGTCAGTGGCGCTCAGCATGGCGATCAAAGTCTGCGGAGGCGCACTCTCGGACAGGCTGGCGTTCAGTTTGTCCACGCTGAACTGCGGGCGTTTGTCGTTCTCATCCAGGATGGTCACTCGCAGTCTCGTGTAGGCCCATTTGGGGTTGGGGCCGCCGTCTCGAGCAGAAACTTTCAACTCAACAGTGCCTTGAACTTCTCTGTCCAGCGCCGCCCGAGTGGTCACCAGCCCCGAATCCGAGTCAATGTCAAACCAACGGTGCTCATTTCCAGCCACAAAAGCGTAAAAGATGTTCGAGTTGACGCCCGTGTCCTCGTCAGACGCGATGATGCTGGCCACGAAGGTGCCCACCGGCGCCAACTCACTCAGCACCGCCGAGTATTCAGTCTTTGCAAACACCGGCTCGTGATCATTGATGTCATTCACGTAAATTATAAGAAAAGCAATGGCACTTCTCTGCGGCGTCCCGCTGTCCGTCGCCACCAGAGTCAGGTTGTACTTGTTTAATTGCTCTCTGTCCAGCACTCCGTTGACTCGGACGATGTCAAAGCTGGCAGTGTTCACAAGGCGGAAGTGTCCGAGTTCGTTGCCGGCGCGGATCTCGACAGTGGTTTTGCCGTTGAGGCCCTCGTCAAGGTCAATCACAGACACTGCGGCCACCACAGACCCATTCTTGGCGTTTTCATCAACGGTGGCGAAACTGGCAGTGGGCGGGAAGTAGCGGAACTTGATGATTGGGTCGTGGTCGTTTGTGTCCAGCAGGTTCACCGTCACGTAAGTCCGCCCATCCTGCCGAGGCGAACCGTGGTCTCTGGCAAACACGGTGAACACGCAGCTTTTCTGGCACCCGCTGCTGGTTGAAACGGTGGCCTGAGGCGGACAGTTTTGCGGACAGTTGAGTGTTTCCGTGGTTGAAATTACGCCAGTCTCTGGGTCGACGGCAAACTGGTTTTCGCCGTCAGCCAGGTAGTAGGTGATCCTGGCGTTATCGCCAACGTCACTGTCCGTGGCCATGACCTGCAGCACAGCTGTCCCGGGCGGGACACTTTCATTCAGTGACACTATGTAGTCGCTGTGGTCGAAAATCGGCGGGTTGTCATTCACATCAACAATGGTCACATTCACCTGCAGGTAGCCATACCTAGGCGGTGTCCCGCCGTCCCTCGCGGACACATTCAACTGGTAGGAGGCTCGCGTCTCCCTGTCCAGCTTGCCGGTGGTCTCGAGGTGCAGGTAAGAAGTCTCACCACTCGGATTCGAAGTCACCACCAGCTTGAATTTGTTGTCAACTTCCTCGTCGTCCGACACCAGCTTGTACTCGTTGGAGACGCCGTTGATGCCCGCGTCTCGGTCGCTGGCAGTGTCCAGCAGCAGTCTGGTGCCCGGACTCGCGCTCTCCGAGAAGGTCACGTGGATGCTGGGCTCGGGAAACTCGGGCGCGTTGTCGTTCACATCGAGCACCAGTATCCGCACCTCGATGGGGTAGGTCGGCTGACTGGACAGGACGACCAAGTCGAAGCGGTCAGATCGCAGCGCCTCCCTGTCCAGCACCACGTTGGTCACGATTTCGCCGGTGCTGGCGTTCAAATAAAACTCGCGCGGGTTCTCATTAAAACGGTAGGTGAAGCCCGGCTTGATTGGGATGGCGCCGACGACGGCGCCGCGCGGCTCGCCTTCCTGGATCTCGAGCTGGACGCGCGTGTCCACGGCGCGCGACTGCATCTGCTGCACGTCAAGGGCGGACACCTGGGTCATGGGCGAACGTTTTCTTCCCGGGCCTGGCCCCGGCTGTCCGGCGGTGGCCGCCGCCAGCAGCAGCAAAAAGGCCAGCCACCTGCGAAGCATGGCGGTGCCCATTCAATCAGTGCCTCCACATGCCGGCGCCGATTCGCCCCTGCCGGCCATTCACTTTTTATTGCACTGATTTTTTTATTAATATTATTTTTTCTTCACTCTGGAAAAAATTCCCAGTTTTAATTTATTTCAATTTTCCTCGTTGGATTGTTTTGGTCGCCGGCCGGGCTCTCTCTCTCTCTCGGCTGCTCCTCTTGAAGATGCCAGCCAGCCAGCGGTAGGTGAGCAGCGCTTACCTTTACAGGTATTCAATATGGCTGACCAGAGATCTGAAAGAGTGGGGACACGGTTAGCTCCCGGGCAAACACATACAAATGTTAAAACACAGTTCGCGGCGGCCCGGACAGCGCCGAGCGCGCGTCCGAGAAAAAGTGAATTGACAATTAAAATTAAAAAAATCGGTACCTGTTGATTGGAAAATCCTTTTGCTCGCGCGTCGAAATCTCCTGCGGCTGCAACAGGTGCGCACTGATGTTGTTGTTGTTCAATTTAGTGGCGCGGGTGTTTCGCCCCCGCACGCGTTCGCACGTCACTCTCGAGCCACTCGGTCCGTCCGCACGCGTCCCGTCCGTCCGAGCTGTCGCTCACTCCACTCGCAACACTCACACAAGTCCACTTGCGGCGCACTGCTGTCGGCGGGCGCGAGAGGTGCACACCTGGCCAAGTCTCGGTCTCAACTGAAGAGCTGGCCAGGGAGGCAGAGGCAGGCGAGATGCGGCGCGCCAGGGGCACGAGGGGAGGGGTCTGGAAACCAATCGCCTGTGTATTATACTACCTGAGGCGCCTGACAAAAAAATACCTGAGCTCGCTCGCTCTTTTCAGTCTCTCTCCTCTCTTTCTTTCCTCGGCACACCGTTGTTGCCACAGCCTTTTGCCTCCGCTAATATTTTATCGCAGACCCCGAGGACTCTTTTCTCGCGGCCGCCGCTCTTCGAAACCCTGCAATCAAATTTTTGTTCATTTTTTTAGCAAACTATTCTAAAAGTTTTTTTAAACACTTAAATGCTTCAAATTGTAATTTTTTTCACAAATTAATTAAATCGTTCTAATATTTTATATAATTATATTTCCATGTTATAACACGAATAGATAGTTAGCCTACATTATTGTCAATAAAAAAAATGGAAATTAAAATTCTCTTTAAATTTAAAATCATTTAAATAGAATTAATTAATCATTTTTTAATATAATTACTGTTGATTACTTATTTGAGTTTTATTAATTTCAAAAAATTTCAAACGTTGGAAAAAAGAAATTGACATTTTTTTTAGTAGCAAATTACGTTTATTGATTTATCACAGAGGCATTTGCTGCCCATATCGAGATACATCGATCATACATTCAAAGTTATTACATTTTATTCACATTAGGAGAAAAAAAAATTACAATATAATTTTCAATTACAATATTATAAATTTTAAGAAATTACAAAATTTGAACAATTATAAAATGTACAACAAGCAATTAAAAGTTTTTTTTCTGAAGGCTTGCATTTATTTAGACTGCCTGATACTTTCAAATGCCGCCTTTTATTTTTAGTTTTTGCCCTTGTTCCTGGCCATAACTGCAGCTCTCTTATTATTTTTAGGATCAGACTTTATTTTTGTCTTTTCTTTTAGCCTGGCGCTTCACCTTTATTCAGTTCTTTTAGTCAGTCGTCAGTCTTTTATATATTTCAAAAATTTATTCAAAATATCTTGTTCTTTTTAAACAGAATTATAATTTTGCTTAAATGCAATCAAACCTAATTCTTAAGATCATTGTTTAAATTTTGTTTTAATAATTATAATTTATTAAATTGATTTGTTGGAAATTAATTTATATTGAATTCTAATAAAATGAGCTAATAATTAATTATGATTACTTTCTTTTTCAATTTGATATGAAAATGAAATTTTTGTATAAATTTATCTGAACGTTTCATCAGTTTGATGATAAATTTGAATAATAAAATAAGCAAACATTTATTAATGCTTGAAAAACCTTTGAATTTGCATGCGACAAACAAAGTTTCATCATTGCCGTGTTATTCTCATAATTTGAGCCGCGCCAAGGTTTATTTAAATTTGTTTTAAATGAAAAAAAGTGTTGAAGTTTATAATTTGATTGATGTTTGAAATCTTTAATTTTTAACTAAAAATAAAATTAAGTTGAATAAATTAGTAATTTTTTTTTTAATTTCAAATTATTCCGAAATTCATTCCTTAATAACAGAATGAGAAATTTTTCTTAATTGTAAAACTAAGCCTTATTCCTTTGACAACTGCTCAAATTTGCTTTCAAGTTCCTTTCACAATTAAAATTTTAATATTTAACTTGTTTGGAGCAAATTTATGTTGAGTTCTATTAAAATAAGCAGAAAAAACACTCGCACACTAACAATTATTTGAGAAATAAATAAAGTTTTCTTATTTTCCGTTACTTCCTTTTTCCACTAAATGTTGCATTAAATTTTCGGTTAAAAAATCTGAAACGTTTGATAATAAATTTTAATAATTAAATAAGCAAACATTCATTTAAATTTGCTCAAATAACCTTCAAATTTGCATGCGACAAAAATAGTTTCATCATTACCGAGCCATAATTCTCATAATTTGAGCCGCACAAAGAATAAAAAAGGAGCCTTAGACCGGGCGAAAGATGTGCTCGGTGCGCAGATCTGGCAATTTAATTGTACACTTAGCAAATATAAATTATGAATATGAACCACCTGGAGGGATGAAGCAGAGGTCGTAATTACAGACACCAGGCAAAATATATGCGCATGCCTGGTGCCGCCGCCGCCGCCGCCGCGCATTGGATTATATTTCTAAGCGTTTTGCATAAATATGTGAAAATACGTGCTCGGCTCTGAAAAAGCGGCCAATTTGCATATATTTATTCACATCATCGGCAGCAAAACGAACAACGAGGCTTTTTGCTCCCTCGAGCACCGAGTTCAAAATCTTTGAAGCTCGTAAAAAATATTTCTTTAGCCTGGAACAGCGGTTGTTAGAATTAAACTTTCCTATTATAATTTTTCTACTCTAATTGGTCATCTACATATTTCTATCCGAATCCACTAGAGACAGTGCCGTTGACACCTTTTCGTTGCGCCTATAGCAATAATTCCTGGTCGGTTCATTTCTAAATTAAATTTTTTATTTATTTAGAATGTCAAAAATGTTAATATCATTCGTAAAAAAACAAAAATCAATTTATTAAAAGATTTTGGTTTCACAATATTTATGCGCTTAAGTTGTTCAAACGCCCATTGTTATAAAAAACTTTGATTTTAAAAAAAAATTTGTAATTGCTGCTAATTATTCTAATAAATATTTTAAATCCAACAATAATAAATAATTGTCAATTTCTTTCCTGTTTAATATCGTGGATATACACAGAATTTCCCAAAATTTTATATTGTAGAATATCAAAACTTAATTTAAATATTGAAAGTTTTTAAGTATAAAAATTTGACATGAGCAGTCTCATTACAGAATTACCATAAAAATTTTATATAAATTTCAATAGCATTTTCCATGCTTCAATTGCTAGATACAAAATTGTGATTTTTCTGCATAAAACTCGCTCGTCTTATGATGGAAGGAAAACAACAACCTTGACACTTCCATGGAAAATCTATTTCTTGTGCAACAAAACGTGCGACACAAATTATGAAGGAAAACAATGAGTGCAGCGACCTCGCCCGTAATTTTTGCAACAAAGCAAAGGGGCGCGAATAAATTTTCCCCAGCCCTACAAATAGGTGAAAATTATTCTAGGCAGTCATAATTTTACAATGACGATAATCTACTTTTTTATGTGAATAAGATTTTTTTTCAAGTTTCTGTTTTAATTTTCCCAAACAAATTTAATGTAGATTCAGAAACTGAGCGGAAAACCAGTGCTCGGGGATAACAAATCAAAATGTTTAATTTTGAACTTTTAATTAGAAATCTAAATTTTTACAAAAACAGATTGGGATTTCTTCTCAATCTGAATCCACTTAAATTTCTTTTGATTATAAATTTTACAAATGGACAAACGCATGAATTGCCATATTTTTTTTGTAAGTTTTTAGCAAAATTAATACTTTCTTTTCTGCCAATTAAATCGTAAAACCAATTGGAAATGATCGAGAGACGGTCCCGAAAAATTTCTCACACACGAGATGAGCGCAGCAAAAAGAAAATTATATTATTCCACTTCCATGTCACGTTCGAGCCTCCCAACAGACAAATCTCCGAAGAAGCCAAAATCGTGCGAATTGGTCGCTTTCGTTTTTTCCCTGTCTAAAAATTGTGCAATTTTTCTTCCCAGAAATAAAAGGCAGATGTGCGAAGAAGTTTTTCTTTACTCGGGGACGAAGCCGAACAAAACAAGCGGGCCAATAAATAAAATCTAAAGTTCCGGCTACTAAACTAATTAAAATATGGCAACGAACTCATGCAGGACGAAATTAATTTAAAGTGGTAAATTAGCACCGAGCCGGCGGGTTTGCTGAATAGGATTTTCTTTTTAATGGCGATTTAACGGTGAGTCGCGCGCAATTTTATAGCCGCGATCGGGCTTTTGCAGCCTATTCATCGGCACCTAAGCCTAATGACCGCGTATTTCGCGGAAATTATTATCACGCCCGCTTTGTTGACAATAAAAACGGTAATCAATTAATATTAAAACCGACTTGCTCCAAAACAAATATCTCGTTTGAATTAAATATGCTCTGTGAAAGTAAAAAGTAAGTATTTTTGTTGCAGGAATTTTAGATTAAATTAAATAATTCAAAAACAGGACGCTCAGCCAGAATTAAATGAAAAATAAAAACTTTTGCAATTTATAATTATTTTATTTTCATCCAACTGTTTTCATAGCTAATAACATTCAATTTAAAGGAAATTAAATTATATTTCTAAAATAAATTAAAATCTACCTCGAATTTCAACAATATTAATTTCAAATTGTAAATTTTTTAAACAGGAAATTAGATCTTAACGTTGTTACAAAATCGATAAATTAGATTTATAAAAAATTTCTTTGATTCTTAATTTCAAGCTGATCGAGCATCCTGTTTGCGCGCCTCTGGCTGAAAATGTCGCAAGTTTTGGAGACAACGCTGCCGAAAACTCCTTCTCTCGGCAAAAAAATTCACAGACGCTGATATGATTTCCGAGAAATTCGCCGAGCAACTCGCCACCGACAAAAAAGGACAAAAATTTTTACTGCGCCTGCTCTTAATGATGGAAATTGTGAATTTAAGGCGTGCGAGAGAGCTAAATAAATAAAAGGCAGGAGCAGCTGTACTTTTGGAGAATCTTTTTTACTTTGGACGGTCGGTCGGGCGCAGCAAAATAGGCGCTAATGAATTCATGACAGGCAAAGAAGTGGCCACAGTATGAAAAGGCTTAATCACTCAACTATTTAAAAGTGAGGCTGCTTGCTTCGACTATTTCTTTGTGCCGCCTTTCTAAAAGGATAACTCACCGACAGAGGTCAAACTTAACACGTAAATGCTTCCATTAACAGCTCGTGCTGGCAATTTGCTAAAATCCTTAAATTTTATTCGACGCAACTTTTTCACTTTGATTTGTCAAGATTAAACAATAATGAAGTATAATAAAACTTTTTATTTTACTTTTTATTAGGAAGGAATTTTTGGAATTTTAATTTGTGTGGGCAGTTGATGAGAAATGCAGCTAGTGGCGGGTGAGGGCGGCTCCGTCACTGTCCTGCAGCCAAAACTCGCTTCACCGGCAACCACAGCGTCAGAATCTGCAACACAAAATTATTGCGGCCTTTAATTATGCATTCAGTGGGCGTAGGTCCTTGCCGCCTTGGACAGCGGCCATCAATTCGCCGTGAGAAAATTAGATACGTACAGACAGACACACAAACTTTTGATATGCATCTACGCACTTGACTTTTCAGCACGCAAAAGCGTTTTATTTTGGCAGACAAATAATCGCATCAATTTTTACTGCTTTCTTAAATCGCCTTGTCTGATCACGACAATGCTCCTTTTTGTTTTAATATTTAATTTTGTATTCAACTAGAAATCAAGTTTTCTGGAAGCTCCTTGGTAGAATGAGAATAAAATCGTAAAAAAAGAAACTATTATGATTAATTAATTAATAAACATTATTTCTAGTAAAAATCCTCCTCCAAGTTGTTAGAGCATTGATTTAAGTATTCAAATAATTAGTCTTCTTTTCGATTACTTTTGAATCTCTGTCGAATTGGGCTGTCACTGCGTCTTGGTCAACCAAGTGTGGGAGAAAAACGTCCAATTTGTAGTTACTCTTGTGAGCCTGCACCAAGATTCGATCCTCCCCAATATCCGCAGTCAATTCAGCAGACGACGCCTGAAAATTCTTAATTAGTTTCAATTCTCTTTTTTTTAAATTATTATTTGAACAAACCACTTCGGGCAAGGTGAGTTCGGCGACCATTGTCTGCAGTTTTCCCTTGGCTGGTTCGCCCGTGATTTTGTACTTGGGCACTCTGGTGCGCGGTTTGAGGTCGTTGGCCTGCGCGGGGCAGATTTCCGAGATCAGGGGTCCAGCGGGGGTGGAAGGGCCGTCCGAGCGGATGCGCTGGGACTTGGGCGTGCCTATGCTTTTTCTCTTGGTCAAAATAGTCACTTCTGCGAATAGACATAGAATTGAGTTTTTTTTTGTATGAATTATTGAAAGCGTTTTCCTCGAATCACCTCCAATTTTGAGCGCCACGTTGTACTTGTTCTGGACTCCTTCCATGGCAGCCGTCAAGATGAACTGCCTAAATAGCTCATTGTTTTCCACCTTCTGGAGGGTCTTGGGATGAATGGCGATGTCAAAAACTTGGCACTGCTGGCCGCCTGCAAGTTTATGCAAATTTTAAGGCCTGATTTGAAATTCATAAACCATAAAATGTATGGAAAATAAAAAGCAACTAAAATTCCGCTGTAATGCAATAATTTTAAATTTTGGTAGCTTTATTAATTTATTTATTCATATTGTCAGAAAAAATTAGAGAAACCTTTACAATTTAAAATTACTTTAGTGGAAAAATCTGAAGAATTACAAATTTTTATTATTATTCAAACACATGAAATAATTTTCATTTAATCTTTCAAATAAATGCGTACTTTTGTCTTTTTCAAATCTTCCTTCTCCGAGGCTCATCGGCACTCTGAAGGTTGAAGGGTCATCCGAATTCAAAATCTGGGCCAATTCGATCTCGGACACGTCCTTGGTTTGTGGGATTTCCTCGGACGTGCAGAGGTTGAGGAAAACTTTCTCTCCAGAGGTGGCGCGCGCCTTCACGCAAATTCCTGCAATCAAAAATCCATACTTTGGTGAAATTCGCTGCATAAATAATAGAAAATATATTCAAACAGGTGCCAAAGAGAGGAAATAACGCGCAGTACCGGCCAAGACATGCAAGCTCTCGGCATGCAACATTCAGGCTGGGCTGCAAATAAAATATTTATTTCGAAGCGTTTATGCTAATGCCGGCCGCGGCAAAATGCAAATTTATATATAAGTTTTCTTAAATCCTATGAAACATAAAAAAAAAAAATCTCTCTCGCCGGCAATGGTGCAATAAATTTTTTCGAAATACTTTCGAATATTTAATTTTATGTAGAGATGCCTGGGGGAAATATTATTTAAAATAAAAATACTCAGTTTTAATAATATTTGTGGATTTTATAGATTTTTTTTTATAAAATTTCTACATAAAACCTGTAAATAACTTTTTTTAGACAAAATATTTTCAAATTTTTAAAAATAAATTTTAGAAAATTAAAATGAATGGAATAACCACAAATTTTAAAATTAATCATTTGAATTGAAAAACTGGGATTGTAAATCAAGCGTGTAGACAGCTCTATTTTCATTAAAACTTTAAACTTGTGTCTAGAATTGGTTTGATATGAGGTAAAAATACCCTGGCAGAGTGAACGCCACGCTTTTGTTTTCAGTCCGAGCCAAATAGTTTTGCGGTTCGTCGGCGGCGTTTCGTGTGCAATTGTATAAAATTATCCCAAAATACATGAGTTTGCAAGTGCGCGGAACAAACACAATTGTTTATTAATTAGTTGCGCAAGATCCTCAATAATAATAAAACTTTGGGCTCGTTTCGGTCAATTAAGAAAACGCTGCATTCACACGCGATCTCTGCAGGCTGGAGCGGCGTGATCGAGGCGCGAACGCCGCGTTTACAACAGACAATAAAACTCTTTAGTTTTTAATTCAATGCGAGATGTAATTATTGGGCGGCGATCGCGGGGCGCGTGTGCCAATTAAACGGCGAACAAAAGTTGGCACGCTGCCCCCGCCACACAGAGACAGAGAACCGGGGCGAAATTGAGCGGCACCAGTTGCACGATGAGCCTCAGCAGGGACTCGTCCCGCTCGGACAGCGCCGACTCAGACGAGCCCAGGACGCCCAGGAGGAAAAGGTCCACCTACGAAACCAGGTTCCTCGCCGACCTGGGCCCTTTCCACGACATTGGATTTTTCATTGGCCAAAACGATGCAGACCTGCAGGTACTTTTTATCAAACTTTTTTTATTTCTGTTTAAATTTCTATGACAATTTAAAATCATCTTCAAAATGTTTAGCAGTAAAATATAAAATTGAATCGCTCTAGGGATTGCAGTATTAAATTTATTTATTGAAATAAATAAAATCAAAGTTTTCATGTTAAATCGTAAGTGTGCAAATGTGTTTTTTTTTTATTTGTTTATTATATTATTTATTACTTTATTATTGTCTCTTAATTCATTAAAAGGAGAGGCTTTTGCAAAAATATGGCCACATTAATCTTGATGGTAATTTTTCTCTACATCAGCATTGGTTTTGTTAAGTTCCAAGGAGACAGAAGAAAATTTTTATCTACTGGGGGAACTGAATTATCAAAATTTGACATTTTTTAAAAGGGATTTTTCTAAAATATATTTTTTTTCTCTAAAAATTGGCGCAACCATGATAGATAAAAGTTTCACCAAATCACGTTTATATCACCCCATTGCAGATGGTGAAATAAAATAAATAAGTAAGTAAGGCCAAAATTAAACTTTTTAATAAAGATTTCAGCAGGAATTTATTCAATTTTGTTCACAAAAGGAAATTTCGTTTAAAATTTACTAATGAATTGTTTTGCCTAATTAAATTTTGATGTTGAAACTACTGTTGTTGCGTCACGGCGTGTCCGATTTCAGCTGGTGACCTGTCACAAGTTGGCGCTGGCCAGAGTGAGCGACGTGTTCGCCCACATCTTCTACCGTCCGGACAACCCATTGGACGACGACGAGCCCATCTTCGTGCAAGACATTTCCCCTGTGGCCTTTGAGTCGATGTGCGGGTCAGTTTGAAAAATAAGCCAGGCCGATTGGCCAATTCATTTGATACATTTGGACTGGCGCAGGTTCGCGTACACCGGCGAGATGTACGTGGAGACTTTCGACGAGTGCTGCGGCCTGTTGTACGCTGCCAAAAAGTACAACTTGTGCGAGGAGCTGCGGAACCAGTGCAGGGCCTACTTGTGGGCCAACATTTACCCCAACAATGTGTGGCTCTGCCTCGACTTCGCGCGGGACAACGACGAGCCGCAGTTGTATCAAACGGCTCTGCAAGTGAGGCAATCGAAAGGATAGACAAAGAGAAGAGCGATTCCGTAAAAACACATTTTCAATTTAATACCAAAAATGTAAAATTTCATTATTGGCTTTGAAAATTTCCAGAACGTGAAGGTTCTGTATAAATTTTTTAATTTGGTTTCATTTAATTAAGAATTAAAGACCCTCACCAGTCGCTATTTTACATTTCTGAAAAAGAAGCACAACCATTTTTTAATGACAACCTCAAAACTGATAAAATGAAATTCGCATCTTTTAGAGTCGAATTAAGGTTCTTTTTTTTCCCAACAAAAGCGTATTGAATCTTTGGGTTAGCAGAAGTTGCTTTTAAAACTTGAGTTTATTGAAATAAAGACAAGATTTAAATTAATTTAGCGAAATAAGGCGAATCTCTGATATTATTCCAAGCTTACTTTTAAAGTATTTGATCATTGCCTTCAATTAAAAAAAAAATTAATAAATTCATACGTCTGGACAATTAGGAAAAGGAAATTTAAGATACACATCAGACTTATTGCACTTTAAACTTGAATTTGTTCACATTTTCTAATAATTCCGGTTTACAGATTTTGCAACTGAAAACGTCCAAACTTTTGATGAGAGAAAAGTTCCGCAAGGTGTCCGAGAGCAGTCTGGTGACGCTGCTGCAGCAAGAAAATCTGTCGATTGCGTCCGAGTACGAGTTGTACGACGCGTGTCTGCGGTGGGCCGAGCGGCAGATGGACAAGCGGCAACTGACCAATTCGCGGGACACGGTGCGCCACCTGCTGCGTCCCGTTTTGCCGCACCTCCGCCTCCTGGCCATGAGCGACGAGGAACTCAACCAGGGCCCGCTGGCCGACGACGTCCTGACGGACGACGAGGCCGTCGCCCTCTTCAACCGGACGGAGGTGGACGGCCTGTGTCCGACGAGGGAGGAGCGCGGACAGCCGCGGGTGGACAGCTTCTGTGCGTTCGCCTTCAGCGACGAAATGTTTCTGCTGCACTTGGAATCCGAGTACTTTGAAAACACCTACGACGTCTTTGCGATGGCCTTTTCCTCCAGCGGCGACTTCTTTTCCACCCAGCTGGGTGTCGTCATCCCTACCCAAGTAAATATGCAACATTTCTTATGAAAATCCAAACAAAATTTAAAATCCCAATCAAAATATATTACATAATTTGGAGAGATAAAGTTAGATTTTATTTCTGGGGCGAAAATTATGATTTTTTTTCCCTTTGCAAGTTCAAATTTTAGCAAATGGTTTTTATATAACCCCAAAATAAACAAAAGTGCAGAATTTTTTTTTTTTTAATTATTTTTGAAATTTGTCTTATTTTCAAAATAAAATGAATTCTTATTTGCTAAAAAAATGGCAGATTCGCCCCAAAGACTGCACCGACGACACGTACGACGAGGACCTGACCGTCTTCCTGTACAACTGCACCAAAGGTGAAATGCTGTCCATCACCAGGTTCAAGGGCGAGGTGCGTTTTGACTCGCAGGTGGAGGTGCCCTTTCGGCAGCCGGTGCAGCTCAAGAGCAAAAGGGTGCGCAAAGTGGCCAAGGTCGTTTTCCACAGGGCGGGCACCTACCCTGCCAGGTACCCGCTGGAAGAGGGCAAGGACGGCGAGCTCAGGGTGGCGACCTTCGCCGGCCACGAAAAGGTCAAATTGTGGCACAAAAGGTCGTACAATTTCATCCACTTTTGCGCTTACACTGTCGACTCCAGCACCACAGACAAGGGAGATTAATTAAGAGTAAATTTGTAAAAAAAATTAACTTTTTAAGTTACATAACAGAATTATTACGTAATTTGCTGGTTTTCAGAGGAGAAAAGCTGCTGAAAAATTTAATGATTATTGAAAAATCTTTTTCAATTGCACCTTGTAATGATGCTTAAAGCTATCACTGATAAGTGGTTTCAGCTTAAATTAATATCCCATTTTTTTCTTATCAATATAAAATTGAAACCCTGTTCGAAATTAGATAAAAAATTTATTTATAGAAAAACCTTTGAAACAAACTGGGATAGGTTTTCTTTGCTGACAATTTATTTTCCATTTTTAATATTAGTTAAATTATTCACCAATTTCCTACTTAACCTGTGATAGTACCTGAGAAAGGTTTTCCTATTTTATTATTATTATTACATCACCAAAAAATATTCCTGTATTCAGAAATTCCAATTGTAAGGAAATAAAATAAGAATAAACCCAAAGATTGTGAATTTATTTGAGAAAATACTAAAAAGAAGCATTCATTACAAACTACTTAACTTTATAAGTTAACAAAATTAAATGAGATAAATCAAAATTTTGCCCTCAGCTCCGAAACACGGATTGATTGGAAGCTCATCTGCTTTTAACCATCAAATAAATTTAATTGAAAATCCAGTCACAACTTTTTTAAATTTAAGATACACAATTTTTGGCTTTAAAAAGACAATTTATTTAGTCTTCAAAGGAAGTGAATTCTTAAATATTTCTATTTAAAAACAAAATAATTGTTTTTGCACTTTTTGTTATTTTTAAACCTGAGGTTTTGAATGAGCGAGTCGGAAGTTGAGGTCAACAGCTCTTGATTTCTTCTCCCACTTGTTTTGCGGCGGCGAACAACAAAATTGACATGCAAATCCCTGGGAAAGTGCAAGGGTTGTGACGCAAGTGGTGCAAGAGGCGAGGAGATAGGCGTGCGCGTCCACGTGGTGCTTAACCCTCTATCGGCGGAGTGGGTGCTCGTCTATCTTATCGCGGCGACGCGCTTGTGTATAAATTAGTTTGCCTCACTCGCACGCTCTTGTGCACTGCGAAAAGCCGCCTCACGAGGAGCATCAGTCGCGGAACCGCCGAAGACCGACATCGAGGGTGTGAAAAGAAGAAAAAGTGCTCGAATTTGGACTTTGCGGCTGATCAAGTGGGTTGCAATTTTTTTTTTAAATCTTTAAACAATTTGTTGGGAAATTAAGGTAATTTCAAGCGAAAAATATTCAAATTAATATCACTTTATTTAAAAAATTTATAAAAAAAGGATAATTGATAATTTTTGTTGTGGAAATTTATTTTAATTAAATTACTCTACATTTTAAATAATAGATTTTAAATTTTCCAATACCTTTAAAATTTTAATACAAAAAAAAATTATTGAGGAAATTTCCTCCTTTGTGGAAATTTTCCCATGGTCATTTATAGTCGGATCCCATACTTGGCTTTAATTAATTTACAACTGCAAACTGACGTTGCAAAAACAGTTTCGATATCACACGTCACTGATTGCTTGTGTGATAAATGGTAATATTTGCCGCTGCATCAACAACACACACCTCTCCTCTCAAGGCAATCACGATAATAAGAGCCTCACACATTGTTCATTACTTACTGCTTTTTTTAATTTGAAAATAAATATATCCGACTTTTTAAAAGTTATTTTTAAATCGGTTGCTGCCACTTGAGCAATAAACACTGCGACAAACAACGCTCGTGCTGAAGAGCAAACAAAATAATCAAAGAAGTCAATTGGCGGAGAACTCAATTCCCTGTCAAGTTGAACAGTCAACACAAATTCAACCATTTCATTTTCCTTCCGTAAGAGCAGCGGCTCATCTCTTGAAAATTAATCAGCATTTGGTCAGCTGATGTAAATTCGACGCCCTCGCACATTTGCGGCTTCGGCGAGTCTCGTGACTACTTTGTTGAGCCGATCAATTTTATTTCACCTCGGTTGGTATTGACGAGTCGGTAAATTATGCATCCGTCCTTGCACGCGTGTTTCTCATTAAGTATAATTCATCACTTTTTATATATATTTTATTGCCGCGGCCTATTTGAGTTCTTCGAGTAGGCCGCTCTAGTTTGGCCAAAATCTATTCTCTGATAAGCTAATGCGAGAGACGTGTGGAACAAAAACACACTGCCCCTTATCGCCTCACTTCTTTTCTTTATCGAATCACTGCATTCTGTTTTTATATATTGAGTAACGTTGAGCAACAATATTTGAATTTATGCATCAATTTAATGGCCTAAAAAAAATGAATTGCTCGCTTCCTGTGCAATTTTAACATCACTCGAAGCAGAACTGCTGTGTGAAGGTGTTGCTAATTTTCAGCTAGGGGCAGGGAAATCGCTTTGCTTTTAAATTTTAGATTTCACCGCTGCTCAGTTATTTTTAAATCTCCATGGCTGCAGTTTTTGAATAAATTTTGTCAAAATTTTAAATTAATTTTTAAATTAAATTATTCATCAAAGATTTCACAAACGTATAATTTGATTTTTAATCGTACAACGCCTAGTTTTTAATTAGAAAATATTATTTGTCATTACCTGGTTTGAGTTGAATGATTTTGCAAGGCTGTTCAGGTCGTTCAGGCGTTGGAAAAAGTCGCTCGAGCTCTTCGTTAGGGGCGGCAAAAGCGTGATGAGGCTCCTATACGAGACAATGATAAATTACATTTCACTTTTAAATTATGCAAAAATTTCACCTCAATCATAAGCTTTTTCTCCAGAAGACCCCTGTCCACCTCCAACAAGACTTTGTTCGTTTTCGCCGACATCGTCTTGTGCCAAAATTCACTGACGAGCAATCTTGATCTTATCAAAACGCACTTAAAACTGGGTTGATTTTGCTCAAATTTTCAATTTAAGTTTAGAAAATTAACTTAATTGTGATTATATCGGGTCTTGTGTCGAGGCGTTGCGTAAAAGCAGCGTAAATTAAAAATTAACTCGGCTCGCTTGTGTGTTTGCAGCAGTCTCGTGAGGGAACCATAGAAACAACAAGGCCACGCCCCCTTTTTACGTCATCGTCAGGTGACCTTAAAGATGGCCGACGCCGGGATGGACGGCTTCTGCGGCTCCAAGTTTTGGGTGAGATTTCGGCTTTTCTTTTATGGAATATCGCTTTTCTTAGTGAAATTCTTGTTTATGAAATGTTCTTGCGCAATTAAAGTGCAAAATCAGACCCGAGCGGGTTGAAATTAAATCAAGAGTTGGTTTTAAAAATTCACCTGCCGCAACATTTTTGTTGCCTATTTTTTGTGCTGCTGCATGGATGGGATGAGCATCATCTTCACCAAAACTCGCACCGTGTCCTTGACAAGGATGACACGGCATGATTCTGACGGAAACTTAATTTGTGTTCACAGGACATCAATCAGACGTGGCCCAGCGAGTACGACACCATTCCCGACTTCACCTTTTGCTTCGAGAGGACGGTGTTGGCTTGGATTCCATGTGCCTTCCTCTGGGTCTTCTCAATTTTCGAAGTTTCCTACATCCTGCAGAGCAGATATAAAGACGTTCCTTTCACGTGGCTCAATATTTCCAAATTTGTAAGCATTGTCAATTTTTTGCTGATTACATAACATTTTATACAAATTGATTTTTTGCTTTTCAGATTGCAACCTTTGCCCTGACAGTTGTCGCAATTGTCGACCTTATTTACGCCATTGTTCAGTCATCAAGCACTGAAACGTACCCTGTTGACTATGTCACGCCCATCGTCTTGGCCATTTCATTTGTAAGGGAAAGGTTTGTTTACTGCGAACTTGGATTTTTATTTTTTATTTTCAATTTCAGATTCTGGTCCTTGTTTTTCAAGAGGCCAACCGAAGGAAGGGCCTGGTGACCTCCGGCCTCTTATTCCAATTTTGGCTCTACCTCGCCATCTGCGGAGCCTTCGAGTTCCGCACCCTGATTCTCTCCAGCAGTGACCTTGCACAAGAAGACGTGGTTTACGCCAGTGGCGACTTCCGATTTGTGACTTACTTGATTCACTATTCTCTGGTGCTGGTCATGTTGGTCTTGAATGGTTTTGCCGACGCTCCACCTCGATTCTCCGAATATCCCAAAGTGGATGTGAGTTTTTGTAATACGTAATGTTTGCCTTTTTTCATTTTGGATTTTTAGAACATGTGTCCTGAAGCTCGCTCGTCGTTTCTGTCAAGGATGACATTCAGCTGGTTTGACAAATTGGCGTGGCTTGGCTTCAGGAAGCCGCTGGAAAACAAGGATTTGTGGAACATGAATCCTCTGGACACTTCCGCCTATGTGGTGCCAGTATTTGAAAAGTACTGGAATCAGTCTGTACAAAAAGCTGCAAGGTATGCATTTAATTTTGGGAAATTTGCATGGTTTGTTTTTGCTTTTCACTGAGATTTAAATTCCAACGCACTCAAGGATGTTTTGGGTTAATTTTGGGTGAGTCGGTGTTTATGAAATAGTTGGATTTTCCAAGTTGATTTTTTTTATAAAAAATTACTCATTCATCTTTTACTTTAGCACCAATGGACCAAAGGCGTCATTCAGAAAGACTTCTGGAAATGCCGAGTTTGATGTAGAGTTCAGCACAGCTCAACCTAAGACCAAGCAAAAGAATCAAGCGTCCATTGTTCCGGCCATTTGCAAAGCGTTTGGCCCGATTTTCTTGCTCGGCTCTTTCATGAAGTTCCTCCAGGACCTCCTTGGATTTGTCAACCCTCAGCTTTTGAAGTAATTATTATCAATAAAAAAAGGAATAATTGAAATTGACTTTCTTCTCAGGCTGCTGATCAACTTTGTCGAGCAAGACGAGCCTCTGTGGAGAGGCATGACTTATGCCGTGTTGATGTTCGTCACTGCCTCGCTGCAGACCATCATTTTGTCGCAGTATTTCAACAGGATGTTCATAGTTGGTCTGCGTGTCAGAACAGCCCTCATCTCTACCATTTACAGAAAGGTAAACAAACCTTTGTAAAAAGATTATAAAAATTACAAATTCATTTGAATTTAGGCTTTGAGATTGTCGAACTCGGCCAGGAAAGAATCAACTGTGGGAGAAATTGTAAATTTGATGTCAGTTGATGCTCAACGCTTTATGGACCTGACCGCCTACCTCAACATGTTGTGGTCTGCACCCCTGCAGATCGGGCTCTCTCTTTACTTCCTGTATCAGATTTTGGGTATGATTTGTTGAATTAATTAAGAAAAGAAATTTTGAGACTAATTTGCTTAAACAGGACCTTCTGTCTTTGCCGGTTTGGCCGTCATGATCATTTTGATCCCAGTCAACGGTTTCATCGCGAACCGAATCAAGACGTTGCAAATCAGGCAGATGAAAAACAAAGACCAGCGTGTCAAGTTGATGAATGAGATTTTGAGTGGCATCAAGGTGTTGAAGCTGTATGCATGGGAACCGTCCTTTGAGCAGCAAATCCTCAAGATCCGCGACAAGGAAATCGAAGTGCTGAAGCAGGCGGCCTATCTGAATGCCGGAACTTCCTTTGTGTGGGCGTGCGCCCCTTTCCTGGTCTCCCTCGTGACCTTCGCCGTCTTCGTCCTGTCCAGTGACGATAATATTCTGGACTCTGAAACCGCTTTTGTCTCTCTTTCACTCTTCAACATGCTCAGATTCCCTCTGTCCATGTTGCCCATGATGATTTCCAGCATGGTGCAGGCCAGCGTGTCTGTCAAGCGTCTCAACAAGTTCATGAACATGGATGAAATAGACCCCACCAACGTTGGACACGATCCCTCTGAATGTGAGATAAACAAAGAGTTGTAGTAAAAAAACTAAAATTGAAATATTTCAGCTGATCCTATTGTGATGGAAAATGGCACATTCTCTTGGGGACCGGATGAAAGCCCGGTTTTGAAGGGAATCAACATGAGGTGCAAGCAGGGTAGCTTGGTTGCTGTGGTGGGGACGGTCGGCTCTGGAAAGTCTTCCCTTGTTTCCGCCTTTTTGGGAGAAATGGAGAAAATCACCGGCCGAGTGAATACGAAGGTTTGGTGCAAAATTATTAATCGAATATTAAAAATGTAATTTAATTTTTCTTGCAGGGATCAATGGCCTACGTTTCCCAGCAGGCGTGGATCCAGAACGCCACTCTGCAGAATAACATCACCTTCAGCAAGGTGTTGGACAACATCCAGTACAACAGAATTGTGGAGGCCTGCGCTCTGAAGCCGGACATTGACATGCTGCCGGGAGGAGACCAAACTGAAATCGGCGAAAAGGGAATCAACCTGTCTGGCGGGCAGAAACAGAGGGTCAGCTTGGCAAGGGCTGTTTATTATGATGCAGACGTTTACTTCTTCGACGACCCTCTCAGCGCCGTGGACAGTCATGTGGGCAAACACATTTTCGACAATGTCCTCGGACCAAAGGGGTTGTTGAAGAAAAAGGTAAATTTCATTTTACCATATTCGTATAAACTTTTTATATTTGATTTTTAACTCCAGACAAGAATTTTGGTCACTCACGGCATCACTTATCTGCCCGACGTGGACAACATTGTGGTCCTCAAGGATGGAGAAATTTCCGAAGTTGGTACTTACAATGAGCTGATTGCAAAGAAGGGAGCGTTCGCCGAGTTCCTCCTGCAGCACATCCAAGAAAGAGCAGAGGAAGATGGAACTGGTTAGCAGTTTTAATTGAAAAGTGCCAAATTTTGGTTAACATGAATAAATTTAGATTTTGAGGATGTGAAGCAGCAGTTGGAAAAGACTCTGGGCACTGAAAGTGTGCAGAGACAGTTGAGCAGACAGAAGTCGAGTGATTCTGCCTCTCTCACTGGATCACTGTCGAGATCATTCGATGGATCCGAGGTTCGACGCAGGAAAAATTCAAAGGAAAATTCTGTCCCACCTGAGAAAAAGGTTGGACAGAAATTGATCGAAGTTGAAAAGTCTGAGACAGGAAGTGTAAGTTGTTTTTAATACATAAATTTAAATCAAGTTTACATTTTTTCTTCGCTTGGCAGGTCAAATGGGATGTGTACGCGCACTACCTGATGTCAATTGGCATTTTCCTCACTGTCGCCACACTATTTCTGAACGTCCTGTACCAAGGATTCTCGATTGGCACAAACGTTTGGCTCTCGATTTGGTCGAACGCTCAAACTGCGTACAATGCCACGCAGCCACTGCCTCCCAACGAGAGGGACATGTACTTAGGTGTTTATGGGGGTTTGGGCATCGGCCAAGGTAAGCCTCGATTGAAATTAATCCTCCGCCTTTTGAGATAACAAGTAAATTTAAAATCGCATGCTCGAAAATGGGCTTAAATTTTTTAAATGCTTCTTCACCACGCTTGTTATCTCAACCTGATCAAATAATCCAATTTCTCAAATCTGCACTCATAAATTGACTCAAACACCATTAATATTATTTCAAATGTGATCCCTCAAATTAATGGAGTAGCTCCCCCCAATGCACTGGCGCACTAACTTAGGATTGCATGCTGTAGACTTGTGACTAACCGAGTAAATTTCAGCGGTTTTCAATTTCTTCCCGAGCATCATCCTGGCACTTGCTACACTGAGTGCTGCAGTCAAACTGCACCGCTCCATGCTGTCGAATGTGTTCAGAAACGAAATGAGTTTCTTCGACACCACCCCAATCGGCAGAATTCTCAATCGCTTCTCCAAAGACGTAGACGTCATTGATAACACGCTGCCCTCGCTCCTGCGAGGCTGGTTCATGTGTTTTTTCTCGGTACAAAACCTTAATAAAAGCTTTACGTCCAAGCACATCAAGCAATGTGGAGCAAGTGCTGAATATGTGTGTGTGTTTTGCCAGAAAAATCATTTGTTGCACTTTTCCTTTAATTTAAAAATGCTTTCTGTGTTTTCTGTTCATTCATTTTCAATGGGTAGTGTCTTTTCTACTGTGTTTTAATTAATTAATTCTTTTGATTAATCGTTCAAAGCCACTCACTAACTCTGTCTGTACAAAATCCACCTCACCTGCTCTCCGGCAAAACTTTCATATTTTGTTGTTTTGGTCGTGGCACAAAAAAAAAAGAATTTCCAGCTAAAGACGCGAACCTGGGTGTGTCTATGTTGCAGTCGTGACCGTGCTTGTGGCCTCCCTATTTACATACATGGGCACCCTCAAAGCCTCGCACAGCTGCCACAACCTCATGCTGGACAATCTCATGCGAAATCCCATCTCTTTCTTTGATATCACGCCCCTGGGCCGTGTGCTAAACCGCTTCTCTAAAGACGTTGATACCATGGACACGGTCCTGCCCATGACCCTGCGGGGCTGGACCACGTGCTTCTTTGGGGTAGGTACCGCGGCGGGCTTTCTGTCTCACTCAGCTTAATTTCGCCCACTCATCAGGCCGTCCAATTGTCAGAAAAAACAACCAAAGGCCGAAGTATTCATTTTTTTCCGTGTTGGGCTTTTTGCGAGACGCTTAATTCTGCTGAACCCTCACTCGAAATCATTCCGCTTTGAAAAAGGAAAAGAAACTGGTTTAAAATTTAGCGATCATGACGACGGCGCCGTCTGTGTTGTCGATGCTTGGGGGTCTGCGCGCCGCTCGGCAACTGCATCACTGGATGGTGGGCAATGTGCTGCGGCTGCCGATGAGCTTCTTTGATACGACCCCGCAAGGGCGCATCACGCACCGATGCTCCAAAGACATGGACACCCTGGACTACATGCTTCCCTTTCTGCTCAAGGGTGTCCCCATTACTATCGCTTCGGTATGTCACGCAGGGCAGGATTGAAAAAAGGAATTGGGAGAGGGATTATTCGCATTCAGAACAACTTGGCATGCGAATATCACTAAGAAAAATCAGGAAAAGTTTTTCAGGTCGCCATTATTGATCAGAAATTTTGTTTTCCATTTGTCAGAATTTTCTATATTATACTTAGAAATATTATGAAATGGTTCTGTATTATCAAATTTACTAAAAGCTAGTCATTCAAGGAATCTCATTTGCCAATTATAAATTATTCATTTTTTTCATGCTGAATTTGGTTTCTTTAGGCAGGGTTACATGCAATTTATACAGCTCCTCATTGGCAAAAATTAGAGTTTAATCTGATTAACTTTAAGTCTGGTGCATATTATTAAACATTTTGAATATTTATTCTCACCATTGAAGCCTAATATTTCCTGCAAATAAATGGTTGTACTAATTTAACTCCAAATTGGCGTAATAAAATCATATTTTTACTGCAAATAGGAGCTATTTTTTTTTTAATTATTGCAAATTATTAATAATTTTCAAATCTATGTATTGAATTTTCTGATACATGAAATTCTGACAAATGAGGATTGCCCTTCTGATATTTGAATTTACGATCAATAAGGGGTTCCCATCATTTTTTGTTTTGTTTTACGGAAAGCTTCTTGGATTCATCACTCGCATTTGAGGTGAAATAATTTAAAAATATAATATAAAAAAAAAACAGAAAGCATTTTAACAAAAGACCAAACAAACAATCACATTTCTCAGCCAACAAATTTTGCACAAATGGTTTTTCTCGGCTCACTTTTTAACTCTTCCCTTTTCCTCCTAACTTTTTTGAACTGTGTTGAATTACTTACAATTGTAGCTCTTTTTTTTAACTTTCGGTGTGGCCAACTCTTGAATTTGACACTGTGATGACCGCTCGTTTGCATGCGTCATTTTGTTTCAGCCCTTACCGTTTACATTGGCTCGTTAACTTTGTACGTTGGCACTCTGAGCGCCGCTAACCTTCTGCACAAAAGGGTGCTCGCGAACCTCATGCGAAACCCAATCTTATTTTACGAAACGACTCCGATTGGAAGAATCCTTAGCCGCTTTTCGAAAGACGTTGACGTCTTAGACAACACTTTGCCGGGCAACATGCGAATGGTGCCTCTCATGGCTTTCAGGGTAGGTCGAAAAACATCCTTTGAGACTCTCTCTTGCATTGATTGGCCACCGACGGGAAACGAGAAAAATCATTTTTCATTCAAAACAGAACCACATCTACTAAAAGCATGCACCAATTTTTAAAGCAAAACATGATAAATTATTTAAAAAAAAAAAAAATTAAACCGCATTTCTCATGGAAATTAAAAAGCTGCATCGGATCGCCTAAAAAAATTGTATTTCATGAGCTGTATTTTGCAGCGTTTTGCATTTACTTTGGAGCTCTAGGCGCCTTCCTCGGAACTCTTTTAGCCTCGAATCGGATGCACAAGAGAATGTTGCGACGCCTAATGCGGTGCCCGTTGTCGCTCTTCGACTACACGCCGGCCGGTCGAATTATGAGTCGATTCTCGATGGACGTTGACATGTGCGATATGACGCTGCCACTGCTCATGAAAGTGTGGCCGAACCACGTGATTAAAGTAGGTCTCTTCCCGCTTTCCGTTTTACCGAAATGAAAATTGATTTAAAAAAAAAATGAAACTGCAGCAACTGAACCCTGAAACAAGAACCCTTCCGCTTATCCAAAGGAAACCATTGTTTCGAAAATTTAGAAAGAAAAAAAAATCATCATTTTTGTCCACGCTTGAATATTCAAAGCTAGGAGCTTCTTTCGTTCTTGTCGCTTCAAAGCTCTGTCGATTCTTATAGATGGTAGAACTGGAGACTTGCAATTCTTGAATCTTTTCCTCTTAATTCGTTGTAAGAAAATCATTCACACTTCACAAAGACTATTTATCACCTTCTTACATTATACTTTTTCTCCATATAAATACTACCGAAGTCTTTGGAGGTTTCACACATCCACGTTGACGCACGGTTTTGAGAAAAGTGTTGCGATGCTCTTCCATGATTTCAGTTTTGTGCATGTTTCTTGGCTCGCTGGCCGTTAATATCGGGACCATCACGGCCTCGGGAAAAATGCACAGGACAATGTTGGGCAGAGTTCTCAAGTGCCCGTCGTCATTTTTCGACACGACGCCGTCGGGCAGAATTATTAGTCGGTTTGGCAAAGACGTGGACATTTGCGACCTATCCCTGCCCCAGAACATGAAAGCGTGGCCGACCGCATTTTTCAGGGTATGTAAATTTGGAGGACACCGGCCGAGACGAAATTTGCAGAAATTTACAAATATTTTCGTTTCCCGAGGAAATTTATTACACAGACAAATATGGGCCCTCGCAATTTTGGTTTCCGTGGTTTGGCGACAAAGAGCAGTGAATCCTTTCTTTCCTTTACAATTAACCTTTCTTCTTTTTACAGATCCAAATCGCGATTGATTTCCACTAACCCGCGCATGCTTTTAGTTCACCCTAACTTAATTAACACCAGCAGGGATACCATTTGAAATAAATTCTTTAGCTCAAAAACCCCTTTTCGGCACCAAGTGGTTGTAAAACCTTTCAAAATTCGGAGCCTGATGCACTCATTTCTTTTTCGTCCCTGCGGTGTGTGGATCTGAAATCTGAAATGACCGGTGGCGCGTGGCCTGTTCGTAGGGTTGGTCGTGTTTTTCTCCGACTTGACGCCTCGGCTCGCCTGCTGGGTCGCCGCCCGCCGCATGCACGACCTGATGACCTTTGGCGTGCTCAGGGCGCCCATGCTCTTTTTCGACACCACGCCTCAGGGCCGCATTGTCGGTCGCTTTTCAAAAGACATCGACGTCGTCGACAATAACTTGCCCATGTACATATCCGACTGTGTGTACTGTCTTTTTGAGGTTAGTTCAAACCCCCGCCTTTCCTGCTCATGCTTTTGCTTTTCGCTAAATCAACATTCCGCAAAAAAAATATACCAATTTCGTCTGCGTTTTTTTTTATATAAAAAATATTTGAAAAAAAAAAATGATAGCAGCATAATGACAATTCAGCCAAACGCCGTGTTTTGGGGTTTTCTCTGAATTAAAAGCAAAACAAAATTAATGCGAACATTTTCAGTTGTATTCGTTTTTCTGGGATCGCTGGTCGTTTTTCTCGGGACTCTGATGGCCGCGAAAAAAATGCACATGGACATGACAAACAGAATTCTGCGGTGTCCAATGTACTTTTTTGACACCACCCCGGTCGGGCGAGTTCTCAGTAGGTTTTCCAAAGACATCGACACCTGTGACGTTGTCCTTCCGCAGATCATGCAAGCGTTGCCCGCTACCTTTTTCAGGGTACGTAACTCTCCGCTTTCCTTTTGCTTTCTGCAAAACGTGACGTCATAATTATGGTGGATTTGGCTGGGTTACCAAATAAATATTACTTAAAAAAAAACTATAGACAAAAATCGGTTAAAAAAATTCATTCATTATTTCTTTCAACCTCTTCAATTTCTGTCTGAGCACGTTTTAGTTTGCTTAAATTCATCCCAAATATTAAATTTCCGGTAATTAGCCTCAGCTCTGCCTTCCTTTGCTACAAATCTAGCCGAATTTCAGCATCCTTGGCATTTTTCATCCAATTGGAACCGTGGATCGGCGGCCAGCGGGCTGCCGTTCACATGCACGCCCTCATGTTGAAAAGGATGCTGGCCGCGCCCGTGACCTCCTTTTTCGAAACCAATCCTCAGGGCCGCATTTTGAGCCGCTTCGGCAGAGACATTGACGTTGTCGACCACAATTTGCCCATGAGCGTCGGTGATCTCTGTTACTGCCTCTTCCAGGTTCGTCTCTCTCGTTTCCAAATCTGGACTGAAGAAGAGGCTAAAATTGACTCTAAAGAAAGTTTGGTCAGACAAAGCTCGACAACCCTGAATCTTTTAATTCATAATCTATTTCATTTCATCACACGTCTATTCATACAAATCAGAATTTTATTTATTATTGTTGTTTATTCTTCATATAATTTTTTTATAATTTACCAATAATATAGTCGCAACCTCTCTGCTCCTGCTTGAATTTTATCACTGAAAACTCTGCTCTAGTGTGGCCTGATCCGCTTGCTAAATTTCGTTCATCCCTCGATTATTTCGCTCAGAAAATTGCGTCCCGAACAAATTCGCTGCAAAATGCTCCACAGTGATTACGGTTTTGTTCTCCGACCTGGGGGCCTGGTACGGAGCCATATTGGCGGCGGTGCCCATCCACGCGAAAGCCCTCAGGGCCATGCTGGGCGCGCCGATGGCCTTTTTCGGCGTGACCCCCGCAGGCCGGATCGTAGCTCGTTTTTCTAATGACATGTACACGGTCGATTCGGTTTTGCCTGAACGCGTGGCCTCGATTATTTGGATAGTCACCAAGGTCAGTCCTTCCGTGCGTCGCCATCAAAGTTGGAAATTTATTTGGTTATAATCAAAAAGAACTTAACTTTTGTAAATGTGGCCTGTTGTTCTGTCTGACAATGCAAAATTTTAAAGGCTTTACACGCTATTTCGAACACAAAATCGCGCTCTTTCCAAATTTTTGTAAAAACTTTCTCGAGATTAATCTCTTTTTCTTTTCCACTCAAGGTGCTGGCCACCATTGTGGTCATCAGTTACTCCACCCCCATCTTCCTTGCTGTGATCATCCCCATCGGAATTCTCTACTACTTCATTCAGGTAAAATTTCCAAAGAAACGGACAAAGAAAATAAATAAATTTGTTAATTTTCAGAGGTTCTACGTTGCAACCTCAAGACAACTGAAGCGTTTGGAGTCGGTTTCGCGCTCTCCAATTTACTCCCACTTTGGTGAATCTGTGACTGGAACTTCAACCATCAGGGCGTATGGCGCTCAGGACCGCTTCATGAAGGAGTCTGAGCAAAAGGTGGATTTCAACCAAATTGCCTACTACCCCAGCATCATTGCCAACAGGTGCGGATTTGCTTTGTCTAAAAAATAATCACTAATCCTTCCAATATCAGATGGCTGGCGGTTCGGCTGGAAATGGTGGGCAACTTGATCATCTTCTTTTCGGCCTTGTTTGCCGTTCTCGGCAAAGAAACAATGAATCCCGGCTTGGTTGGACTCTCAGTCAGCTATGCCTTGCAGGTATTTCATTTGGAAAGCGAGTAAAGAAAAGGTGGTTATTTAATTTTACTATATCATTCTAGATCACACAAACGCTGAACTGGCTGGTGAGAATGACTGGGGACGTTGAAACCAACATTGTTGCTGTTGAAAGAATCAAGGAGTACGGAGAGACTAAACAGGTTTGTTAATTCAACGTCAATTTTACATTGTAAGGACTCATTTTTGGGCTGTCCTTAAAATTTATCTTTAAGTAAGCATGCAAAATTTTAAGGCTTGAGGTTTTGATGAAGTAAGAAGCATTTTCAAAATTAGCCTGAACTACAACTTTTTTGCTAAATTTTCAGGAAGCAGCCTGGGACATCCCGGAGACAAAACCTCCCAAGGAATGGCCTGCCAATGGAAATGTGGTCTTCAATAATTACCAAGTTCGGTACCGGGAGGGCCTGGATTTGGTCTTGCACGGAATTTCCTGCGACATCAAGGGTGGAGAAAAGGTAAAATTGTAATTAAAAAGCAAAGTAAATTGTGACAAAATTTGTTGCAGGTTGGAATCGTTGGTCGCACCGGCGCCGGCAAATCTTCGCTGACCTTGGGTCTGTTCCGCATCATCGAGGCGGCCGGCGGCTCCATCGTGATTGACAACGTGGACATTGCCAAACTGGGTCTGCACTCGCTGCGCTCCCGCTTGACCATCATCCCCCAGGACCCCGTCCTCTTCTCGGGCACTCTCCGACTCAACCTGGACCCGTTCGAGCAGTACAAGGACGAGGAAGTGTGGCGCGCCCTTGAACACGCCCACCTCAAGCATTTCGTCAAGGGTCTTCCTGCAGGTCTGAGCCACGAAGTGTCCGAGGGAGGCGAAAACCTCAGCGTCGGCCAAAGGCAGCTCATCTGCCTTGCCAGGGCTTTGCTGAGGAAGACCAAGGTGCTGGTCCTCGACGAGGCCACTGCGGCCGTCGACCTCGAAACCGATGATTTGATTCAGGTTTGTTCTTATTTAAAATTTTTATTTTTATAAGCTTTGGTTTTAAAATTTTAGCAAACCATCCGGTCAGAGTTCAAGGACTGCACCGTCCTCACAATTGCCCACAGATTGAACACAATCTTGGACAGTGACAGGTGATTTAACCCAATTTGAGGTTATCCTTAATTGATAATTAATCGATGGTATTTTTCAATTTCAGAGTCGTCGTGCTTGATAAGGGCAAAATCATCGAGTTTGAATCGCCCAACGCCCTGCTGCAGAGGAAGCAGTCGGCCTTTTACGGCATGGCCAAAGACGCTGGCATCGTCAGCTAATTGTGTTGCACACTCGTGGACTTTTTTTGGACTCTCTTAAGTGCCTTGGTGCCACTATTAACTTGTCTGTTCACGAATTCTTGTAACTACAGTATTCCTCGTCACATCAATCATTTCCGTTGAATTTTGTAGAAATCATGCCACTTGCGGTGATGGGCTTGTTCTTTTCGACCTAATTTGGAATTTGAATAATTAATTGGGAATTAGATGAATTTTTGAATTGTTTTATATTTTCAGTTATATATTCCCATGTGTTCAGAAAAATCATGTACTTATGGGATTCGAATGTTTTGTAAAGCAAGACTTTGAGCTTCAAAAGCCACTTTTCTGTAAATGTCTGGGCTTTGTACGTTAACACGGCCATCCTATTTTGGCCACATCAGAGCATAAATAGTTACAAGGAGAGGATTTTATTTTATAATTGAAACTTTAAATGATATTATGTGATAGCTTTTTATTTCAGCAAAGCTATTTTACAATCAATAAAGAAATTTATACAACTTCAATACTCGACGCTTTTTTAATCTTCCAATTTAAAACAATAAGTCTCTGAAAAAAAGCTTAATTTAATCAAATATTTTTTTAGCTACCCTTAGAAATCAAGCAATTAAACCAATTTCATCTTAAGTCAGTTCGAGAGAGGCCAAATTGAAAGACATTCACTTGGCTTCAGTAAAAAAATCACCGATGCACGTCTGTGTTTAATTTTGGTCAAAATACTGGTGCGGGCGGGGTCTCGGTTTGCTGCTAGCCTATGCAGGGAGGCAACGAGGGCCCGAGGGAGGCGCGTCATCTGACGTGTGTGGACCCCGTGCTGCTGTAGACGACCTGCTCGTCCTGGCTCATCAGACCCTCCTCGTCCACAGGCACTGGGTTGTACTTGGCGGCGGGATTCGCTCGGTAGCCGCCTCCGGACATGGCCTTGGGCCGCAGAATGCCTCGGACGTCGTTCATCGTGATGTCGACGTCTCGGAACGCGTGCAGCAGGAAAATCGCCACAATCACTGTGAGGAAGCCGCAGATGTTGCCCAGGATGTCTTCCGCACCCAAGTGTTGCCATTCCTAAAATTGGAATTAAAATTATCAATTGCTAGATTCAACGTCACTCCTTAAGTCATTTTAAAGTGCGAATAAAAGCAGATATAAGTTTTGTTAGCTTTTAGTCAAAATTACTCAAAGAACCAATGTTAATTTATAAAAATAAGATTAATTACTGAATAAGGTTTGTTCAAAATAATTGTCAGGCAAAATTGAGCAATAATCAACAAGTTACTTTTGAAAAAAGCAAGGAAAGTAAATATTGGGATAAATCAAATTTAATAGATTAGAATTTTATATCCCCTTCATTGTTCTTTCTTTACTGATGAGATATTAACCTTAAAAAGGATTGTGGACGCCACGATGACGAGGGTGGTGAAGAAGACGTAGTAGACGGGGGTGACGATGGACGTGTTGAAGACGTCGAGCGCTTTGTTGAGGTAGTTCATCTGAACCACAATGCAGCAGACGACGGTGAAGAGCAGCATCCACGTGAGCCAGTTGCCAGTTTCGTTGCTTCTTCCGGACAGGGTTTCCTTGAGGGCCAGGCCCAGACCCTTGCAGCCCATCACCGAGAGAGACCCGATGGCCGAGCAGATGGCGATGTAGATGACCACGTTGGTGTGGCCGAACTGCGGCGCCAGGCCAAAGGCCAGGAAGAGGGACAACATGACGATAACCACCACGTAGAAAATAAAAGCTGCAAAAATTATAAATTTCATTTTGAGTTAAACTTTTCTTTAAGAAAAACTCTTACATGCATCTTGGAGCTTTTCAAGAAGCACCTCCAAACTCTCCACTTCCTCCTCTTTCGGGGAATGAATCACAATCACGGTCGAGCCAATGATGCACAAGAAACAGCCAAGCTGGAAGTTATTTCAATTAAATATTTTTCAAATACTCCAAATTTAATTGACTTTTCCAAGCAGATTTAATCTTTCGTTGAGGTATTTAGAAGAGAGAATGGCAGCAACCAGGACACTGAGAGCACCCAGAGGAGTGACCATTGAAGCTGGCGCAAAAGCGTAGGCAGCAAAGTTGGCCGCCTCTCCGATTCCCACTTGAAATTTTAGGGACAAAATTAATAGTTTTCATGCGAAAAATACAATTCAGTCTTACTGGACAGGAATCCCGCCCACCAAATCCATTCTCGCAAGTAGCCGAATCCTCCGTGGCCTGCTCGAGTTCCTCCGGTTCTGCTCAATCGAATCAACGCCTTCTTTTTTATAATGAAACTGGAGCCTGAAAGAGAGAAGATTTTTTAAACGAAAATTAGGCAAACAAACAGGCAAAAAGCGAGTTATTATGCAATTGAATTTCCAAGGCCAACCTCTCTTAACAAATTCAACTCCAAAAGTCAAGTTTATTTTTATATACAATATATTATAAATAACAAAATTCTTAAATTTAATGTTTTGTTTTGTTAAATTATCACTTTTATTATAGATATGAATTCAAAAGCAGTTTCCCAGTTGAGTAAATCAAATTATTGATCAATTAATTTAATCCGTAGGCAAGAAAAGAAAAAGTTTACCGATGAAAATGCTGGAACTGATGGCGAGACCAAGTCCAACGTAGTAGCCAGTCTCGTCGTACAATTTCGGGTCGAACAAGGTGCCATTCGGCATGATTCTGTCCTTGATAGACTGGATCATTTGCTGCGAACCAAAACAAAACACCGAGATTAATAAAACCAATCACATTCTCCAAAATTTTAGATTATGCTTAATCACCAGAGCCATGGTTAAAGGTCTATCTGCGTGAAAGGATCATGCAAAATCTACAAAAAATTTAAATGTCAAGCAAATAACAAAGTTAAAGCAAAACTTTATGTATTTTGAATCATTTTAGCGACGGATTGACCAATTCACGCGCACCCTTTTTTCAGTCTCCACGACTGATTGTGTGCTGCGGCGATTGAGGAGGATCAGATAAGAAGAGCGGATAAGGCGGTGAAGACGATTATTGACATTGTTTCCCAAAGTTTTTCACGTGATTGGATTCGCCCCAGCAGCAAAAGTTGATTGCAAAAACGAATCGAGCGTTCCAAGAAGGAGCGTTCCTTTTCCCAGCTGAGCGGAATGGGCGTGGCCAAAGTAGTTCGCCGAACTAGCTGAAGGTGGAGAAAAACAAAGTAAAGCACCGACTGCGCCCTCTGCTGCCCTGAGTGAGAACCGCACCATTCCTAGAGCGCGGCACCACCAATGCCCGATGCATTGCACGTACGTTTTACATTAGTTTTATATTCTCTTGGATAAAAACATTGAACAGCATAACAATAAGACAATAACTATAATTATCATGATACGAGTTTGTTTCTTCACAATTTACATCACAGAATGCAGATGGAAAAAAAAATATTTTCAGTTTTTTTTTTGCTCCGTATTCAAGTGACATAATATCAAAATGAGAATGAGAATACATAATTACTTTAAGTTGATAATTAGGACTATCGGAAGTGGAGAATTTCAAATAGTATTTAATTGGATAAGTTATTTGAAGGTACGTCATATATAACTAATTAGAATTATTTGCTTAAAACCTTAATGAAAGTTTAAAATGGTCAGCAAACATAATTAGCAAATTTCCTTGCAATTGGAAATATTTTTCAGCTGGATTATTAAAATCCAGCTGAAATAAAGAGCGGAAGGAAAAGTCCAAAAATAACCTTGATGGAAGTCTCCCATTATTTTAATTCAGGTTGAAAAATCAACAAGTCTCACGTGATAAAAATAAATATTGGGTTTGGATATCCACGAATATTTTATATAACGAAAGAAAAGAATAACATCTAAATAAGGAGTTAAATAGACGGCCCTTCATTTTATTGCTGAAAAATAAATTTTTTGGCAGCGGAAAAATGCAGAGTCAAATAGAAAAAAAAATACCCCAATTTGATCCAAATATCTTTGCACTCGTCATCGGGTAAAAGTCCGGCCTTGACGTATCAGCCCCTAAAGTAGTTTAAGTATAACATAAAAAGTCTATAGAAGCAGAGTTTGAGGAGGAAATGGAACGTCGGCGCCAGAGAACGTGCAGTTAAATTAGTTAAAGATCATTTTTGTAGTTTCGCTCCTGCTAAATAAACGTTCGAATAAAATATGCACTGTAAATTCTTGTTAGCTTTTTCTGGGCACTGCTGTGTTGCTTTGGCGAGGAACTAAGTTTCTCGGCTGCAAACTCCTTGTTACCAGAGAGATCTTACCAGCATTCTCAGAAACTTTCTCTTTCTGCGCTGGCTCAGGGTTCTTGCCTTCACTATTTACTTATCTTTCTCTTGGCGCCGCTCTGCTGTTTAATTCTTTTTGAAGGATTTGCTGCGTCAAACGTTGGCAGAAACTGCTACCTTGCCTGCGCGCTCTTGGTCGTCGAGGCTCTCTTCTTCAGCGCAGACAGATTTTGGCACAGTTCCTCCTTTTTCCAGTGCGGAATGATGGCGTGCAAGACGTCATCAATCAAGGACACAATCTTGCGCACCAATTCCTTGCTTTACAATATTTTGACCATTTTAGCGCTTCATAGCTAATTTTTAAGTCACAAATGCAATCCATGAAGTAAGCTTGCGGAGTTGATTAATTTTGAGAAAAATTTTAAGTATAAAATATCAAGTGAACGACGAGACAATTTTATTCATTATTTGAAAATTTTTTTGTAAAAATAAAGTGATTGTTTTAAATTATTTTCTCATTGATTTAAATTGATAATTTTTGGTTATTATATTATCAATTTGGCAATTTGGAAAGTAATTGCCTAGCTATGAATCAAAAGGGCGATTAAATTTCGCGACCAAAGGCACAGGTTCAGATATTGCGTCAAGTTTTAATCATACGATGGTGGCCAGCAGGTGCGAAATGTCGCCGAGGAGCCGAAAAATGTTCATTTCGACGGCAGTCGCTGCTCCGAAATGCGAAGGTGGCAGAAAAATGACGTGTCGGGGGCACGGCCGACCTTCCTTGATTCCTTCAAACCAACAAAAGCACTGCGAAGGGCGCTTTTTAAAAATAAAATCGCATTTTTTTAACTTTTCAATATTTGCTCAAAAGAAAAATTTAAATATTTTAAATTAAACTGCCGATCAAAAGATTTATGCCACATAATTATATACTTAATTGACCCCTCAATGACCCTTGCCCTCCATGCCCTTGTGCTCCGCTCGCTGCTCAGGCTGGTTGCAACTTCTTGCCTCATAAACACCGAAAATATTCAAATATAAATTTTCAAGTCCGACAAAAACTAAAATATTTTTCGACCCTCTAAAAAATTTTTAGTTTTAATTTAATTTAAGCAAAGCTCCGCATAATTCATCCCAATTTTAGATAAAAAAAAAAAATTGGTGAATAAATTCATATTATGATTTTCCGTAATTTTCTAACAATAAGATTGAATGGCATAATAAGATTTGTTTGAATTTTTCTAATAAAGAATTGAGTACCAAATAAACTTCCACCATGGATTTAAATTTTTGCAAAAAGAATTAGCAAATAATTAGATTTAATTGGAGAGAAACAATTATCAATGGACGACTCCCTGGCTGGTAAATTAAATTTCATAAATTCTGTCCTAAGACTGAGTTTGGCTGTGCGAATAACACATGCAAACGCAAATTTTATTATCAGTATTGGTAGGCAATACCGTTGCATTTTGTGTAAAACGTCACCATTCTTTACACAAGTAACAACTGGACTTAATTATATATTCACAGATTCCCGCCGTTGATGTATTTCTTGATTGTAATTTGACTAGCTATCGACGGAGGGCGCGCGGCACTAACCAAGAGAAAAAAAATAATAAATACAACAAATAAATAGTACATATAAAAGCGTAAACAAAACCTATTATTTTAACGCGACGCACCATAAGAAGAAACAAATTGTGGTAGAGAATAATATCCAATCGAATTTCGAAACCCTTCCACAAGTGCAAAGGTGCCACAGCTTTCTCCATTCAGTCCATTCCATTAAATACACAAAAACAACAATATCTGGTCTGTGCACGAATTTTGGCAAATTCATAAGAAATTTAAGCAATCTATAACCGCTCAGTCTTCGCAAGCCAAGGTTCCATCTCAGTCAATATCTCCGGTCAACGGTCAATATGTATTTCAAAGTTTTCAAACGGATTATTATGAATGTGTTGATTCAACAAAATTAATACGCAAACAAAAGTAAACTTTTACGGTGAAAAGTCTGCAAAAAATGTTATTGTTCTTCTGACTGATTCAATACACATATAGTTGCATGTGTGTAAAAATTTGACATCTTCCCAAGTGCTCTTAAGGTTTAAATTTGCATTTGCAACTTAATTCAGCATTCAAGTTAAAAAAAAATCAATATAATTGTTATCAAATAAATAAACTGACAAGAGGCGCCGACGACCAGAATATGCATTATGAAACTTTTAAAAGTGAAATAATAATTTCAGTCTTAAAATAATGCTGCTCTCCTGTTCTTCGTTTACTTGCCAAAATAATCTTGGATGAAAAATTCAAGATTATTAAAAGAATCAATTGTTATTATTTTTGATGTGTGACATTCTAATTTTAATTGTTTCCATTTTTTTTTCAGTTTGGATTGTTCGTTTGGCAACATGTCACATCAGGACCAAGCAGAGGAGAAGAAAGAGCTGGTCAGAATTCTGAAACAGGGAAAAAGAGACCTGCAGAAGGAGGACGAAGAGGTGGAGGAAGAACGTGCCAGATTGAACAGCTTTCAGAAGAAATTAGAGGAGCGGGATGCTGTTTTGACCGCAGAAAAGAGGGAACTTGAGAAGGATAAAGAAACCTGGCCAGCTCATGAGAAGAAGATTCGCGAGTTGTCGGATTCGCAGCCAGACATGGAAACCGAGCTCGATCGACGTGAGCGACGCCTGGCCAAAGAGAGAGCCGAATTCAAGGCTCGTAAGGAGGCAGAAAAGGCTGCGGCCTCTCCCAATAATTAGCCTTCAAAGATTTACTTGGTCAATAAAAATCTCTCAGTGGTTTCGTTAAGCAAAATATATTTGCTATGGAATTTTTTAATTTAAATTCGTGTCCCTCTTCTGCAATAGTTTCACACAAAAATTGCAATTTGAACTTAAAGATTTATTTACTTCATTAATTAACTGATTGTGAGATGATAACATGTGTGTGCTACAAAATTTAAGAACCATGAAATGAAATGAAAAAATAATTATAAAACTCACTCATTTTGAAAAAAAAACATATGTTTCAATATTAAAATTAATTATAATTATTTAACCACAGTTGGGAGAGGCTCCCTACACGTGTAACAAGCAGCACAAAATAACGCTGATTGTTGGTCACTTTTTGAACAAAATTCCTTTCGTTCACCATGCCGAAAGCAACGAAGAGGCCTAGGAAGAAGACCGCCAAGCAGAGGGAGATGGAAAGAATCCGATGGGAGTTGAAGTGCCTGGACCAGTGCAGAGAACAAAACCGAAAGCAAAAGGAGGAGCTGATGGAAAGGCGACGAGACCTTGAAGAAATGGAGGAACAAATTTACCACCGAGGAAACGCTGTGGAAATGGAAAAGCGGCAGCTTGTCGTTGATAGACTGCCGTTTAGAAGGTTTGAATACGAAGTAATGGAGCGGCAGAAGAAAATCAAGCAGCGGGAGAAGGCTGTGACTGCTGGAGAAGAGAGACTGAGGCGACAAGTGGAAAGCTACGAGATCGACATGGCGAATCAAAGACAGCGAACCTTTAGTTACATCAGCTAAATTTTCAGTAAAAAAGTTCTGGACTAAATTACAAATCAAATATTAATTTATTTCATCTCCACAAGTCTCCCTCAATTACCACACATCGCGCACCAATTAAACCTTAATAGAGACAGAATTTTGATTATTCAGTTGTATTATTTAATTTGTCTCTTTCTAGTCTGTGGTATTATCTTTTTGGCTTTTTGGTGTACTGAGTGAATTTTAAATTAATAATACATCGACAAACAAATACACTTTTTAAGAGCCAGTCACTTTCAACATTTTGGTGTTTGACAGGGCTTGCAGCTCAACCACCAAAACATCCGGCATTCCTCCCATTTTCTCCATTATTTCCTTCACTTCAGTCAAAATGTTGGCAGAAACTGCTGCCTTGCCTGCGCGCTCTTGGTTGTCGAGGCTCTTCTTCAGCGCAGAGATTTTGGCGCAGTTCCTCCTTTTTCCAGTACGAAATGGTAGCGTGCGAGACGTCATCAATCAAGGACACACAATCTTGCGCACCAAGTCCTTGCTCAGCTTCTTGTCCTGGCTCTTCTGGACGTCTTTGACCTGCTGTCCTGCTCGTTCAATTGATTGGCTTCTCAAGCCAAGTTTTGTAACCTGCGGACAGTAAAACCGTTCGTCTGAGTCTCTTCTTTTCTGAGCTTTGCGTCCTGAAAACAAGTATAGAAATAGAAATAAGCTATTCAATTGATTTGCTTTGATCTCGAGCACTTCCGCTTTTATGACTGCCTGTAAATATTTCCCAATAAAACTTGAAAATCAATTGATTTATATTTCACTTTTCATTTTATTCACTTCATTTCCTGTCATTGCAATTATGCGCCTGATGCCCTTGGCTATAGCCTCTTCGCTGGTTATCACAAAGTGGCCTATGTGACCTGTTCTCAGCATGTGACTGAAACCAAAAAGTCAAATCAATTGAAAGGAAAAGTATAGACATTTTCTTTTTTCTTTACGTTCCACCGCAGAATTCCACAGAGGTTCCCATTCCAACATTGCTGTCTGGATCCTTTTCCAGATCCTCCACGGACACTCCCACAGACACAACCCTGACAGGGTCAGGATAGGCTTCGTCGAACATGGCTCTCAACCCTCGTATGGATTTGGCCACTCCCAGAGAGGCCTCTTTGGCAAACACCGGCTCGTTCTGCGCTATTTTCTTATTGGTTATGACCTCAGTTTCCTTCACTTGGTTAGGAGTCATTGCTTTCTGCAATGGAATTAATTATAAAATTGTCAAATTGGTCATCTTTTGAACAAACCTTGCAGGTGAAGTCAAATCTGAATCTGTCGGGAGCAACGAGAGAACCCTTCTGGTCAGCTTCTCCTCCCAGGACGTTCCTCAGAGCAAAGTTCAGCAAGTGGGTGCCCGTGTGGTTGGCCATGACTTGGTATCTCCTCTCGCAGTCGAGTTTCAGCACAACCTGGTCTCCAACTTTTAGGGTGCCTGAGCCTTGGTGTCCAATGTGGATTACGTAGCCACCCCTGACAGCCACGTTTTTCACACAAAACTCAACAGACTGCACCAAAAACGTAAATAACAGAAACAATAACAAGTTTTTAAAGCTTACCTCATCACCCTTCTTAGTCATGTAGCCCTCATCAAAAATTTGTCCACCCTGTTCTGCATAAAAGCAAGTCTTATCCAAAATCATTCCACAGTCTTGGCCTGCTTCAACTTTATCAACAAATTTCTTCTCCATCCGAAGTGCTATTATCTTTCCAGTGCACTGGGCGAATTCTAGATTCAATATTAATAAATCAAATAAAATTTATCTTAAATATATTTATTCTACCATAACTAGCATTCTTGGCATTGCCAGCTTTGTAACTGTACTTGGAGCTGTCATCAGTCCTGGGAACCTTTTTGTTTTGCAACTCGGTTATTGCGTGCACATCCAGAGACAGCTGGTCGTCGGCAAGAGCGGCGCGGGCATTAGAAGCAAGCTATGTTCAAAAAGAAATTTTGAATTTTGATAAAAACATAATGAATAATACCTGTGCATGCATTTTGCAATGCTCGTAGACAACCATGTCGACAACAAGTCCTTTTTCCTCTGCCATCAACTGAGTCAAATCAACAGGGAAACCATAAGTGTCGTAGAGACGCCAGGCAACTTCGCCTAATTAAAAATTTCTTTTATACTCAAATTTATAAGTTGAAACTTATTTACCAGGCAAGACTGATGTTCCTGGCTCCAACTTCTCAACAGTCCGGTTCAACAAAGACCTGCCTCGAGCCAAAGTTTTTAGAAACTGGGTTTCCTCTTCATTTATTATTTCCTTGACAGCATTTGGGTCTCTGGTGACCTCAGGGAAAGTTTCTCCTAGCAAACTGACAACAGTGTCCACCAGAGTGCTGAAGAAGCCAGGTTTGGCGCCTAATTTCTCAGATCCGTAGCGGACAGCGCGGCGCAGAATTCTCCTCAAGACAGATCTGAAGAAATTATTTGGTTAATCTTCTTTAAATGTTCCCTATGGAAAAATTTAAGATGTTGATTTCACATTGACAAATTTTATCAACCTTCTCTATGGCTTCGAATATGGGCATTATGCGGAGGTGGACAAGAAAAAGGAAAATTGGAATGACCTCGTCAAGGCTGTGCACGATGAGGTCGATATTTATTTTGTTTTGTTATTTTATTGCTCTCTTTTAACCTATGTATTTCATTCAATGAACAGGCTGAACTGGTGCCAAAACGACAGAGGGAATATCAAGAAGGACTGAAAGACCTGGAGACCTCGAAGGCCGCTTTGAAGGCCCAAATGAAGGAAGCCAAACAGCGTGCCCAGCGTGACGATGAAGGTCTCAACATGGATTTTTACAATTAAAGTTTGGTTTGAAAATGTTCAGCAAGGATTTAAATAATAAATTAACATAAATAAGATTCTTGGCCAATAACCCTATGAATATATATATTTTTTTTCTACCTGAATTTGCTAATTATTTTTAAATGCTACATTTTTCAAGGTGTTGGAGCACTTTTATTTGATTATCCAAAAGATTACAGCCGAAATTATTTTTATACAATTTTCTATTGGCAAAGCTCATAATAATAAAAGAAGCTGATATAAATGCATAGTGGCAAGATCTGGAGGTCACAACATTGGTTGTGGGGCTCCAGAAATTGAAAATTGTAGTCGAGATGGTGATCATAAACGTTGAAAAAGACAATTAATTATATTTAAAAATTTCTTCCGAACGAGTTGTAAAATTATGAGACCCAAAAGGCAGAGGGAAGTCCCGAACAAAATTTTGATTATTCAGTTTTATTATTTAATTTATCTCTTTCTAGTCTGTGGTATTACCCCTTGCTCTTGCCTGGCGAAGGATTCTCTTGAGGTAACTGCGCCTCTTCCTCCTCTAGTAGAAAATCATCCTGATTCTCCATGACCTGCTCGTTATCCACCTTTTCAAAACCCAAGTCTGCTTCGAGCTCGTCCAAAAACAGGTCGTCCTATTGCATCATTTCGCGATCCATCTGCTCCTCATTTTCCTGGATGGTCTCCGTAGTCTTGAATTCTGCGGTCTCGGGCGCTGTGGCATCACCCTCCTGATCAAGACCGTTCTCATTTTCATCCTCTGGTCCTTCTTGAAATTCTTGTTCTTCGGGGTCTTCAGACGCAACATTCGGATCGTACAGCTCTTTTTTCCTCATCACCCTGGTCAGACTTTGCCCCCTTGGCTTCAGGACCATCCTCAGCTATTTCAGCCGCTTTTTCTTCCTCCTTCTTCTTGGCTGCGTCATCTTATTTTTTCACCTCCTCTTTCTGCAGAAAATGATTTTACTCACAAATCCATTTAAACTTCAAAACCAACCTGATGAGCAACCGCAAGTTGTCATAATGTTCCTTGGTTTTGCAATGGTCGATCCTTCAGATTTAGGTCCTCTCTGAGGAAGAAGCGGCGGCACAGCTTGCAGAACATTCCAGTCACTTTCAACATGAAGCTTTCCCCTAAAAACAATAATTTTCAAAACGCCTGCCAGCAAATCAACAACATTATACTGACCGACTGGTTTCTTCGGATCAAATTCTCCAACTGGCTCAATCTTCTTCCTGGATCTTTCCCCACTTCTTTCACGCTTCCTCTCCTTGTTCTTGCTGATCACATCCCTGAACAGCCTCTGTGAAATAAAATTTTAGAAAATTGCTTCAAGATTAGTCAAAATTAGTCTCACTTTTAAATGCTCGGCTGTCAGAACATGAATGTCGAGATCAATCCTTGACGGAAGATCGATCTGGCAAGTGGAACACTTGGGGTGCAAATGATTCTTCAGCGCCTAAATGTCAAAATGTGTTTATACTTTGGACTTGTTTAGTAATGATTTGCTTGTACCTGGTGCTGAGAGGAGCGACGGTGACTCAAGACGGAGCCATTGATGGTCATGTCGCACATTTTGCAGAAGTCACGCCTGGTCGGCAAAGGTTTGTTCTTCATCCTGGCGTCGTGCTCCAGGCTCCTCTGCATGCGCAACTCCTCACTCTGCATTTATATCAAAGTTTTATTTGATTATTTTTAATTTTTTTAAATGATTCATGTACATGGCAAGCTTCACGCAGAGACTTGGCCTTTGCCGAATACTCCTTCTCGATTGTGTCCAGCATACGCAGGTGCGCCACCCCGTGAATGTGATTGTCAAATGACTGGAAATGGTTTAATAAATATAAAATATTCACTGGAAATAAAAGGTTTTCCTACCCTAGCGTCCCACATGCTCTTCTTGCACAAGTGGCAGCGGAAAGCAGCATTCGGCAGCCCCTCAAAAGCAAGACCCTGTGTTTGAAGGGCTCATAGAATAATATTGGAAAAATCAATCACTTTAATTATACCCTTTGATCACCAGTTTGACTGCCTTCTTCGTCAGCTTTCTTCTCGTCCTGCTTTCCCTTTTCTGGGCTGCCTTCCTTTTCTTCGTCAGCTTTTTTCTCTGGTTTCTCTTCACCTTGCTTTTCCAACTCTTCCGGCTTTTCAACCTCAGCTACGGAATCCTCAGGCTCTTTCTTGACAACAACTTCTTTTTCTTCTTTCACTTCGACCTGCACCTTTTTCTTTTCTTCCTTCTTCGGCACGTCCTTCTTAGGTCTAAAATTGCCTCTCTTTTCTTGTCTCCATACTTGGGCCACACCTGGCACACCTAGTTGAAGCAAATTTAAAATTAGTTTCAAATTTTTGACATACCAAGCTAGGAAAGAAAGGGATTCCTGTGACCAAACTTTCACTGCTTTGGACGTATGTAGAAAATATGTGCAAATTTGGAACCCACAACCCACCCTGAGTTCCAAGAAAAGCCCCAGGGCTTTGGAAATTTTTTATTTTTACGCTTCATCCAAAAAATGCATAATTTTATCAGTGCGCTGCGTAAAATGAAAACTTCAATACTAACTCGATGCACAATAAGAAAAGCAATTAAACTAAGATTTATTTTTGTGTTGATTTGCGGATTTGTGGTGTGTGCCAGCTGAGCTGGCATCGAAGGTGGGAGAAGGAAGATTTAAGGGGTAGATATTTACCGGAGGGGAGCTTGGAGGGGAATATTTTCAAGGCATTTTGCGTTTGCGGCTTGCGCCACCGAGCGCCACCGTTCGTTCGAACCTCCTTGAATGAATGATTCCTTCGCACTCCTTGGATCTACCTTGGCCACGCCTACTGTTCGCTTTGTTCTTTGTTGACTTTTGGTTTGGTGCATGTAGAATGTAGATCACGAAGGAACTCTGGACCAAGAAGTATAAAATTTTATACTTCTTGCTCTGGACCGATAGGAAATTTGCTTTTTTTTTTGTTGCAGCGATTTTTTGTGTGTTCCAGCATCGGTTCAGCCTCCGGAGAGTTCGCAAGTGGTACTCAAATTTGAAAATCCAAATTATCAGACCCGGTGGCTCGGCACACAAAGAAGGCGAGAATGGCTTCGTTTGGATCTTGCTGGGAGCTGCCCTTCCACATTGAAAAAGACAACGTTAAATCGAAGCAGGACATTTTGGTGCTTATGACTCACTTAAGCCTCATCCAACATGACTTTCTCTGCATTCATGAAGTAGACGCTCAGGTTGTTTGAATAAAATTTTTTACCACAATTTTGCACTTATCAAGCGCATTATGTTTAATAATAATAAAATTTTTAAAATTTTTATATAATGTTCCTGATTTTTCAAAATCAAATGAAATACTATAGGTTTATTATAAAATAAATTGAGCTCCTTATTTTAAATTAATCTTACATTTTGTATGTTCAAGTATTCACCAACAAAAACGTCTGAATTGCTCATCCCAGGCTGGAACCAAGAGTCTAAATACTACAGGATCCGATATCTATGCAACACCTCAAAATATCATCTGAGTGCCAACTTGATTGATGATGTTCTTTGCATCGCTCTCTTGGCAAGCAGATTTTCGAAGGGAATAATTAATTTTGAAAATAATGTTCTCCTTATGATTTCAGAACATGGATTCGCACGAAGTACAGTCCCTTACCATTGCTGTATCCGAGGTCAAGGAAATCGCTGGACCCCTCTCAACTATGATTCCAAATGAGAAGGAAATCTTTTTCAAAATCTGGTACTTTTGACACATTTAAAATTTTCCATTGCTATTTTTACTGACCATTTTTTCCTTGCAGGACTGAAATGGTAAAGCCAGCCAAGAATGAAGGTCAGCGTGACATGCAAGTACAAACAGATGCCCAGCCACAGCCTCAAAGGGAAAGATTTGAGCCCAACATACCATTCATGCTCCCTGGAAGACCTGAAATGTTCCATCAAGGGTAGGAATTTTCATTAAGTTGTAGCCTCTAGTCATTTTATTTTACAACTTTCTTGTAGCCCTATGGTGCCAGATCCTCTCCGACTTGGAGATGACAGGGAGTTGAACCCAGTGATTGATCCTCTTGGAGCCCCTGGAGGTGGAATTATTCCTGAATTCCCTGGTGCAGGGAATCCAAGGTTGTATGAATGTCAATAATCTTGAAAAATCAATTTATTATTGAAAATTGTGCAGAGGAATTGACCTCCCTGGAGCCAGAATTGATCCAACTGGGCCTGGAATAGCTGAACCAGACCTGGCCGGGTGTCTCTAACCTTGATGATTTGTTGGGCCCAATGATAGCAGTTTGGCTAAAAAATGATAGCAGTTTTTTCAAGACTTTCTCAATTGGTGTTGCACAAGTAGTTTGTATAATATTAAGTCAATAACTAAAGTGTGTATAATTATAATGAGCTAAATGAACTAATTTACTAACAAGTGCATCTAAATTTTTTGTATTCTTTCTTGAATACACAGCTAAAGTTAAAAATGTAATGCCAAAGTTGAGCGATATATGACAAAAAGTACAGTCAAAAGTTTTATAGCATCCAGTAGTACGCGAACAGTGATCAAGAGAGGCAAAAAAACCCAGTCTGTTTATCAGGACTCCAGTCGAAACTAGAAATGGCCTGGTCGAAAGGGTTGCTTTGTGAATAAGAGTGCCAGGGACACCCTATTTTATCCCCCCGGAGTCTTCCCTAAATCTTAAAGTGGAACACTCACTTAATTTCGAACCAATTTATTTTTATTTTGTCAAAATGAACTGAACTTCTTTCTAAAGGTTGTCAGAATAACCAAACCTACTGTTGTGGCAAAAACCTGTTTTGGGTCCAAAGCCGGACACAAAGTATTCGACCTTTAAGTCTTTTAATGAATGAAACCAATTAAACATTAAAATGAATTTAAATGTTTGGTTGAATACCTCCTCAGTCATCTAAGTAAATCACCTGGTGGGGTACAGAGTTTGCAGAAAATTGGCCTCCAGTGTAAGGCTACGGCAACCAGTTTATTCATCTCAATCAATGTCCAGTCAGTCAAACTGGAGGTCACAAACTTATTTCATGGACTTGCATTTTCCTGAGATCAAAAATTTTAAGGTCCCCCCATTATCAACATTAACCTCTGAGCACAGCATGACCCCGCCATTCGTTGTTGTTGAAAGAATTGCCTTATTAGATGGAAATCAGAAAGTAGTTGGTTGAACGGGGTAGACACTAAATCATTTTATATCAAAAGCCACTGGCCCAGGCAGTATTGTCTCTCGGAGTTTTTCAAATGCGGCGGGGACTTCCCTCTGCCTTGGGTTCTACAATTTTGGAAGAAATTTTCAAACAAAATTAATCAGCTCTTTGAATATTTATGCTCGGCAACAAGTTGCAATTTCTGGAGCACCACAATTCCCACAACCACAATGTGTTCTACCCTTCCTAATCCTCTGTCACTATGCATTTTTCTATCAAAAAGCTCCTGTGAGCTTTGGCAATATGTTAAAGAAAAATTAATTTCCACCAGAAACATAGAATCAACAAAACTCTGAAAAATTTAGATATATTAAAAATCATAAATATTCAAGTTGGAAATTAATACAAAATGATAAAGAGTTAACCATGAATTTAAATTTAATCCTTGCACTTTTTAGCAACACAAATTTTATTTGAAAGCAATACATATCAATTGTAGAATTCGTAGAATTCCTCGTCGTCGTCCTCATCTTCTGCACGCAGTGCACGCTGGACACGCGCGTCACGGTTGGCATTTGCTTCCTGGATGCGGCCCTTCAATTCGATCTCCGCGGCAATCACCTGCCTCATCTCCTCCTTTGCCTTCTTTTCCCTCTCCGGGAGCTGTGCGGCCTGTTCATATTGATTAATTGAGGATAAAATTAATGCAATAAAATGGCAATTACCTGGATCTTATGTTGAACATCCTGTTCGTGGGCCTTCCATTCCTCTTGACCCTTGTCCAGCTTCAAATTCTCCTCCGTCACACTCTTCTTCTGCATATCGACGACCTTCTGCCTCCTGATGTTGTCGGCCACAATCTCGTCCTCTTGCTTCTTTGAACGTCGCACCTTCATTTTCAGCTCGTGGATGGTGCGGCGTTCTGCAAGCAGGGCCTCAAACTTTTCCTGCGGCTCGTCCTGTGGTTTGTCCTCCATATCTCAAGTCACGAGATCAATCTCTTCAGTTTTGGAAGAATGAAAGCGACACAACAACCCGCAAGCAACGTACTGACGCGACGAGTGACGACTAGACGACTGCGACTGCGAACGCTGCGGCTACGAGTAGTACGAGTGAGTACACATACTACACATAGTGAATTCTGAATTGTATTGTAGAATCATGGGATGTACGAAGAAAGGCGGAGCCTCCCCATTCCCACAATGTTAAGCTGGTACCTAAGCCCCGCCCTTATTCACATCCCATGTACTTGTCGCAAGGGGACTTGCCGGATCAAAGGGAGAGGGGCGGAAATCATACATACTTTGACAGTGCTTTCGTAAATTATTTATTTCGCCAGGATTCATATTTTATTTCGGTTCATTCGTGAGCCAACAAGACGTAACGTAAGCCTTCAGCCTGACCTTGTTGGGGCTGACATCTGGGGACGGCCAGAGGGAATTAATAAATATAAACAAGAAGAATGGGAAGAATCTTTGCACCTTGACCTTGAATAAAAAAACACGACCGGCCCATCGTCCTGATACGCTGGAATTGCAGCAATTGAAGGCGCAGCTTTGATGTATCAGAGTCTGTGAATAGTGTGAATGCGGTCATCTATCTTGGATCCATCAGCACCTTAGCTATGGTAGGAACATTTGGCACTTTTGTGAAAATATTGGAATTTTATTTAAAAAATTTATAGTACATACTTGTATAAGTTACACAATAATTGAATCAATTTTACATTTTAGAGTTTCTGAGAGCCACGTCCTTCCTGGCAGTATGAAAGACAACTTCTGGGAAATGGGAGAGACTGGCCCTTGTGGTCCTTGCTCGGAACTTCATTTTGACCGAATTGGTGGACGAGAAGCAGCCCACCTTGTCAATCAGGATGACCCTGACGTCCTTGAAATTTGGAACCTGGTGTTCATCCAGTTCAACAGGTCTGTTAGGAAATATTTTATCATACCAAATTTTAACTAAACTCTGTGTAAAATTTATAGAGAAAGTGACGGATCGCTCAAGTTGCTGCCGAAAAAGCACATAGACTGCGGCATGGGTTTTGAGCGACTGGTTTCTGTCATTCAGAACAAAAGATCAAATTATGACACTGACATATTCATGCCCATATTCGAAGCCATAGAGAAGGTTGATAAAATTTTTCAATGTGAAATCAACATCTTAAATTTTTCCACAGGGAACTGGCGCCCCCAAGTACCAAGGAAGAGTTGGTGCGGATGACGTCGATGGCACTGACATGGCCTACAGAGTTCTGGCCGACCACGCTCGCACCATAACAGTGGCCTTATCTGACGGCGGAAGACCCGACAACACCGGCAGAGGGTACTTCAAACAGGATTATCATTTCAAGAAGATTTACGAAATAATTTCTTCAGATATGTCTTGAGGAGAATTCTGCGCCGCGCTGTCCGCTACGGATCTGAGAAATTAGGCGCCAAACCTGGCTTCTTCAGCACTCTGGTGGACACTGTTGTCAGTTTGCTAGGAGAAACTTTCCCTGAGGTCACCAGAGACCCAAATGCTGTCAAGGAAATAATAAATGAAGAGGAACCCCAGTTTCTAAAAACTTTGGCTCGAGGCAGGTCTTTGTTGAACCGGACTGTTGAGAAGTTGGAGCCAGGAACATCAGTCTTGCCTGGTAAATAAGTTTCAACTTATAAATTTGAGTATAAAAGAAATTTTTAATTAGGCGAAGTTGCCTGGGGTCTCTACGACACTTATGGTTTCCCTGTTGATTTGACTCAGTTGATGGCAGAGGAAAAAGGACTTGTTGTCGACATGGTTGTCTACGAGCATTGCAAAATGCATGCACAGGTATTATTCATTATGGTTTCATCAAAATTCAAAATTTCTTTTTGAACATAGCTTGCTTCTAATGCCCGCGCCGCTCTTGCCGACGACCAGCTGTCTCTGGATGTGCACGCAATAACCGAGTTGCAAAACAAAAAGGTTTCCAGGACTGATGACAGCTCCAAGTACAGCTACATAGCTGGCAATGCCAAGGATGCTTATTACGGTAGGATAAATAAATTTAAGTTAAATTTTAGTTTTGATTTATTATTATTAAATCTAGAATTAGCCCAGTGCACTGGAAAGAAATGGATGGAGAAGAAATTTGTTGACAAAGTTGAAGCAGGCCAAGACTGTGGAATGATTTTGTATAAGACTTGCTTTTATGCTGAACAGGGTGGACAAATTTTTGATGAGGGCTACATGACTAAGAAGAGTCGATTTGTGCCGAAACTAGTGCCATACTTTTCAGCGTGGATTCCACAGTAGGAAAAATAGTGTGCCTCAGCGCTGTCCCACCCGTAAGTGTAAAACTCATATGAAAGTACATATCTATAAATCCCATCAGTCTGGAATAGCAAAAGGCCAACGAATGGATATCCGAGGTGGCGCCCCTGATGAAAGGCAAGGGCGGAGGCAAACCTGAGGCTGCCCAAGCCTCGGGCACCAACATAGCCTGTCTGCAAGAGGCCATAAAGAAGGCCCAGACATTTGGCCAATCGAAACTTGGCTCTTCTGCTGGGGCACCCTCTCAGAAATCAGCCCCAGCCGTCAGTCCATCAGGAGGCAACCCTTTGGAAGCATTGGTCAACGCCCTGGCCACGGAAAAGGGAGCAAAGGTGGAGAAAGGCAGCCAGGGTGGCGTTTCCCCAAAGGTTGGCAACGAGACCTTGAACGGTGCCAATGAAGAGTTGAAGGGTGGTCACAGCCGTGTTCTTCAGTGGTTTCTACTATATAATATAGACTATTTTTGTTATAGTAAGACTTTGTTTTTTGCTCGAAAGTTTCTAATTTAAACCCACTTTTTTTAGATGTAGAAGACCTCAAGTTTCAAAATTTTGAAAGTTCTATCTAAAAATCCAGAATATGCAACTTAACTTTTCTATTCCCTTTCGCAGCAACTAAAATAACAAAAAATAATGTGGACACCTTTTGGTGAAACCATGCAGATCTGCAGCGGGAAGCCCAAGCCCAAAGAAGGGCAAGTCTGTTTTTGCAGGCGCAGGCACTACAAGGGCGTCTGTATGAGTGTATCGATATCTAGTGTAATTTTCATTTCTTCACAAATGAAGTTTTTTTTTTTTATATATATATTAAAAAGTGGCTTAAAAAAAACACCATTAAAACCGGCAAGCATCACAGTGTTAAAAATATGAACTTCAATTATATAGTTTCATAAAAGTTTTTTTTTCAAATAAAAAAGATGCATAACATAATTATTCCTTGCTGACCAAGACGGTGCGGCGGATTTAAAATTAGATGTAAAGCGAACTGCATATAAAATTCTAAGTCTATATAATGGTGATCTGAGAGTGCACTACCTGAGCCCTGACCCGAGTTAACCCCTCTGGCTCGTCTTGAGTTTTATTAATTTTTTTATCTGATATTATCTCTCCAAAATATTTAAATTGTAAAATTTCTTTCGTCACAAATAATTTATATGATTTTCAATACTTTTTTTAAGCAACTTATGAATTGGAAATGAAAATATAAAGTATACATTTTAAATCTTGTTCAATGTTTAGAATAAGGTAAAATTCAAAATGTGTTTTTCACTTTTTGTTCCTTCATTGTAGGATTGAGTTTCTGATCGTGCCTGCTGTCGGTCTTGCTCTCCTCATCAACCACGACTTCCAAGTTTTGGAGGTGAGAGTTCTTTTGTCCGTTAAATTCTTTAATAAATCTCTTTCTCTCTTGAAGATTTTGTGGACATTCTTGATCTACCACGAGTCGGTGGCGATTCTGCCGCAGTTGTTCGTGGTGTCGAAAACTGGCAAGGCCGAAAGCATCACGTCGCACTACCTTTTCGCATTGGGCATGTACCGAGGACTGTATCTCTTCAACTGGATTTACCGCTACTGGGCCGAGGACCGCACTACGACCTCATCGCCATCGGGGCCGGTGTGGTGCAAACCGTGCTCTACTGTGACTTCTTCTACCTTTACATCTGAAATAGTATATGTAACGAGAAGGGTTTTTTTTATTCAGATTTCACTTTAAAATTTACCAATCGGGACTCATCTATTTTGCTATTTTTTTTCTCAAATCAATTTCAAATTATTATAATCTCTCAAAATAGTGGATCCATTGCGGCCGAACATTCAATTCACTCATCCAAATCTTGATTCTTTACTTAAAAAATGATATTATGTTAACTGTTACTTAAATTTTGTAAGCTGTTTAATTTATTTGAAGATTAATTCATGTTTAGAGACTCAAAACTATATGACATTATATTACAAATTCTGTTAATAAAAGTTACGATCCATTAATGAGAATTTTTATTTAACGTTATCAAAAAAACAATTTTCATTAGAGTTCTAATTTCAAAATTGGATATTTTCAGTGTTAACAAGGCAAGAAGTTTTGCACCAGCCTAAGCAGCAAGAGGAGCACAAAGGGCTTGTAGTAGGTGCTTTGAGAGGTCAGCACCCCTTTTTCGTCCCTACATTTTGCCGTAGGTTTTTCAAAGCAGTAAATGGTATACCCAGTAAATAAACTTTTTGTAAATTTTATTTTTATTCTTCAGCGAGGCATCATGAGCAAGGAAAAGGGGAATCAGAGGAAATTACCAGTGCCAAAAGCAGCAGTCCCCAACCAGCAGCAGTCGAAACTTAGACGCCTCGTCCGTCAAGACGCCAACAGTTTTGTCGGCCAAAAGTCTGCACTTCCTCCTCCTCTGCCATCAAAGCCACCAGCTGGGACGAATGGGTACCAGAGGACAGGATCCTCAAGTACAACGAAACCAGTTTGCAGAAACAGAAGGAGTTGAAAAAGGAATTTGAACTATATCATAAGTTTTTCAAAGCCATATAATTTAATATATTTTATAATTAATTTTTATTTTGTACAGAAAAGCAGCAGCAAAGAAAAAAGGAAAAGAGGCGCCTAAAGCAGACACCCCGACAAGCAGCAGTCGAGCTTCGACGCCTGATCCTCGGACGCTTCGTCTGTTCAAGACACCAACAGTTTTGTTGGCCAAGTCTTCACTTCCTCCTCCTCCTCCGCCACCAAAGGAAACGTCAGAGCCAGAGGCCAAAGTGCTCAAGGAAGAGCCTGTCCCAGTCAAACAGGATGAACCTGGTGGAGAAATCAGTGCCTGTAAAGCAGAAAGATGAAAATCTGCTGCAAGAACTGGAGATCCCTGTTGAGCTTCGGAAGGTTTTGGTGGACGACTGGTACCTTATTCAGAAACAAGACAAACTGCACAACCTGCCTGCCAAGCACACTGTCAGAGACATTTTCGACGACTACGTCAAGTACAAAGTCTCTAAGTCTGAGTGTGACAAAAGCGCGGAGAGTGCGTTGAGAGAAATTGGCAGAGGTAAAATAGGTTGACCAAATATGATTTTGATAATAATATTCTAATATTGCAGGAATTTGTTCCTTGTTTGACACACTCCTTGGCAAGCAGCTGCTGTACAAGTTCGAGAGGCCTCAGTACGCAGAATTGCTGCAAAAACATCCCTACAAAGGCATGAGCCACATTTACGGAGCACCCCACTTGCTCCGATTGTTCTGCTGGAAACAAGGTCTTGTGCCAAAGTCGCAGTTTGACGAAGTCAACTGTGAATACCTCATGAAGCACTTGAATAGCATCATCAAGTACTGCTGCCAAAACAAAAGCACTTTGTTCAGCACAGACAAATACATGACATCAACCCCCCCCCCCCCCCCCGAGTACCACTGAAGAGTGATTTAAATTAGAAAAGACTATGGGCAAACTATAATGGTATATAATGTGCATTTATAACTGCATTTTATGCAAGTAATTAATATTGTCTGCGTCAGTTTTCCATTTGGGCATGTTTGTTCGCAGTTTGTAAATATAAATATCCTTTTATGTTTAAGGTCAAGCGATTAAAAATTTAATTCTGTTTTTTTTTTTTTTTAAAGATATTATAACATAACATCATTTTCCGCAATTTTTCCTGACATTGATCAGCTGGAATAAATGTAAAATGGTGTAATTTACGTAAATTGACACAACAGAGCGGAATGCTAGAAATAAGATTTTATAATGAATGAAAATTAGACACCATGGAGATATTAAGTAAAAGCAGAGATTTGAGGGAATATTTATTACACTTTCTTGCTTTATCTTTAAGTTGAGGGCTGCCATTATGGCTGTTGGCCTGTTGGTGATTTTTAAATAGAATTACAATGCCAATAACCAGTTTTTTATAATTGTTGTTGGAGGAATTCTTTGAAATCAAATTTAGTTTTCTATTGTTGGAATTTCAAATCCATCAATCTCGAAAGAATTCAAGTGCCTATAACTGCAAAAGACAAAGCGCGGACGAATTGGACTGAGGAAGTACAGGGCCATGGTCATGCTCCAGGAAAGGATCGACCGGCTGAAGAAGCTGAAAAAACTTCAAGATCACAGCAGGAGGATTGTGAAGCGTGCGCGACAACGCGCACTGGACTCAAGCCACAGGGCTTATGAGCGATCACAGGGCACGGACGTGGTGTCAAAGGCTCTCAGAAAGATGGCCGAGAAGAAGTTTGAGAAAATGCTCCGAGAAGAGTAATTTTTTGATTAGATCGAATAAAAGAGGGAGTGACGTTTAATGTTTAATACTAACCGCTCCTGTAAATTTTTATTTTATCCAAGTTCTATCCTAGCTGTGACAAAATGCAAACAAATTCGCATTCCATCAAATGCTGTAAAATCCTTATTCTTCAATTTTCTCAACCTATAAACTGAGCTCGCAGTTCCTTTGGCAACGGACGATCGACTCCTCCGAGCGCCGTCCCGAGCCGCCTCGCACGGTTAGAACGCCTGGGGCTTTCTTGCTGGATCATGACATGACGACTGCCGTCTATTAGAGGATTGCCGATTGGCGTTTAACACCTAAAACCAATGATTTGTAAACATAGAAATTTATAAACTTTTTGCACAACAGCTAAATCAATATTTCAGTGAGATTTTTAAAATTTTGAGGTAAATTTTTATCCAAATTAATATTTAGATTTTTAAATATGTATCTTTTACAAAGAAAATAATGTTTGATTTAGTTTTCTAGAGATTTTTTTCCTTGAAAAACTTTTTCATAACATTTTTTTGAGTGATTTTTTCTCTCCAATTATGTATTGTTGCTGCGTCTTCTTTTCATTACAGTTTTTGACTGTTCTTGACTATTTGTATGGTGTATCTCAATTTGGGCAGAGATTGCCTTGTGGTACACCAATAAACTTAATTAATTTCATTAAATTTTGCAACTAAAATTTAATTTTACATTGATTTTTTTTAGAAAATTTCACATATATTTCACCATGATTTTTAAACATATTTTTCAATTTTGTTAAAGGTCAACTTAAAAATTTCATTCTTTTTTTCTTTTGACCACGTGTTGTTGAACAACCGAGCGTGCTCCACCGTCCAAGAGGTCTTCTGCACCTTGGCCTCCCAGAGATGCGTCATATCGTTGTCCTGAGAAAAATGTGTAACTTTTATATCTGCATCGATGAGAAAGAAATAAATGGGAAAACAATTTTTTCTAAAAAAAAAAACATTCATTCTTTTTTCAAAATAATAAATTAAAATTCATCAGATAAAAAAACTATTTGATTGCCAGAAAAGAATAGTCCGTAAAATTAGAAAAATTTTGGTTTTTTCGGAACCTTTTCCTCCGCACTCTGAAGCTCTGGACATCTTCAGCAGCTGCGACCCACTCGGAGGTGTGAGGCGACAGAGAGGACGGCTGGAACTTGTGCGGACTGTCGACGCAATGATCAAAATTCTTTTATCCAATCTTAATATCTGAATATTTATCATCTATCAATCTATCATATTTATATAAGATCCTTGCTTTATCCTCCTTGCTTTTCTCAAAAAAATTGTAAATAAGAAAGGAGCCAATGAAATATGAGGAAGCGAAGAATTGGCCAATCAGAATTCTACCGTCTGCTTAAAACTTATATGATTGGCGCAGACAGTTTGGCAGCAGTGGCGGGAAAAACAAAATCGTCTCACTTTGTTATTGTTTGTCTCTAGGATACGCTAGATTTGTTTAATAATCTCATAAAAGACTCGATTTTAACTTGTGGAAGTCCAAAGATCTATCCAGATGTTTTTTAGGCAAAGGTCCTTAGCCTGAAGCAGCCTGAAGGAAGGAGAAACCCGGAAAATCGGCTGAAATATGGACAAATCGCAGTTGGTTTGTCTTCTTGAGAAATCGCTCACTTGCTCGGTGTTTGATGTCAAGTGGATTCCGTGCTCTGCAAAATTCGTGGTGCTCGGCTGCCTTCCAAGGTCGACCGGGACCATCAAGATTTTCGAGCTGAACGGCAGCGAATTGACCCTAATCAAAGAAGTAAAGCAGTCAAGATAATGAGAAAAAAGTCTCTAGTGATTTTTTTTAGGCTGAGAAACCAAAAGCACTGAAATGTGGAACATTCGGAGCTTCCTCTCTTCGGGAGCGCCGACTGGCCACGGGTGACTTTGATGGAAATCTGTCAATCTGGTAAACAAAATGATTTTATTTTGTTTGGTTCAAAATGATCCGTCTGTGTAGGGATTTAGAGGATTTTGAGAGGCCAGTCTACACAGTCAAAGCTCACAAGGAGCTGATCAATGCAGTGGCAGGATTCGGAGGTCAAAACATTGGATGTGGGGCTCCAGAAATTGCAACTTGTGGCCGAGACGGTGATTATTATAAATGTTCAAAAAGACAATTAATTTTATTGAAAAGAGTTTGTTTTAAAGGCATTGTGAAATTATGGGACCCAAGGCAGAGGGAAGTCCCCGTCGCAGTTATGAAAGCCAAAGAGGGAGAAACTCCAAGAGACTGCTGGGCGGTGGCTTTTGGTAGAAAATAATTTAATGTCTGCTACTTTCAATCTAATCAAATCAAATTATAGGCAATTCTTTCAACAATGACGAAAGGGTCATTGCCTCAGGTTACGATAACGGGGACATCAAAATGTTTGATCTCAGAAAAATGCAAGTGCAGTGGGAAACCAACTTGGCCAATGGAGTAACAGAGAAAATATAAATTTCTAAGGATTTTGCTAAAAAAAAGGTTACAGGTTTGTGACCTCCACTTTGACCGACCCGATATTGAGATGAATAAACTGGTTGCCACGACACTGGAAGCCAAATTTCATGTGTTTGACCTGCGAACTCAGCACCCCACCAGAGGATTTGCTTACATGACTGAAGAGGTATTAAATGACCATTAATATTCCTTTTATATTTTAAAATTTCTAAACCGTTAAAAAGGCTCACAAATCAACTATTTGGTGTGTCCGGCATTTGCCCCAAAACAGAGAGGTGTTTGCCACAACTGGAGGGGCTGGTTCTGTCCACCTTTGGAAATAGTAAGAAGTCCAGTTTTTATTTTGATCAAATTAACAAAATTTCTTTAAAATTTAGTGAGTATCCAGCCAAAAGGTTTAAGGAAGACTCTGAGGGAGTTAAAGAGGGTGTCCCAGGCTCCGTCACTCTTCTTCACAACGCAACTCTTTCAACCCAGCCTATTTCTAGTTTCGACTGGAGCCCTGATAAACTTGGACTGGGAGTTTGTGCCTCATTCGATCAGACTGTCCGTGTACTTGTTGCTACAAAACTCAACCTGCTATAATGTCAAATCAACAAAAAATATTCACTATGCTATTCATTATTTAAAATAAAAAAGATCCACGTCATTTCCTATTGAGTGAATTCTTGCATTTATATTTATTTCACAATTAATAATTATAAGAAACACAAATAAATGTTCAATTGGCAGCAATTTCATTTTTCACTGCAGCCACGTCATTGGATTTTTTGTCTTAGGTACATTTGACCTCACTTGCTGATCCGCTGCTTTGATCGTCATCTGAAGACTTTTGTGCAGAGCCTTCCTCTTCAGATTCATCCTCGGAGTCGCTCAAATCCTCGTCATCCATTCCCCTAAAGTTGGAATAAAATTATAAAATATGATAATGATTTAATCTTATGATCTAACCAAATTTTCTTTTTCTTCTTCTTGGTTTGGGGCTCAGTCGAGCTTACCCTCTTCACTCCAGAGACTCCAGCAGCTGCTTTCAAACCGTGTTCGAGGGCATCGGCCACCTTTTCCGTCATCTCCGACCTCGCCTCTTCGTACTTGTTGTCCTTGAAGGCGATTTTCGGCTCCTCCACCATTTTCTCCAACTTCTTGCGCCGCTTCTCCTTCTTTTCCTTGTCCAACTCAGCCTTGTTGTTGATCCAATTTTTCAATCTGAGCCAAATTTCAATTTAATCAAGTTGACTTTGCCCACTTTGTAATAAAAGTACCTCTTTTCCTCGTTGATATCTCGAAGGCGCCGTCCACTCAAGTCTCGACAGGCTTCCCTGTTGGTCGTCTTTTCGATCTGGGCACCGATGGCCCTGAGCATGGAGCCGAAACCTCCCTTGCCTCCGAGGACTCTGGGTACAATGTGCACCACTGACCCATTCTGCACATTTTCCAGCGACAAAACTGCTTTGCCATCCAAGGTCATGTAGAAATCGTGCTGAAAATATATTTGTATTAAAATAAATTACGGGCGTGGGATTTCAACACGATATTGATATTATTGATAAAGAATGTATTAAATAAAAACACCGATAAAAACCTCTATTTTTTGGAAAAATTCTGCTGAAGGATCCAGTCCATCTCGGACGATGAATTTGTCCTTCGAGAGCCACTCCATCGTACCCGCTTCAAGACCAGAGACAAAATGTGAGGAGATCTTCGTGTGAGGAAAATTACATACGATCTCAAAACCACAGAATAACAAAGGTTTGTACTGCAGTTAATTTTTCAAACGCGTTGAATGTTTTGGAAAAATTCGAGAATTCGAGGAAACAGGAATCAATAACACAAGTTATAGTGACATCTACAGGGCAATTTTCAAACCACAGCTATGACACGCCCCCACCACATCGCCATCGCCATTGTGGTTTTTGTTTTGTGTCGCACTTTTTGTGCGATTTCATCCACTTTCAAAGCTGATTTTTCGCAAAGTTGCAAACTTCTACAACCCTTGCGTATTTTAAAGTCATCCGAACCTTTACAGGTTTGATTTTTTACTATTAAACTTCGCATTTATAAAACAAAATTGTAATTCTAGCTGTTTGAACATCTGCATCTCTGCTCGTCCTTGCCGGCACAATTTATTTGATTTTTCTGGTTTTTTCAACCACTTGCGTTGGCCTGTTAGCCACCAGAACCAGAAGTCGACTTTGAGATGTCCTTCAACTATGGAGGCGGCGGGGCGCCAAACCCGTGGGGCGGCAATAATTTCCAGGGCAACGGAGGCATGGGGGGTTTCGGGGGAGGCCCAGCCAACATGAACATGAACCCAGCCCAGGCCCAACTAGCCATGGGTCTGATCACCAACCTTCTTGGCATGCAGCAACAGCAACAACCCCCTGTTAATGTATGTAAAAAGCACCGCATATTTTGTATTTGAATTTAATCGATAATTTCTGTACAGATGATGGGCCAGCAGCCCATGATGGGTGGCATGGGAGGCCAGCCAATGATGGGGGCAATGGGAAGTGGCTTTGGTGCAGGCGGAGGCAGCGTGGGGTACTCAACCGGCCGAAGTTATTCTCCTCCGAGACGCAGATTCCGCAGCGTGAGTATTTCCGCTAATTTTTCCAGGCTCTTCGTGCGTCGAAGGATTTGACAATGGCTCTGGTCTTTTGTGTCTCTTTGGAAGTAATTTTTTTCTCTAACCTGAGAGACTGCTTTCCAAGTCTCGAAACAAAAATTTGTGTGGCGAAGTGCCTGATGTCACTCAGGCGCCCTCCAATTTGTGGGCTTTGTCCTCTCACACAAAGCTCATTTGTTGGCATCCTCAAAAATCCTATTTTCCTCCGCATCACCTGCTGCTGCTGCCGCTTGGGGTTCTTTCTCATCTGCGTAGCCGTCTCCTCGTCGTAACCAAGCTCGAAGACCTGCCGGTGGTTCTGGAAAGTCTTATGATGATCGGAACAGGAGGCAGCCCAACAAGAGGTAAAACCAATACACCACTCTCATCTGTCGCATTTATCCCTAGACGCCTTCTCACTTCTGGACGAGAGTTCAACACGCACACCCTCACTCAGATAGGCAGCAACAATTTTTTTCATAATTTGTCTTCTGTTAAACTTAACAGATTTTTAATCAACCATTTGGTCTACTTTTTATGAATACCGAGCCAATTAATTGGAGAGTTTATTCAAGCAAAAATTTTCAAAGCCCTGGCGGACCATTTTCTCGGAATACAGGGTGGGTTTGGGGTTCCAGTGCAGTCCAAATCCAGTGGAAGTTTGGTTACAGGAATCCCTTTCTTTTCTAGCTTGGTATGACAAAAAATAGAAACTAATTTTAAATTTGCTTAAACCAGGGATGTACCAAGAGGAGGCAAGAGGGGTGGCAATTTTAGACCTAACAATAAGAAGGACGTGCCAAAGAAGGAAGAAAAGAAAAAGGTGGAAGAGAAAAAAGCCGAAGAAAAAAAGGTGCAAGTCGAAGTGAAAGAAGAAAAAGAAGTTGTTGTCAAGAGAGAGCCTGAGGATTCCGCAGCTGAGGTTGAAAAGCCGGAAGAGTTGGAAAAGCAAGATGAAGAGAAACCAGAGAAAAAAGTTGACGAAGAAAAGGAAGGCAGCCCAGAAAAGGGAAAGCAGGACGAGAAGAAAGCTGACGAAGAAGGCAGTCAAACTGGTGATCAAAGGGTAATTGAAGTGATTGATTTTTCCTACATTATTCTAATTTTGAGCTCTTCCAACAGGGTCTTGCTTTTGAGGGGCTGCCGAATGCTGCTTTCCGCTGCCACTTGTGCAAGAAGAGCATGTGGGACGCTAGGGTAGGAAAACCTTTTATTTCCAGTGAAATATTTTATATTTATTAAACCATTTTTAGTCATTTGACAATCACATTCACGGGGTGGCGCACCTGCGTATGCTGGACACAATCGAGAAGGAGTATTCGGCAAAGGCCAAGTCTCTGCGTGAAGCTTGCCATGTACGTGAATCATTTCAAAAAATTAAAAATAATCAAATAAAACTTTGATATAAATGCAGAGTGAGGAGTTGCGCATGCAGAGGAGCCTGGAGCACGACGCCAGGATGAAGAACAAACCTTTGCCGACCAGGCGTGACTTCTGCAAAATGTGCGACATGACCATCAATGGCTCCGTCTTGAGTCACCGTCGCTCCTCTCAGCACCAGGTACAAGCAAATCATTTCTAAACAAGTCCAAAATATAAACACATTTTGACATTTAGGCGCTGAAGAATCATTTGCACCCCAAGTGTTCCACTTGCCAGATCGATCTTCCGTCAAGGATTGATCTCGACATTCATGTTCTGACAGCCGAGCATTTGAAAGTGAGACTAATTTTGACTAATCTTGAAGCAACTTTCTAAAATTTTATTTCACAGAGGCTGTTCAGGGATGTGATCAGCAAGAACAAGGAGAGGAAGCGTGAAAGAAGTGGAGAAAGATCCAGGAAGAAGATTGAGCCAGTTGGAGAATTTGATCCGAAGAAACCAGTCGGTCAGTATAATGTTGTTGATTTGCTGGCAGGCGTTTTGAAAATTATTGTTTTTAGGGGAAAGCTTCATGTTGAAAGTGACTGGAATGTTCTGCAAGCTGTGCCGCCGCTTCTTCCTTAGAGAGGACCAAAATCTGAAGGACCATTGCAAAACCAAGGAACATTATGACAACTTGGTTGCTCATCAGGTTGGTTTTGAAGTTTAAATGGATTTGTGAGTAAAATCATTTTCTGCAGAAAGAGGAGATGAAAAAAGAAGAAGACGACGCAGCCAAGAAAAAGGAGGAAGAAAAAGCAGCTGAAATAGCTGAGGATGGTCCTGAAGCCAAGCGGGCAAAGTCTGACCAGGGTGACGTGGAAAAAGAGCTGTACGATCCGAATGTTGCGACTGAAGACCCCGAAGAACAAGAATTTCAAGAAGGACCAGAGGATGAAAATGAGAACGGCCTTGATCATGAGGGTGAGACCACAGAACTCGAGACTACGGAGACCATCCAGGAAAATGAGCAAATGGATCGCGAAATGATGCAACAGGACGAACTGTTTTTGGACGAGCTCGAAGCAGACTTAGGTTTTGAAAAAGTGGATAACGAGCAGGTCATGGAGAATCAGGATGATTTTCTACTAGAGGAGCAAGAGGCGCAGTTACCTCCTCAAGAGAAGTCTTCGCCAGGCAAGAGCAGGGGTCGAGGCGCTCGAAGAGGACGGGGTCGTGGTAGAGGCAAATAGGTGGAAAATTTTGTCTACAAATAAGTTGAGCTGAATTTTAAGCATTAAAGTTAGAGCTTGGCTCTTAAAATGGAAAATTTGTTTTTAATTTTATACACCTGTCAAAATAGAAGAGTAAATTTTCAGCACACTTTCTTTTGATATTCAAGGAACTTGTCACTGTTCAAAAATAAAATATTTTTCTTTACTAAATAGGTTCATTTATATTTCAATTATATTATATTTCAATTTTAAATGAAGTTGATAACAAAGCTCACAGATATTAAATCTTTTAATTTATACAGATGAGTTTTACAGTTCTGTTGACCCTGTTGGTGGGTTTGTGGCTCCAATGATGAACCAATTGTAGATGTTGATGCAGTTTTGGCTTATAGTGGTTACCATACAACCAGATCTTTGAATTAATTGTATAAATCATCCACAATTTAATCTTAAAAAGTAAAGAAATTCCTACAGACATTAAATTTTATCTACTTTTGGAATAATAAAACCAAATAAATCATTTGAAAAACTGAATCAAAAGAAGTGATCAACAGCATTTTATTAATAATGTCAACATTTCTTGCTCATTCATATATAAAAGAAAAGTAGCAAATGCGCGAATAATTGAGATAATCTGCCAGCACCAGTTCCTCTATTCAATAGGGGTGATGATTAATTGTAGACCTGCTTGCCAATTGGGTGGGCAGCCAAAGTCGTGCACCACCTCTTGACACACTGCAGCTCGTTCACTGCCTCCTTTACATTTTTCAGGGCGCTCAGGACTGCCAGGTCGCCAACCGTCACCCTTTCAGTGGCAAGGTAGGTGTTGTTGAGCAAATGCTTGTCCAGAGCTTTCAAGGCGTCCTTCAGTTGAGGGAAATTCTATCACAAACATAGTCAATTATGTTGGGATGATTATTTTGAAATTCTAGAGAAAAAAATTAGCTACCTTTCCATGGTGTGCATAATGAAGAAGGTGGTTGTGTGCAAAGTAGAGCCACTGCAGCACACGGCTCTGACCAAGGACATCTTTGCCACCCTTCAACTCTTCATTGGCAAGGTAGAGAATGATTGCAACAGAACCGTTCAAGGTCTCGTCGCCAACTTTGATGGAAACATCACCCTGGCTGCCCTTCTCCACCTTTGCTCCCTTTTCCTTGGCCAGGGCGTTGACCAATGCTTCCAAAGGGTTGCCTCCTAATGGACTGACGGCTGGGGCTGATTTCTGAGAGGGTGCCCCAGCAGAAGAGCCAAGTTTCGATTGGCCAAATGTCTGGGCCTTCTTTATGGCCTCTTGCAGACAGGCTATGTTGGTGCCTGAGGCTTGGGCAGCCTCAGGTTTGCCTCCGCCCTTGCCTTTCATCAGGGGTGCCACCTCGGATATCCATTCGTTGGCCTTCAGGCCCTTTGCTATTCCGGACTGATGGGATTTTTAGATATGTACTTTCATAAGAGTTTTATACACTTACAGGTGGGACGGCGCTGAGGCACACTATTTTTCCTGCTGTGGAATCCACGCTGAAAAGTATGGCACTCGTTTCGGCACAAATCGACTTCACCTGCTTCAGAGCACCGTCCAGCGCCTTTTTGTAAAAAAGGATTTGAATCAATCCATTTTCAGAGAGACAAAAATTCAGACCTTGGTGTTTGACAGTGCTTGCAGCTCGGCCACCAAAACATCCGGCTTTCCTCCCATTTTCTCCATTATTTCCTTCACTTCAGTCAAAACGTTGGCAGAAACTGCTGCCTTGCCTGCGCGCTCTTGGTCGTCGAGGCTCTTCTTCAGCGCAGACAAATTCTGGCGCAGTTCCTCCTTTTTCCAGTACGGAATGGTGGCGTGCGAGACGTCATCAATCAAGGACACAATCTTGCGCACCAAGTCCTTGCTCAGCTTCTTGTCCTGGCTCTTCTGCACGACTTTGACCTGCTCGTTCAATTGATTGGCTTCGTTCTCAAGCACTTCCGCTTTTTTGACTGCCTGTTAATATTTCCCAATAAAATTTTAACTTGAAAATCAATTGATTTTATTTTACTTTTGCTGCTTCATTTCCTGTCATAGCAATTATGCGCCTGATGCCCTTGGCTATAGCCTCTTCACTGGTTATCACAAAGTGCCCTATGTGACCTGTTTTCAGCATGTGACTGAAACCAAAAAGTCAAATCAATTGAAAGGAAAAGTAGACATTTTCTTTTTTCTTTACGTTCCACCGCAGAATTCCACAGAGGTTCCCATTCCAACATTGCTGTCTGGATCCTTTTCCAGATCCTCCACGGACACTCCCACAGACACAACCCTGACAGGGTCAGGATAGGCTTCGTCGAACATGGCTCTCAACCCTCGTATGGATTTGGCCACTCCCAGAGAGGCCTCTTTGGCAAACACCGGCTCATTCTGCGCTATTTTCTTATTGGTTATGACCTCAGTTTCCTTCACTTGGTTAGGAGTCATTGCTTTCTGCAATGGAATTAATTGTAAAATTATCAAATTGGTCATCTTTTGAACAAACCTTGCAGGTGAAGTCAAATCTGAATCTGTCGGGAGCAACGAGAGAACCCTTCTGGTCAGCTTCTCCTCCCAGCACGTTCCTCAGAGCAAAGTTCAGCAAGTGGGTGCCCGTGTGGTTGGCCATGACTTGGTATCTCCTCTCGCAGTCGAGTTTCAGCACAACCTGGTCTCCAACTTTTAGGGTGCCTGAGCCTTGGTGTCCAATGTGGATTACGTAGCCACCCCTGACAGCCACGTTTTTCACACAAAACTCAACAGACTGCACCAAAAACGTAAATAACAGAAACAATAACAAATTTTTAAAGCTTACCTCATCACCCTTCTTAGTCATGTAGCCCTCATCAAAAATTTGTCCACCCTGTTCTGCATAAAAGCAAGTCTTATCCAAAATCATTCCACAGTCTTGGCCTGCTTCAACTTTATCAACAAATTTCTTCTCCATCCGAAGTGCTATTATCTTTCCAGTGCACTGGGCGAATTCTAGATTCAATATTAATAAATCAAATAAAATTTATCTTAAATTTATTTATTCTACCATAATTAGCATCCTTGGCATTGCCAGCTTTGTAACTGTACTTGGAGCTGTCATCAGTCCTGGGAACCTTTTTGTTTTGCAACTCGGTTATTGCGTGCACATCCAGAGACAGCTGGTCGTCGGCAAGAGCGGCGCGGGCATTAGAAGCAAGCTATGTTCAAAAAGAAATTTTCAATTTAGCATATATTGATGAAACCATAATGAATAATACCTGTGCATGCATTTTGCAATGCTCGTAGACAACCATGTCGACAACAAGTCCTTTTTCCTCTGCCATCAACTGAGTCAAATCAACAGGGAAACCATAAGTGTCGTAGAGACGCCAGGCAACTTCGCCTAATTAAAAATTTCTTTTATACTCAAATTTATAAGTTGAAACTTATTTACCAGGCAAGACTGATGTTCCTGGCTCCAACTTCTCAACAGTCCGGTTCAACAAAGACCTGCCTCGAGCCAAAGTTTTTAGAAACTGGGTTTCCTCTTCATTTATTATTTCCTTGACAGCATTTGGGTCTCTGGTGACCTCAGGGAAAGTTTCTCCTAGCAAACTGACAACAGTGTCCACCAGAGTGCTGAAGAAGCCAGGTTTGGCGCCTAATTTCTCAGATCCGTAGCGGACAGCGCGGCGCAGAATTCTCCTCAAGACATATCTGAAGAAATTATTTCGTAAATCTTCTTGAAATGATAATCCTGTTTGAAGTACCCTCTGCCGGTGTTGTCGGGTCTTCCGCCGTCAGATAAGGCCACTGTTATGGTGCGAGCGTGGTCGGCCAGAACTCTGTAGGCCATGTCAGTGCCATCGACGTCATCCGCACCAACTCTTCCTTGGTACTTGGGGGCGCCAGTTCCCTGTGGAAAAATTTAAGATGTTGATTTCACATTGAAAAATTTTATCAACCTTCTCTATGGCTTCGAATATGGGCATGAATATGTCAGTGTCATAATTTGATCTTTTGTTCTGAATGACAGAAACCAGACGCTCAAAACCCATGCCGCAGTCTATGTGCTTTTTCGGCAGCAACTTGAGCGATCCGTCACTTTCTCTATAAATTTTACACAGAGTTTAGTTAAAATTTGGTATGATAAAATATTTCCTAACAGACCTGTTGAACTGGATGAACACCAGGTTCCAAATTTCAAGGACGTCAGGGTCATCCTGATTGACAAGGTGGGCTGCTTCTCGTCCACCAATTCGGTCAAAATGAAGTTCCGAGCAAGGACCACAAGGGCCAGTCTCTCCCATTTCCCAGAAGTTGTCTTTCATACTGCCAGGAAGGACGTGGCTCTCAGGGACTCTTAAAATATGAAATTGATTCAAATCGCATAGATTATAAAAAAAAAAAAAATACCCCAATTTGATCCAAATATCTCTGCACTCGTCATCGGGCAAAAGTCCGGCCTCGACGTCTCCCCCAAAATAAGTAACATAAAGCCTATCAGCAGGCAGTGCGCACACTTTGGTCAGGTACTCCCATGCCCAGGTACATATCTCTTTCTACAAGTTAAAAGTTTAATTTGAATTATTTTTAAAAATTAAAGGTAATTTGAATTATATACTTTGAAGTAGTCGCCAAAAGACCAATTTCCAAGCATCTCAAAAAAGGTGTGATGGTAAACATCCTTGCCAACGTCATCCAAATCGTTGTGCTTTCCTCCAGCACGGATGCACTTCTGGGTGTTGGTGGTTCTCACCATATGGAACAAGTCGCTGTTGGGGTCAGCGGTGCCCAAGAATATGGGCTTAAACTGAAAATTAACCATTTTCATTAGTTCAGCCAAAGCCATTCCCTTAAATCATTATGATTGCCAGAAAATATCGCAGATTTTCATTATTTAATTAACCTGATTCATGCCAGCATTGGCAAAGAGCAGGGTAGGGTCATCGTGAGGTATGGTCGACGACGAATGGACATACTCGTGCTTTTTCTGCTTCACGAAGAAGTCGATGAAAGACTTCCTGATGTCCTTGGCGCTCGTTTTCTCGTGCATTTTCTGAAAGAAAAGTTGACCAACTGAGTGAAAAGTTCAAAAGTCGCGACGAGCAAAATGCTTTGCTGTCAAAAATCTGCGTGAGAAAGGTCAGCATCCAACATACTGCGGCGTGATCTGCCATATGATGAAAGAGAAACAAATGTTTGCGAACTGACCACACGACGCTCGGAGCCGGATTTAATAGAGCGCGTGAAAAGGGCGCGCATTGATATCGCAGAGCGTTTGATAATCAAAATTAGCGCAATATTTACCTTCCTCTTCAGGGACACGTGTAATGTGGAGCTCCGTTTACAACGGAACGGGAGCAAAACAGGCGGAGAAGGATCAAGGAAAGGAGAAAGGAGGCGGGGCACTGTGGCCAATAACCAGCGTAATACCAACTTAAATATTTATATTTTGAAAATTTGGTTCATGCCTATTTATGTACTATTAGATACAATGTAAATAAAATTTTTTTTCGAAAAAACAATATTTATATTGCCTTGGAAAAAATTAAATTTTTGTAATGGTTAAACTGGGTTAAACATTAAAATAATAATAATCTTAATTAAGTTAAGTTGGCACGACGAGTCGTCTTTTCAACTTTTCATGGCTTTCTTTTTGTATCAAAGCCGGATTGTTGTTGATGCTGCATTGCGTCTGCTTTTTCACGATTTTTCACTGAAAATTGTCGTTACTCTTTCTCCAACTGTGTGTATTTATAAACTAAAAAAATCGGTAACATATAAAAAGTAGTAAAATTGTTTATTTTCACCCACTAAACGTTGATTTTCAGGACAAAAATGAAGCTCGTCGACAACGTCGTGAAGAGTTTCAAAGTGGCAAAAATTTTCCGGCAAAATACAAATAAAATAAACTGCGTCGACTTCAGTCCTGATGGCTTGAGCATCGTTTCGTCGAGCGAAGACGATCAGATCGTCATCTACGACTGCGAAAAGGGCACGCAAGTGCGGACCATCAACAGCAAAAAATACGGCGTCGAGTTGATCCTCTTCACACACGCCAAGAACACGGCCATCCACAGTTCAACCAAAATCGATGACACAATCCGCTACCTTTCACTCCATGATAACAAATACATTAGGTATTATTATTATCCATCCCATAAATTGATTTGTAATTTTTTATATTCTCTGCAGATATTTTCCCGGACACACAAAGAAAGTGGTCACACTTTCCATGGCCCCGACAGAAGATCAATTCCTCTCAGGTTCGTTAGACAAGACTCTGCGGCTGTGGGACATTCGGTCTCCCAACTGCCATGGCCTGATGCACCTTTCGGGTAGACCAGTGGCTGCCTTTGACCCTGAAGGCCTTATATTTGCTGCGGGTAATTCAAATTTAAATGATTTATTCACAAAATCTATCCAATATTTCTCTAGGTATAAACAGTGACGTCATCAAGCTCTACGACCTGAGGTCCTTCGACAGGGGTCCCTTCACCACGTTCAAACTGCCCGCGGAGAAAGAGTGCGACTGGACGGGGCTTAAGTTCAGCAGAGACGGAAAGACAATTCTCGTGTCCACAAACGGCTCCCTAATCAGACTAGTGGACGCCTTCACTGGCCAGGCCCTGCAGACCTTCACCGGACACTTCAACAACAAGGGCATTCCAATCGAGGCGTCCTTCAGCCCCGACTCGCAGTATGTCTTCAGCGGCTCAACCGACGGCAAAATCCACGTGTGGAATGCGGACACTGGCTATAAACTTTGCGTGTTAAACGGCGACCACACGGCGCCCGTCCAGTGTGTACAGTTCAATCCCAAGTACATGATGCTCGCGTCTGCGTGTACGAACATGTCCTTCTGGCTTCCGACGATTGACGAATAACTTCGTAATTAATTTCCTTTAACCAATTTTTATTTTATTTAAACACAAAAAACAAAAAATAATGTGTACGTGGGAGGCTTGATCAGAATGCAGATCAAATGTATGTAATTGTGAACTATTCTGTACAAATTTACAAATACGTGCAAATATGAATGAAATAAAACGATTGGGAAATCATGATCTGTACATTTGTTTAAATGCATAAAATTCACATTGAGGCTTACAAGTTAACATAATTGGCCTTGCAGTAAACTGAAATCAAGTAATCTATATTAGTGCAAAAAAAAAATTATAGTCAGACTTCCATGTACCTATAAATTCGGAAACAGGATCATTCTCTCCATCCCCTCGAGTGGTCCCCGTCACTTCCTCGTGCTCAACCATTGGTAAGAAAAGTTGCACAAACTCTCCAGTGTATGGTGGAGAAATGGCCTCCAAAACCTAAAGCAACACAATTATAATAAAGTTGAGGAGAAAGTAAAACGAGATGATTGACCTCAGTGACAAAGTATCTGATTAGTGAGATATCTGTGTCTCCTCGCTGCCAGCACTGGATCACATATTGGACAACAGGCACAACGCATCCCACACTCAAAAGGGTCACCATACGGTCCAGCAACATTTTCCTCATCTCCAACTGGAAATAAATAAAGTTTAATAATTCAAATTCAACGCAAAATGCTGTAATATGAAATTAATTCATTAATGCCATTAATGGTTGCTTGCTATATATATTCAAAAATAAGTATCATATAAATATTTTTATAATTCTTAAAAATGTTTAGCCATGCTCCAAATAAAATGTGGCCAAACTGCTGATTAACAAAGTTTCCAAATCCCATCATCATTTTTTTAAATAAAGAGTGGTCTTTCGTAAAATACCAGAATCATTTTTTTAAGTAAAGAGAATGAAATGAAATTTGAAAGGTTCATTGATGAAACCTCGGCATTTCTTAATTTATGTTTACTGTGGTCTCTTGGAATGGTACGGCTAAATTTTTAGAGTTGGGTCTTCTTTCGTTACTATTTCCTTTAGCCTAGACACATTTTAATAGCTTTTATATTCGTCAACTCGGGATAGTCCTGCTTGAATTTCAAACTTTTTAAAAACGCAATTAATCCGCGGCTTCTTTTAATCCTTTGTGAAATACCGTCTTATAATTATTATTGCTATATTCATATTTGAATTTGCACAAACCTGCACCAAAATTTCGAGCTCGTCCTGTTTGCTTTCGAAAAGTCGGATGAGCAAATTGAGGACGGCCCTGTGCAGCAACTGGTGGCACGTGACCACCTCGTCCAGCAGGGCCAAGTGAATGGGGGTGTGCTCGGTGCTGAGTTTAAAGTAACTGGGCTCGGTGACGACGCACTCGACCCACCGAACCACCCCGACGGCCACCACCGGAAAGCGGATGCAGTTGTACAGGGTGTTGAGTTCGGCAATGATTTCGGTGGAGCTGGGGTTGCTGCAGCAGATGGCGTGCACCTTCTCGATGGCCTGCATGGTGGGCTTGAGCTCCTCCTTGCTGGCCGGTTTGTTCCTGCCGCGGCCGCCCTCGCTCACACTGACCGCGTACGCCAGCAGGAACATGTATTTGGGCTTGTGTTCGGGGTTGAGCTTCACCGAGGGCCGGAAAAGGACGTCGACGAGCAGCTCGAGCAGGTGCGGGGTGCGGATGAGTTCGATGGGCGGCGGGTCGTTGGAGTTGTAGTGGCGGTACAGCAGGCTGATGTCTGCGGGGTTCAAAGAGTTGCGGGCGAACATCGAGGACAGCGCCTGACACGCCACTGGGTGGCTCGAGCTGCCATTCAGGGACATTGTGATTGGTGTGACGTCGTGACCACTGCAAAACATCAAGAAAATTAAAATTCATTTAATCTTTTTGCTATTTAATTCTGATATCGTATTTTATTGAATTAAAAAATACAAATTGATTTTTTCAATTTACTTCCTTAAATTTGGTTCCAGAATGTAAATTAAAATTAACTCACAAATCAAAACCAATTTGAGAATTTAGTTGAAATAAAATTAACGAATAATAGTTTGAAATTATCATAGAAATCAATACATTTCTTCACAAATCAACTTACTTTTCTCTGGCACACTTGGTTATTTCTTGAGACAATCTCTTCATGTTTGAACCACCCTTTGCCTCTTGAGCCAAAACTTGAAGCAGAACTTGACTGTAGACAAATGTGTGTTGACCGTGGCAGACCATTTTCTAAAATTTAAAAATTGAAACCAATTCAAAATTGTTTTCCTTAACAATCTTACAGCGCATTCAGCCAAACTGGTCGGCCTGTTTTCGTGGTTGTTCAGGTAACTCGCGACGGCAGTCTTCAAAACTCGAGAAAACACTTCAATTTGTTGGGCAGCGGTTGAGATGCTCGTTATCTCTCCTTGGAATCCGGCATCAGAAATGAGCTGCAAGTTCAATTGTAAAAATATACTTAAAAAAATATTCATTTTATAAACCTTAATGGTAAAGTTAAGCATCAAACAGTCGGGATATTCTTCGGCAAGACGATAGACCAGAGATCTCCAAGTGGGATGATCGATAATTTCAGTCAACCATCCAGGTGTCTGAAATCGTCAAATTTTGAATAAGTAATTTGTAAAAATTGTAAATTTTACACACTTCTCCCTCCTCTGTGAAAATAGTGTCTGCCTTTTTGGGGTCGAAAGTTTTGAGGACCATTTCTTTCAAGTGGTTTTCCACCATCGCCTGCACATCGGTCACTTTGGCACCTGAAATACCAATTAAAATCAAAGTAACAAAAGAAATATTATAACCTACCAGCTAATATAAGCCATTCTGCCAAAAGGTTTGCGGTTTGAGCGACAGCACTGTAGTTTCCAGAAAGCAATTCGATCACCTGCTCAGGGTTTCCTCCAGCTTGGAAATATCTTTATATAAAAGCAAAAAATAAGACTTTGAATTTAATTTAAATAGTTGAAGGTCTCACCTTTTGAGTTGGACGAAAATTCCTGGTTCCATAATGTAGTCGGGAGTGCTGAATTTCTTGAGACATTCCGAAAGCACTTCTTCCGGATTTTCAACTTCTCCAGCGTCGGACTAAAAATCCAAAAGAGAACTTGAAAAAAAGCTTCTTCTGAAAAAAATGTTTCAACTCACGTCATTATCCGCGGAGTCTCCACCTCCCCATCCATCACCCTCGTACTCATCATCCATTTTAATCCAGTTCAAATTCGAATTTGAGTCAAAAAGTTGGGAGAAAACAAAAATTGTTTTGTGTATGAAAAATAAACAAGCGAATTTAGCATTTAGCTTCCAGGATCGTCCACCAGAGGCAATTTTGCATGCTCGAAGAAAGCGCTTTTTTGCCGCTAGATGTCTCTGTCGTCGGAGCTAGAAAAAGTGGATGGCATGGGCGTGTCCGCCGAATAGAAGGGGTAAAAATAGTGCGAGAGAAAGACGACGGACGGATAATTAGTGAAAGAAAACACGTAATTCGAGTGCAGCGCAACATTCCTCTGGCACGAGCGGCGCGACCGAGACGTGCGGGACACCCTGAGCGACATGTTCCTCAACTCGTCCGAAAACACGGCGTTCAAGAGCCGCAAGCAGGCCTCCAGCACCAGGGGTAATAATTTATTTTCATCTTGCGCAATTAATTTTCCTTTCCTTCCGAGTCCACCTCTTTTTAATTCCGCACGAATTCCGCCCCGGGCTTTGACCTTGAGGAATCGGCGAGCGCCAAAATATGAGGGGGTCGATGAACTTGTTGTTTTGGCGAAAACCAACAAGAACAAGTCTTTCTATCGATCGGTGCATCTCTCCGTGTTTATGTATCTCTGACGTCACGCGCGAGGTGCATTTAATTTATTTTTGCCGCATCCTTGAACGGTCTCTCTTGTGCAGTAAACAGACAATTAAATGCGCGAATGTTTTCTTGCCATTTTTTGCGCGGTGCCCCCGGAGACGACACGGGTACGCAGCAGCAAACACTGTCACATCAATTATTATTATTAATTTTTTTTGCTCGTCCATCTGTATAATTATTGCGAAACGAGGAAAGCATGCGTGTCATTTGAATATTTATTATTCTTTTTATTGCCCCTCAATTTTTTTTTCACGTCTCATTGGAATAATTTTTTTCATTCATTCGCCGCGTGTTTTGCACTTTCTCCGTCGTGCCAAGTGCACAGGATTAAAATTAAGCGAGGCTTGCAACAGATGCATTGTCAATAGTTTGTTGATGCTCCACTTACTCCATTGATCAAGAACACACACACTTCATCCGACACGTCCAAGTTAATAAACTTCGTCTTATTTGCATAGCTTCGTCTTCTTCCTCCTTCGCATTAAACAAACCCGACCTTTACAATAAATTATCGTCATTGCGTTTGTTTTTCTGCGATTAAAAGAATAATGAGATATCGTGAAGACAATTATTGCATTTTTTGTTAATCTTAAATCGTGGATTTTTAGAAGAAACTAAATTTTGAAAAAGGCACATGAATTCGTTTTCATTCTATAAAATTTTAAGAGCCACGCTTGATTCGTTTTATTTTATCCAGAATATTTTAAGGTCAAAATCCTGTTAAAATTTGCATATCTATAAACCAGGATCAGAGGTTCGCATGATTTATCGGTACTAATTTTTCCTGCCAAATTTATTCAAATTTCTGGATTATTTTATCCTGACTTGACCAAATTTGGTTCAAAGCTCAAAGAATTAGGACATAATTAATTTTTGCTTAATATTTTTTCCTGCAAAATTCGTAATTATCTGTTGACCCTTTATATAGGCTTATCAAATTGAAAGTTTTAATTTTTTGCACTTTTTTTGTCTATTGTTTTTCCCGACGGTGTTTGGCCTTTTCAAAGCGCACTGCGACCTCATTCATATAATCATGATCTGATATATTTTCTCTTGATCGCAATCGCCTGTCGTAAAATTAACTCTGGTATAAGAAGATTCTAGATTAGAATTCGCGATCGCAGGTTTTTCCCGCTGAGACAAGTGAATTGAGCCGCTTAAAGGCGCCGCTAAGCTGTGGAGCTGCAAATCAATGTGAATTGCTTGTAAAGTCATTAAACATGCATTATTTTTTTATTGAGAATTGCCCGGAAAAGGAAATACTTGAGAACAGGGAAATAAAAGTAATTGCAAAAATAGAAAAAGAATTAACCGCGTTTTATTATTAAATTATTAATTTGAAGCATGAAACCTGCAATTCCTTTGTGTGTTCTAAAAGAGTTAAGATTTTAAGTAGATTGGTTGTGTAATAAAGGTAATTTTTCACCTCAAATTGCAGAAAAGTTAGAATTAATTCATTAAATAGTAATTAATTTTATATAATGAAGAAAATAGCTGAATTAACAAGGAATTTGTGATATCTACACTGAAATTAAAACTTCTCGACCTTTTCCAATAAAAACAATGAAATTTCCAAAATTTCTTTATGTCAACCGGCCTTTTGAATTAATTTTTCCATCTTAATTGGGGTGATATGAACGTGATTTGCTGAAATTTTTATCAATTTTGATTGGATCAATTTTAAGAAATTTATTTTTCGCATTTTTATTATTTTGTTATTTTAAAATGAAAATTATTTTGTAATCAAAACCGTTATTTATTATTAGAAAAATAAATTCTATCGGTATTGATTTATTTTGAAAATCTGCTCCACAGCGGACGCAACGTTTGCCATTCTCGCGCGTGATGGGGTCGAGCTTTTTTTTATTATTCGACCCGGTCGGGGTCAAGTTTCTCGTCGCGCGTGAAAACACGCGTCTGTCATGACAAACGGCGTGTTTGTCGCACTAATTGCTCAATTAACTTGTTTGTCTTGGTTATTGAAACGAGCGTTTTGTTTTGTCCGCAGGTCGGCTGCCGGCGCCTGACCAGCAGGCCAAGAGGGCTCGTCTGCTCGCCCCACCCCCGGCAGGTAGGCAAACTGCTGATTGATTGCTTTGACCTCTCAATGACGAAATAATAACCGTGTTTTCGACTCGCAGGAAAGTTCCACTCGATAATTATTAATTTTCTCTCCGCAGACCCATGTGACAATTCCAACGACTCCGGCCTGGGCGTCGATTTCAATGAGGTATAATTTTTTAATGTGAAATATGAATTTTTTAAATTAATTTGAAATGAAAAACAACTGTAAATTTAACAAAATAATAAATTCAGAGGAATTAAAACAAGTATTGAATTTGTTAATTAATTCAGTTTCTTTTAATTTTTCTATAATTTTTTTAATTAAAATCAACTGAAAATAGGCGTGCAATTAAAAAAAGTATTTAACTGAAAAATTTAAGTTAGTATAATTTCCATTATTCAGATAAAACTGTAGAACATCGTTCATTTTTTTTTAATTCAGGAAGCGTGAAATAAATTGGCAACCACTCAATTTTTTGCTTTATTTATCGACGTCGCCTTGGAAGAGATACAAACAAAATTCGCAATTTGCAGGATGAATCTCTGAGCGGATTTTCCCGCGCCGTCACGTCCGACGGCAGCATTTCCTTGAATGTGATTTCCCAGCCCGAGAGTCAACACCGAGCTCGATATCAAACCGAGGGCAGCAGAGGCGCCGTCAAAGATGCCTCCGGCCAAGGTCACCCGGTGGTTAAGGTATTTTTATTAATTTTTTTTTCTATAATAATTTACTGACGCATCCATCAACTTTTGACAGCTGGACGGGTACGACAGGGCAGCTGTGCTGCAGGTCTTCATTGGCTGCGATGACGAACGCATGGTCAATCCACATTTGTTCTACCAGGCGTGCCGAGTCAGTGGCAAGACTGCCAGTCCCTGCGCCGAGAGCTGCGTCGCCGGCACCAATGTGCTCGAACTCACTTTCAACAAGGAGAATCAGTTTACAATTATGTACGTTCCGAGTCGTGAGAATTAACTAATTTTAAAAAGATTTTAATAGATTTAGAGATTTTAACTATTGATGGTTCTTGTGGTGAATGTGAAAAATATTTCTTTTCACCTTTTTGCCCTTTAAGTTCTTACTAAAGATGGCAGTTTACTCTGAAAATTGGAACAAAATCTTTGACTTTTATGTTTAAATTATCATTAGATTCCACAAGATTCTAAATGGTAACAAAAAATTAAATGCAAAAACACTCCTTTCCTTTTTATAAGCTGTATAATCAAAAGGTGAAAAATGTCCATTAAATAAGAAAATCAGAATATTCAGAACAAATTAATAATGGGTCTGTGAATTTCAAATTGAAATTTTATCTGGATTTTAAAAATCTCGCCAGGAAATGCAAAGTTTTTGCTCTTTTTGAAAGTTCGCCTATTGCATAATTTTGATTATGGGGGTGAATCAGTTTATGAATCTTAAGGGGCTAATCAACCTTATATTTGAATGACCCAGTGTAAATTTTATGAGTTATTGTCTGAGTCTCACTGATTCCATCTTGGCAAACCCAAAATAAATTGAATTTTTCGCCAAATTTTGTATTCCTGCAACTTAATCTGCACAATATTCAGCATGCACTAATATATTCTTTAATTTTTTCCTGCAGTTGTGATTGTGTCGGAATCTTAAAGCAGAGGAATGTGGACGTTGCGCAGAGAGTGGAGAACGCCTGTGCCCAGAAGTCGAGAAAGAAGAGCACAAGGTGTCGGCTAGTTTTTCGCACGCAAGTCGAGCTGCCCAACGGAATGACTGAGACGCTGCAAGTCCTCTCCAATCCCATCGCATGCAGTAAGATCAGAATTCATTTTTTCATTCAAATTTGGAAACTCGTTTTCCTCTGCAGCACAACTGCCGGGAATGCCGGAAATACTGAAAGTGTCGAGGACGTCGTCGTCGTCCGAGGGCGGAAAGGAGCTTTTCGTGCTGGGCAAAAACTTCCTCAAGGACTCGAGGGTGGTTTTCCAGGGCAGAGGGTGGAAAAATGAAGCCGTTCCCGAGAAAGAATATTTGCAGCCAGTGAGTGTTTCTAGTCGAGTTTCATTTGGAAAAGTGTAAATGTTTGTTCTTTTCAAAATTCCAGACCCACTTGGTGTGCACAATCCCTGCGTACTGTGGGTCGTCGTTGCCCGAAACCGTGGAAATGTTTGTGCGGTCCAACAGCCGTCAAAGTGAGGCGGTCCATTTCACTTATAACCAATCTGCAGGTAAAATTTCGTGACTTTGCTGGTGTCTTATCAGAAGTCTTGGCATTCCTCCTGTTCACTGGCAAACTATAAATCAGGCCAACGAGCAATTATTTCAATTTAATTTGCACAAATGCCTGCTTTTTGGTTGCACACCTCACACGGCCAAGGTTTCTCGAAGCTCTATGAAAACTAATTCTGCAAATGTTTTTTCTCTCTCGAGAGATCACATTGCAACACTGACCAAGAAATTCATAAAAACGCCTGAATTGAACGAATTGAAATAATTTTCCTCGTGAAAAGTCAAAGTTATGAGTTTCTTAATACGTTATGGATGAATGACTGCCAAGCATAGCGGATGCAAAGTGTGGCTGGGATCATCAAGGGCGCCCTTTTGCAGCATTGAGAGATTTAGTAAATCTTGCGCCCTTGTTGTGTGTTCGTAAACTTGGGGGTGCGGATGAGCGTGTGCTTGTGTTTGCACCCGAAATGCTTACATGCGCCTCAGTCAGGTTCTTGAAATTAACAAAATCCAGGCAGACACTCATTTCGCCTCTCTCACATTTTATTCAAAATCAAGAGCCAGACACGGCACATTAGTCATAATGAAGCAAATTTCCCTGGGCACTTTTCCGTTTTCCATCAACCGCGCGGATTGAAAAAAATTTGTACAAAAATCAGAGGGAAATTTGTCAAATTGCTGTGCCTAACATATTGCAAGATTCTTCTGTTGGTGCAAATAGCCATCAAGACCACAATTAAGAGCTGAAAGCGGAATCGCCAGGCAAAAATGCACCCACTTAAGTTGGCCCCGAGGACATCATTTCTGGTGAAGTATCAAACATATTCGCAACAGCGCCCTTCGCCACAAGTTCCATAACTATATATTTAACTCTCGTTGTGGCGCGGGGGTTGCTTCATATTTCAATGAGAGCCAACCTGCGAGGCTGCCCTTAATTGTTTCCGGAAAATTTAATTTATTTGGCAAACTCGCAGGTTGCGTGGAAATTGGCCTATGATTGTGGATTGGCTTCATGGACTAATTTCAAAACGGAGAAGCAAGTTTTCAGAGTTGGACTCGCACGCACACTTGATTTATTCACGCACACACATATATGCCGAGAGTGCTGGGAAAACTCGCAAATTTCAGAAAACTTGCTTTGAGCGAGTGAAACGTGTGGCACTGATTATGATTTTTACCCTATATGCATGGCTATGGAACGGTGGAGTGATTCGGGGGGAGGGGGGAGCCGAAAAATTTCCTCCGACAAGTCACTATTTGTAAATTTTGCTCGGAAACTCGGGAATTGTTTCGCCTAAAAAAATGTAGTGATTTTTCATAGTGACGAGCAGGAAATTTTAAGTCAGCCATTCAGACTTTCCGCGTTTTTTTGTTGGAAACTACTGTTGAAACAATTTACATTAAATTTGGAAGGTCTGTCTCTGAATCTCAGCTTCACCCAAATTGATTGATTTTTCATTTTAAAAGAGGATTTTGCAAAGATGGGTGGACGCCGAGTGACGGTGGCTGTTGCGAATGGCCATGCAGACTGCAGGGCAGAGGCCAATCATCAAAACATAATATTTCTTATTTCGAGCTCTACTCGGAGTTGATTTAAAAATATAAAAATCAAAACGTCCTGACCAGAGCGCCGACGTGCCTTTCAGTCTGTCTGAGTGAGTGAGTGAGCAAGCGCAGACTTTTCCACAGCCATGTCGTTTTAAAACCCTTTCCAAGATAATTTTGCTAACTCGACTTTTTCATTCTCCAGATGGCAGGTGGGGACAGCAGGTTGTCCAGCCACCCCCACAGAGTAAGTTCCGTCAAAGTTATAAAGAAAAAAAACGGGCTTCTCCATTATTTATTCATACGAAAAATAAATTTGAAATAATCAAAATGAAAAATAAATTGATTCTTAAAGTTCATACGAGTTTTTTTTTTTAATTATCTTTTATGCGTTTCAGGCAACGTGTGTGAGCTTTTGCAAGATCTGATATCGGCGAAGCCGTTGCCTCCGCAGAGTGGCACCAGCGTTGAGAAATTCCTGTCGGACATTGAGCAGCAGCCGCAGCCGTCGGTAACCGCAGAGGGCGACCCTTTCTACCTGGCGACGGGTATCTATCAGTTGAATTGACTTTTACCCTCCTGTACTAATCGCGTTCTTTTGATTTGCCACAGCCGGCCAAACAGAGAGCTCGGTTTTAGATCCAATCGTTCAGTAATCTAGACATTTATACAGAATTATGTTGACTAAGCAAAAATCGTTATTACTCGTCTGTGCAAATATATATCTGTGTTTACTAACAAAATAAACAATCATTAGTGTAAGTTACTTTAAAGAGTTGTTTCTTCGATTCCTTTTGATAAAATTAAACAAATATCACATTTTGGTGTTAAAAATCTACATATCAAAATTGTGAGACGATTTGAACTCTCGCAGGATGGCGTGAGGTAAAGGCAGGTGCAGCATTTCTGATCCGTCAAAGCCTTTCTTGACTTTGACCAATTTGTGATCCAAAAATTCAGTCAGTTGCGCTCGCAGGGCCAGATCGCTGCTCACAATAAACTGCTCCCTAGCCTCGTGGTATAAATCTCGGAATGACATTCCTAAAGCAAATTAATTTTTACTTTCAAAAGTATAATTTTTTGATAAAACCAACCAGAGTAATTTGCTTCCTTGACTTCAAGTTGTTTTTCCATGAGGATGTTGAGAATCTTCTTTGCATTCGAAGTGAGTGACTGAAAGACGCTGTGCAAAGAGGCGAGCACCATTTTGCCACTCTGCTGCACCATGACCGAATTTTCAAAAGCAGTCTCTTCGTTATACGGGAGCATGGTCGTCGCATCTTGCCACACCAAATTCAGTTTTGCCAACAGACCTTGGTCCAACACTGAAAGAAAATTATCATTAAAAATAGTTTTAAAAAGTGATTTGGACATTTACATAGGGGTGCGTTGATGTGGTCGATTGAGGCCACCAAGTGGATTTTCTTGGCTGTCGAAATCCTGGCAATGACATTCTGCGCCTTGGTGGACTGCAAGGCTTGGCCGTCCAGGTTGTTGATGAGCAAGTAGAGGTGCTGAGAGTCGGGTCGGTTGAACTGTCGTAGAATAAGATTGCAACACTCGTTCTCGTCTCCAGGCACCGCAGGCATTTCCATTATGTCTCTGATTATAGATGTAAAGATCTGCAATTGAAATTAATTTTTAAATATCATTAAAATCACACACCAAGCATTAAGTGAAGAAAACCAATTGGATTACATTGACAGGTTTTAAACAATCAATTATATTTTAAAACGTATACTTTTGAAATAGCTTTAGTTACATCTTTAAGAGTTAGAGTTGGGAAGAAGCCATTGATGACAATAGCATCATCCTCGTCGGAGGAAACAAATTTTCTCAGCGAATTCAAAAGGGCCGCCTTCGAGCCCAGGCCGTAGAGGAGAAGCGAAAATCCTTCCAGCAACAAGCACTGCCAGCGTTCAAATTTTGTCTCCAGATTCTTTGTGATGGCTTTGCACTCCTATTTCACAAATCTCAAGACTTGCCAAAATTTCAGAGAATAATTTATTTAAATTGACCTTTTCGTGTTTCTTGGTCATTGACTGAAGAGCTTCTTGAATGGTTTCTTGGTCCAGTCTGGGCTTTTCCAGCTTTTGCAGAGAGTGATTCGATGTCATAACTTTGAACGAAACATGGGCATCGAAATAATCCTCGGCTGAGAAGGACTTGGCCTGAAATTTTAGTAATGAAATTTTGAGTAGAAATTTAAACTAAATTAAAACCTGTTTGATAATTTTCTGCTTTGATTCCTCCTGAGCAGTTGCCCTGTTTGGAGTTGTCCTGTTCCTTTTGTCAGGGACCTCGTCTTCTTCCTCGTCGCTCTCACTGGAACTGTCACTGTACTGCAGGTCACTGTCATCCTCATCCAGCATTTTGTTGATGCACTTCTTCACATTTGATCTCTGCACTCTTGGCGTTTCCGCAACTTTCCTTCAATTATCAAAATCTTCAGTTTTATTAAATCCATAAAATTATAATTAAAACCTTCTGGCTCCGGGGGTTCTCTTGGCACTCTCAGGGGTTTTCGGCTCCATTCTTCTCCCGCCCGGAGTTTTTGGAGTTTTCGGCGCCTCCACTTCCGCACTTCCTCTCCTCCTCTTCCTCTCCGGCGTCGAAGGCTCGTCCTCAGCAGCTGCTCTCTTCTTGGTCAGACTGATCACCTTTGTTTCAGGTATGACTTGCAGTGAGTTGAATGCAGCGGCACTGCTTCTCCGGCGCCGAGTTGGCTCCACCTTTTGTGCAGGTTTGTTGTAAGAATCCTCCGTAAAAAGAGCTGAACATTTTCGACTGATTTAATAAATTGTTTTCTGAATAAGGAACCAAACCTCTTGGCGTGAGTGGCACTCGGTCTCGGACATCGTCGTCTTCATCGTCCGTGAGAATAAACGGCTCGAAATTATCGGCGGCGGAAAAAGTCCTCTTCTTTTTTGCAGAGCTCCCGTGAAGCTTTTCAGCTGCATAAAAAAAATACGCAAATTTTAAAATGATAAATATGCAATCGGTAAATAAACAGAAATTTTTACACTTGAGAGAAAAGATTTCAATGAGCGATCGAACCTTTGGAGCCTGTGACGAAGAGCAATTCTTCCACATCTTCGTCGCAAATGACTTTGACTTTGAGTTCCTCCTCTTCGCTCGACTTTCCCGTTTCCTTGGACATTTTAACCTAAATGTTACCGATTTTTTTAATAAAAAGAAAAGACAGCTAGAACTGGACGGGACAAAACAACACGACGAGCGGGAACAACAGCTGTGGCTGGGGAAAAGAAAAGAAACAGATGAAGATCAAGCAATGGAGGGAAAAAATTGAGTAGCCAATGAGAGGCGGTTTACGGAGAACCAAGGCTTTTTGAGCCAATCAGTGCGCGGAATTTAACGTATTGGAGCGAAATGCACGTGTGCCGCGCGACTACTCCTTTGTCCATCGACCACCACGGGCTGAGCACGCAACCAACGATCGTAGACGTAGTTTCCATTGATTAATACACAGTCGATCTATGAAGGAAGAGAGCGGAGGCGGTTCAAGCTGGAGTCATTATCTTTAGTTTGAGAAAGGAAATTGGTTAAATGTCTGTGGCGGTAATTTGTCTCTTACACATCAACAGCCGATGGACACGATGTGGAGTGTTTTCTGGTCTACTAGCTGCAATTTATGGGCGCTTCTCTTCAGCAAATATCCTGGAATGTTGGCCAGCTTTAAAATATTCAACTGTAAAAGGCGTTTTTGAAATTAAATTAAAAGTAATTACACCAAATAAAACAAAATTGAACTTTACCTTCAAATTGTAATTGCTACTTTCTTTAAAATCTTAAAAATACTCTTTTAAAAAAGAAGACAACCAACATAGCAGAAGAAGGGAGTAAGTTTGCAGTGGCAATTTCTCTCAATTGGCTTTTCAAAACCAGTTGTTCCACTTGTGTGCCTGTCCAAACTAATTTCTTACATAAATTCTTAAGCGCAGATGATTAAAAGCAGGCAGTGCAAGTACTTTTTATTTTAAAAGCTTTATTCATGATGAATTACACATAAGACGTCCCTTTTATTTGGTAAATTATGATAAATTCACGCGCACTCGCAAACAAACAGACTTAAAACAAAACTCGTTTGTTTTTCTTCTTCACTCCCTTAACTGGCACTCATTCTCAAGCTAGACTTTCTCATCAGAAATAATAACCACTCGGCACAAAATTAAGAAGTACAAAATATCAGCCAACCTGCATTTTCACTCGGGAGACGATAGAAGGAATTATTACAGTTTGCTGAGCCGATAGAGTAATTTAAGGCGGCTCGGAAATTATTATCGAATCGGTTGCTCTTGAGAGACACAAGACTTGTTGCGCTACGGATTTTCTATTTTCCTCTACGAATATTGCTACAAATGGCGTTGGAAATTTAATTCTTTGGACTGGCCGAATCACAGAATGCACGGAGGCGCGTGCATCGATGGCCGACAATTACAAAACGATAAAACATTATGACTCACGACGTGCATTCAAAAATGGAACCTAGTGAACAACCTGTTGAAATGTTTACATATTATCAAGTGCGCCTGACAATTTCTCAAATAATTAATTAAGTTATTAATTAACGTGAAGTAATGCCGGGCTTGGTTCCGAAATTGGCAAAGTTGGGGACTAAAAGGGTGCAGACCTCTCAAAGCACCTAGACCAAGCCCTTGTGCTTCTCTTGCTGCGCTTAGGCTGGTAACTGTAACTTCTTGCCTCGCAACACTGAAATTATCCAATTTTAAAATTAATCCAACAATAATTAAAATTCTCAGCATTTAATGGTGTAGTTTTATAATTTTAATTTAGCGAATTTTGTAATCAATTTCATTTTTTATGTGGTATCAAATATAAAGTGGCATTAATTGAATTTTTGAAATAAAGAATTATTGAGAATTGAATAAATTAGAGTTAAAATTTGATTTAATTAGATAAGCAATTGAAAATGGTTGACTTTGTCTGGTAAACTTTAATGTTAATTATAAATTTTAAAAAAAAATGAATTTTGTACCCTTTGTGATGTAAAGGTAAAAGAAGTCACAGTAGAGAACGGTTTGCACCACACCGGCCACGATGGCGATGAGGTCGTAGTGGTCCTCGGCCCAGTAGCGGTAAATCCAGTTGAAGAGATACAGTCCTCGGTACATGCCCAATGCGAAAAGGTAGTGCGACGTGATGCTTTCGGCCTCGCCCGTTTTCGATACCATGAACAACTGCGGCAGAATCGCCACCGACTCGAGGTAGATCGAGAATGTCCACAAAATCTTCAGGAGAGACAGGATTAATTAAAGAATTGACAGATAAAAGAACTCACCTCCAAAACTTGGAAGTCGTGGTTGATGAGGAGAGCAAGACCGATGGCAGGCACGATCAGAAACTCAATCCTATGGGGAACAAAAAGTGAAAATCATTTTGAATTTTACCTTTTATTGTTAAAATTTATGAATTATATATTTCCAACTTATAATTAAATTGCTTAAAAAAGTATTGAAAAGAATAAAAATTATTTTTGGTGAAAGAAATTAAAAAAAATAAATATTGCATAGAAAAAAAAACTTAATTGAACTCAAAGAGCCAAAACTGAAGGACTTGGTCTAATATCTATAAAATTATCATTTTTTTTTCTAATTGAATGGCAAGTTTAGAATCATCTTTCATAAAAAAAAAAAAAAAAATGCTATTCTGTATTTCGGGGAAAATCCTCTGAAGTGCAATTTGTACCTGAAAGTGTCGTGGTTGTGGTCGTAGGTGGCCTTGAACTTGGCGTACATCAGGTAGAGGGTGGCATAGGAGGCGGCCAGGAAGACCACCTTCATGACCGAGTTGTAGAGCGAGATGTACGAGGTGACGAGATCGAGATACCTGGTGGTGTAGACGATGGCGAACAGCACCTGGCTCTTGCCGCTGATGCCTGCGAATCAGGGTAAAAAGTCACCTGGCGAAACCGGTCGGCTAAGATTTTCAATCTTGGGTCGACAAAGAAGGACCCTCGGGGCCGGTTTCAGGGCTCCGAGGGCCCCCGGGGGCGACTGGGGCCCGCAAAGGCCGACGTAAACAAAGCAACGCCGACAGCGTCGGGGGCGGCCGACGGGGGCGGATTTGAGAGGGGGCCGCGCTTACCGGCACACGACCGCGACATCCATATCTTGCGCAGCAGCACGATGATGGCCAGCAGGTGCGAAATGTCGCCGAGGAGCCGAAAAATGTTCATTTCGACGGCAGTCGCTGCTCCGAAGTGCGAAGATGGCAGAAAAATGACGTGGCCTCAGCTGTTGTTGTCGAGTCGGGGGCGTGGCCGACCTTCTGTGATTCCTTCGGTTGAACCAACACACGGGGCGCTTCGACTGAGTCGACTTAACAAAAAACTTAAGTTGAGTCCGCGCCGCATCCTCTACATATAAGTCTCAACTTAAGTTGAGTCTAAGTCCGCCAGGTGTAGAGCAAGCAAAAAATAAAATCGTATTTTTTTTTTCATTCAAGGAGGCTCTAGCAATTTTTTCATAAGAGTTTTGTTAGGATATGATTATTTTTTTTGTCCATGAACACCCAAATTTTATATTTTATCTTGTAGTAAACAGTTCAACAGTATTTAAAATGTAAATTGAAAAATTTTTAGCAAAAAATTTCGGACCCAATATTTTCTTTCATGGAAAATATTATGAAGGGCGCTTCCGGGCGCTTCATAAAATGTATTTTTTTCTTTTTTAAATTCAAAATTCGCAAAGATTAAAACAATCTTTCGATCAAACAATTTAAACCGGGTGATACCAATGAATTTGCGACTGCAGGTGATAATTAATGTGAATAATTTATCAAGATTTTAATGATAAAAATCGCAAATGCATAACAATAAAATAATCCTTAATATTATAAAAGGGTAATGTTATAGTACGCGCGACGTGTTTTTTCATAGATTGGCAACACTTATGCTCCCATGTAAAAGTATCACGTCGCGCGCTCTATACTGGTTTTACGTCGCGCATACAATAATGGTTTTACGTCGCGCGTTCAATACTGGTGGCGGTGAAATTGTTAAGGAAACCGATTATTCCATCGATACCTCGGCAACATGTATAGCACGCGCGACGCAATTCTTTTCCTACAATCTTAATTAAGGGGACTGCTAGGAAGAATAGGGGCCCTTGGGATGGGTTCAGAATGGGGCAAGACGACCTCCGGAGGGCCGTGCGCACTCTTATAGCAGGCGCGACGTATCACTATGGGACGCGCGACGGTCGAAAAGCAAACTCCGGAGGGCGCTTTTCAACATCGTCAGAGGCGCGACGCATGGTTATAGGACGCGCGACGTATGCTTATAGTACGCGCGACGCACGCTTATAGTACGCGCGACGCACGAGTATAGGAGGCGCGACACGCGCGGCAAATTAATTGAAAGGTGTTGCACGCGGCCGGAGTTGTGGGCACCCCACGAACCGGCAACTCGGAGGTGGGCAACCCCCAAGATTAATTTTTGCAGAAGCCGCGAGCGAGGGGTGGAGGCGCAGCGAGGTCGAGGACGTGGGGAAGGCCGTGCGCAGGGCGAGGACAAAAGGGCGGCTGTGTTCATGAGGGGGCTCCGCAGGAGCCCCCTCACGAACCCCGCCCTTTTGTCCCGCCCGGAGCCGGCCTTCACCACGTTCTCGGGCGAGCGCGCCTTCCCGAAGCTCGCAAACCCACAACGGAGTTGCGTACAAAAGGAATTGTCTGCAAAAAGGGCTTAGAAAGCAAAAAGTGTGGTGCCCACAACTCCCTTTGCAGACAACACCTTTTGTGGGCAACTCCGTTGTGGGTTTGCGAGCTTCGGGCTGGAGGCGCGCTCGCCCGAGAACGTGGTGAAGGCCGGCTCCGGGCGGGACAAAAGGGCGGGGTTCGTGAGGGGGCTCCTGCGGAGCCCCCTCATGAACACAGCCGCCCTTTTGTCCTCGCCCTCCGCACGGCCTTCCCCACGTCCTCGACCTCGCTGCGCCTCCACCCCTCGCTCGCGGCTTCTGCAAAAATTAATCTTGGGGGTTGCCCACCTCCGAGTTGCCGGTTCGTGGGGTGCCCACAACTCCGGCCGCGTGCAACACCTTTCAATTAATTTGCCGTGCGTCGCGCGTACTATAAGCATGCGTCGCGCGTCCTATAACCATGCGTCGCGCCTCTGACGATGGTGAAAAGCGCCCTCCGGAGTTCGCTTTGCCCCTCACTGGATTTACGGCCCGTCGCGCGTGATATAAACATACGTCGCGCCTGCTATAAGGGTGCGCACGGCCCTCCAGAGGTCGTCTTGCCCCATTCTGAACCCATCCCAAGGGCCCCTATTCTTCCTAGCAGTCCCCTTAATTAAGATTGTAGGAAAAGAATTGCGTCACGCGTGCTATACATGTTGCCGAGGTATCGATGGAATAATCGGTTTTCTTAACAATTTTACCGCCACCAGTATTGAGCGCGCGACGTAAAACCATTATTGTATGCGCGACGTAAAACCACTATTAAACGCGCGACGTAATGCAAGTGATGCCAACTGAAATCAGGGATTTTGGGAAACACGTCGCGCGTACTATAACATTACCTATAAAAGAGCGGTGTTTTCTATAAAACAAACGTCAGTCATGTCATGTTTACTTTTAACTATTATAGTTTAAGATTTATTATTTGAGAACGAGAAAAACACATTCATATTGAACAAGAAGTTTCAATTGATGTACGTGGGGTATCCCATGGCTCGGTCGGTTTGCCAGCTACGTTCGCGAGCCTCCACGACTTTCTTCAAGAGCTTCTTAGCACGGCGCCGCTTCTCGCGAGCCAGTTTCCTGATGTGAGGAAACAGCTTCCTCACGATGCTCACAAACAGAATTTTCCCTTTGAGCTTGGGCTTGGGCTGGGCGACTCGGCTGCTCCTTCTCGCGGCCTGGGCCTTCTTTTCCTTTTCATAGGGCATTTCCGTAGAGAATCTGAAAAGTTTGTCCACAATGAAACCGCGGAGAAGAATTCGCCTGCAAATTTTCCTACCAATGAGACTTATGAGACAAAACACTCTGATTCAACCACTGGTTCTTGGCGCTCTGTTGTAATTGTTGTATTTCAATATTCGCCAGCAGCCAATGGCAGCCCTCTGTCGGATATGTATGGACACAAACTTAAGTGCCACGCCCACATGTGATTATCCAAAGTTTCTAAAGTTGGTGAGCAATTTTCCCTTTTTATAGTTTTTATATTATCTGTATTTTCCGACATGGAACTGCACGTTATCCTATTTTAAACCCTTAGATTAAATTTTTTAAAGATTTTAGAGTTTCATCGGTTCTGAAAATTCAGATTATTATCATTTCATTAATGTTTCTCTTTCCTTTCGCAGCAACGAAACAATGAGTGTTTTGCTGAAAGTCAGCGGAGATTTGCAAACTCCTCCAGACTGTCATGTTGCGGATCAAATAGCCATGATGACAGCGGGAAGAAACCCACCCTCCTTGTCTGGAGTCCCAGAGTAATTATTTATATATAGATCTCTGATTAAACTTTTATTTACAATTTTCCTTTCCAGATGGAGGAACCGTGCTCATTGTCAGTGCTCTTATCTTGACGAAATTGGTGGACGAGAAGCAGCCCACCTTGTCAATCAGGACAACCCTGACGTCCTTGAAATTAAATTTGGTGTTCATCCAGTTCAACAGGTCTGATAGGAAATGAGATCATTAAATCTTGATGTTTCCAAGTTTTGTGTAAAATTTTTAGAGAGTGTGACGAATCGCTCAAGTTGCTGCTGAAAAAGCACATGTCATAGACAGCTGCTCGGGATTTGAGTGACTGGTTTCTGTCATTCAAATCAAAAGGTCAAATTACGACACTGGCATATTCATGCCCATATTTGAAGCTATTGAGAAGGTTAATTAGTTTGACTATTGAAATTTAATAAATGACATCGTACATTTCTTCCACAGGGAACTGGCGCCCCAAAGTACATACCAAGGAAGGGTTGGCGAGGACGACGTTGATGGCACTGACGTGGCCGACCACGCTCGCACCATAACAGTGGCCTTATCTGACGGCAAAAGACCAGACAACACTGGCAGCGGGTACTTCAAACAGGATTATCATCTTAAGAAGATTAACCAAATAATTTCTTCAGATATGTCTTGAGGAGAATTCTGCGCCGCGCTGTCCACTACGGATCTGAGAAATTAGGCGCCAAACCTGGCTTCTTCAGCACTCTGGTTGACACTGTTGTCAGTTTGCTTGGAGAAACTTTCCCTGAGGTCACGAGAGACCCAAATGCTGTCAAGGAAATAATAAATGAAGAGGAAACCCAAGTTTCTAAAAACTTTGGCTCGAGGCAGGTCTTTGTTGAACCGGACTGTTGAGAAGTTGGAGCCAGGAACTTCAGTCTTGCCTGGTAAATAAATTGCTACATGTGTAAATTGGCGTTTACAAACTTTTTGAATAGGGCCTGGCGTCTCTACGACACTTATGGTTTCCCTGTTGCCCCTGTTGATGTGACTCAGTTGATGGCAGAGGAAAAATAAGGACTTGCTATGAACATGGTTGTCTTCGAGCATTCCGAAATCGGGTTCAGGTATTATAATTAATGTTTTCATAAGTATATTATGTTGTTGACAAGAAGCAACCGCAATGGACAAGACGCGACTTGTCTAAAAGCAGTTGATCAAGATGTGACTTAACCAAAACCATTTAAGAGATTCATGGTAGTATAAATAGACTAAAGTTTAATATAAGTTCATTAATTGTTATTCAATTTGTTTGAAAAGGTGCTAGATCAAGCTTTTGAAGCAGGTGAGGTCGATTTGCACCGAATCAAGTATGTTTTCCTCAAGGTCTGCAAAGAGACCTTGAACGGTTCTGTTGCAATCATTCTCTACCTTGCCAATGAAGAGTTGAAGGGTGGCAAAGATGTCCTTGGTCAGAGCCGTGTGCTGCAGTGGCTCTACTTTGCACACAACCACCTTCTTCATTATGCACACCATGGAATGGTAGCTCATTTTTTTCTCTAGAATTTCAAAATAATCATCCCAACATAATTGACTATGTTTGTGATAGAATTTCCCTCAACTGAAGGACGCCTTGAAAGCTCTGGACAAGCATTTGCTCAACAACACCTACCTTGCCACTGAAAGGGCAACGGTTGGCGACCTGGCAGTTCTGAGCGCCCTGAAAAACGTCAAGGAGGCAGTGAACGAGCTGCGGTGTGTCAAGAGGTGGTGCACGACTTTGGCTGCCCACCCGATTGGCAAGCAGGTCTACAATTAATCATCGCCCCTCTTGGATAGAGGAACTGGTGGCTGGAAGATTATCTCAATTATTCGCGCATTTGCTACTTTTCTTTTATATATGAATGAGCAAGAAATTTTGACTTTATCAATAAAATGCTGTTGATCACTTCTTTTGATTGTTTATCAAATGATTAATCTGGGTTTTATATATCCAAAAGTAGATCTAATTTAATGTCTGTAGGAAATTTCCTTACTTTTTAAGATTAAATTATGCATGATAATTAAGCAAGCTCCTCCACAAGTCCACAGCTTTTTCCATCTGCGCCTTATTTAGAATCTTCCCAGCGATCGAGTGTTTGTAAAAATTATTGTTTTTCAGTGAAACAAAACACTTGCAACCTCAACAATTGGGAACCCTTTCATTCAGAACTTTCAAAAATTGATATTTTCAAGTTTTTATTACAATAAAGATGCGTTTTGCATTAGTTAATGATAATAATCATATATTAGTGGATTGTTGTTATGTTTAGATCGGTTTAGATATAAATTTAAAAATATGAATATTTAGTTTTCCGCAGTAAATAATTTATAATTAACAATCTCTCAATTTTTATGAAATTATTCATTAATTATATAGAAAATGTGAGAAAATGCAGGATAAAAATTAAAATAGAATATATGCAGGGCTGAAGAAGAAACTGTAGTGTAGCTAATTATTTATATTTTGAACATTAACTTAAATGAAAGCAACGTGTCATTGGAACATTAAAAGTACAACGCCATATCGGGATCCTGCTATCGTCCTGCATGGGCACGCCGGGCGTCTTTGTCCCTCTGGACCTGTTCATACTCCCGGGCCCGCCGGGCGTCGAAACCAATATATAAGCATCCAGGGCTTCCTTCAGCTCCCTCTCCTTTTCATCCAGCTCCTTTTCTCGGATCGAAAGGAGTTTTGACTGTATTTATGAATTTATTGTATTAATTGAGATCAAATAAATTCAATAATATCATCAAAATGTACCTCTTCGAGCACCTTCTTCTCGTGGGCACTCCATTCCTCCTTGTCCTTTTCAATCCTCTTTCTTTCATCATCCAAGCGCTTCTTTCTGTCCTCAAGGGCTTTTTCCTTTTCCCGGAGCTCTAATTCCTCTTCCAAGCAGGGCTTTCAACTCGTTCTCGGTTATTGGGAGTGACCATCTAGAGAAAAGATTTGATTTAGACAACTTCCAAGGTGAACTGAAGGTGAATATGAAAGATGAGAGACTCGCACCTCGCACGACTGTTGTGAATTGTCTGACCGGATGTTGCGTTGCGTAAAAGGGAACTTCTCTTGAAATCCACCAAGAATGTCAAACTCGAGTCTCCCCCACCACGCACGATTTGCGGTTTTTGCGTGAGTCGGCGCAAAGGGGGAGGGGCAGAAAGGGGGAGGGGTGGATAGAATTGAATTGCGAGGTCAAGCGAGGTTTTTCATTGGTTTTTCGTATTTATTTGACAAATGCTTACGTAAATTTATTGTAAATATATTTCGGTCCGTAAGCCTTCCATCAGATGAAGGGCTAGGCCTGACCTTAGTGACCTTGTTGGGGCAAGGCAAACAGTGGAGAAGAGGCAGTAATACTCCACTCTGCCTGTTGACTCAGCCACTGGTCCCAAAAATTCGCGCCAAATAAATTAAAAAAAAAAAATCCCCTCCATCCTCCATCTAAGTCTCGGGCGATTATTGGTCTAAGGAGAAACCTCCTCGTGACTCCTTGGATTGGAAAAAATGATGGCTGCACTTGAGGTTTGTTTTGGAGGAGGCGATAGCGATACCGCGGAGCAATGAAATCAATGAATTTCGTTCTATTTTGTGCAACATGCATGTAAATTCTCCATAATTCAAGTCGTCTTGGCCAAAATTTTAGCTGCAAATACACCTTGAAGCTGCTTCTGCCTTGAAGGTTTCCTCATCGGTATAAATCACAGGTGGGACAAATGCGGTCGGTCGTGTCCCGGTCGTAAAACTTGCTTTCCGAGTGCGAACAATATTTTTCGAATTTGGGTTCGATCCTTGATTGTGCATCAGAATCAATTTATTTTATTAAATTTGCTTTTATGTACGTATAAATTCTACACACCTCTAGGCACGTTTTTTGTTAAACATAATATCAACATAAGACTTCAATTTCTTTAATATTTCCAGTTTTCGTCAAACTCGACCACCATGTTGACTCCGCAACCATCTTCATCAGACGCGTCGGGCGAGAGTGTCCAGCCCGTCGACCCGATGGTGAGCGCCATCATGTCCGACCACAACTACGCCAAGCCGTGGCGATGGAGGCCCGACGCGAACTACGCCAAGCCGGTGCGCAGCCTGTTCACCCTGACCAAGGGTGCGGCTAACAAGATGATGGTGGCCGACATCACGGTGGACGTCGAAACCGTCGACAGTCCGCACAAGTTCCAGCCGTCCTCTCTGTCGCCTCACACCTCCGAGTGGGTCGCAGCTGCTGAAGATGTCCAGGGCTTCAGAGTGGAGGAAAAGGTTCCGAGAAAGCCAAAATTTTCCTTTTTTTTACTTCTTACGGATTATTCTTTTCTGGCAATCAAATAGTTTTTTATTGTGATGAATTTTGATTTATTATTTTTTTTAAAGAATAATAAATTTTCTTTTTTAGACAATAATTTTTCAGATTTAGAGTTTTCCCATTTATAACTTTCTCATGGATGGATTTAAGTTACACATTTTTCTCAGGACAACGATGACGGAGATTGGGAGGCCAAGGTGCAGAAGACCTCTTGGACGGTGGAGCACGCTCGGCTGTTCAACAACGTGGTCAAGGCCGTTCACGAAGCCCACATGGCCCAGTTGGCCTTGAACGGGCGGCCCAACGAGGCCGTCCAGAAGAAGCTGGCCATTGACACGGCGGCCCGAAGGGTGCGGAGGGCGATGGCCAGTGCCACCTGGGACATCCGCCTCACCCACTGGCTGCACAACCTGCTGCTGGACCACCTGCCTGCTTCGATTTTTGCCGTGTACCTCGAGATCTTGCGGGTGTTGCGCATCAAGGCGCCCTCGCTGGTCGAGCATATGGTCACCTTCACGCCAGATTCAAAAGTTGCTCCCACCCTGGCATCGGAAAAAGTCTTAAGGGTAAAATTCTGTCATGATAATTCGTCTCAAACAAACAAGAGTTCTTTTTAAAAATTGATTGAAATTCGATAAGCATGACCTTGAATTAATATGAAAAATAAAAAAATCAAGTTTTGAAGAAGACCAAAAAATGATTTATTGCTAATCATTAAATTTAAAAATAGATAACATTGTTCTTAGTCTTTCTTTTGATAAAAATGTATTTTTTACTTGTAGCTAGAATTAATTGTAAACTTAATTGTTGCAGATTTTGAGAAAAGACAGTGTCGAGACTGCTGCAAACCAGCTGAAGCCGCGCCGACTGCCTCTGGACGCGATCCTGATCACCGTCCCGTCCGGCATTGGACGTCACGTCGGACACGCGTCCAGGCGCAACAACAACTGGGTCAAGCAGTTGTCGCACCTGGGCCAAGTGGCGTGCGTCGACACTCGCGCTGCCAGTCTGCCAGGCCACTCGACCGTCGAGAGTCTCCTCGGCCATCTGCTCGGCAGCACCAGAGCCAAAATCGAGGAAGTCAAAGTCAAGTACCCGGGCCGACCCATCGTCCTGATAGGCTGGAATGTGGGCGCTGGAATTGCAGTGCAGGCAGCTTTGATGGAGTCTGTGAATGCGGTCATCTGTCTCGGGTTCCCCATCAGCACCCTAGCCGGTAGGAAAATTTGACTTGTTCAAAATGGAATTTATTTATCAAGAATTATGCAGAAACAATAATTTTATCTCACAATTTTTTTAATTTTATTCGCTGGGGTTCTGAATTACTTACTTAACATTGTATTGCTTCAAAATAAAACAAATTATGGCTAATTATTCTTTTGCAGGTCGTCGAGGTCAGGCTGATGACTGTCTGCTGGACATCACCTGTCCCATCCTTTTCGTAATCGGCCAGAACGCGCCAACTGCCCGCCAGGCAGACATCGAAGACCTGAGGGAGCGCCTGAAGGTCCAGTCAGGATTGATAGTGATCGGTTCTGCAGACGAGCACCTCCGAGTCACCAGCGTGAAGAAGCGCTCGGAAGGGTTGACCCAGTCCATGATAGACAGATGCATCCTGGACGAAGTCGGCGACTTCCTGGCCAGCGTCCTCACGCAACCGTTAGCTCCTCCTGCTTCCCCAAAGAGCGTCGCCCAGAAGCACCCTTTGGCCCTCGGCAGTCCCACCATAGGCGAGCCTGAGGCCAAGAAGTCCCGCTACACGCCCAAGACCGCCCTCGGCAACGACCAATTTGCCCGCAGTCCTGCAAACAAAATGAAACCTTTTCCGGAACTTCCCATCAAACAGTCGCCAACCCTGAGTCGCCCTAGCGCCCTGAAGGCCCCCTCGCAAAAGCTGACTCCTGCCAAGCCTGGCATCACCGTCAACATCGGGTCGCTGGCCAGTCTGGGCCCCATCGGCCCCATTCGATTGGGCAACTCAAGGCCGTCCAACATCCCGGCCATTCCTCGTCCGCCGACCACGATCAGGGGCACCACCCCCGCCACCCTGATGTCAGGGTTGACACCCTTGTCGTCGTTGATGGTCCCTGCGACTTCGATTTCTAAATCGGAGGTTTCTCGGCAGGTGCAGGTGGTCGGCACGGCCAACCTGGCGGCCAACAGCAGGGTCAAGTACGTCAACAAAGTCACAACGACCCAAGTGGCAAGGGTGGTCACCGGAGTAAGGCCAGCTCAGGCGCCGGGAACACCAAGATGAGAGTGTGTCGTCAAGGTGATCCTGAAGACCGCAAAGAGCAGTGAACCGGATTTGTGAAAGAGATTTATACAAGAAAAGGAGTCCTTCTGAAGCCTGTTGAGTGTCAATGATGTTCATAAATCAAATATTGTCAAGAATTTGCATGCTGTAATAATAATTTGTGACGGACCAGTTACAACAATAAATTAATATAAATGAAATGTGTTTTTCACAAAAAAAAAAAAAAAAAAAAAAAAAAAAACGTTTATCATGTTTAGGTTGAAGATATCGAGCGAAACTAAAAACGGTTTTTTGTTTAACATAATGAAGCACAACTCAATGCTTTTATTTCAAATATATAAACTGTAACACGAACAGTAACTGCGTTAGATGATGTAGGAAGGGTCGCTGCCCCAACGAGCCAGCTCGGCCGCCCTCTGTCTCTGGTTCTCGTCCTGCCGCAGCTGCATCAGCACTTGCCTGTAGTGCTCCGTGTAGTATTCCAGCCTGGCCGCCGCGTCATCCTTGATCCTGAAGAAGAGGCTACGTTTGCCTTGGACATCAATTTCACGGCAACGAAGCGCGGCCTCTTTCAAACGAATTTCTCGCTCTTCTCTCTTCAGCCGTTTTCTCTTGAACTTCAGTTCTTTGGCTTTGGCCTCCATATTATATTAGCAGCAAATAAATATTTCCGATTCGTACGAGAATTTCGGCAAGGCTGACTTTGGGTGTGAATTATTCGTTTTCCATGGGTTTTCAATTTTCCAACAATGAATAATAGAGGTAATTTGAATCGATTCCAAAGAATTTCCCCCAACAAGACAAAAACACACTGATTCTTGGCGCTCTATAAATATTATTATTTGAATACAAAATGCAACTAAAAATGCTCATTTTCTTCCATTTTGGCTTGCCAGTTTTTGCTATTTTAAATCACTCTTGGATACTCGGAGGTTGATGTCTGTGCTCAACAAAGTGCCACTGTTTTTTCAGCAGATTACTGAGACAGTTAGATTGAAATATTTAAGGGAAGAATTCAGATATGTCGTCGGCACTAGATCAAGTATAAGCTCAAGAATTTGTTTGCTATACATAATTATTTTCGACGGAAGTCGTTAAAAAAATTAATATAATGCGTTTTTTTTTAACAAACGTGTTAATCACGTTTAGATTTAATTTAATCAAATAAAGAAATCAGTTCTAACGAATTAATATCTGATTGATGTAACTTGTGCGGTATTCCTGAAGCCTCTCCTTCATGCCACTTCTTCAGCAGCTGCTTCCTCTCTGCCTTCCTGAGGGCCTGGGTGACAAGGTCGATCCCCTTGGACTTCTCAAACGCCATAAGCTGCAATTCTCAAGTGCTCGTTCTTGGGCACGAAGCACAACTTCCCTTATAAGAATTTGAAGCTCGTCTTCTTGAGCCGGTACTCTTTTCTATATTTCAAATTCGCCTACAGCCACAAGTCACTGTGGGAAAAGTGTGTGGCCACACACGGGCTTGATCCATCACAGCTCGGTCTTCTATCGTCATGTCGACGGCAGGACCCTGAACTGCAAGCTAGCGGAGCGGGCTGTGGCGGACGGCCATGTGGTAGACTGAATTGTTGTGTATATGAATTTGGTATTGTTGCTGGTGCTGTGGAACTGCCACATCACAATGGCAGCCCTCATCTCGGAGGTAAAGCACTTAAAGTGTAAACTTCCTTCATTAATCTCCTGCTTTTGCTTATTATCTCGTGATCTCTGATTTCATTCATTTTAAAATCAAACTTATGTTATGTCTTTATATTATTCCACTCTGCTGCTCTGCTGCATCAATTTTCCTAAATTAGCATTTAAATTGATTTGAGCTGATCACTGACATGTCAGAAAAAAAAATGAGGACAAAGATTTTTCTAAACGACCCGTGCTTCGAACCAACACAGCAGGCACTGCGAGGGCGCCTCATAAAAATAAAATCGCATATTTTTATTATTTTTTTTCCTAAATTCGAAAAAATTTGCAAAGATTTTAATTAACTTCAGATCAAATAATCTATCGAATTTGTGACTAGAGATAAAATATGAATAAATATATCGAGATTTAAAGATAAATTAATTAAAATTAGTTTTTTTTTTTAAGGATATAAGCACAACTTTTGTGATTTTATTTCCCATAATTAATTTTAACAAGGAACAGTAACTATAATTTTAGACAATGTACGACGGACTACCCCAGCGAGCTAGCTCGTCCGCCCTTCGCTTCTAGTACTCTAGACCTGCAGCATACGCAGGTCGTACTCCACCTGCAGAGTCATCAGGCGCCTTTTCCTGGCCTCCACGTCATCCTTGACCCTCTTAAAGAGGCTGCGTTGGGCTCTGGAAAGGGCGGTAACTTGTCCATGGAGACGGAGCCCGGCCTCTAGGAAACGGATCTCGCGCTCTTTCCTCTTGAGTCGCTTCTTCATCTTTTTCAAGAGATTCAGTCGTTCTTGGTGAGCATTGGCCTCCATATTTTGTAGCAGCAAGTATTTCTTCCAATTCGATCCGCGTCTTTCGGCAGGCTGACTTAGGTTGCGAACTCGGAATTCGTTTTTGATGGCTTTCAAATCTGGCGACAGTCAACAGTCAACAGAAGAGCTAATTTAAATAGATTTCAAAGAATTATTTTCCCAACAATACAATAAAAATAATGCTTTACAAAGCACTCTGGTTCTTGCGTTCTTGGCGCTCGTCTGTTCTGTTCTATTTCAAAATTCGCCAACAGCCAATGGTTGCCCTCTGTTCGAGATAAACAAAAGTGCCCCGCCCACATGTGATTATCCAAAGTTTCTAAATTTGGTGAGCAATTTTCCCTTTATTTATCCTGTATTTTCCGACGTTAAACTGCGCGTTATCCTATTTGAAACCCTAATATTAAAATTTTTTTAAGCTTGAAGAGTTCTGAAAATTCAGATTATTGTATCATTAACGTTCCCTTTCCTTTCGCAGCAACGAAAATAATGCGACGCCGGACACCTGCTGGTGAGACCAGATGTGCATCAAAGTCCGAAGATGGGGTAAGTTTGCTCTTTATTTTAAAATCTATCTACCTAAATTTTGTTTTGCTAGGATGATAAAACAAAAAAGGATTTTGCAACCTGCAGAAGTCAGCCGTCCTCTTCGCTTTTTGCTGTGGCAGCTTCTGTTATTTTCCTCGGCTCAACCATGGTTGCTGTCAACATTTATGAATTAAGGAGTTTGCACAATGAGCAAATGAACGTGTTGCTCAAGGTCAGAAGAGATTTGCAAACTCCTCCAGACTGTCATGTTGCGGATCAAATTAGCCATGATAGCGGGGAGAAACCCACCCTCCTTGTCTGGAGTCCCAGAGTAATTATTTATTGATCTCTCTGTGATTAAGCTTTTATTTAAACTTTTCCTTTCCAGATGGATCTGAAGCATTTGAAGCACGTTTACAATGTTTTTGAGCGTCTCGGCTACCAAACCACAGAGGACAACAGCTCGGACTGGGATGTCTTGTGGGCGCACGATTACCCTTTCCAAGCTCTGCAAAGTTCGTTGAAAAATTTGAGGCCAAACCAAAGGGTCAACAAACTGCCAGGAACAGGATTTGTAACAACGAAAGTGAGTCTGGCCACTTCTGGCGGCCTCAAAATTCCTCCTGCCTTCAGACTGCCCGACGACAAAGACAAGTTTCTTCAATATGTAAATGATTTCTTTTTGAAAGGAAAAATAATTAAATTTTTGAACTTTAGGCAAAACAGAATCCACATTCTATGTTTGTGGAAAAAAACAACGACCACCGATCCGTCATTCTGAAGCCAACCAAAGAAATCAATCTTGAATCGAAAGAAAATTTTGTGCAAGAGTTCATAACAAATCCGTTGTTAATCAGTGGCCACAAATTTGACATCGGGGTCTACACAATCATCACCTCCATTGACCCGTTGAGAATTTACAAATTCGATGGTGATGTTCTCTTTCGGTAGTTCTTCAATTTAATTTGTCATTGTTCGAAATAATTGTTAATTTGTAAAAGATACTGCGAAGAACCTTACGAACCCTTCAATGCATCAAATGTAGCTCAGTATGTGATAGGAGAAGACTATCTTCCAGCCTGGAAGGTTCCTGCCTTGCAGAAATACGCGGGGCTCTCTTTTGGTTTTAAAGAATCGTTTGACGCCTACTTGAGCTCAATAGGTATTTTTTTTTTTTTTTAAATTGCTAAGTAATTCAAATTTTATCAATATGTTGTTTGCAGGAAAAAATCCTGATGTGATTTGGAATCAGGTGGACAAAGCTATTGCTTCGGTTTACCTGTCAAGAGAAAAGGATTTTGCAAATTTACTCTCCCGCTACAAAAACAGAAGAAACTTTTTTGAAATGGTGCGTTTTGATTTCATTGTCGATGAAAACTTGAAGGTTCATCTTTTGGAGGTAATTTTTCTTGTCAATCGACAAGTTTAGAAATTAATTAGAATTCGGCAGGCTAATATGTCGCCAAACCTCTCGTCGATGCACTACCCACCCAATGCCCTGCTTTACGAGCAAGTGCTGCACAGTTTGCTTGCTCTTGTCGGAGTCTCCAGCTACATGCATCCACCTTATCAAAAGTAACTTGATTTTGCATAATCCTGCTAAATTTTAACCCTAAATATTCCTCCAGTTCCAACGAAGCCAAGAATATGGCAGTGGCCGATCGAAACATAATGACCACCCCGGAGGTCTGTCTCAATTGTGAAGACTGCGGCAATCTTGAGTGCCAACTTTGTGCTCACTGCCTGAGCAAAGATGTGGTGGCAGACATAAAAATGGCTTACAGGGAGCACCTAAACAAGTACAGTTGCAAACGAATTTTTCCGCCAAAAATGGTAAATAATGTCACAAGTGTGGTAATTTGAAGCAACGCAATTATCTCTTGACATTTTCAGACTAGACAGGAAGCAAAATTAGGAATTCCCAAGGAGTATGAAGGCCTGTCGCACAAAAACACACTGCTTTTTAAGTGGTTCCAGGGCAAGTGTCTTATGGATGATTCGTGGTGTTAACTTTTCTTAGTTTTCTTTTCTCCTGCATTTGCTGATACTCTCCGTGATCTGATTTTATTCATTTGCTCAACGATCAAATTTTAACTTACATTCCATTCTACTGTGGCAAACAACTTAATTTAGCATTTAATGGAGCTGATTATATTCAGCAAAATGTGGGCAACAAAGTATTATTTTTTTTATCAATAATGCACAAAGTTTTTATCTGTGAATTCTATCAAGTAATGAGTTTACTGAAAAAATTGAGCAATTATTGATCGTTTCGGTTATTTATAACTGTTAGACCTTATACATCAAATGAGATTTATAATATTACAAAAATAAATTGACCAAATGGAAAACTGAAGTGATAAGTAGTATTTGTGTACAAAATTCAACTAAAACTACACATTTTATTCCATTTTAGCTGGCCAGTTTTTGCTACTTTAAATCGCTCTTGGATACTCGGAGGTTGATATCTGTGCTGAACAAAGTGCCTCTGTTTTTTTCAGCAGATTACTGAGACAGTTAGGTTGAAATATTTAAGGGAAGAATTCACATATGTCGTCGGCACTATATAGATCAAGTATTTGTATGCTATACATAATTATTTTCGACGGAAGTCATTAAAAAAATTAATATATAATGTGTGTGTTTTTTTTTAACAAACGTGTTAATCACGTTTAGATTTAATTTAATCAAATAAAGAGATCAGTTCTAACGAATTAATATCTGATTGATGTAACTTGTGCGGTATTCCTGAAGCCTCTCTTCATGCCACTTCTTCAGCAGCTGATTCCTCTCTGCCTTCTTGAAGGCCTGGGTGACAAGGTCGATCCCCTTGGACTTCTCAAACGCCATAAGCTGCAATTCTCAAGTGCTCGTTCTTGGGCACGAAGCACAACTTCCCTTATGAGAATTTGAAGCTCGTCTTCTTGAGCCGGTACTCTTTTCTATATTTCAAATTCGCCTACAGCCACAAGTCACAATGGCAGCCCTCATCTCGGAGGTAAAGCACTTAAAGTGTAAACTTTCCTTCATTAATCTCCTGCTTTTGCTTATTATCTCCGTGATCTCTGATTTCAATCATTTTAAAATCAAACTTATTTCTTATATTCCACTCAGCTGCATTAATTTTCTTAAATTAGCATTTAAATTTATTTGAGCTGATCATGCACTGTCAGAAAAAAAATGTGGACGATGTGTTATCTTTTAACAAAAATACACAATTAAGTTTTTAACCGTTGACGTTAAATATCAAATGAGATTTTATATTTACAAATTAAATGAACATGTCAGAATGGAAAACTGAAGTGGATAGTAAACAAAAAATGCACACTTAATTTTAGCTGGCCAGTCTTTTCTAATTTAAATCACTCTTCGGTGGTACTCGGGGGTTGATGTCATATAATTGTCGGTGCTGAACAAAGTGCTTTTGTTTTGGCAGCAGTACTTGATGATGCTATTCAAGTGCTTCATGAGGTATTCACAGCTGACATCGTCAAACTGCGACTTTGGCACAAGACCTTGTTTCCAGCAGAACAATCGGAGCAAGTGGGGTGCTCCGTAAATGTGGCTCATGCCTTTGTAGGGATGTTTCTGCAGCAATTCTGCGTACTGAGGCCTCTCAAACTTGTACAGCAGCTGCTTTCCAAGGAGGGTGTCAAACAAGGAACAAATTCCTGCAATATTAGAATATTATTATCAAATCGTATTTGGTAAACCATGTTTTTACCTCTGCCAATTTCTCTCAACGCACTCTCCACACTTTTGTCACACTCGGACTTGGCGACTTTGTACTTGACGTAGTCGTCGAAAATGTCTCTGACAGTGTGCTTGGCAGGCAGGTTGTAAAGTTTGTCTTGTTTCTGAATAAGGTACCAGTCGTCCACCAAAACCTTCCGAAGTTCAACAGGGATCTCCAGTTCTTGCAGCAGATTTTCGTCTTTCAGCTTTACAGGCACTGATTTCTCCACAGGTTCATCCTGTTTGACTGGGACAGGCTCTTCCTTGAGCACTTTGGCCTCTGGCTCTGATGTTTCCTTTGGTGGCGGAGGAGGAGGAAGTGAAGACTTGGCTGACGAAACTGTTGGCGTCTTGACAGACGAAGCGTCCGAGGAAGGCGTCGAAGCTCGACTGCTGCTTGTCGGGGTCTCTGCTTTAGGTGCCTCTGATTTCCTTTTGAGTCCCTTTTTCTTTGCTGCTGCTTTTCTGTACAAAATAAAAATTAATTATAAAATATATTAGATTATGGCTTTGAAAAACTTACGATAGTTCAAATTCCTTTTTCAATTCCTTCTGTTTCTGCAAACTGGTTTCGTTGTACTTGAGGATCCTGTCCTCTGGTACCCATTCGTCCCAGCTGAATAAAATATTCAATAAAAATAAAATTTTATTGCATTCAAATTAGTGGTCACCTTTTGTTCCAACCAGCGTAGTGGACTTTGAATTCAACGACCTTGTCATTCGTTCTGTGCTCCAAACACTTTGCTTCGTACAGCAGTATTCCGTGGTAGCAGAGAACCCTCTCACCTGCAATAAAAATTTTGTCAATAATTATTACGACTTGTTCTACTATTGCATGCCGGCCGGCACATTGACGTTGAGACAAGTTGGCTAAAAACAATGAATTTACGCCGAATTCAAGAGCAAAAGCAATGATATGCCGAGAAAAATAATTACTCTTACCCTCTGTAAACTTATTTTTGCCCATTTTTATGACTGCTGGCGTCTCTGCCTTGAGAAATTTCCAAATGTATGTATCTAAACTCGTGATATAGCTTCGATGTAAACAAACAAGAAAACCGAAGAACACAAGAGATTGAAGCAAGGTGCACACAGCGGCCATGTTTATTCTCGAAGGCACCGATTATTTACAAAATCGCGCGACAATTTAAATAAAAGATGGCGGTGCTATACGCATCTTTCACGTTTGTACTAACTGCGGAAAATTAATTTTTTTTGTGCTTTTAGCAACAAAATTGACAGCCTGACAGGATTGAAGATTCTATTTCTAGGATAAATTTGTGTTGCGGCTTGCACTGAAAGGGAAACTTGCAAGAAGTGGGTGGAATTATTTGTGCTTTGCGAAAATAGAGAAGCAAAAGAGAGGAGAGTGTACAACAATAAACCAGGATAAAACATGAAGGAGTTTGAAGAAATTTTATAGAAAAGTCTGACTCGCAACCGGCAAAAAGCAACACGTGTCTCTAATCTGCATTTTACAGAAGATCATCGTTCGTTTTCGGCCGTCGGCATGGCGAAAGACTCTTCTCAGGAAAGCAGGACGAGGACCACATCTCGGCCGAATGACTGCAAAGGAAAAAAACTTTTGGAGGAGCCGACAGCAGTAGATGAGGGAGCTGGGAAAAGTACCAATAATTCAGACAAAGGCGGACATTCACCAAACACTCTGAATTGCGACGATGCTCATCCAATCAAAGACCATGAGGGTACGTTTAATCTCTGATAATTATGTACCACAGACATACAGACGTCAGAGATAAATTATTTTAAGATTGCGTCATCTACTGGTCGGTGTGTAATAGCTTTTATATGTAATCTTGCTTTCAGAACGCAAAGTGCGGAAGAGGAGAGACTCGGACGAACGGTTTTACCAAGCCCCAGGGTACAGAAGAGGGTCCACCTCGCCTCTCAGTGAAGCCCTTCTTTCGCATGACAGCTCCTCTGGGGATGACAAAAAGCTGCCCAAGAAGAAGATTGAAAAACCCTCTCGTAAAAGCTGTCCTGCGATCATGGAAAAGGAAGGTGACGAGCAGATGCCACCGAGCAACACTGCTCCAAAACAAAAGTTGACTCCGCAACCTCAGAGGAATTTGGCCAGAGGTACCAGAAGCAGTTTGCCTCCAAAGGTTGAAGAAGCAAGCCCTAAATCTGCCGAAAAGACTAAAAGCGCTGACAAAGAGGAGTTGGTGGAGGAAAAGAAGCAACCAAGTGCTTCGAAGAAGCCACAGAGCAGTGCCAAGAGAAAGATAAACCTGAAAAGGTCAAGTGAGCCGGTTGAGCAAAAGAACCCTGAACCAGCGCAGAAAGAAAAGGTTCCTGGCAGTGCTGGAAAGACTGAAATCTCTGGTAACAAAGAAGAGTTAGTAGACAAGAAACCGAGTTCTGTGCCAAAGAAAAAGGTTACTCTGAAGAGGTCGGAAAAGGTGAAAAGTGAGCCTGTCGAAGAAAGGAGACCTGAACCTGTACAAAAAGAAGCCCCTGAGCAGAAGGAAAAAGTTACTGGGAATGCAGAGAAGACTGAATTCACAACAAAAGTGGAGGTGGTAGACACAAAACACAGTCCTTCGAAAAAGCAGCAAAACAGTCCGAAGAAAAAGGTAATTCGGAAGAGATCAGATGTAACAAAGAGTGAGCCAGTCAAAGAAAAAAACCCTGAGCCGGAGCAGAAAGAGCGAGTTGCAGAGCAAAAAGCTACCATCGAACCTGCATTGAGTGTTGTCGATGATGATTCCCTGGCGAGCATTCCCATTCCACCTAGTGCAGATGCGTCCTGGGAGGACAAGTTCGACAAAGGCGCACTGGAAGACCCCGTCAGTCAGCACCAACGAACTTACGCCCAGAGGTACCTGGAGGAATCCATAGGGCTGAAGAACCAGATTCCCAGAGGCGGAGAGAAAGTTGTTCTACCGCAGCAGGTTATGAAGGATTACGGTCAAATGTACAACTACTGGCAAAATGAAGCCCAGAGGCAGGTTGCTCAAGGTATGGAAATTTTAAAATTACTTCACTCTTTTTTAATAAAATCGAAATTAAACCCTTAAGATGCAACTTTAAAGAAAACAAAAAATTTATCTTTCAGCTCCATCAGTTCCTGCTAATAATGTGATAACCGTGGTGAACGGAGATGTCTTCAGTGCCACTTGCTCCCTGGCCCACTGCGTCTCCGAGGACTTCACGATGAGTTCTGGCGTGGCTGTGCCTTTCCGCAAACGCTTTGGTCATGTGGCCGAACTGCTCAACCAGAGGATAAAAACGGGAGGGGTTGCTGTGCTGAAGAACGGACACAGATTCATCTACTACCTGGTCACCAAAGAGTTCTACCTGGCCAAACCTGACGGCACTCACATCTTGTGGCACAGTCTGGAGGAGATGAGGGAACACGCAATGCAGAACGGCGTAGGCGAAATTGCCATGCCCAAGATCGGCTGCGGCAGGGACCAGTTGCAGTGGGCCGAGGTTTCCGAAGCCATTCAGCAAATCTTCTGCAATACTGGAATCAAAATCACTGTGTATCAAATGGAGGAAGTGAGTTGGTTGAGATAATTCACGCTTTGCTTTTGTGTGAACCGAGGCTTTTTCATTATTGGTTGCATGTGGACAAGAAAACCTTCCTTTTATTTAAAACCGAACATGCTTTTACTTTTAAACATTATTTTAGTAGCCCTTAATTCAATTTAAATTCTTTAAAAGTTTTCCAACAATTTGAACAATTTTTAGATCACAAATTCAACTATTAAATTTTGTCCCAATTAAAGAAAACTCCACGTAGGAGTTTGCATGTGACGCTGTTGTCCTTGTGCTGTTGCAGCCGTCGCTGAGTTGGTCGCGCAAGCGTCCGGCCCCCTTCCCTCCGTCGTTTGCTGTCCCTCCCCCCACCAAGAGGCCCAATGCTGACTGGTCTGCTCCTGACCCACAGGAGTCGATTCCTCAACGACCCCTCATCGTGCAGCACCTCTTCAACTCGAACATCGTGGACTCGCGGCCGCCCATTGTCCGCATCTTCCTGACCTCCTGTCAGTCTTGCCCGCCCGAAGGCGCCGCCGGCCGCCTCAACGCCACCTTCAAGATCTGGCATGACCTGATGCAGAAGGAGCGACCGCTGGGCAGCCACGTGCCCTTGTTCGGGGGCGCCATCGTCGCCCTGGTCGTCAAGAACGAGGCCAGACACCCCATTGACTACCAGGCCCTGCACAAGGCCGCCAAGGATCTGGCCATCATGACCAATGCCATGGCCATCAAACGCCTCGTCCTCGAAGGCTTCACCTTGCCTGGAGACAAAGTCGTCACCTTCAAGGTTGTTTGGTTGATCTTTTTTTTAAATTCTGTTACAAAATCTAAAATTAAAAACAAAATTTGAATTTTATTTTTATTATGATTTAATTAATTCGGGTTTCAGGTGGTGACCATCCTGAGGCTGGCCCTGGTGAATCAGTACATGACCCTGAACGTGGCCTGGCCAGAGGACCCTCCGTACGCCAACCTGGTCCGAAGTGCCCAGCAAAATTTCAACAACCAGCAGCAGCAGCCGAATCAGGGCTCCACCCTCGGCCCTGGCGAGTACGACTATTAATAAAGTTAGGTCTCATCGAAAGTGAGTACAGCCCTCTAGTTAATAGACTGCTCTATCTTATTACGAGTTAATTAAGCAGATTTAATCGTAGAAATTTGTATAGTTTACAAAATGAGGCTGAGAAATAGCTTTTTTTTTGAAAAATTAAATGCCATAATTAATTAAGTAGCTTGTTGAATACTGTGACTTCGATTATAATTTCATCAAAAACAGACTGATCATGAGTTGAGTCTGATAATTTTATGTCAAAAGAAAAAAATTTGATTAATAAAGAGGTCTTGAAAAAGCTAAAAAAAAATACAACTTGAAAAGCTCTGTATTTTCTTACAAAATGTTAACAAATTTGATATAAGGTTTTATGAAAACTAATTTGCAGCTCACTGGATATCAAAACCTTCCGTCATTTCTCACAGGTGTGTGTTTCCTCAATAATTTTCATTTTTTAATTGATAACGAGTCGGCGCTGTCAGTTGTTTTTAAAAACCACTACAACGCAGTTCTTTCCTTGCTCAGGCCTGTCTCTGGTCTCTGTCCCATAAATTTTATGCCTTTCCAAAAAATGAAGCGTTTCAAATTTATTGAAGCTCGAAACAGAAATGTCATAGAGGTTAATTTAGTTCTCATCAGAAAACCTCAAAACGTAAATCAAGAATCAATTTTAGGAAAAACCTGCAAACAAAACTTCAACTTCTTCACGCCGGTCAGTATTTTATCTAATCGGAACTTTAATTGTTGGCTGCGGTGCAATTGCTTTGCACTTCTTGCGATCACCGAACAAGACTGAAACAACTAATTACAAAATAACAGCAAAAGAAAAGCCCACTGTCCTGCTGTGGTGTCCAGAGGTACTGTTAAATTAAACAAAAGTTTTTCTTATTTTCTTTTCACGCAATAAAAGGTGCCTTTGATTCACATGCAACATGTTGTTGCCATTTTCCAACGCCTCGGCTACCAAGTGACGACGAATGAAAGTGTCGAATGGGACGTGCTGTGGGCTCATCACTACCCTTTCGACGCGCTGGTCAAAAAACTAAAGCCCAACCAAAGGGTCAGCAAGTTTCCTGGCTCCGGCTTCGTCACTCAAAAGGTCGAGTTGGCGACTTCCGGCGGCCTCGGCATTCCCCCTGCCTTTCGCTTGCCCAACGATAAGCAAATGTTTCTCAAATACGTTGGATTTTTTTAAAGTAATTTTCCAATATTATAATTTATCGAAATGCACAGGCAGAAGCAAATCCAGAGGCTCAATTTGTGTTGAAAAACAATTATCACGGCTCGATCAGATTGAAATCGATCGGAGAAATCGATTTAGACTCCAAGGGCAGTTTTCTGCAACGATTCATTTCCAATCCGTTCCTCATTGATGGACGCAAGTTCGAAATTGGCGTTTCTGTCGTCGTAACCTCGATTGACCCCCTGCGAATTTATAAGATCGTCGGTGACGTCACATTTCGGTACTACTTATTTTTAAAAATATAGGTTTTTGACCAAAAGTTATCCATAAATTTAAATATTACCTAAATCACTGATCAGTCTGGTTAAATTTTTGCCCATACAAGGTTCTGCAAAGATCTTTATGAAGGTCTGAACGCTTCAAATCCTAATCAGTATGTGATCAGGGACGAATTCATCCCAGCGTTTGACGCGCCCGCTTTGAAGAAGTACTTGGACCTCAATTTTTCTCTGCAAGACTCATTTGAAGCGCACCTCCGCAACCTTGGTACTTTTTTTTTTATCAAAAAAATATAAATTTTAATTAATTTAAGCAGGAGTTGACCCGAAATTGATTTGGGCGCAAATCGATGAGCAAATCGTGTCTGCCTATTTGAATCGCGAGTCCGTCTTGGCGACTTTGCTCTCTCGGTACGGCCACAAACGCAGCTTCTTCGAATTCGTCCGCTTTGAATTCATGCTCGACAGTGAATTGAAAGTCCATCTCATGGAGGCAAATTTAATTTTAATAATTTTGGCAATTTCAAATCTGCTTTTTACAGGCGATTATGTCTCCGAGTCTGTTCTCCGCCAAATATCCCCAAAAAAGCATTCGATACCAACAAGTCTTTTTCACAATTCTCTCTCTTGTTGGTCTGGCAAGTTATGTTCACCCTCCGCACCAAAAGTAAACAAATTTAAAGTTATTATAGATTAATTTTATTTAAAATTAAAAAAAAAATGTGATAGTTCCACCGAGGCCAAGGATATGATTGTGGCCGAAAGGAATTTGATGGTTTTTAGAGAAATCTGCGTTCTTTGCAAAAACTGTGAAAAGTTTGAATGCAGACTTTGCGCCCCTTGTTTGGCCAAAAACGAAGAATTGATGTACGATTTGAAAATGGCCTACAAAGAGCACATGAACAAATTCAGGAGCGTCAGAATCTTTCCGCCGAGAATGGTGTGTTATTATATTATTTTATTTCCTCTGTTTTCAAACTTTGGTTTTCTAGACTCGAAATCAGGCCAAGTTAGGAATTCAAAGTTCATTCTTAAATCATCGTCTAACCACGAAAAATATGCTCCTCGCTCGTTGGTTTCAAGGAAAGTGCCTCAAAGACGATTCGTGGTGTTGATTTTTTCTTCTTCAGATTGAATAAAACTTCATTCCTAATTCAATACACGGCTTTGTACGAATTTTTGTTTAATTAATAACAATAAATAATTACTTGCATTTCTTACTAAAATTAATCTGTCGTTTCTGTGTCCTTAAAACAAGTTAAATTATTCTCTTCCGCGCCACATGCATTATATTTTACAAAAATTATCAAACGCATTGATAACGTGAGCGACGAGCGGTGTCAGTCGTTGAAAAACTTCCTAAACGCATGCAGCACTACAATCTTTAACTAGTATTTTATTCCCACGGAAAAATGAAGCGATCGAAAAGTACCTCAGAACGACTGAAGACGGATAAATGTTGGGAGGATCAAAACGGAATCATTAAAAAGAAGGTTTTTAATTTTTGACATAACTATTTGCACTTAAAAAATTATGCAAAAATTTCAAGCTCAAATCTGCGAAGAATACTTCAACTCGCCGCGGGTCTGTATTTTATTTCCTCGGAATTTTACTTGTTGCATTTGGAGGACTGGCTTATTTTTACTCGAGACTTTCTAACAAGACTGCAATTATTAGAACCACGAAAACAGAAACAATCAATTACAAAACGCCTCCGAGAGAAAAACCCACTGTCCTTTTGTGGTGTCCAGGAGTAAAAATTATTTTGAAAATATGGGCTTAATTTTCAAATAAATTTTTAAGGTGCCTTTGATTCACATGCGACACGTCATTCTCGTCTTCCAACGTCTCGGATACAAAGTGACGACAGACGTGGGTGTCGAATGGGACGTGCTGTGGGCCCATCGCTACCCTTTCGACGAGTTGGTCAAAAAACTGAAACCCAACCAAAGGGTCAACAAGTTTCCGAGCTCCGGTTTCGTCACTCAAAAGGTCGAGTTGGCGACTTCCGGCGGCCTCGGCATTCCCCCTGCCTTTCGCTTGCCCGACGATAAGCAAAAGTTTCTCATTTATGTACAGAATAATTTCGCTTTTTAAGCGTTCATTAATGATTACAAATTATTAATTCTCAGGCAAAAGAAAATCCTGAAGCACAATTTCTCGAAAAAGACCTTCATCACCGCTCAGTTCGATTGAAACCTTTGAGCGAAATAAATTTAGACTCGACAAACAGTTTCGTCCAAAAATTCATTTCAAATCCGTTCCTCGTTGATGGCCGCGTTTTTGACATTGGAGTGCCAGTTGTTCTGACCTCCATCGACCCGTTGCGGATCTACAAAATTACTGGGGACATCGTGTTTCGGTAATTCAATTAATTAAATGAGAAAAAGTTGAAAAAGTAACTTTTCCATAGAGAAAGGAATTTTTATTATTTTTATTTTAGTAAAACAATTCAGTTTGAAGTTGCTTTGACATTTAATCGAATTTTACGAACTGATAAAGTTATTTAATTTTTATATTTTATTTATGTGCCTAAATATTAATTTTATTTCATATTTAAGCTGAGCCCACTGATGACCATCAAAACCAGAGAAAACAGTTTAAAAAAATTCATAAATTAACTTTGTTTATTTTTGTATGGAGATCGAAGTTTTAAACTCAGAACGAAGTAATATGCAAAGTTCCACTTTCAATCTTTTGTGATCAAGAAATATTTGTTCGCGTTTTTCACCAGATATTTAGCATAAATTTTGTCTTAATTGCTAAACCTTTATAGGAATATACACTTGTGGAACTTTTTATTAAATCCTAGCTCTTGACAAGTCAATTGTAAATTAAAATTTTGTCTTTCTTAAATTAAGGTTCTGTAAGGATCCGTACGAGAACTTGAACGCTTCAAACTTGAACCAGTACGTGATTGCGGACGATTACATCCCTTCATTTGATTCGCCCGCCTTGAAAAAATACTTGCAACTTTCTTATTCTCTGGAGGAATCGTTTGATGCGCATCTCCAGAGCAAAGGTTTTCATCAATTTTAGCCCTCTGAAGATCTTTGGCTAAATAAATCATGCGCAGGCATCGATCCAAAGTTAATCTGGGAACAAATTGACGATCAAATCGTGTCTGCTTATTTGACGCGCGAGGCCAAATTCGCCTACTGGTCGCTGCAGTACGGCCACAAACGCAGCTTTTTCGAACTGGTCCGCTTCGATTTTATGCTCGACAGTGATTTGAAAGTCCACCTGATCGAGGTCTGCATTAATTAGCTATTGAATTTTTTTGTAATCTTCTTTATTCAGGCAAACATGTCGCCAAGTCTGTCTTCCGCTGACCATCCGCCAAATGGCATCCGTTTTGAGCAAGTCGCGTTCACCACCCTGTCCCTCGTCGGCCTCGCCAATTATGTGCACCCGCCCTTCCAAAAGTACATAATTTTTATTTTATTCAAACATTTTAAGAATCTGATAGTTCGACCGAGGCCAAGGATATGATTGTGGCCGAAAGGAACTTGATGGTTTTTCGAGAAATTTGCGTTCTTTGCAAAAACTGTGAAAAGTTTGAATGCAGACTTTGCGCCCCTTGCTTGGCCCAAAACGAGGAATTGACTTTTGATTTGAAAATGGCCTACAAAGAGCACATGAACAAATTCAGGAGCGTCAGAATCTTTCCTCCAAGAATGGTGCGATCATTAATGTGTAATTTATTTATTTATTTTCAAATTTTGGTTTCTAGACTCAAGAGCAGGCCAAGTTGGGAATTCCTTACGCGTATTTAAATCATCGTTTAACCACGAAAAATATGCTTCTGGCCCGATGGTTTCAAGGGAAATGTCTTACAGACAAATCTTGGTGTTGAAATCCTCGGCCAAGATTCAAACACATCAATTGCTATTGACAAAGAGTTTTAATTTTATTTTGAATCATAGCTGAAAACAATCTAGATTTAAAATAAAGATTAGGAGCAAACAAATTATGCATTTTTATTAAAAAATGCGTTTGAAAATAATAATAAATTTTTTTTTAAATTTTGTCATTTTTTTCCAATCATAGAAAATGAGAGATAAATTTTTGGCCATAAAAAAATATTTTTTTATAAATCCCTTTGAAATTTTGATTCTATTCATACTTCTACTATTTTTTTTTTGCAAACTTTTATTTGGTTCATATTGCTAAAGAATTTGCATTAGTCTTTTGTAAGCGTTAATGTTATTTTACTACCACTAATGAAGGGTAAATTTTTTCAAATGTTTATGTACAAAGCTTAAAAAAACGACCCCTTGCACTGCGTGGAAAACCAAAGTCCAATTATTCAATCAGAAGCAGACGCTTGGATGTAAACAAATTTTCAAATTGGTAAAGTAATTTAATGTCAAGTTAAATGGTAAAAAGTGCCGTTTCGAGGAAGTTTCCGTTGATAATTTAATGAATTTTTTTATCTCTCCACTCTCCATGATAGAAGTTTCGGGAACGAAATTTTACGAGTGTTGACTGTGTCGACGTTACATCGGGGAAGAATATAATACATGAATTATTCTTTGCGTCAGGCAAAACGGCTAAAACGGGGGGTGAGAAATGAAACAGGCAAAAGGAATGAACTTGAAAAATTCCAACATAAAAACAAAGGTAACCGATTCAGTTGATTTTAAATTTTTTCTGCGTGAAATTTAAGTTTACATATGAAAAATTTAAATAATTTAAAATTCTCAGCCGGAAAGTATGAAGAAAAATAAAAGTCGCGTCCATGGCTCGAGGGAAATTTGTTACTTGACCCTTGTTTCTTTCCTAATGGTCTGCGCCGCAATATTTCTAACATTTTTCACGACTCGCACGTCATTCCAGCCTGATGGAAAGATCAGGAAACAGCCCAAAGATCAAAACACAGGGTTTTCCAAAAACAAATCTCAGCCGGTTGTTCTCTTCTGGAAACGCAATCTTGTGAGGCGAAAATGCAGAAATTTATAATTTTGTTTATTTATTTTTTAAAAAAAAAGGCCGGTCTGGACCATTTGACGCACATTCGAAACGTTTTCGTCCTGCTGGGATACAAAGTTAGTTTGGACTTGAACTCGGACTGGGACGTTTTGTGGGCCCACGACTACCCATTCGAAAACCCACTCGACCCTTCGCCACTTGAGTGGCAGATGAAGAATTTGAAGCCGCACCAAAGAGTGAACAAACTGCCCGGATCGGGTTTTGTCACGTCCAAGGTGGAGTTGGCCACTTCTGGGGGGCTCGGCATCCCCCCGGCCTTCAGGTTGCCGCAGGACAAGTTCAAACTTATTGAATATGTAATTATGAATAAATTTTTAAAATTAATTTAAAATTTCATAAAATTAATTAAGGTCTCTTAATCTCTAAATAAAAGTTTTGATATGGAAATTTTTAGTTCTTTGCCCCCATTTAAAACAATTTTTATATTAAAATCTGTTAATTTCATGCAAATTTATATTTTTTTTTTATGTCAGGCCAGGAAAAATCCAAAAGAGAAGTTTCTGGAAAAAGGCAACAGCCATCGGTCGATCCGTCTCAAAAGCATTGGCGAAATAAATTTGGATTCGACGAAAAGTTTCGTCCAGCAGTTCATCGCCAACCCCCTGCTGATCAGGGGCTACTTCTTTGACATTGGCGTGTACGCGATAATCACCTCGGTCGATCCGTTGCGAATTTATCGTCTTGATAACGACGTCGCCTTCAGGTACATCGGAGCAGTTTCCTTTTTTTATTCTATGAATGAGTTATTTGAAGGTTTTGCAACGAACCTTACGAGCCATTCGACCCTTTGAACGTTGAAAAATACGTCATTGCTGATAACTACCAGCCGTCCTACAAAGAACCCGTGTTTCAAAAATATTTCAACCTCTCGTTTCCACTGAAAGACGCATTTGACGCTCACATTCGAAGCATTGGTAAAAAAAAACTATTTATTTTAGGCGGTTAAAATATAAAAAAATAGTGGAATTAATTAAGGGTTTAATTTTATTCTTAGCTTGGGCCATCGAAAAAAAGTCCCAAAGCAGTAGCCCAGTAGCTTTATTATTAAACTTTTGAATTCAAGATTCAATTTTGTTCCGTAATAAAATAATAGATTTAAATAATTCTTGTTAAATAAAAATTTCATCAGAAACTATTAAAATAATTATTAATTTGTGAATTTTTTAATTTATTCCAATTCAATTGAAAATCTCCATTTTTTCCTGTTTCGAATTTTATAAGTTTTATAATTTTGCAAAAACAGGTGGAAATCCAAAATTGATATGGGAACAGATTGACAAGCAAATCGTCGCCGCCTACTTGACTCAAGAACACAAATTCGTAGATTTGCTCTCTTCGTACAAACACAAGCGGAATTTCTTTGAAATGGTGCGAGTCGATTTCATTTTGGACGACACCATGAAGATCCACTTGATAGAGGTACCAAACCCTAGTACTATGACCCGGTTTTTAATTTGATCAAAGGTCAACATGTCTCCGAGCCTCTCCTCCATCGGATACGCGCCGAACGGAAAACGCTTCGAGCAAGTCGCCTTTTCGCTTTTGTCGCTCGTCGGCCTCGCCAATTATTTGCACCCGCCTCATCAAAAGTGAGCTTTTTTTATGAAAAGTTTAAAATTTATAATAAATTTGAATCAGTTCAGAGGAAGGGAAGGAGGTTTTCGTGGCCGACAGAAATGTGATGGTCGTGCAGGAAAGTTGCTTGACCTGCGCTGACTGCACAAAGGTCGAGTGCCAATTGTGCGCGCCTTGTTTGGACAAAGACTTTTTGGCCGACATCAAACTGGCGTACAAAGAGCACATGAACAAGTACCGCGCCATTCGAATTTTCCCACCCAGAATGGTAAATAAAATGAATAATAAAAAAAGGGGAAATTTGACATTTTGTTAAATTAGACGCAGGAAGAGGCAAAGTTGGGCATTCCGGAAGAATACGCCAAAATTACAAAGGCAAATAAACTGCAGTACCGCTGGTTCCAGGGCAGGTGTCGCATGGACTCGTCTTGGTGCTAAACTAATGAGAGAGACAGAAAAACATATTATATTTTATTGAAATAATATATTAAATTGAAATCATCAAAATTGCAAATAATTTCACTACTTTTTTTCAATTTTTAATATTGAAGTTTTCAATTCAGTGGAATTAAAGCTCGATAATGAAAAAATTGTTAAATTTTGTCCTTTTAACTGAAATTTGAACGAAATTATTATGATTGTCTGAAGAAAGTGTTGCTGCAAAAAATGTCCCGATTAATTTTGATGATGAGCAGTTTTCTTTACATTAGCATTGGTTTGTGGATTTTAATTTCAAGGAGACATAAGAAGAATAATTTAATTTATTTGCAGAACTGAATTTTCGAACACTTTGTTTCTTTAATTTTCTATGAAAATCGTGTTGGCAAGATAAAATCACTCTTGTGTATCTCGACATCAACATTTGTATTTTGATCTGGCAAACGTTGAATTAAAAGTTAATCAGGTTTTATTTTAAGGGAAAAAGATTTTATACACAATTTTTGCTTAAATTTAATTCAAAGCCTTACAGATCGCGATGTTGTAATAATATTTCATTGATTGTCTTTATCTGCAATTTTCCAACCTGAATATAAAAGGACAAAAAAATATTATTATTAGCATGTCCTGTCCACAGATTTTTACTGTTTTCTTTCTTAAAAAAAAAACTATTGAACACTTAAATTTTGGCGCTCAATAGACTTAACAAATTTACAGTCATATGTTTGCTTCAAAGTTGCTTTTGTTGTAACAACGCGCAATTAAGTAATAAAGCGCTTAATCACCGTCACAGGGGTTGAAATGCCCATTTACTTTTGTGAAAATTCGCCTCGGTCTGTGTCTCGTTTGGAAAAAGTGCTCTTCGCGATTGGCACATCCGACTTATATCAGGCGGAAATTGCCGAAAGGGGTTGGGGGTGGCGAGTGTGTGGTGACAGCCCCGCGCGCGGCGGCTCGCATGATTGATCGCGCGTGAATCAGCGCATTTAGGGAGCAGCGGGCGATCGTCGGCGCGCGCGGTCGGGGGCCGCCGATCCATTTTTAATAATTCCATTTGCCATTGTGTCCGGCGCCGCATCATTAGCACCTGATATTCCTTCTCTTCCCGCATTGCAAACGTAATATTTCTGATGACAAACACGTTCGCCTCGCGGGGGTTCCGCTCTCTACCTCGCCTTTGTCCACTCGCGCCGCGTTTTCCATTTGATACCCATTGTTGCTGCCTGCTTCTGTGCTCCTACCTATATTATTGTGATTCGAGTGTTACGCCTCAAAATCGGCAGTAAATGAAATCAGGAAATCTCCCATCGCATCTCAAACTCGGGTTTATTGCACTTTTCTTTCTAAACTTCCAATAGAATTACCCTCGTTTTTTGTAATTATCATATTAAGTGAATATTTTCTAAAAAAGGCATGTTTTTTAATCATTCAATCATTTATTTTACAAAAATTAAACAAAGTTTTAATTATATGGGAGAAAATTTGCGTTTTCCACAATTCCCTGGATCGAATCTATCACATCGCATCAGTTTGAAGTTTGAACAACTCTTTTGATAAGAAATAAAAACCATTTATGAACAAGTTTTTGAATTTTTCTGATAGACCGCTAAAAATCCTCCTATATTATTACTTTCACTCCAATTATAAAGAAATTAGCTTTCTAATTTCTTAAACTTTTAATAAGAAATCATTATTTATTAAATAAAATTAAGCACAGTAAATATTCTAACAGCTTTTTGAAATTTTTTCAATCGTGAGATTTTTTAAATTACATATTTATAATTTTCAATATTTTGATGTATCAAACTTGGCAAATTTTTCATCAAGCTTTTCTTTACTATTTGCGGACTCAATGAAGTTGCATTATTACTCATGCAATAATTGCAATACAGCACGTGATTCATTTTTTATTTTTGCTACTCAAATCTCTTCATCCGTCTCAGTCGGTGCTTTTGTGAGGATCGCAAACCATATAAATTGTATAATAATATCAAGTGGGGCGCGTGTTGGCCGCATTGGCCGTCTCTCGTTTCATTGCCATGGAGACGCGGAACAACAATGGCCCCAAACTCCGCCCAGAGGCCGCCGAGAACTTCTCTGCAGAGCAGGTCCTCCAAGGACTCGTTTTGTCTGCAGAACCAGAAGAGCTATAGAGACTCGTCCCATACATTCGAAGAAAGAAAGTCGCGTGAGTTTTACAAATTTTGTTTTTGGTTCACATTTTGGTGCAATGAATGTGGAAATTTTTGAAATTTTTATGATTTTAGATATATTTAGGATGATTTAGGATATAACAAGACAAATATTTTGATTTTCCCCTTCAAAACCCAACCAATATTTAGCCCCAGAGTTAATAAAAATGTGTAAAGAAAACCTTTTTTCAATTTTAAAGTCTTGAAAACAGACTAATTTCAAATTCCCGCAGTCATTATTTTACAGCAACAATATTCTTCTAAAGACGATTAAATTAAAAATAAAGCTGAAAATACCTTTTTTATTTTTACTCAAATATGAACTATTTGATTAAAACTTGGTATCAAATATTGTTGATTGTAATTCAGATGTTACACGCATAATAATTCCAACTGAAAACCGAGAAAAAATTATTAAATGTACACAAATGTTGAACTAATTATGAGACCCATTAATATAATATATTAGGAGGATTTTACTGTCATTGTTTAAACTTTAATTTTTACTTTTACAACTCGGAAACTTGCAATAGTTTGCCAAGATTATGAAATTTGTATAATTTAAGTTTAATTTAAAGAAAGAAATTGTCGTTTCATTGTTTCTCAAAGACTCTGCAGTTGCAGCTGTTGAAATCCTCTCTCCAGCCAAACGTTTTGCGGGACTTTTTGCAAATATTTCAAACTTTTACTAATTAATATTTAAATAATTATTATTCATCTCATTCTTCTTTGTTTAATCAAACTGATTGAGTTGACCCTTTTTGCATATTTGCGGTCAGTGCGAGTAGAAAATCGCAGCGGGAGTGCAGAGATGGCAGGGGCGACGAGCGGGACACTTTTTGACAAATCGCCGCTGGTCATGCAGGACTCGAGTGGCGGCGGCGGCGACCACCGCTGGCCGCAGCTCACCCCTCAAGGTAAACATATCCGTGACAAAAATAACAAAACGCGCGCTCTCGCAGTTAATTTTCCTAATATGACTTGCAACTTTTCAATCAAATAAAAGCCCCGCTGCTGCTGATACACCCATTATTAACCCATATGCACACAGAACAGTTTTTGTATTCACCGTGAAAGACTTTCGGTCGATATATTTTTTTTTTTTTTTGGCAGAGGCGCCGCTGGACTTGCGACTGCGGCCGGCCAAAAGTGGCCGCACCCTGCTGCCCTGCGAAGTTTGCGCCAAGACCTTTGACCGGCCGTCGCTCCTCAAACGACACATGCGAACCCACACAGGCAATACACTTCCCAATAATTTTGTCAAAATTTATATTTAAACTCGCAACAATGAGAGACGGCTAAGAATTCTAGGGTTAATTCTATTTACGCGATCTCTGATTTTACAGTATTTTTCCTTTTACAGTTTAATCTAATTTTAGAATTGATTTTTGTAATTCGGTCTTGATTTATAGATTTAATCTGAGTGGAAAATGGCCGTAAGAACCAATGTTTTTTTTAATTATACAATTGGTAAAATCAAGAAATTTACAGTTAATTTTCAACAAAATTGAAAATATTTTTTAAAAATTTGGATTATTTTCTGCGTTTTTGTTCACGTTTCAACCTACTTTAATTAGAAGAAAAGCAGATTAAATGCTTTTTTTTTAATCAATCGAAAACTCGAAATGTTGATGATCAAAATAATAAAATTTAATTTCTTAGGGGAGCGTCCGCACGGGTGCGACGTGTGCGGAAAGCGGTTCAGCACGTCGAGTTCGCTGAACACGCACCGGCGGATCCACAGCGGGGAGAAGCCGCACGCGTGCTCGGTGTGCGGCAAGCGGTTCACGGCGTCGTCCAACCTGTACTACCACCGCATGACGCACACCAAGGAGAAGCCGCACAAGTGCCGTTTGTGCCTCAAGTCGTTCCCGACGCCCGGCGACCTGCGCAGCCACCAGTACGTGCACAGCGGCGCGTGGCCCTTCCGCTGCCCTGCGTGCGGCCGCGGCTTCAGCAAACTCACCAACCTGCGCAACCACGCGCTCCTCCACACCGGCGACCGCCCCCACGCCTGCCCCCTCTGCGCCAAGCGCTTCGCCCTCGCCTGCAACCTGCGCGCCCACCTCAAGACGCACGCCCAACACCATCCCAACCCTTTCAGGTACGCTCGATCATTATAAAAGAAAATTTATTTCATTCTCAATTATTAAAAGTCACCTTTTGCCAAGAAATCAAAATTTTAAAATATTAATATTTCACTATAATATTAGATTTTTCTTTGTTCAAGTCACTTTTTTTAATGACAAAAATGCCCAGATCAAAAATATAATAATCTCCCTCTTAAGCTGAGTAAAAGATGCTGAGATTTCCAGTTGAGACTTTATTTTTTAATTATTACGAAAAACTCATCAAGCTAAACTTAATAATAACTGGGCTTTAGCTTCTCCGATACGATACATTTCCTCTCATTCCGTTTAGTTTCAAATAAAATTACTCCTTCCTTTTAAATAAAAGCTTTCTTATTAATTAAGGGCTAAAAGTCATTCTTGTGAAATATATCAGTATAAATCAGAAAAAAAAATAGAATTCAATACAAATAACAAAAGAAAAAAGATATTCTGACATCTTATCTGTGAATAAAAAAAAAACTCCTTCCATATTTTATTTCACAATCACGTAATTTACAGAAGTCCATTGTTATAATTCATTGTTTTCAATAAAAATTAATTAAATACACAATTTCTGTTACATTTGGTTTTTTCTAAAGAATTGAGTATAAAAATTTAATTTTAATATCAGTCAAAACTTGTTTTTTTTTTTTTTTTTTTTTTTAATATGAATAAGTTTATTTATTTATGAAATGTTTCCTTCGTCTTGTCAGAATTCAGCAGGAGCAACAACAGCAGCAGCATTTTGCCATGCAGAAAATGGTGATGGAGGCGCAACTCATCATGGCAGTCCTGCAGCACTCCGATGCAAATCCAACTTAACCACGCAATTAAGATCCATTTCCTGCATTTCCAAAGAAAAAAGAATGGGGTGTGTTTAGAAAGAGTTGTGATGTGATCTTCCATGTATAGATTAAAATTCTTTGTCTTGTAATTGGAATTTTTAAGTCCACTTAAAAAGTGGCGTAGAATGTCAAAAGATTGCCCCACAAATATCGGTGTATGTTAACTGTTGTGATTAATAAAAATTAAAATAGGAGAAAGAACAAGAAATAAATTTATCTTTTTGCATCTAAAACGCCTGCAATTTTGCTAGGTATGCAACCACGTTGGCACGGTTGAAAAACGGGTTGCATAACTCGCACGTCTTTGGGTATTAAAAAATATCCATTGCTCTTTTGGCTTTGCTATTATTTATTTTCATGAATGCTGATTATATTTTGTCTTCTTGAAACCTATTAAATTTTTGCGCTATTGTAGCGTTAATTTATTTAAAATGCAACTCTTCTTATTTTACTGATTTTAAATAATTGCTTGAATTTTTGAAGTATTTTTTTCTGATTTCTTAATTTTCATGAACATCCATTAGTGAATAAGAGTTAATCATAACCTCATTTTTTAGCAGAATTATATTTATTTATCTTTATTGATTACATTTAGCGCAGTAGATTAAAATGGCACAATAAAATATATGAAAAAGCGTAGCATTTTGATTATATTACTAGGAATTTCCCATCCATGATATGTATTATTCAGATACGGAAGATCCAGGATTTTACTTTTCCAAAATATCAAAATAATTATATACCGTATTATATTTTTTATTAAAAATTTGAACCCAGCACCGAAAATTCCTGGAATGGCAGCAGATCTACTTGTGTTTGAGTTTCTTGTCGGCCTGGAGGAGGGCGCAGGCCGTGTTCATCTGCCTGGCCCTGAGTTTGGCCCAGATGACGTGGTCGGTCTGGCCGAGGATGGCGGCGGCGGCCAGGGCGGCCGCGGCCGGGTACAGGACGGTGGCGCAGCCGAGGCCCGAGGGGACGTTGAGGGAGGACCAGACGTCGGTGCCGGTGGTGGCCCCCGGGGGGCAGTTGATGACGGGGCAGCTCACGTTGCCCGAGAGCACGGGGCCGAGGCCGTTGCTGCGGCCGGCCACGGCGATCAGCACCAGCGGCCGCTCGGCCTCCGCCTCGTACTCGGCCGCCATGCGCAGGGTGTCGTGCGGCCCCTTGTGGGCCGACGACACGCGCAGCTCGCACGGCACCCCCAGGTCGCGGCAGTGACGCTCGATTTCCCGGCAGTGCGCCTCGTCACTCGCCGAACCCATGAACACGACGGCCTGAAACGCAAAATCAAGATTTAAAAAATAACAATTTTAAAAATTAATTTCTGGTGTAGAAAAAAAAATGAATTGAAACTTTCACAAAAAAGGTTAAAATTAAACTTATTTAACTTCCAAGCATATTTTTAAACCGACATTTATTCAATTACTGATGAACTTTAAAAAGAATCAATTTTGATCTATTTCAATCAAGTTCTAATTTTCCTCAACATGGAAACTAAAAAGGACTTTTAAGTCAACAAATAATATACTCAAAATTAAACAATAAACAACTTGGAAAAATATGTTTTTAATGACATGGAACTTGCTATATTGATGCTAAGAAAATTGTTTATTTCGAAGCGCTGTTTTTTAAGGTCAAGCTTTCTATTGTTTTAATTTTTCAAGGTGGATCGAAATTATGGCATTTTTATCAATTTTTACCAGGTTAATATCCAATATTTTTATTTTTTATAATATACTTATTTAAGAAAATCAATTATCTTAATTTGTTTCTCTTTTTTTAAAAAAAAATTCATTATCAATTAAAAAAAGTTAAAAAAAAGAAACCAGAATTATTTTTTTCTCTTTTAGTTGTGTTAAAAACCTACCCTGCCTCGAGGCTGAGGAACGAGCTTTCCGAGCTGGTCAGCGACCCACTGGAAGTTCCTCTTGACCGTCTCGAGGTGCTGCTTGGTGACCTCGGTGCCCAGGTCGCGGTACACCTGCTTGTCCTTCATGAGTCTCTTGTCGCCGCTGGGCCAGAGACGCCAAGAGTCGCTGTCGACCACGTCGGCCACCACCAGGCGACCCTCCGAGGTCACGCCGAACTCGATTTTCATGTCCACCAACACGCAATCCAGGGTGGACCAGGCGCGCTCCAGAACCTGCAATCACAAATCAAATCATAAATTATCTCAAAATTACTTTTTATTTAAATTGTCATTACAGAATAAAAATTCATTCTATACAAAGTTAATCAGAATTAAAAAAGGAATAAAATAAATAAAATTATGAAAGGAATAATTATTATGTTTATAATTAATCTAGATGAAAGTGTGATAATTATTAAATTATATATCATTTTAATTTTATAGTAAATCAATTTTTTTCAATTAAATAATATTAAATTTGCTAAAACAAAATTAATTTAAATAAAAATGTTTGAATAACGAAAAAGTAATATAATGAATAAATAAAATTACGAAATAATTAATTATTAGCCCTATAAATAATTGGATACAATTTCAATAATTGTATAATTAAAGCATTTTAATCTAAATAATCCATTTTAAATATATCAAAAAAAGGTCTCACTTCAAAAACGCAGAGGGTCATCCTCTTCATGGCGAGGACCTCCTCCTGTCCGATGGAGACGCCATTCAGTTTGAAGTTGGCGCAGATGACCTGCTCGAGGGACCACTGCGGGTCGTGGTTGGCGTCGTCCTTGAAGAAGGTCTCCTGGCAGGGCGGCGCGAACCTGAAGCCCTCGGGCACGCCAGGGTTGCGCTTGAGGAAGGAGCCGGTGGCGAGCCGACGGGTCACCCACTCGATGGGCACCATGTCGCACATCTCGGCGATGAAAGACGTCTCGCCGCTCATCTCCACAAAGTGCGTCGGGATTCCTGCCAAAAATCACAGCCATTTTTCCAATTGCTCAACAATTAACAAAACCATGCAAGGTTGTTTCTGAAAAACTGCTTAATTGTAGGAAATACTTGGAAGTTGAACCAGTTTGAACCGGATTGGAATTTGTTGTAAATGTGAAACTTTTTGTGAAATTTCTTTCTGCCTCACAAGAATTCAATAGAAATCGCACGAATTGGAAGAATTCTAGAAAAAAATATAAATATTTTGGAGCAAAACTAAATGTGTCAAAAAATATTTATTATTTACTCCAATTTCAAAATCAAGAGTTTGCATCAGCAGTTTGTCCATACGTATAATAAACCTCAATCACGTGACCCTCAGCAGGTCAATTATTTATTCTAGGTCATATCAATATCCTATCTCAAGACAAATAAATAAATATAATTACAACTTGAGAGATGAAAAATAACCGCATTTAATCGACCAAACAACAGAAGTATGTATTTGTAATTGTTTGTGTGTCACGAGTTGTGACCTGTGACCCGACTGACCTGCCGCGTTGAGCAGCTCGAACACTTTGGCCGTGGTGGCCGTCGAGATGGCCGCCTTGCCCTCGAGGTCGTGGGCCTTGACGCCGTCGCCGGCCGTGATGCGGTCCTTGCTCTGCACGAAGACGAGGCCCTCGCGCTCCGGCAGCTCGAACACGCGCTTCGTCTTGCCCTCGATCACCAGACTGCCCAACTCTTTTTAAAAAAAAAATTAAAATAAAAATAATTAAAAGGGAAAACTCAAAATTTTTCGGGAGACTCACTTGGCGTTGCCATGGTTACGTAATGGAAAAGAATTAAGTGGCCGATTCGGAAAAGGGCTGAATGAAAATAGGGCCGAGGATCGTTTCTCTTCGGGTGCGAAGGCCTCGGTGGTCGGCTGAGGAATGGTCTGTCAGAAAACTGGCAAAAACCGAGTCGAACGAAAGAGAAATGAGCAAATCAACAAGTGGTGGATCAATCGAGGATTGACCGAGGGCCGCGTATGCGCAGACGAGAGAAAAGTGGCGGAGCTTCACTCGCATTATTTAGCGCGAAAGACACGATGCGTGTCCCTAACACAACATAATTATGATAATTATAACATGACTTTAGAAATTAATGAAGGACTTTATAAATTAATCAATTAAGTTTAGTAATGGACAAAAAAGTTATTTAGATTTTATGTTAGCTAAATCCATTGAAATAAATATAATCAATTAAAATTAAAGACTGTTATTTGCCGTTAATACAGTATTGTATAATTATGATTAAATTAAAAAATTCTGAAAAATTCAAAATTTCACTTCATAAAAAAATCAAGTTTCAATAAGTAATTATTAACTATTCTAATTTAAAATTACAAATTTTGTGTTCAATATTGAATGAAATACAGATAATACAATTCAGAATTTATTAAAACTAATATATTTGTGAATTCTGTCAGATTTTATTATACGTCACAACACACTGCATTAATTATTATGCAAAATATAAGCGTTAAGAAATCGATAAAATTTCCGCAACCCTCTCCAACAGCAACACTGGCGAGAGATATAATTCTGATCCTTATGTACAAAATAACTCCAGGCTTAAACTTAGAACAAGAGGATACCACATAATCCCTTTAGCACGACATCTGCGCCTGCAATTAGAGAACTCTCTGTTCTAAATTCAGCAAAGTTCAAATTTTAACAAAATAAAAAATATTAAATGCGCTAAAAATTGATTTGAAAATATAAAATTGAAGCGTTTGCGGCAAAAAGAGTTAATTGCTCCGGAGAGTGCAATAAAAGAAATAAAGAAGTTGAGTCTAAGTGAAGGGGTGTTTTTTTTTTTTTTGTACACGGGGGCGGGCGGCATGCGCCAGAGGGGCGAGTGGTGCAGAGGCGCCAGAGCGGCCACAACAGGCGCCACCGGCGCCGATCGATCGCTCTGCATCACCACAGGACGCCATGGCCGTGGTCGGGGTGGCCAGGTTTTGCTTCGTCTTCAGCCTCAGGCAAGGATGCATCATCATCGCCGTCGTCCAACTGGTAACTTTACAAATTCAACTCGTTCCAAAAATCGATTCGGTTTTTGAACGAGACCCTTCGAAATTACAAAATTGTCTTAATGAATTTCGTGTATTTGTGCGCAGTTCCTGTCGGCAGTGGTGCTGTTCCTGCTGACCCTGGGCATGGCTCACGCCCAGGACATGGCCGCCATTCTGGCCGCCGACATGGAGGAGACGGCCATGCACGAAGACCCCACCTCCCTCCTCTACTCCCCGGCCAACGATGGACTCGCTGGGCCCGCGCGCTCGCACAATGAGGAGCAACTCCTCAAGGCCGAAAACTTGGCCACAGGTCAATAATTTAATAAATTTTTTTCAATTGAAAAAAAAGAAAATAATATAATATTTGCACCTGCGTTGCCATGATTTGTGTTATTTCTAAGAAATAATTAAAATAATTTACAGTGATCATTTCGTGCATGTACACGTCAATGGCCCTGGCGGCCGTAAAACTGGTCGCCTGCATCCTCCTCCTCTACGGCACTCTAATGGTAAAAATTTCCAAAATTAAAATCCACGATTTTGAACAAAAAGTTATTTCAGAGGCACAGACAATGTCTGCTGCCGTGGGCTTGCGTGGTCCTGGCCGAGATGGTCCTCGTCTTCTCTGGCCTGGTCACTTGCCTGGCCGTTGGCGGCGGCCACCACATCACAGTGGTCTTCGCAATCGGCACAATCTACCTGAGTAAGTCCATCGAAACCTGAGTTTTAAATCCGCAGATGTAATTTCGTTTTAATTATTTTTTCAGTGATTCTATTTTACCTTTGGACTGCTGTGGTCAGCTTCTACAAGCAGCTGTGTCTGCAGGAGACACTCCACGGCTCAGTGCGCCAAGTGACTGCGGCCGACGCCCCCGCAAAGGGCTACCTGCAGTTCTCGAACAAACCGTACAGCGTCTAGCACACCAAACGTCCAGCTACTCAGCCTCTTAACTACTCTATTCTATATTTATGATAATATACAATATAAATTATCTCGCTAATTACTTTCGGTATAAATAACAGCAATACACACAACAATTAACAAACTCAATAAACTAACATTTAATCACGCTCAAAACGGCGCATGTGGTTTGTTTTTTGCTTTCTGTACAATAATATTATTATATATAAATATAAGCAATAGGTCTGAGACCCTTTTGCGCTGCTTTTTCGTTTCCTTTGCAATAGATAAATTGATAGACGAGTGTATTGAGCAGAATTAATTAAAACGCATGGTTATCGATACAAAAAAACGAGAGCTTATTTAACAACAGTGAAATAACTTTGTGATATATATTGCAGACCGAAGGAAAGTTTATAAAAAAATTCCCTTTCACAACTGGTACTGGCTCACCCGTAATCTTTGCACCTCAGCACATTAGTTTGGACAATTAAGTAGCTTGACACACTCACACCCTGTCCGTATCTCTTTGCCTCCTCCTCTCGCACTTAGGACACGGTCTCTTCGCATCAAGACAACCAACGTGGAAAACAGCGCTGCATTCGGGGCACTGGAATTCAATAAAAACTTTGATTCCTCCATCAAATGAGCTAGCTCTGTGAATTGTACCTTGTATGTGTTGTCAAAAGGGAAAATGGGCTTCGGATTGGAACACACTTCGCAGATGAAGCCCTTCTGGTTGCACAGCCAACAGGACATGACGTGCTTTTTGGCATAATCCACAACTGCCTCGAGACGAGCGGCCAGCACTCCCCCAGGAATTTGTTGCAAATCCTAATTTACAAAAAGTTAAAGCTTTTAATAGAAAGAGCGACAGAACTCACAGATATTGAATAGACATGGACATGCTCTAGAAGATATTCCGGAGCTCGACGCCTGAGCTCGGCAGTGATCGGTTCTCGGCAGGTGAACAAATAACCTCTCAAAAACATAAGTTGGATTCTCAGTTGCTGAATTGAACAATAAATTAGATTTTTAACTAATTAATGATTTAGTGAAGCAAACCTGAAGCAATGCCATGTCAGGACAACATTCGTAAATGGTCGAATTTGTGGCAGCTACGTCTATCAAAGGGTGGTCGGAAATTTCCGCCAAAAAAGCAGCAGCCTCCAAACTGACAGGCCGCTTTTTGAAGTCCCAGCAGTAGAGGACCCTGGCAGGAATGAGCCAGTCATCGGAACTGAAGCATTGCTCACAAAAGAGTCCACCGGTCAGCGAGCACACTCTGTAATTTAAGTAATTCCTAATTATTCCTGAACGAGCTTTTAAGTATTAATTACCTGTATTTCAAAAAGGAAAGACCGATGGAGGCGCAGCAGCCTAAACATTTGAAATCCTGCTCGTCTAGGCCAGCCTCTCTGGCCAACTTTGGAAGACACTTGAGCATTTGCTTGAATTCCTAAGATCAATTTAAAATTTACTGATAATTATATGCCAAAATTGTAAATTACTGGAGCAGAGGGTATGGCTTCGTAGTCGTCCTTCTCCTTGGGCTCCATGTCTTCTTTGGGAAATCTCCTTAAAAAGTCATCAACGTCAGGCGTCCTGATGCAGGACCCTGACAGCATGTTCAGACTTTCGAGCATGGCGTCGTAACTTTGGATTGTGTCTCTTCGACGTGGCAGTTCTGGAGAGTCGGACGAAGACCACCCCGAGTGACCCGAGATGGTGATGGGCCTCGCCATTTCAGGCTCCTCCTCCAACTCCTCTTCAGACGCCACCTGATGGAATACCTCATCATCCTGGTGGTGCTGACTGAGCAGAATTTTCAAAGCCCGGTCCTCGTCGATGGGAGCAGTTCTGCCAATGGACATCTCGGGCTCGACCTTTGCACAAATATCCAAATGAAAATACAAAAATTTAAAATTTAAAAGGCCTACCCTGACTTCCACAACGTCCTCCTCGTGCTCAATACCCTGAGCCACGTCCTGGGCAGGAGCAACCACGTCCGACGATGTTGTGGTCCAGGTGTTGAGCAAACTGGAGTTGGCAGGAAGTTCAAAGTTTACATGCTGGAGCCCCAGGAGCAACCTGTGGGCCACATCCCTGGCGTCAGGGTCTCTGAGGAGGGCGTTTCTTTGGTATAAAGGTCTGGCAGCGTCCATCACTCCCACGTAGCCCGAGAGGGAGCCGTCCGAGAGACTAAGCCGCAGCCAGGCCCTGCATCTTCCGACGTCCGTCCGGATTTGGTTCAGTTTTTCAACAGCCGTGATCGAGTTTTTGTGGGACACAAACAGGACGGCTGGCCAGAAGGAACTCGGTGCTGACAAGAAGCGTGAGGAGAAGGTTTCTCTCAGTCCGTGCAGGAAAACTGCCTCCAGGGCGGTGCAGAGGGACTGAGAGGATTCGCAGTGGGAAATGACTGGCCCCTTTTGGGACGCCTCCAGCTGCACCTCCTTCACCGACTCGGACAGCTGCAGCAAAATATTTTCTTTCTATAAATTTGGTCAAATTAAAATAGCCATAAATAAAGAATTTCATTAATTTAACTGAATTATTCATCTCTTCTGGAAGTTCCGAATTTGTGCAAAAGCTCCAATGTTTCGGTCTCAGCAACTCCTGGTCTCACTACTTGATAGGTTCCCTTCTCACTCAGATCCACAACCGTAGAACCTCTCCTCGCAAACTGCAATCATCAAAATTTGAATCAAAAACAAAATTAATTAATAATATTGTATTTACTTCTCCCTTGCCAATTACTCCTCCGTCGAAAACAGCACTCAGCTGAGACCAAAGCTGCTGGAATTCGTTGACAGCCAACGCACTGGGCGCTCCGCTCAGGTTGGCAGAGGTCAGGGCCAAAGGTCCGCCCAACCTTTCAGCGACCAAGCAGGGAAAAGCAAGGCCGGGCACTCGAACGCCCACCAGAGGAGGATTCCCCGGAAGGTTGAGGTGCCTTTCGGACGAAGGTCGCAGCAGAAGGGTCAGCGGCCCTGGCAAGAGGGCGTTCAGCAGGTCATCGGAGAAGGGCACCTGCGCCCAGTCCTTCACCTGGGACACGCGTCCTACGCAAATGGCCAGCGGTTTCCGTTCGGCGCGGCCTTTGACGTTGTAGAGTCGGCGAACGGCCTCGGCGTTTCTCGCGTCGGCAGCAACGCCGTACAGGGTGTCCGTCGGCAGGGCGATCACCTGATTTATCACATTAAAAGGTTAAAATCATTGCCATGCAAATTCAGGACGAACCTGGCCCTCGCGAAGCAGCTGGACCGCAGTCTCGACGGCGGATTCGCTCAGACTGGAGTCGTCCACGCGCACCACCGGACAGACTGCTGCCGGGTCAGCCAGTTTAGTGTGGGCGGCCCTGGTTGACACACGGAGGGCCACGCCAGCCAGTTTTCGCATCAGAAGGGCTTACTTGAAATTAGTAATTGACACCTTGTAGAAAATGATGTAAAATTATGTACATTTATAAATGAAATGTTTTACTTTCACTCCCAGGTGGGCGAACGCGATCGGATATTTATATTTAAGTGGGTTAAGAAAAAGGGCGGAGCCTCCCTATCACCACCGTGTAAAGTGTTACATGACTCCGCCTCTTTTCATTTAACAACTTGTTGCCATTGGTTGCCATTGGCGACGGTGCTGCTTCAAACGGCCACATTATGAAAAAAGAATTTGATGGCAGTTTTGAAAAATTTAGTTCGGATCTGCATATTGGAGGTATCAATTTATATTTTTAAATACTTAAATGGTTTTTTCCGGTTTTTTCCAACTGTATAACTTACGAATTTTAAATTACATAAACAAAAAGCAACAATGAAAAAATTATTTTGTTAGATATTCAATAATTGGCCGTTACCATTTTGATTCTAATCAAAAAAACGAATCTCACAAGAATTTTCAAACTTCCACCGGAATTCTGGTCCTTCGTTTAAATTTTAATGGGGAACAAATCATCTGCAGAGCAGAACGTACAGGCTCTCCTATCGGCCTCAATCAAAGTTGTGAAACTTTGCTTATCGCAAGAAGGGTCGCCGAAAGGACTTTGCCCCGCCATGGAACCATGGTTCCTGACAAGAAGAATTTTCGTACAAAAGGAAAAAAGGCTTGGACCATATAAAATGGACACCCCTGGAGGACTCAAAGATTCCACAAAGTAAGATTACCTTATTATTTCACAATTATTATCACGCATCTTTTAAATCGAAAAAAAAATTTTAAAAATTCGAAAATTTTAAGAAAACGGTTTACAACCAGCCTGAGATCAAAAGAAAAGACACTCATCCGCAAACTTCCGTAAAAGGAACATATTTTAAATTTGTGCCATAAAAGTTGGTTGAGCAGTCTTCAAGGTAGCAAATTATTCCAGGGTTTTACGACCCTGAAGGTTGGCTGGACGTGGAGCTGCCGAAATTGACGGCTTTCGGCGTCAGTAACGCTGGTCTCACAGGCCCTTTTTGACTCTAAAGGTGCATGTCAAAGGGCATAAACATATAAATCATCTTCCTTTGGCAGTGCAAAAGTACGGCCACGGCAGCGCCCGTGTCTGAAGCCCTGATTTAAGTTTTTTAAACGTTAATTCTTCTGGAACGTGGAATAAATGCTACGCAGGGAGCCGCCGACAGTCATTTTCCGGGAAAGGTGTAACTATATATAAAGAGTTTGCAGAGTTATAAATTATTTTAGTTATAATTGTGTAAATTGAAAATTACAAGCGAGCCCAAGTGCGCAAGCTTTACATATTTTTCAGATTCAATTGAAAAGGGCAACAACAACTGATAAAGCAGGAAAAAGCTTTATCAAACTTTCGAGTCTTTTTCTAAATTTTACATCCTCGATCCTCATAAAAAACCATGACAATTTTAATACCGTAGCAGGGATCGCAGCAGTTTTGTTGTTTGCTAACCAATAAGTTGCTAAATGCTAACTTTCGAGTTCTCCTTCCTTTTTGTTTACTTGTTAGAGGTGCTGAACAATGTTGCCAACGTTTTTGTCAGCATTGAATTATTATTTTTATTAAAAACATGTTTTGAGTGAAAATGAAAATATAATCTCTTCATTATGACTAAGAAATCATCCTAAAATAATGAAATTTGCAACAAGAGAGAAAATTAAACTATTATTTATTTTTATATCAAATTTAAACGATTTATGAAACACCGTGACGTTGGTAGCATTGTTTGTTGTTTTTTCAGCTACAGTCAACGCCCATCTCGGCCCTTTCTGTCTCCGCTTATTCATCCAGTCAATAAAATATTCCAAAGTAAATTTCATCTTCCAGGATCCAGAGGGCACATTAAACCTGACTGAGGACTGCTCCGATCCAGACTTGAAGGACATGTTGAGCCATTTGACCATGAACAAAGGTGTAAACTCATTACAGGCCGAGCAAAGTAGAGTCCGCGCAATTCTCCGACTGTAAGTTTTTCCTACATTTTTAATTTAATTTTAGTAACAAAGTGTAAATATATGCAGGAAAAGGAGGCACGAACGGAGAGCAAAGAAGTTGCGCACATGCAATGCTTTGCTCTGGCTTAAGAATGAGTTCAACGTAACCACAATTAAGGCAAGAATCGGCTGCTGTGCTCATTGCGATGGTCGTCAAACTTTTCTGAGAACTGCAGCTAATTTCACGATTAGGGAGTTCTTCAGAATAACTGACCCCAATGAGCCGCAGACCGAGCAACACCACTGCCGAAAAGTATAAGAGCTACGTTCTTTTAAATTTTTACCATTTTTAACCTATATCAAAATTATAGTGCCGCCGAAAACGACCTTTCCGATTCGTCTACGTGATTCCAAGTGGTGGTAGAGACCAACGCTACTGAAAGATCTTTGATGCGTTATTGATCTACCACCAGCCCTGAAGAGCTATTGGAATTTTTGCCTCAAAACGTGACGATCGGAAGAAAAAGATGGACGTTAAGATCAGCATGTAAGTAAAGGAAAATTACGCTGTTCTGTTGAATACTAATACTTAACACAATTCAGCTTGCGGCATTTTTGGCAGAGGACTGTGCCACCAAATTACCATGAACAGAGACAAGGACGGACGGATCTGTGTCAACTGCGACTCCGATCCGTCAAAACGATCAATTACTTATGACGAATACAAAGCCAGAGGATTTGTGCCAAAAAGGATATCCATGGATATTTCCTTTGCGGTGTACTCCCTGGTCTAGGTAATCTTAATTACTTATTTTAAATGCAATAATTAAAACATCAGAGTATTCAAACAGTATCAAGAAAATGAACGCCCGTGACCATGACCTTCCCATTTACCAAGTGACCTGACAACATTAATCCTGCAGTCAACAAGCCGCAAGTTCTTTGTCTCGCATAGAACTTGCGCACAACTTGTGACCAACGACAACAAGGTGAAATTCTTTCATATAGTTAAATCAATAACATTAATCTCTGCAAGTGACTTTTAACACAACTTTTGGCTTCTTGGATTAAAAAAAAATAATAATTTGACAGTCAGCTTTACCTCTTTAATTTTATTGCATTATGTTTGATAAGTATAAAAAATAATGCTTAAAGAACAAATTATTTCCAGCAACAAACAAGTGAAGAGACTCTTATCAAGAAAAATCTACTGGAGAGGGAATTGTTGCTGCCGTATCGTCGAGGAGAGCAACCATCTGCGAGCGCCTCTGCCGAATACCTCGATAGCCTGCCCTCAGTCTGTATGTTTTACTTTGACCCCTTCCTGCCTCTCTGCATCTGAATCCCGACCTTTTGGCTGTGACGTCTAGTTTAATAAAAAAGTAGCAAGCTTAAATTTTAAGCAATTTTTGTTAAAATACGGTACCTCTAATCGAAATGACAATGCCTGATTGTGAAGTAAAATCTGAAGTAGCTGCGTAATTTCACAAAAACTATTTTATCAAAAGAAAAACTTTTTTTTAAATATTTTGCTCCATATTTTCTTCTCTCAAGGCAACACTGCTGACACACTCGTCTCTGCTCCTTATGCAGCAACAGAAAATGAAAATTTTAAAACTAAAATACGTAATCAATAATTCATTAAAAGAATGAATAATTAGTTTTAAAAATTCAAATTTGAGTAAAAGACGAGAATCCTCTCCTTTAGCAAACTTGTATGTTGGGTTGATTTGGTTTTAAGTTCTTTTTTTTAGTAATTTCTGCTTGGTGGCGGGCAAATTCAGACATATTATTATTTTTGACCCGCTCCATCTAATGAATGTCCACCGCTAGGTGCTGCGCGTATTTCTATTTGGCATAATTATCACAATTATTAATTACTATAGCATTTTGTATGATTATGTCATGTGGTTTATTGTACAACGCACACACGCGCAAATAATAAATGACATTATATTAAAAGAGCTAGAGCAAATCTTACATTAATAATCTGAAATAAACTAAAACGTAAATTGCTTATTTGAACTCGCACCTATAGAAATTAATTTTTAATTAACATGTTTTATTAATGTAACCTTCATTAAGATTGTTTCCAATTGCAGCAAAAAAATTATCGCTAATAGATGATAATTAATTTTCAAAGCTGTAGCATCAGATATTTATTTTTTTGCATCAAATAAATTATTATTAACATTTTTTTTTTAAATGTTTAGCGTAATTGTCAATAAAATTACGCAAAACGTGATACATATGAGAATTATGAAACGGCAAGCCTTGATAATTAAATTCTAATTTTAATTCGTGAACTCATTCATATCGAACTACCAATTGCGCGTGCAATTAAAGAAGACACGTGCTTGATCAATTAATTACATTTCCTTGTTCCTCTCTCTCTCTCTCGTTACACGACTGAAGTCTGCAGCAGAGTGAGGTGTCATTTTTTTGTAATGGATCGATCGAATATAATTATTTGATAACCCTTTGAATAGCGCCGCTCCCCTCGAACGCTGCTTTCGGGCCACGTGAGCCCGCGGTCACGTGCAGCGCGCGGCGCGGCCGCGATTTTGCTGTGTTTTAACTCTCGTCAGTGGCTCGCGATGAACGGACAGACGCACACGTCCGTCCTTTGGTTCCGGCACGGCCTCCGCCTGCACGACAACCCTGCCCTTCTGGAGGCCATCAAAGGCCCTCCGAACCTCTTCTTCCCGATATTCATATTCGATGGAGAGTCCGCAGGTATTTATTCCAATCTGAGAGTTTAGAAATGACACGGCTGAAAAAAGAAACTAAAATGCGCGGCCTTGATTTTTACATAGGCTCGCGTGTGCTGCTCAAAAGCTTAGAGGATAAAAATAGATAAATAAAAAAAATTCATTCAAAAAGAGGTTCATCTAAATTGATCATTGATTTATAAGATCTGCTTTTTTATATCAAATTTTGGTTTCGAGAAAAAAAATTTTTTTTTTTTTTTAATTTTTATTCCTTCTATAGAAAATTGGTTTAATTTTTTTAATTGTAAATTAATTGATAGTATCATTCAAGTAAAATTTTAATTATTTGGAACATTGTTATTATTATAATTATCATCTTTTTTAATTTTTCCAGGTACAAAATTAATTGGCTTCAACCGAATGCGCTTCCTGCTCGAGTCCCTGGGCGACCTGGACCGGCAGTTACGCAGCGTGGGCGGCCGCCTGTGGCTGCTGCGGGGCAACCCCAGCACAATCCTGCAGCGCCTGTGGGAGGAGGTGGCGCTGACCAGGGTGTGCTACGAGAGGGACTGCGAACCGATCTGGCGCGCGAGGGACGCGGCGGTGAGGGCAACGTGCGCCGAGCGGGGCGTGCGCTGCGTCGAGTGCGTCTCGCACACCCTGTGGGACCCCCGGGCCGTCCTCAGGGCCAACGGGGGCACCCCGCCCCTGACCTACCAGATGTTCATGCACACGGCTGCAACGCTGGGAGAACCACCGCGGCCGGTCGATGACCCTGACTGGACAGGCGTGACCTTCGGAAAACTTCCCCCCGTCCTCATGAAGGAATTTCAGGTTAGATTAAAAAAAAAATCAGCAATTTTTTCTTATATTATATTTTGGGAAACTTAGGTTTTTGACGACATTCCAAAGCCTGAAGACTTCGGCCTGTCCAGTCCTGGATACGGCTTGGTGCGTTGGGTCGGAGGAGAGACCAGGGCGCTGCAGCACCTGAAAGAACGCCTGCTGCAAGAGGAGAATGCCTTCAGAAGTGGGGTCATTCTGCCTAACCAGAGCAGGCCTGACCTTCTCGGACCTCCGACAAGTCAAAGTGCAGCCCTAAGATACGGCTGCTTATCTGTCCGAAGGTAAAAAAAACTATAAATTTTTTGAAACTTAATTTTCGGATCATTTTTTCTTATAAATTAAAAATTTTGTTTGATATACTTCTTGCTTTCTGTTCATGTTTATGTAGAATATCCATAAGATAAATTTTAAAAAGTTTTTATTTTATTTGTAAATCAGCTTTTTTTTAAAATTAATCTTTCGTATATTCCTCTTTTTAACAGTTTAAATTATTAATTATTACAAAATTTAGTATTCAAAAGATTTAAATAGATTTTTCCCACCTTTATAATTTATGCGGAAATATGTTAATAATTTTCAGATTCTTCTGGAACCTGCACGACATCTTCAACGCAGTGCATCAGGGTCGACCTCCAGCAGGTCACAACATCACGGGTCAACTTTTGTGGCGCGAGTTTTTCTACACCATGTGCGTGGAGAACGAGTTCTACGGCGAAATGGCGCGGAACCCGATCTGCCTGGACATACCCTGGGTCGAGGACCCCGTGGCCCTCGCCAGGTGGAAAAAGGGCGAAACGGGCTTTCCCTTCGTGGACGCCGCCATGAGGCAGCTGGTCAAGGAAGGGTGGGTGCACCACGTGGCAAGGAACGCGGTCGCCTGCTTCCTGACGCGCGGCGACCTGTGGATCAACTGGGAGGAAGGTGCGACCTTCTTCTTGGAGAACCTGATCGACGGCGACTGGGCCATCAACGCCGGCAACTGGATGTGGGTGTCCAGCAGCGCCTTCGAGCAGCTCCTCGACTGCTCCAAGTGTCTCTGCCCTGTCAATTACGGACGCAGACTCGACCCTTGGGGAGAATATATCAAGTATGTAATTGTTCAATTTTCTTTTTATATATTAAATTGCTAAATTAAGATTTCAATTTAATTGAAAATTCTTTTTTATCATAAAAATTGAATTTAAATTAAAAATTCAATTCAATTTAAAATTATTTTTTAAAATTAAAAAATTGATTGATGATTAAAAATTAAATTTAAATATTAAAAAAATTTAAATTTTGAAATTAAATTAAAAATTTGGACAGGAAAATTAAGAAATTATCAAATAAAAATAATAATCATCATTACTAAAATAAAAATAGCTCACATGGAATAGCCCAATATGAATTTTTTATTCATTTTTTAATTCGGGCAAATTAGAGTTGATTATTTTTGTAATAAATCTTCAGGCGCTATTTGCCCGAGCTTCGGAATTTGCCGGTCGAGTACTTGTATGAGCCGTGGAAGGCTCCCCTGGACGTGCAGAAGGACGCCAACTGCATCATCGGGCAGCACTACCCTGAGAGGATTGTGGACCACCAGCAGGCCTCCTCCAGGAATAGACACGTAAGAGATTTTAATTTTCTCCTTATTTTTTTATAAATTTATTTTTATTTTGGTACAGTACATGCAGAAAATCAGGGAGAGCCTGATGGAGCAGCCCTCGGCCCACTGCTGCCCATCCAACGAAGAGGAGACGCGCCAATTTATGTGGCTCCCTGAGGAATGTGTATCTCACGTCTTAAAAAATTAACTGCTATTTTTATTCCTTACATAAGTCCAAGTGATTCAAAATAGCTTTGATATATAAAATTTGTTAGTTTTAAAGATTTGTGATTTTAAAAATTAGAGGAGAATTAATTTGCATAATTATTGTTGATTTTGATCTCATTTTACTAATTTATGTATGACCAAATAATTCTTAAGGTTTTTGGTCAAATGTTTTCACCTTACAAAACCATATAATATGATATGATGTGGCATTGTGTGTCTATAATAGTAACTATATTTAGCGTAAACGATTATACGGCTTGATTGATATATAATAATTTGTTGTCTTTAGAGGATTTTTAAAAATAATTGTGGAATTTGTGATCCATTTTGTCTAAAATTATTTTAATTTATTGATGCGCTCATCCATACGAAAGACATTATTAATGTAAAATTTTACAACAATAAACAATAACGCGCTATTGCATGAATAACTATGAATCAAAATATAAAAAAATGGCTCCATATGCGGGAAAATGTGCAAAAATAATAAAAAGAACTGAAATTTTTCAGCAATTTTTATGCTTTTCATCTAAAAAGAAAATTAATGGGAAAAAATAATCATAAAATAACAAAACGTTTGTGCCAAATTAAATTTTTTATTCTCCATTAATATGATGATTGGGCTAATTAATTAACGCTCCCAGTAGCTCTTCTGTAAAATCATGAGAAAAATTTGGAAAATCTGAATCAACGCATAAAATGTTCAACATTCTTGACATTATATTCGTATTTTGCTGAAATAAGCTCCGCCTCTTGCAATTTTATCCGCACAACAATTCACTTTTTCTTCCTCTTCTTGGCCATTATTCCCCTCCGCAGCAGCAGAAACTTCCACCCCTCCCCGAGCAACCCCTTAACTCCTGGTGCAGATAGGAAGGAAAACAGTTCAAAAGAAGACTTCGTCGTGAAAGATATTTCTTAAGCATTTTGCTATCGAATTTAGACCGATTTTGCCAAGGATAAAAGTAGAGGTTCGCAGGTATTAAGATTAGGAAGTCGAAGTATTTTATAATCACATTTTTTCCGTTAATTCAAAAAATTCTTGAGTACGTTTGAACTTAAAATTGCTGTTTGTTAAGTTGTCTCAGCCATGGGCAAACACTACGCCAGGATGAAAGCAGACAAGCGGATGTTCGATTCGGGACAGGCGTCCTCGGCGTCCACCAAGTACACGTACGAGGAGCATTTGAAGAACGTGAGTTTATCTCAAATTCCTGCTCGAAAATGCTTTATATTCACAGCGGGCGAATCCGCAGATGCTGCGCGGCGCTTTCGGCAAGCGGGACATGGACAGGTACGTGGACAAATTCTTCGTGGTGACCCCGAGCAAAGTGCAGGTGGCCACGCCGTGCTGCGACAACTGCCGAGCGCGGATTTACAGCCAGGGCAAGACAGGAATCCGGCTGACCAAGGTAGAGGAATTCGTCCAGAAGTTGCAGGCCCTGGACGAGGCGCACTCGGCTGTTTGTGAAAACGCCAACGTGGTCGTCTTCAAAGACGGCTTCGGCGATGATGATGATGAGGACAATGTCTCCATTAAGGTGCATTGTCCTCAGTGCCAACGAGGAGGCTCCTTCGAGTTCGAGGCGATCAAAGACCCGAGGCTGCTCGGAGATGACGACTTCATCGAGTTTCGCAACAGCAGCTTCCACTCCAGGTCTCCCTTAATTATTGAGTTTTATTGCAAACCTTAAAAAATTTATCAAAGCAGAGAAGTTAAAATTTGATTAATTTTTCTTTCGCTTACTAATTTAATTTTTTTGCAGCCATCATTCTACATGCAAACACAAGAACTGCTGCTGAAGATGAGAAGTAAAGTTTTTTATAGGGTAAGATAAAACTGGATCACAATCAACGACTGAGGACCATGGAGTTTTTAATTTAGAGAATATACATTTTGAGCGAAAGAAAGAAAACTCTGCTGCAAGTTTATGTCAAGAATTTAGTTAAAGTTTTGGATATAATCGCAAAAATCGTGCAAATTAGATTTAAAAATTAATTTCGAAGTAAGGCTTAATTCTATTATGACTCGGATTGAATATGTGAAGGTTCAACCCAATGTATCAACTTTTTTTTATACAAGTGATCTGTCAGTTTTGTACGTATCTATCTCACCAAACAATAGCCTAGTGCGAGCTCTGATTTGGGCACCAATTGAGTGCATAAATGTTTTGTGTTCCTGCATTGAAAGTGAATACTGCAGTTTTACGTTTGTTTTCCATATAATCACAAAGTTCGAATAAACCAAATAGCTTTTCAGATATGGAAGTTGCGTGGCCACTTTCTCATTTGAATTCAAAAACAGATAGTTTGCCGTCACCTCTTGTAAAAGAGCAGAGGTTTCGATTCCACACCGCTGCGCGTTGAAACCTCGTTTCAAGAGCGTCGAGTTTATAATGTACATGATTAATCCCACATCTTCGGAACATACTCGGTAAGGAAAGCATAACTGCGGGGCTTGTTTGACGCAATTAACTGCTGCACATGGCGTTGATGCAGACGAGATGCATAAGGCGCTCGATTGTGTTGCCTTTTATCGCGCGTGCCGTCCGACGCCACCGCCGCCGAGACCCAATTTCTAATTTTGTCGCCATATAAGGCGCTTTTTGCTGCAGCTCGCAAGAGGGAATTATTCATTCCTGCCAGTTTCGTCGAGTGCGAGAAAGATAAACGCTTAAGGTCCAGTTGCACATGCTAATCGGCTTACAGCACCACCTTGGATGTGATTTTTTATTTTAATTCTAAACACTGTTCGCAGAGGATCATAAATATCCTCTTGACTAATGAGTATTTTATTACCACAATAAACAGCTTTTGAATATTAACTGCAACTTTTTAAGGTGCATTCATATTTCTGCTAAAGGCGCAACTAAATAATTAAAATATTAATATTATGAATTTATACTGCTGATAAGGGGAGCCCAACACACAAAACAATATTATATTTAACTATTCTGAAATATGAAGGCTTGTTTAAAAATTTTTTGTTCTTAATTTTTATGACAACATGCAATTTTTAAATTTTCACTGTCGATAAAATACTAAATGGTTTTGATTAGTTCAATTGATAAAAAAAATCAAATTAAGTTAGTCACGGAAATTTTGTAAGGAAAAAAGTTATTTTAAAAATTTATTTCATTGTTTAAAACGGAGGAGTGATAAATAAGAAATTGTAATGAAATACAAGTATTTGGCAATGAGAGAGCAGACGACGGAAGTTCAATTCATTTATATAAACATTTTCTATAGTAAATCATTATGGCTAAGCTCTTCTCATTTCTGTAAGGTATGATCAAGTTTGCGCAGTTAATTTAAGATAAAGACAACTTAAATATTTTGATCGAATTATATTGATCTTTGAGCCTATATAATTATGTCTATTAAAAACTTTCATGATTTTCGAACGCTTTAACAAAATTCGCAAAATTCATTTTGGAAAAATTTCAATCTTGAGAATACGCTAATGAATTTTAATCCTTACTTTAAGATGAGTCTTGTGAATAATGAAAATTGCGTTTATTATTTTTTTTACCGTACGTTATGTTAATCGGTTTTGGCAACAATAAAAGAGTTATTAAATTAAGTTGTGAATGACATGTAGCATAAAATTATTATTATTTTTTTTTAATCAAAACATGTACCAACGTTTTATTAGTTAAGAACACAAAAAAAAAATTTAAAAAGAAGTTTTTTCGGTTTTTTTTTATCTTTGGAAAAAATTAAATATTTTTTTTTTTTTCAAATTTTATTGCTCTCTTGAATAATTATGAAATAAGCGGAATTTTTTGTAAGTTAAAAATTTGATTAATTCACATTGAATCATTTACGCAGCATAGATTTCTTGGGTCCCGGAGAAGCTCGTGAAATGACATGAGTAATTTCAAGTGGTCGCGGGTAGACAACCCGCGCGACGAATCAACCGGTAGTTTGCGGGCGCCGCTGGAGTCGCGTGGCGGCGCTGGCGTCGGGTCGTTCCAGGTGGCGCCGCCGCGAGTCGGAGCGGCCACGCAGCAGGCTGGGCGGCGGCGGGTCTGAGAGCGGCATTCGAGTCTCGGAGGTTCAATATGGCGGAGGACCGGCTGGACCCGGACTTGAAATTCCTGTCGGTGGACAGGAACACGTTCAGCGACCCGGCGACGCAGGCCGAATGGACGCAGAAGAGGCTGGTGTGGGTGCCGCACGAGAGCCACGGCTTCGTGTCCGCCTCGATCAAGGGCGAGCGCGGCGACGAGGTCGAGGTGGAAATCGTCGAGACCTCCAAGCGATGCCTGGTGGCCAAGGACGACATCCAGAAGATGAACCCGCCCAAGTTCGACAAGGTCGAGGACATGGCCGAGCTCACCTGCCTCAACGAGGCCTCCGTCCTGCACAACATCAAGGACCGATACTACTCGGGACTCATTTACGTGAGTATCAAAAAAAAAACCCCCCCCGAGCCGGTACTCGTTCGTAACCGCCAAAACACGCACGCCCACCAACGGCCGCCAAACGTCCAGGGTGTGCCGTCCGAACTCGGACGTGTGAGTAATCCACTCGCTTACCCTGAAGCCCCGAGCACAACGAGACGAGAATCGCACGCAACACACGAGACTTGAATTTTAAGTTCAACTGAAGGCCGAGCCCAAAATTCCTCGAATCGGGCTAATTTACAATTAAAATTCTCTGAAAATATTTCTCAACTTTAAAATTTCAGGTAGTTTAAAAAATGGAAATAATTAAGTTAAAAAATTGAGAGAAAATTTAACTAAATCTAATTAACTAATTAATTAATTTCTTTAATTGAGTCGAGTCACAGGTTTTATTAAATAATAAAATTTCCTGGTGATTGGAACAAAAGTTTCCGTGAGGAGATTTTGATGGTGGATGTAATAGGGATTTTGAAATTGTCAACAACCGGCCAGCGGCCAAATTTCCTTGCTTGCCACATGAATAAGAAAATGATGAGCTCATCTGATAAGCAGGTGATATTTAGGCGGAAAAACATTCCCAAAGATTTCCTCTTATCTTCGTTATTTGAGATTCACTTGACTGAAGCCAATGATAGCAATATTTACTTTATTTTTCTCCAAAAAAATCATAATAAATAATTAAATTGATTTTTGTTGAAAAAAATTGTCTCCTCCGCGATGAGAATAGAGGGTTCTTTTCATTATTACTTTTTTTTCGGGAGAGGTGTGTTGGTCGGGCTCGTTGTTTGATTCGAGAGAGACTCTGTGGAATTCCAAGGCCATAGGTCAAAAACTCTCTCAGCTGATGCGGCCACGAAACGAACAAAGCGCGACCATCATAATTCATCGTTTAACCTTTCTGGAAAAACGCTCTCGGTGCAGCAGCGATTGGAGAATAATTAAACAGGAAAAGCAGCTGCGGCTCCTAATCGTCCGGAAACAAACAAACAAACCACCTAGAATAGAAAAGAAACATTGCCTGGTTTGTAATAAAAATTTTGCTTAAAAAGATTAGGAAACCGCAATTCTTGATAAACTCGTGTTTTTTAAAGTCGAAATGACAAAATTTAAAAGGTAGAAATTTTTAAATTCAAAAATAAATGAATGAAAAGTAAATTCCAAGCAGGTCAATTTCTTAAGAAGTGATTTGGAAATTTATGTTCACCGAAGCTGCTGCCAAATAAAATTGAATTAAATCGACGTGAAAGTGGAAGGCGCGGTTTGTCAGTTTGCCAAATTATTGATTGTTGCCTTCCTTTGTTTTTGAGCCGCGGTTAATCATACGGAAAAAACCGTCCATCGATCAGCGGCCATCAAGTTTTTATTTTCATTTTTTTTCCTTCTCGGTTCGAGCGTGGAAATCGATAGGCAGGGGCGGCGAGACTGTTTCGCAAGCATCTCGCCGAGATTTGCCAGTCTGCCACCGGCTTAACCCCTTTTCCGAACGAGAACACATGCGCTTTGCGGTAATTCGCGAAATGGAAAGAAAAAAACCGACAAACGTCAGCGGAGGGGAGTTTTTTACTGCCCTCTGTCATTGTAAAGAGTTAAGACCGAAAGTTGGCATCAATTTATGTAAAATTAATTAAATCAAACGAATTTGAAATTCGAAGAAATGGAAATTATTTTTTTCAAAATAAGAATCATTTTCAATTATGGCAATTTTTTGTTTTATTTTAAAAAGGATAAAATTTAAATGGTTCTTAAAATTTAATATATTTCCAATTTTTCTAATATTGGGAAAATAGTTATTGATTGACTCTAAAATTTATTTCATTTTAGTCGCTAATTTTATTTATTTTGAATGTTTAATTAAATTTTACATTAAAAAAATCTATTTTTATCAAATGAATTTAATAATTTAGTTCATTTAAAAATTGAATTTAATGCTGGCTCAGGTTGGTGTGTCATTTATTATCCTCTTTTGTTTGGCAAACAAGTACGAACGTTTCGGGAGCATCAGCAAATACCAAAAGAAAGCGCGCCCCGTATGCAATTAATCTGGAAAACTTTCTTACGAATATGGAAATTTATTTCCAAAGGCAGACGGCCACACCTTCCTCCCCTCAACTTATTTTCTTCCCCTCGCTAAACAAATATAAGAGTGTGTTTAGAGCTTCCTGGGCTGAGTGATGCGAAGAAGATGCCAAGTCGGGACCGAAACCAAAATAAACGAATCACTTTTGAAAGGTCAGCGCGCTTTTAGGCTTGACCTCATCTTTTAATCGAATTGTGATGTGAACAAATTTTTTTTCTCACTCCAAACAAGCAGATGGCTTTTGAAAAAAGAAGAAAAAGACACGTGCGTGGAAAAATGCGCTGACTTGCGAGAGAGCAAAAGAAACAAAACCAGCTGGTCATGCAACGAGATCCCTGTTTTTCTCGCCAGCCCAGCATATTATTTTGATTCTCGGATATAGAAAGTCAAGTGCTTTCAGAATGACAACTTGATTTGAATTATGTCAACAAGAAAAGCATGAGAAATGAAATAAATATCAATACAAATTATTTTTAATTAAAACTTTAATGTCATGAAAATATTTTTTAAATCATTTCCCAACATATTATTTTGTCTTGAAATTGTCCTCAATTGTTAAATAATAATAAATGGACAATTAATAATGAAATAATTAATTTTTGTAGAAAGTTTCAGTAACAAATTATGATAAAATTATACCTTTTTTTTTAGTAATTAAATTTTTTATATCTTATAAATTGTCATTTGCAATGAAATTTGGCTGAAAACGGCAATTTATTGTGAAAAAATTGAAGTTTGAATTGAAAACAGCGAATGCGCCGCGCCCTTTGAAGCACCGCAAGATGCGCTCTTCCTTTCTCGGAAGCCTCAAACTTCTCGTTATCAAGCCCAGATAAGAGCGCGTCCCAATAAAAAGGCTCAACTCGAATCATCCCTCTCCAATTTTTCGTTATCGCCGCCGCCACGTCCTGCCTGCGCACAATAGCGAAAATAATTTTTTTTCCATTTCTGCACCTGAATTTCCTTATTTGAGCAAAAGTCGTGTGCGTCACTCCGCTCTCGGCTGACTCACTCGAGCTCCCCTTGACACTCTTTTCGCCGCTAATTATTCTGCACTTTTGGCCCCGCCCCCTGCTTTATTCACCTGTTCTTGTCGCGGAATTCGGAAACACCTGTTGCCGCCGCGAGGAAGCCCCGCGCGCGCCTCCGCTTCCCTCTAATCCGCCGGACAATTTTAATCCCCCTCCAGCTGCACCTTTTGTTTGTTTGCACCCCTCATTTGCATTCCACCGCCCTTGCTGCACTTTTCATTGTCAATCGCTCTTGTAACCGCCGCACTTGGGCTTCTATTTACTATTCACGTCTTGTTTCTTTACCTTTCAAAACATGCGTAATTGCAAGAAGAAATAACATATTGATTATTTTGAACTTTTAATACATCGGATTTTCAATTATAATAATAAATATTTTTCCGAATTCACAGAAATTGATGTATTCATTTTTTTTAAATCTCCGGTAATTTAAAACTCCCCAAATTTGATCAAATTTGTCTAAGTTTCTGAATTATTTTTAAAATTTTCCTAAATATTTCAGGAATTTTCAGATATTATTTGATGTGGATATAATTATAGCAACAAATATTTAAGAAACTGTGAAATTTTCTAATTATTTTTAAATCAAATTTATGAAATACTCTCAAATTTCACAAAATTATGTCAGCATGAATTTGAAAAGTTCGTTGCTTAGGGCGTGTTGCTTGAGTTGCTTCCTCTGTTGGCAGCAGCGGGCGTCGCGCGAAAATCAGCTGTTTGCCGCGCCGTGCATTTCGGCCTTGGCCAAAATCAATATTGCACTCTCGAACTTCGCTTTGCTTCTTCCCCGAACGCTCGTTTCTTTTCAGTCGGATTGAGAAATTCGTCTGGGCGAGATTTGCGCGCGATAAAAACTCCGCACACGTGTTTCGCGCGGCTCAGAACCAGTTTCTCGAACTTAAATTTGGAGCGAGACTAATCAGCATATTTATATACACAGCGCCTTGTAAATCTTCGCGAAATTGGATTTGAGTTTTACAAGGCAAAATAGAAACGGCGATGTTTACGACGCCTAGGTGTCGCCAAAAGTAAAAATGGGGAAATAAAATAAATAACCTAGACCGTATTTTTTTGCCCATTGAGAAAGGAAGGGGAAATAAGGCACCGTTAGTTTTATTTTAATTCCAATCAGGTTCTAAATTCAAACGAAGCAATTTCTTTAAAAGCATTTTTAAGGAAGATAAGAGTAATTTTTTTTTAGTTCTGTAAATTTGAAATATTTCGAGGTGAAGATTTGGGAGTCGCTAAACATGCTTTAATTTTCTTTAATTGAAGAGAAGCTAAATTTTTCTGTACTAATAAATTCCAAGAAAATATTAAAAGAAAAATTGAATTCAATTGAAGAGCTGTATTTGGAAAAAATTAAATTTTGCTAGTGGGAATTTGTTAAAAAAGATGTTTTCCTCGAATTTAGCAGGATCAAAATTAGTTAAATTTTCACCAAATGACGTTATCGAGTTGGCAAACACAATCAATAATTATTATTTGGACAAAATAATTAAATATAACTTAGAAGAAAACATTTACGTGAATATATTTTCAGTGAACTTAAAGAGAACTACAATTTTAATGTGTAAATTTTGGTTTCTAACGCATCTTGTTTCACTGAATATTTGAACAAACTTCAGATTTCCAAATGAAATTGGATATTAAATTACAAACTATGAAAGTAAATCATTCTTCTTTTATTTCTTTATTATTTTTAATTAAAAGTATTTATAAAAGATTAAAAAAGAATATCCTAGAAAAAGTCTAGTTATTTTATTATTCTATTTTAATGATTTAAAAAAATTAGCAGAGACAAGGATGGAAATAGTTTGAAATACGAAGCGTTATTATTATAATTTTTTTAAGAAAACTGCAAAGATTTTGATTTCAAAGCGCTTTTTAATGGGAAAAAAGGAGTTATTTAAAATTAAAAATTAAATAAAAACAACAATTTAGATTGAAATGTGGGAAAGGCACCGTTTTTCAACAATATTCTATTAATTTGTTTATTCAATTGGGCGTATCTGTCGCTGAAGTCAAATTTTCCTAGAGCGTAGTCGTAATGGGTCTCGTAAGAAAACAAATTTAGCGCGGCAGAAAATTTATCTGGAGATTAAAAATAATATAATTTCTGCGCTGACTCGGCTCAACAAATATGGTCCTTCCGAAGGCGCGCTCGCCCAAGTTGCCCACGCGTCCTCTGAAAACGGAAAAGACTCAACTTTTTTCGTGTTTGGCGCGGGAAAACGCGGCGTTTGGGCTTTGGCGAGCGCGGCCGGCGCGAGAGAGAGAGAAAGAGTGACTGAGAAACGAGGCTAGGTCAAATAAGGCCGGCGCGGCCTTTCTCAATTTCCCAACGCCGGCCATCTGGCGGCGGCGGGACGGGGCCCCCGCCGCCCCCGCGGCCCTCGGGCCTCGCATCCGCCGCCCCGGGCCCATTTTCCGGCGGCCGGGGCTCGCGGCGGCCGGCCCGGCGGCCGCCGTTGGGGCGCGGCGGCCAGGGCGGCCGGCCAAGTGTCACGTTTGTGGTCCACCCACGGCGGCGCGGCGCAGATTTGCTGCCAAATAGGGCCGAGCGACCATCTGGCCTCAGCGGCTTTCACCAGCCGAGCCAGCGCTCTGCCGGCGCCACTGCCAATCCAATCCCTCTGAATTTGTCAGATCTGATTTTGGTTTCACGACGAATGAAACGTGCAGACGCGACCACAAACACTCGTCACATGATCAATAAAAATCAGTCACGAAATCTGTCACGATTTTTTTATTAATATAATAAATTGGATTTCATTTTCCAATCAAAGCAGTTGAAAATTGAATTATTTTTTTTTTTTGAACGGCGCTTTTGACACCAACAAATTTATAAGATTTGAATTATCTAATATTTTTTCGATTTAATTAAAGGGGTGACAACCTTTTTGGGTGTTTTGACACAAATCGAATTTATTTTTCGTCTCCTTCAATAAAATGCCAGTATTGTAACTTTTTGTCACTCTTTGTTTGAGTTATTATCAATGGAATAATGCCCAGACGGCAGCCACCTTGGATTAATAAAAATCTAGTTAATTAAGGCAAATTCACTGTTCTGGTCGGTTTATTTAAATGATATTTTGAAATATGAATGAGACTGGACTATGTATTTTTATGTGCACAATAATTTCTTTCTCTTCTATTGGTCCAAAAAATAAAAACTACAGCTTATAAACTGTACTTATCATTTTTTTTCTTCAAAAATTTCCTTTTTTTGCCCCTATAAAGTATGCAATTTAATGTATCTCAAAAAAGTGTTATAAATGTAATAATTCCGAAATTTTCAACGTAGCTTTTCATTTACAAAAATATTTTCAAAATTTGGTCTATGATTTGCAAAGTTGAGCCAATTTAGAGCAATAAATTTTAATTAATCTCTTTTTTACTATTATTTTTCCATTTCTAAATTAATTTTCCCAACCGGCCTGTAATTTAGTACACGTGGAGAATTCGGAGCCCGCAGAGTGTATTTTTTAATTCCCGTCGCCTTTCTTTCAAAATCACGAGCGGCGCCGTGTTCTTTCAAAGGCCCTTGACTCGGGTGGCAACGAAAAGATAACCCGACAAACCAGTCCCGCGCCGCCGCTGCCACAGTTCACGCTGTTTAATTGCAATTTGCCGGCCAGCAAGAATGTCCCGTCTTCATTAACAACCGAAATTACATTATTTATATGGACCGGTCATTTAATTAAAATGAAATTCCGAACCTGTTTTACGATTTGCATAATCATCGAAAGAAATCAACGTTTCGGTTAATTTTGAGCAGAAAAAAGTCCTGATTTCAATCAGTTGCGAAAGCGATTTGAATGTCAGCAACAACTGCTGTTTACCCATCTGGCAAAAGAGTGTGCGGGTGTTTTACCATATATGGGCACGAAACGCAGCGAGTTCAGATGTAAGGTCGCGAATAAAAGTGAACCAGGTGTGTTGGCGCCGAGAGGAAAACGCTTCATAAATCGTATGATTCACGTAGAAAGTATTTAATATTCGCACGTGTGCAAATTTTGAATAAAAAAATGACCAAATTCCCGGAAAATTACAAAATTTGATCAGCTCAATTTTTCTAAAAGAAATAATTATGTTGAAAAAGAGTGATTTTTTTTTTTATTAAAATTGTATCTTGATCGAATTTCCAGATTGAGATCAATCTGGATTGAATTTATTGAGACTTTCGAATGAGAAAAATAGCGATTTTCCCCGCCGGTCCAATTAGCGTTGCTGCGATCGTATCTTTGTTGTTAAGTACGCAATTCAAATTAGAAATTTCAACACGACTCCGGTGTCAAGAGCTGGAATGCCCCGAGTGCGAGACCGCGCGAGTGATTCATCTGCCGACACGCCCTAGAGGGAAGCCTCGCTCGCTCTTTTGCTCACCGCGACCCTTTCTTTGGTCATTTTCATATCATTTCATTTTTTTTTCACACACACAATGCGCGAGGAGATGAGAGGCGGCCTTGACCAGCGCAACCCAGTTGCCCTTTTAAGGCGTCGCTTTGCCGCCGCCGCCGCATTCCTCGCGGACACATCAACAAATCCAGCTGATGCAAACGGCGATCGCGACCATCTGGTTTTTTGAAACCTTTTTTAGAAAGTCGGACAAATTGGTCGCGTCTCAGACAAATTTGGAGACAAACTTTGCTTCCACGCGCCTTTTAATTGTTGAAACGCGACGACAGCTGACCAAATAAATCCTTTTGTGTGAGGCTGAGAAAGTGATCGCCGAGAGTTGAATGGAAAAGATTCGAGCCAAAGGTTATCTCAACAGCACTTCTTGCCCTCGGATGAAAAAAATTGCCCTCGGGTTAATTCTTGATTGAATTAAAATTGAAATCAATCAGATATTTAATTCCTTTTTTTTATTATTGTTTCTTGCAAAAATTACCAATGAAATTAAATAAATCCGCAAATAAATTTATTCAATTTAATACTTTTTTTAAGCAAACGTTTTCTTATTTTAATTTTAATAAATATTTTTAAAACAGGTTGGAATTCAATATTCATTTTATTTTTAAACGCTTTTCTCAGTGTTTGAATTTCCCATCGTTGATCGCGTGCAATTTAACAAAACGCAATGCAAATGTGGAGATATCAAATTATCTTCTTTCTCTTGAGACGCTGCCTCGATTTGTTGTTCTTTTCCCGTCCGAGTCCAAACACTGCGTGATTGTTCGACTTGCATGTGTTGCGACAGATAAAATTGTTTAAAATTCAATGCAGGCTGCAATTAATCACGTTGTCAGCCAGAGTTTTTTTTTCTTCATCAGGACGGAAAACCAGCGAAACCGCAGCAGCGGGGAAAAATTTCAGGCGGGTTGTTGCCAGGCCAGGCGTCTTTTATCGTTAATTAAAAGCTCAATTTGGCTTCCTCGGCGCGAGTTTCCTGCGACAGACCGCAGGAGCAAAACATTACCATAATTTCAGAGTTCTTTAAAAGGGAAATGACGAGCGGTTCCAAAATTGAAATTCGACTTATATGGTCGGCTGGACAAGAAACTTGCATGAGACAAACAAGCGTGTCTGAGAATTTAATTTGCGGTTATAAATCAAAGAGCTTTCTTTGGATAAAAAGACGAATAAATTATATTTCTAGTTATCATAAATAAAAAAATAAATATAAAGAAAATTAATTTCGAAATAAATGTTTTTTTAATTATTCAATTTCAATACTTAACAACAATAAATTTGTAAAAAAAAACATACAAGATTAATAATAATTGTTTATATAATTTAAGGCTTGAACAAATCAAAACTTTTATAATTATTCACAAATTGAGAAGGAAAATAATTGAAATTTTGACTAATTTGTTACTTTTTTCTCTGTTTGCAGACTTATTCGGGGCTTTTCTGCGTAGTGGTCAATCCGTACAAGAAGCTGCCAATTTACACAGAAAACATTATGGAGAGGTATAAGGGCATCAAGAGGCACGAAGTTCCGCCCCACGTATTCGCCATCACAGACAACGCTTATCGCAGCATGTTGCAAGGTCGGTTTTATTATTATTTCAGTGCCCCAAATCGCCAGTTGCGTTGGAAACGAGCAACATTTTTGCTTCAATAAAGTGACAACTGCAATAAAATGTTTGATTCGTTAATTAATGTTAATTTTTTTTTAATAAATCCTATTCTAATTGGAACATTCAGATCTTTAAATTAATATTAGAAAAAAATATATATTAAAAAGGAATATTGAAGTAATTTTTATAACTGAATTTTTTTGTGAGAAAATATTTCATAATTATAATAAATTTCATTTATATTTTACCATTTTATTAATTAATGTTAATTTTTTTTGTAAATTTTTTTTTGCAGACCGGGAGGACCAGAGCATTTTGTGCACCGGCGAGTCTGGCGCGGGCAAAACGGAGAACACGAAGAAGGTGATCCAGTACCTGGCCTACGTGGCCGCCTCGAAGCCCAAGGGCTCGGCCGCGGCGCCGCACACGGTAAGTGCTCTGCCTCCGAAGGGGTCAGACTTTCTTCGGTGCCTGCTGCACGGTGTTGGTCGGTACTGATCTCTTGTTATCTCTGTTTTCTGGTGCTGTGTGTGGCATGAGGCTCATGAATTGTTTGTAGGCTGCACCTGTCTTCAGCTTCGTAAGTACTCCTGAGCGAGACACGCCAACTCCTCCCCTCAACGCAGCAAAACACTCGGACCAAAATTATAAAAATTCAGTGTTATTTAGACATTTTTAGATCAATTTCTGGTTGGTGTCATTTTAGTATGGGTGATGGATTTTGGAAAAGTTGGGTATTTTTTAGTTTAGTTTGCACTTGTGTAAATAAAATTGGTAGTTATTTTTGGAAATTGGTGTTTTTCATACAAAAATTGAAAGTTCCCCTGCATGTGCATGGGGCGAGTGTTGTGTTTTGCCCTGTTGAGAGGGAGAAAAGCGGTCCCTCGTAGAATGCCCCTTAGTCCCCTGAGTAGTTAGCTAGTTGAGATGCACACTTTACTAACAATTGTTGTCATCTTGTTACATGCTAGTCATTTGAAGGCTCAACCTTCGAGGTAGGCCAGCGCCCCCTTTTGTCCGCATTGCCCCTTGAGAGTGAGCTTTTAGCCGCTGCCAAGTACAGCTAGAACTTTTCAAATTAAATTTCATTTAAAAACATGTTCAATTCTCATCTTTTAGCCGTTCAAACGAAGGACGTGTTTAGTGAGTTATTTTTTTCATCCGAGTCAAATCGTCCCTGTTATTATTTTTATTTTACTAACAGTTTTATAAACGAAAAGTTTGTCCCATTATTTTCCAGGCTCACTCTTGAGGACGCAGAGTACAAGTTCGTTTATTAACTTGTGAATTTACTTGCAGGGAGAATTGGAGCAGCAGTTGCTGCAAGCGAATCCCATTCTTGAGGCTTTCGGTAACGCCAAGACGGTGAAAAACGACAACTCATCCCGATTTGTGAGTTTTTTTTTATTACTAAGAATTTCAATTTTTAAATAAAACGGTTTTATTTTGTTTTCTAAACTCAGGGCAAATTCATTCGAATCAACTTTGACGCGAGCGGATACATCGCCGGTGCCAACATCGAGACGTACCTGCTGGAAAAATCGAGAACAATACGACAGGCCAAAGATGAGCGCACCTTCCACATATTCTACCAGCTGATGACCGGCGCCACCCCCGAACAGAAGAAGGAGTTCCTGATCGACGACCCCAAGACCTACTCCTTCCTGACCAACGGGCCGCTGCCCCTGCCGGGCACGGACGACGCAGGCGAGTACAAGGCCACGTGCCAGGCCATGGGCATCATGGGCATGACCCCCGAGGACCTTTCGGCCATTTTGCGTATTGTCTCGGCCACCATGCTCTTCGGCAACATGAAGTTCAAGCAGGAGAGGAACGCTGACCAGGCCACCCTTCCGGACAACACGGTTGCCCAGAAACTGGCTCACTTGCTCGGTCTCCAGGTTAGTTCTTGTTACGGACAAAAAAAATATGAGAAAACCGCAGGAGGCTGAAATCCAGTCGCTCACTCGCGGAGATGCAAATATTTACAGATACTGCTTTTTACTGCTGCTCGTAAAACCGCAGAGAATATAATAACAAGTTGGATGTTTGGTTTTAGAAAGGCTCCAAAAAGCCAGGATATGATTTCTTTTAGATATTTCTGTTAAAAATATGCAGACTCGATTCATTTTAGTTTTTGAATGTTGATGCAAAATAAAGAATTCCACTCTTGAGTTTTAATTTGATGTTCTTAGGTTACTGAGATGACCAAGGCCTTCCTGAAGCCCCGCATAAAGGTGGGCAGGGACTTTGTTACCAAGGCTCAGACCAAGGAGCAGGCCGAGTTCGCCATCGAGGCCATCAGCAAGGCCTGCTACGAACGCATGTTCCGCTGGCTGGTCAACAGGCTCAACAGGTCCCTGGACAGGACCAAGAGACAGGGCGCATCCTTCATCGGAATCCTCGACATGGCCGGCTTTGAAATATTCGACCTCAACTCTTTTGAACAGCTCTGCATCAATTACACAAACGAGAAGCTGCAGCAGCTGTTCAACCACACCATGTTCATTTTGGAGCAGGAAGAGTACCAGCGGGAAGGAATAGAGTGGAAGTTCATCGACTTCGGCCTCGACTTGCAGCCCACGATTGACCTGATTGACAAGGTAGGCCCTCAAAAATCACAGACTGAAAGATAATTTATTTTGTATTTGTAAAAGAAATATTGAATGTCAAATTTCCAACTAAAATAACTCAAGGACTTTGAAAGCAACAAGTGTGCCAATAAAATTTATGAGATGCGTGGGTAGTTTGAAAACAGCTCCGAGTGCATCGAGTGTTTTTGTTTGCCGGGTCCGTACTTATATTTAATTGCTCTCGTTGCAACTTTGTTCAATTGCATGCCGGTCAGGTCGTTGTTTCTTTGCGACCGCAGCAGCTCTCGGAATCGAATTGCGCCGCGTGTTTTTGCCGTCATTAATCAGTCTGTATGTGTGTCTTGTCTCTTGTGACGCATTCCGAGCGCTTGCGTGTCGCCGTGTGGTCCCCTTTGAGGACGCACGCCGCAAAAACCAGCCCGTTGCCCCCTGCCAAGTGGAATTCTCTCTCTCTCTCTCTCTCGCTTGCACCTCCGTGACATCATGTTGACTCAGCGAGTGACGCCAGGACGGCAAACTAACACTCTATGATTATCTCGCGCTGAATAAATATGTGAATAAGGCACACCGCGGTGACTCGGGGAAACTCTCTGGCGAATCGAGAAGCAGCGTGGCTGCAAAAAATTGATGATTACACGGCCCAAGAATTTGCTGGACTTGCATTAAGCACTTGAACTTTTTGTTCCTCGTTTGAAATCCGAATGTAGCGATGGAGGCAATCAAAAGGTCTCTTTGACGAGATTAAATTATGTAGTTAAAGTTTAAAAAAAGCTTCTTTTATCAGTTTTTGAAGTCATTTATTATTATGAGTATATTTTTAGACACTTGAAAAATGAAATTATAACTGATTAGGTTTAATTATAAGTACTTTTTTAATTTGAATTTTTTTAATAAACATTTTAAACTAATTTTATTTTATATTTCTCAGCCAATGGGCATCATGGCGCTGCTGGACGAGGAGTGTTGGTTCCCGAAGGCGACGGACAAGACGTTTGTCGAGAAGCTGATCGGCACCCACTCTGTTCACCCCAAGTTCATGAAGACCGACTTCAGAGGTATTGCTGACTTTGCGGTTGTTCACTACGCTGGCAAGGTCGACTACAGTGCTGAGAAGTGGCTCATGAAGAACATGGACCCGCTCAATGAGAATGTTGTCTCACTTCTCCAGGCCTCGCAGGACCCGTTCGTGGTGCACATTTGGAAGGACGGTGAGTTTTTTTTTTAATTTTTATAAAAAAAAAAACTAAGTTTGATAGACACTTGTCATTTTTGTTTCTTTGGAATAGAATGATTTTATATTTATTTGATTTACTTAGTTGAAATTATTTCATTTGATAATTTGTTTTATAATAAATCAATATGTTTGCTATTAAAATTGTATAATACAATTTTATTTTAATAATTTAATTTTAAAATTGACTATTAGTGTCATAAATTTATTATTATTGAAGTTGTGTTTTATGAAGTAATTTTTATTTTCGTTTCTATCAATTATTAAATTTGAATATTATGAATATTATTTAATTTCTTTTTTACTTCTTAGGCAAATTTTTCAATTTTATTTCAAATTTTCCAGCTGAAATTGTTGGTATGGCTCAACAAGCCATGTCCGAAGGCACGCAGTTTGGCGCCCGCACAAGGAAGGGCATGTTCCGCACAGTATCCCAGTTGTACAAGGAGCAGCTGGCCAAGCTCATGGTGACTCTCCGCAACACTAACCCCAATTTCGTTCGCTGCATCATTCCTAACCACGAGAAGAGGGCCGGCAAAATCGACGCGCCTCTGGTGCTCGACCAGCTGAGGTGCAATGGTGTGCTCGAGGGCATCCGTATTTGCAGACAGGGCTTCCCCAACAGAATTCCATTCCAGGAATTCAGACAACGGTCAGACCTTGAAACTAGATTTTAAAAATCGATTCTAATTGTTATTTTGTAAAACAGATATGAACTTCTCACACCAAATGTGATTCCCAAGGGTTTCATGGATGGAAAGAAAGCCTGCGAAAATATGGTAAGATTTGTTTGCTTTCAGTGGAAAATGATTTTCGCACTTTTTGTGCATTTAGATCCACGCTCTGGAGCTGGACCCCAATTTGTATCGTGTAGGACAGAGCAAAATTTTCTTCCGTGCTGGAGTGCTGGCTCACCTTGAGGAAGAGCGAGACTACAAAATTACAGATCTTATTGTTAACTTCCAAGCTTATTGCCGCGGTTTCCTTGCTAGAAGGTGAGTTTCAAAATCCGCACAAAAATTTTTTGAATCGAAAATGAATGTGTCAAGTTTCGAAAAGACGCAATTAAGTGAATCTTCATTACAATTTTAATTTCCGTTAAAAGACATCACTTTTTAATTGAATTGATTTTAATTTTGTCTTAATTTTTCTTTACAGAAATCATATCAAACGCATGCAACAGTTGAACGCTATCCGTATTATTCAGCGCAACTGCGCTGCTTACCTGAAACTGCGCAACTGGCAGTGGTGGCGCCTCTACACAAAGGTCAAGCCACTGCTGCAGGTGACCAAGCAGGAGGAGAAGCTGGTGCAAAAAGAAGACGAGTTGAAACAGGTGCGCGAAAAGCTGGAGACGGAGCTCAAAGTTGGGCAGGAGTTCCAGCGCAAGTACGAGCTGGCCATCGAGGAGAAAAACACCCTGGCCGAACAGCTGCAGGCTGAGACCGAGCTGTGCGCCGAGGCCGAGGAGATGCGGGCGCGTCTGGCCGCCAGAAAGCAGGAGCTGGAAGACATTCTGCACGAGCTGGAGGCGCGCAACGAAGAGGAGGAGGAGCGCAACGTCCAGCTCAACAACGAAAAGAAGAAGCTGCAGTTGAACATCCAGGACTTGGAGGAGCAACTCGAGGAAGAGGAGGCCTCCAGGCAGAAGTTGCAGTTGGAAAAGGTCACTCTGGACGCCAAAATCAAAAAGCTTGAGGAGGAGGCGGCCGTGTCCGAAGACACCAACCAGAAGCTGCAGAAGGAGCGGAAACTACTCGAAGAGCGGGCGGCGGACCTCAGCCAGACCTTGGCCGAGGAGGAGGAGAAAGCCAAGCACTTGGCCAAACTCAAAACCAAACACGAGTCTACCATCAGCGAGCTTGAGGAAAGACTCATCAAGGAGCACCAGGCGCGTCAGGAGATGGACAGAAACAGACGCAAGGTAGGCAAATATAAAGAAAACATTTTATTTCTACAATTGTAAATGTTAAAAAAATATTGCTACAAAAAATGTGAAATTTATAATTTGATTTTTCAACGTGTTTTTCAGCTTGAAACTGAACTTGGTGACCTGAAGGAGCAAATGGGCGAGCGAAAGGCTCAGGTGGAGGAGCTGCAATTGGTGCTGGGCAAGCGCGAGGAGGAGTTGGCGGGCGCCATGATGCGCATTGACGAAGAGGCCGCCGGCAAGGCCCAAAGCCAGAAGGCCCTTCGAGAACTCGAGTCCCAACTGACCGAGCTGCAAGAGGACTTGGAGGCCGAAAAGGCGGCCAGGGCCAAGGCAGAGAAGCAAAAGCGCGACCTGAACGAAGAGCTCGAGGCTCTGAAGAACGAACTGCTGGACTCGTTGGACACGACGGCCGCCCAGCAGGAGCTGCGGTCCAAGCGAGAGGCAGAATTGTTGCAGTTGAAGAAGAGCCTGGAGGAGGAAACTGGGTCGCACGAGTCCCTGTTGGCTGAGATGCGGCACAAGCACGGCCAGGAAGTGGCCGCACTGCTTGAACAGCAAGAGGTCATCAAGCGGAACAAGGCGGCCGCGGACAAGGCCAAGCAACAACTGGAGGCAGAAAACGCCGATTTGGCCACCGAACTTAAAACGGCCGCGGCCAACAGGCAGGAGAGTGAGCGCCGTCGCAAACAGGCCGAGGCCCAGTTGGCCGAGCTGGCCGCCAAGTTGACCGACTCGGACAGGGTGAGGCAGGAGTTGGCCGAGAGGACCACCAAGGCGGCCACGGAGGCCGAGTCTGTTGCCCAGCAGTTGAAGGAGGCTGAGCTGCGCGCCTCTGCCTCTGTGAAGGCGGCCGCCGCCATGGAGGGCCAGCTGAGTGAGGCGCAGGCCCTGCTCGAGGAAGAGACCAAAGCCAAACTGGCGCTCAGTTCCAAGCTGCGGCAGTTGGAGGCCGACAAGGAGGCGCTTCAGGAGCAGATCGAGGAGGAGGAACAGGCCAAGCGCAACCTGGAGAAGCAGGCGGCCACCGCCCTCTTGCAGGCCCAGGAGGCCCGCAAGAAGGCCGAGGAAGAGGCCGAAAACGTGCTGGTCCTCGAAGAGCAGCGCAAACGCCTTGTTAAAGAACTCGAGGCTGTGCAGCGGTTGGCCGAGGAGCTGCAGGCGGCCAACGACAAACTGGACAAGTCCAGGAAGAAGCTGCAAGCCGAACTCGAGGACGCCACCATCGATCTCGAGACTCAGCGTGGCAAGGTTGTTGAACTGGAAAAGAAACAGAGGAACTTCGACAAAGTGCTCGCTGAAGAAAAGGTAATTTTGCTTTACTTTTAAAACAATGTTTATCAATAAAGATAAATTTACAACTACCTAGTTTTAAAGAAATAAATTTTTAAATATTTCATTATTTTGACAATATTCGATCATTATATCAACTGCAATTTTTAGTAACAATTTGTTGCCGTGTTTATATTTTTGCTAATGAATTGTGTCTTTTATTTTTCAGGCTGTAGCAGAGCAAATCGCGCAGGAGAGAGACAGTGCCGAGCGGGAAGCCAGGGAAAAAGAAACCAAGGTGCTAAGCCTCACCAGAGAGCTCGAAGAAATGCTGGAGAAAGTCGACGAGCTCGAAAGAGGCAAACGAATGCTGCAGTCGGAATTAGACGAGCTGGCCAATACTCAGGGTACTGCAGACAAAAATGTAAGTTGCTCATTTTGATAATTTACAATGAAATTCCAAAAGATTTTATTATTTTTCAAGTTTTGAATGAAGCAGTTGATTTTCTAAAAATATTTCAATCGTAGCAACTTTTTTTATACAATTCGGGTTCCCATCTGATGATTGGATATTTTAATTTGATTTGTTATGTTTTGCATGCCATTTACCAGGCCGAGGTAATTTATTTTCCCACTTTTGAAATGAACCAATATTACTTTATTTTGTTTTTGTCTAAAATTAAACGTGGGGCTATTTGCAGGTACATGAGCTTGAAAAGGCAAAGCGGGCGCTAGAAATCATGTTGACGGAGCAGAAGGCGCAGAACGAGGAGCTGGAGGACGAACTGCAGCTGACTGAGGACGCCAAGCTGCGGCTGGAGGTGAACATGGAGGCAATGCGCAAGCAATTCGAGCGCGACCTTCAGGCCAAGGAGGAGCAGGCCGAGGAAAAGAGGCGGGCCCTGGTGAAGCAGTTGCGAGACGTGGAGGCCGAGTTGGAGGACGAAAGGAAGCAACGGGCCGCGGCGGCCGTGGCGCGCAAGAAGCTTGAGGCCGACTACAGCGACCTGGAGCAGCAACTCGAGATGGCCAACAAGATCAAGGAGGACGCCCTGAAGCAGCTGAAGAAGCTGCAGGCGCAGGCCAAGGACTGGCAACGCGAGGCCGAGGAGGCGCGCGCGGCCAGGGACGAATTGGCCGCCCAGGCCAAGGAGGGTGAGCGCAAGGTCAAGGGTCTTGAGGCCGAACTGGCGCAGATCACTGAAGACCTGGCCGCCGCCGAACGCGCCAGACGAGCTGCCGAAAGCGAAAGGGATGAAATGGCCGAGGAGCTCGGAAGTAACGCTTCAAGGGGAGGAGCCCTGCTTGACGAAAAGAGGAGACTCGAGGCCAGAATCACTGCCCTGGAGGAGGAGCTCGAGGAGGAACAGAGCAACTCCGAGCTCTTCATGGACAGGTTTGTTCAATTTATAAATAGTATGTGATTTGATATGGGTAAATTTTTTTATTAAAGTAGATTTTCTCTTGTTTAAATCATCTTATTTGACTGGAATATAATTAAACTAACTGATTTTGACTTTAATATGATGAAACTGTCATAATTACTCAATTTTCAACTCATCGGAAAACTTTATAAATATATTATATTATTTTTATATAACAAACGGACAAAGAAAAAACAATTACAAGTAATTTAAGTGCTAAAATATAGCTTGATTTTCTTGGAAACGTGGAAAATGCAAAAAAATCCTTGTTTTTCAACCTTTAATAAAACCTTTCCTTTCTCAAAAATTTATGCCTTGACCCCCAATTTTCTGGTTGTCAAAAGGATTAGTTTTTGTGGAGGATTTTGCTGTTCTCAGGTGATCCCATCTTCTTTGAGACATTTTATATTAAAAAACTTTGCTTGAATTGTAATCAGAGGTTATTATTTGAGATTGAAGTCTACCTAGATTTAATTAATTTAATGACTTGAATTTAAAATGAGTTTTGAAAATTTTCAGGGCGAGAAAAGCGCAACTGTCTGTGGAGCAGTTGACGACAGAGCTGGCGGCCGAGAGGAGCGTTTCGCAGAAGCAGGAGAGCCAGCGGGTGCTGCTGGAGCGGCAGAACAAGGAATTGCGCGCCAAGCTGGCCGAGATGGAGACGAACCAGCGGACCAAGACGAAGGCGACCGTGGCGGCGCTTGAGGCCAAGATCGTCAACCTGGAGGAGCAACTGGAGGTAGAGGCCAAGGAGCGGCTGGTGCAGCAAAAGGCCACCCGCAAGCTGGACAAGCGGCTCAAGGAGATGGCGCTGCAGCTGGAGGACGAGCGGCGGCACACGGACCAGTTCAAGGAGCAGGTCGAGAAGGCCAACGCCAGGGTCAAGGCCCTCAAGCGCCAGCTGGACGAGGCCGAGGAGGAGATCAGCCGCGAAAAGGCCCAGAAGAGGAAGGCCCAGCGCGAGATGGAGGACATGGCAGAGAGCAAGGACACCATGGACAGGGAGATCCAGAATCTGAAGAACAAATTGAGGTTTGTTTTGCAATTTTTATTCAGCCTGTAAAGCGTCCGACTTTGTTTGTAAATTTCAATAGAAAAATTATGCATTAATTTAAATCCCGATAGAAAATGTTCTGACGGTTCTATCGATGTGAAGAATATTATTTTTGGACAGTCACTGACAGATTCGTAAGCATTTGGGAGCAATTTTTCATTTACAAATTATTAACACTGAGGTTCTTCAAAAGTTTCCCATAATAATTTACAAATCATTTCAATTAAAATATCTAACAATTAACCTCACATTCAATCAATCAAAATAAGTAATTGAACTCTATTTAAGCCCTAAAGAAAAAAAAAGAGTTGGAAACTTGCAGAAAATCAAGTGATTCAGATTTCAATAAATCTTTGTGTAATAGTTTAATAATTTTAGTTTAAGGAAAATTTATCAAGTCAATCTTTGCTATTCAAAGACTTATTGGAATCTGCAATTCAAAGTTTTATTTTCTGAAAATTTCCTCTATCCCTTGTTTAATTTTTAATAAAAACCTAAACTTTGGAACATTGTAATCAATGAATTTGTTTTTGAATTTGCAGACGGACCGGGGGACTGGGTGGACTGAGCAGTTCAAGACTGGGAGGCGCCAAACGGGGCTCGATCCAGGCCGGAGGAAGCGACGACTCGATGGCCGCGCCCAGCCAAGACGAATCGGTGGACGGCGAGGAAGCGTCCAACTAAGCAGTGATGAAGCATTCCCGTGTCTTTTTGTATTTAAATTTACATCGATAACCGTTCAATTACCCATCAGTTATTAATTATGTTAATTGACTAACAGGGGCAATAAATATTCACATTTGCATTAAAACATAGAAAAAAACACAGAATTTTCATTTAATCAAACTTTTCAGATTTCTTTAAAGAATGTAAATAATAATGTCTTTTACAAATAAAACAGTAATTTTATGTTTATTTAATCTATACTTTATTTGAAAAGTTAAATTAGTGTGGACTATGATTTGAATACTTATCTCACTATGTACATTTTGATAGTTTTTGTTGTGCGGAACACTGCAGGGCGGTTGAATTGTTAGTCCTTCCTTCAGAAAAGCTACCTCCTCCTGTTGAACCAGACAAACTCGTAGCCCTTGAGTCCGGCCAGCTTCTCGGTGTCCACCTGCGGCGTGTCCTGGGCGGGCAGCCTGACCTGGCTGATCCTGGGCCTGAAGCCGCGAGCGTCCGCCTCGTACGTCACCCTGTGGCTGACGCCGTCCCTCGTGTTGACAAAGTACCCGCCACTCTTTGACCCGTCCTTGAGCCCCGTCTCGTGGTGGCCGTGGAAGCCCGCGGTGTAGTTGAACCGGTAGTTGGGCCCACCGGACAGACCGGACGGTTCGGCGCCGCCCTGACCGCCGGCAGAGCCTCCCAGGCCAAAGGTGGTGGTCGTCGAGAATTGGTTGCTGTTGAAGTTGTTGTTGTTGTTCTGCGAGTTGCTGTTGGCGGTGCTGGACACCGAGCCGATGGTCACCACCGGACGCGGGCTGGTCGGCGAGAAGGGTCTGCTGGTGGGGGCGCCGGACGGAGGGTAGGGGGCCGTCGGCCTGAAACCGCCCTGGACGGGGCTCGGTTTGAAACCTGAGGGGCTGGACAGGGGTCGGAGGGTGGTGGTCGGGATTATGCAACTGGCGCAACCCGGGATGCCGCCCGGACGGGGTTTGGCGGTGCTCGGACGAGGGGTTGTCGTCGTCGTAGTTGTTGGCCGAGGGGTGGTCACCACCGGTTGGACAGGGAAGACGGCTGGGAAATGCATTAATTCAAAATTAATAATAAAAATTAAAAATTAATGGAGTTAAAAATCTAGAGATTCAAAGCAAAGATAACAATTTATATTCATATTTGGCTTAAAATATTTAATAAAAATTCTATTTAGATCTTCAATTTCACTAAAGAGAAGCAATTAAGTCGTTTGAATAAATTGCAAAAGTTTTTATAATTCTATTATTTTTATAACATATGAAAGTTTAATTGGATAATTTATAAAATAATTTCTATAAATTTTTAATTTAAAATTTCAATGAAAATTTCGTTTTTTTTCATTTGTTTTGTAGAAAGATTCAGAATAAAGTATTTTTTTTTTTAATTTTCCCACGGACTGACAAGATAAATAAAATATCATTCCGCATATTCACATAATAAAAAAGCCATAAATCCCTCTGTAGGATTTCACTCTTGTCCAAATCGTGATGAGAGAGAAAAAAAGTGAACTTGTTATATTATTATTTCATTAATTTCACCCAATTAGAGAAAGTTTTACATTTGTATATGCAAAAATGATATTTATGCGAAAAGAACTCACGCGGCCCGACGCGTTCTCTCTTGCGGCCGAGGATCTTGAATTTGCCCTCCTCGTCGGTGGCGTAGTACGTGGTTGTGTACCATCCGTCGGCGGTCACGAAGCCGTACTCGCCCGTGATGATGCCTCTGCTGTCTGCAAAATTAGCCAAACAAATCTCACAATATGACAGCTTAAACGCTCTGCTTTCCATCCGACACCTCCGAAAATAAAAAAAAAAGCGGTTGCGAAAATTATAGAAAATTTTGTAAATTGTTGCCTTTCATCTCCTGGCGATGCTGCATGTTTTCAATGTTGAAGCCGAAACTGTAGGGCCGCTTCAGGTCCTCCTCGCTGGTCTGCGCTCTGCAGCTGCAAACTGCCCAGCAGAGCACCACCAACAACACAGCCTGGAACACAAAATATTATTCACAATTATTTTTTATTATTTAAAACCATTCATATCAATAGAATGATAATTGCTCGAGAAAAGTCAAGAAATTAAAAAAGTTGCACATTTTAGAAAGCTAAAAAATATATTTTTTAATTTGAGGAATGTGTTTGAACCGAAATCATAATATTATTAATTGTAAAATGACGAAAGTATCTTGGAAAATGTGGCTTCAAAATATGAATACGAAACCAATTCTAGCAAAAAGAGCAGTTTCAGCGAAGAAACAGTTGGGAACAATCAAGTATTGAAAAAATTAAGTCATAACATTAAGATTTACTTAAAATTTACTGCACACAGAATATTAAGTGTGGAAATTTATTTCATTAATTGAAAATTAAAAAAAAAAAAGTTCAAAGGAATTGATTTTTCACGCAATTAATAAAAAATATTCATTAATTTAGATTTAAATTAAATGCTCAACATAAAATATATTGCAACTCTTATAAAAAAGTCATATTTTAACACGTTTTTATTATAAATTTCAAAAAAAAATTGTCATTACATTTCTTTGAAAATCAATCACTGTTAATATTTAGAGAGAAATTAATAACATACAAGATAATTTAAAAGAATAAAGAAATCTGAAAGAAATTGTTTCCTTTCAATTTTAAATACTGCAATAATTTAATGGTTTAATAATTATTAATTGTTTCAACTTAAATTTAAGAATTAATTAATTATTCATCGTCCGTGATTGAAAGGAAAACTGATGTGTTGTTGATAAGTTGAATGAAAAAAAAAATAAATGGGATATTATGCAAATTTGTGAGCACGTCTTCCGTGTCACTTTACGATCACTTAATCTTTTATTGACAACAAAGCTTCAGGCGCTAAATGAGGAAGACGCACGAAAATTGATGCGCCTGACCAAATCGAGCGCGAGATCTTGTGTATTTTCAAGTACGAAATTATTAAGGAGCGTCTCTGGCCGTCGTCGTTATTTTTTATTATTTTTTGACAATGCATGCGCATTTGGCTCGCGGCCAAGGCGACCGATGGAATAATAAAACTCCTCCCTTCGTACGTGACGGATCGAGCAGATTTGGGCCGGAAAGTATCAAAAATGATGGGCAAAAAGGTCACGGTCACTTAGCGCGCGCGCGGCAGGTGGACGCGCGGATCCTGTTCGGCGCCGCGCAAGGTCGCGCGGGGTCACCAGCAAGGTCCGTCCGCGTGGCACTAACTTTGCTGATTTATGAATGGACCCGCCACCGATCCAATGCTTATTTAAAAATTAAAAATAAAAAAATAAAAAACTCTGGCCCGCGAGAATTTCGTCACGTCCATTTTCGTTCCGCCGAGAAAAGTTAAAGATCAATCAATTTGCCGGCGCTAAAGTGTTTCTTGGTTTTTTTTCTCCACAAATCTAAATGGGAGCACTTGATCAAGTTAATGCGCTCATTTATTCTCCGCAGCAAGTTTTAATTTTTCTACAAACGCGCCAAAATACAGCCGCAGAGATTTATCTCCTGTGTCGAGTTGCGGACGTAAAACAAAGTCACAATTAAGCTTAAAATTATTTTGTACAAAAAGTTGAAAAATTGTAATTTTACAATCTCACAAATCGATTTAAAAAAAATTAATAAGAATCAATGGGAGAATGTAATTTAACTTATTTTACATTATTCAATTTCAATGGCAAGATTTTTATTTTTGAAATCGAATTCAATGGAATATGTAAATTTGTAGAACCAGAAGCAAAACAAACTTCTTGAATTTTAGCGATATATTTTTTTGTACATTTAATTTCTATACCAGATTTTGCAAAAGTTTTGATATTGTGCTAATCTTGTTTGGGAAAACACTCTGATTGAAGCGTTTTTTTTTAATTAAATTATCTAAATAATGCTCAGAATTTTGATACTTCAAATTGAATTTTTTAAAGTTTTTAAAGTTAATCCTTAATTAGCAAATTTGCTTTGCAAATAATAAATCATTTTGAATGTAATGAAAATAATTCAAGAATTCTTCTTCAGTTCTATAGAGTCTTTCTGGATATTTTTTATTTATCGATGAAACACACGGTGAAGAATAAATTCTTTAAAAAAGATCATCCCAGCCTTTTTTCTATTTATAGATTCCCCATATCTGATGCAACGTTTCCATAATAAATTCCCGCATTTGACTAACGAGAGAATGGGAGTGCCGATGAAATTCGCGAGCTTAATTTATTGCTGACAAGAAGCTCTTAGGCTCTACTTTATGTCTTGTTTTTTTCCGAAAGCAGGAAAATAAATTTTGTAGAAAATCAAGAAAAAAGAAAAAATTTTACAAGCGAAGAAGATGCAATTTTTTTTTAACTCCCACGCCTTGTGTTGACCCGCGGCCTTCCGTTATACAAGTCTACGATTTTTTTTTGCCCGAAGGCTGCACAAAACCGAAAGTTGCTAATTGGAGATGCGGATCAAAATTTGCGTCTGCCCGCCAGCGCAGGCAATTAAATAGAAATGCGCCATTGTTGATATACAAAGGCTATGCAAAAATGAGCTTTCTTGCGCAACACGATTTTTTCTCCTCCGGTCCAATTTTGTGATGACCGGGAAAGGAATTCGCGCGCTTGCGAAACGGAAGCATTTTTTTTTGCTGCTAGACACAAAAACACACGCAATACTCCTTCTAGCAGACAAACAGCTCCCGGTTTTTTGCTGACCACAATCGAAATAATTATAGAGCCTAGCTATGATTTTTCAGAGAAAAACATTAACAAAAGCTGTTCCTGTTTAGGTGGAAACTCTTATTAATTAAGAGAAAAGTGAGAAAACAACAGCCAAATTTGATAAAATTTTCACCAAATTTCTATTTTTGCAACGAAATTGGATGCATGATCAGTTTTGTACTTTTGTTATTAATATTTTTTCACGAGTGCCGGGAATTTTATTAAAAATAAATACAGATATTAAAGCAAAGATTGAAAATTAAATAAGAATAATAAATTAAAATCACAAAACGTTTTATAACAATTACTTTGAAAAAAATAGTTTCATTCTTCATTTTTAAATTTAATTTATTTAATTTAATTCTGGCGGTTATTCTGTGTGTGTTGGATTGAAAAATTTCAATTTTCTGTTCTTGTACGTTTTAAATTTAGAACCTTTAATATTTATTTCTATTAATAAAAGTAAATTCAATCGACTTTAATAAAAAGATGATACCCAAAAATTGAGTGGACTATTTTATTCTAAAAAAAACTTCCCCTTTCCCAATTTAAATCGCAGAAAATTTACAAAATAATTTGCAGAGATCATAAAAATTATTATCAAAATTGAGGCGAAAAATTCTTCTAAATGAGTTTTTAGTGTATATTATTTAAAAGGAATATAAAATTTTGTAAAGGTTTTTCATTGCTGAATAATTAAGCCATTCAATAATGGATAAGATTGCGCAAAAGCCATAATTCATCTCAACGGCTCTCGTGTACTTTAATATCTGATCAATAATAACAATAAATCAACTCATGCAATGCTGACCGCCAATTAAAATCCTATCTTGAAAAGGTCACCAGACATTTCAATCCTAAAAAATTAAACTCTTTGAAGACAAAACAGAAATTGAATGAGGTAATTTTATCGAAAATAACGTCGGCAGTAATTTCTTGACCCATTTAACCGTCGAGCACAAATAAATATACAATCAGGATAGCTTAGATCGTGTCAAGGCGACGCAATGAATAAAATCCGCCCCTAAAGGATTCTCTGTTGAGAATTTTGCACGCGTGTAATTAAATCAAACCGACGGTTTTTGCAATAACTCTCGGTTTTTTTTGCGAGGCCAATTATCGGCGAGGATTCTCTGAAGAAATCTTTTTGCCCGCGGCTGATTTGCGTCAAATTTTAATTAGCATGCCAGATCATGATCGCTTTTGTGCAAACACCGCGCCAAAGGTTAATTAAAACCTTTCTGCCAATTATCCGAATAAAACACTGACCTTCCAAATGAAAAATACTTTAAGGTGGAATAAACAAGTAAATAACAAGTAAAATTATTGCTTTCCAATAGTTCTGATAATACGGAGAATTGCCAAATTAATTTCTGCCTAATAAATAAAATGTATTTGGCCACCAAACCTTCTCGGCTCATCTTCGTTTGGGAGAGAATTTCTTTCATGATTTATATGCATATTCGCATCACATTTAACCACGACTTGATAGTTTCCAGGCAAAATTCAGATTTATCACTGTTTTCTCGAGCAATGAATGAGACAGTTATTGCGAATAAATCAAGCAGGCCGTAATTGCAGAGAAAGAGAAAAAAAGGCAGTTTTCGCGCGAGCAATTACATAATGCGGCGTCATGCAGCGCACGCAAAATAGATTTCGAGCTATGAATTTCGCCAGACAGCGATATCGCCAAATCTAAAATGCAAAATAATTGACGTCGAGACAAAGTTTGCGGTGAACATTAAAACAGCTCAATATTGTTTTAATTATACTTCATTGTTGTAAATCTCATCTAATCACGTTACGTAAAAAAAAAATACAATTATATTTTTGTCTTTACAACTAAATATAAAAAATTTCACAAGGCCAAGTTAATTTCAAATTAAACAGTAGCTAGAATAAAAATAATTCTCCTGCAATAAAATAAATCAATAAAAGATAAAATAATAATATTTTGCAAAAAATATCTGAGATTTAAAAAAATTTATAATTATTGTAGAATTTACAATAAAATTAATTCACCTTTGAAAATAATAAGTAAAAAGGAAGGAATAAACTATATTGCTAAAAACTTGTTATAAAAATTAAATAAATTTTACCTTAATTCTAATTAATAATTTTGGAGATAAATTTTCAATGTAAAATAATTGAATTAAAAAAGAATTAGATACGCAAAATTAATTAATTTACTTGAATTTAAAATAAAATTTAATTACTTAAAATACAATAAAAAAATTTAAGTTTTGCAACTCACGTGAACGGGAGGCATCGCACACAAAGAAATGAAGATCGCGCGGACTTTTGGAGTCTGCGGATGCAGGAGGGCCTTTTATAGGCACGGGGATGCTCGTCGGCCTCCCTACCCAGAGAATAGTCGCGTCGCAAAAAGGGAAATTCAAACCGAGATCCTCCTCTTATTCTCTTCAAAACACAAAATCGGAGAGGAGGCCGAAAATTGTTGCTCTTTTTTTATATTTTATCGACACCTTGCGCGGAAAATCAACCGCGGCGCGCACGGTCAAGGCGATTTTAATTCTTTCCGCTGCGAAAAGACACGTTTTCTTTTACACGGTCCCTTTTTTGTGTGCGGCAAGAGTAATAGCGTTTTTATTACAAGTCAGGCAAGTGTCAGGAGATTTTATACATGCGATATTTTTTGATAAATTTAATTCTCATGGTTGCGCTTCAAAAACTTCCGCTTATTGAAAGAACATTGTACAAAATCCTGACCCGCAAAATTAATGTGGTTGGAAAGGAATGTAATAAAATATATTAATTTTTCAATTTGTTTATTCTCTGAAATTTTAAAAATATTTATAACTGAAATTTAAATTATTATGTGTTAGTTTTATTCTTCACAAATTACAATAATACTATTTCGATTCCAATTCAATCACCGAATACAGTTTTAAAATTGTCAAAATAATAATATAGTTTTCTTCCATAAAAATTTAAACTTTACAAAATTGTAAAGAATTCACCAGGGATCAACTGAATTGTGCGGATTAACAAATATAAAATTTAAAAATAAGAAACAGAAGGGTCAAAATATATAAAAACAAAAAATTATAATCAAATTTAAGTTCTATGTATCTTGAAAGTTCATTATCAGATTTGCATATTATTTTGTTTCTATCGTGCAATCGTGATATATCGATATATATAATTATATTTTTTTTCCCTTCCCTTACATTTTACAACCTTGATTGTTCAATTTTGTGAAGGAAATAACTATTAACCTACAAAATTATTAAGAAAATTGTAGCTACATCAAGTTTTATTAAAATTTTAGGTAAAATTTACACAAAAGCTACCAAAAATCTGATCGTATATATTTTGCAATAGAAGGAATAAAACTTTCCCGCTTGCATAAAAAGCGATTGTTTATATTCCGCGAAAATGTGGCGCGACGTATCAATTTGTTAATTCAGAGAGCAGTAAAGCAATTATATTTCGGGCGCTCTTTCCTGGTGTCGAGCGCCGGGCAAAAAATCTGGATCGATCGAAAAACGAGGGAGACGAGAGAGCGGCTGCCAAATTGAAAGCTGCTGTGCCGCCGCACACCGGACACTAAATTATTCGGAGTGCCGGAATAGGGCCGAAAAGAACAAGGCCGAAAACGGCTGAGCGGAACAAGGCCGAAAAGGAATAGGGCCGAAAAGGAACAAGGCCGAAATACCGGTGCAAACAAAATAGGAAGAACCGGTTTCTTTAGGGAAGCATCTATTACCGTGCTATATATGTCAACCCGTCATCCCTACAAGAAACGGGACGTTTCAGAAAACATCAGGATCAAGACACACAATTTTCTTTATCATCGTTGTATTTATAAGTCAAACTGTGAGATAATCTCAAATAATTCACCCAATTAATTAAACTGAATATTTGAAATTTTACATTGTTTCATATGGGAATTTTTCGAAATAATTTTTTTCTCAAAATTGGCCAGACCAAACTTGATTAAAAATTCACCAAACCACGTTCATATGATTCCAATTATGATGGAAATTTTGAATCAATATGTCAAAAGACATCAAAAATTTATAGAGCATGAATGGAAACATTTAAGTCAAAAAGAAGAAAAAAACGACACATAACAAGTAATATAAGTTTTCTGGACAAATAATTTCTTAAATGTTCGTGGTTTCAGAGTTCCGATGCAATATGGTATTTTTATGCAGTCCAAGAGATCAATTTATCTTGTGATGTGTTTCCCCCATATTTCTGTGATTTTCTGATATGTGTCTCGCCTAAAATGAAGAATATTTTGCTGAGATCTTCTACAAAAAATTTTAAATTTTCGTCAATTTTCCAATGCGAAACGGCCGCATGATGGATTTCAGTATCGGCGCGCAAAGGATCTTCAGTTTAAATGTTTGCTGAGCTGAACGCGCTCACGATTATCGGTTATTTTTCAGCTTTCGGCCTTGTTCCTTTTCGGCCCTATTCCTTTTCGGCCTTGTTCCGCTCAGCCGTTTTCGGCCTTGTTCTTTTCGGCCCTATTGCGGGACTCCAATTATTCTGACAAGGGGTGCTTCGAAGTTCGGCAGAGATGACGAGCCAGACAGGTATGAGGACAAAATTAATTCGAAAATTAATGCTCTCGGCTTGAGTCGCGGGTCGTGTGGGAAAAAAATACGATTTCTCGCATCTTTGGCCCGCGGGCCAAATTTTTTTTTATTGGCGCGGCTAATTTGCGTGCCTCAAAAGTTGCATCACAACGAAAACAATTCATCCCCAATTGATTTGATTTGTTAGTTTTTAATAAAAATAATTTTCGACTTGGGTTGTTTGCTTAGGTTTTGCGCTTATGGCAGTTGTTAGGGTTGAAGAGCCGGCCAGGGATGCTGGGGAACACGCCCCTATATCTCTTTATTGATCCCGCGCTCGCTGACGCCAGAGAAATGTTTGTGTTAATTTATCACCTGTTGCGTTGCGGCCGATTGTTCAGACATGGTTTAAAACATTCCATTTATAGTTATAAGATATGTAAAAAATTATGAAATATCACAATATGTTTAATTTTAAAACACTAGCTGTCTTTTAATTGTTCTCCTAAAGAAATTTAACGTGAATTTAGAAACTGAGCGAGAAGAACGAATTAAACAGCTCCAAAAAATTAATTTTTCTATTTAAAACTTAAAAATCAAGACGGCAGCACACTTAACATGACTATTGAATCATGAATCTGCTTTTTGAAAGCTCGTCAGCTGAGCCTTTCAGTGAGTTGCCGTTTGTCTTGGTTTTTAAGTGTCTGAACTGGGAAAATGATTTTTTTTAAACTGGAATCCTTATCTATCTAAAAATTAAGATTTCTAATTAAAAGATAATATTCTGACATTTTAATTCAGTTTCCAAAAAACACGTTAAATTTCTTTATGAAAATGAAAATGGAAAGTGGAATATACTTAACTACGCAAAGACACGACTCAAGCATACGCAAGAAATCACAAAAAATCAATTAATAGTATACTTAATTAATTTTTAAGATAATAATAAATGAATGAATATTATATTATTAAAACTAATATAATATGTTAATTTAATTTGCAAGCCGCAATAATTGTTTTCATGTCAATTCAACCCATATTTAAATGGACTGCTGTATCTGCTTCACATAACCACGTTTATAGTACCTTTTTTATGAGGTAAAAAAATTTTAAATAGATAAAATTATAATTATGTTATGTTTATTTATTTTTAATTTGATCTGACAATGAGTGTCACTGAACTTTGTGATTTACAAAACTATTTTCACTTTAATAAGATTGATTAAAACAACCTCACACAAAATAATGAATTTTTTTCGTATCATTACAAATAAAACAAGCGCCTTTTAAGATGTGCTTATGCAACCTGCAAAACAAAATCTGCGCATTCACGATCGGACCCAATATTTTGGATTTTTTTTTTTTAATGTGGGAAATTATGAATGGTGCATGTGCAGCTGGCCTTAAATAATTGCAATGAATTCCACTTTCAAACAAAATTTTAATATTTATGGTGATTTTGAATTTAAAATTTAATTTCAATCGCAAGTACCCCTCGATCCCCCCCCCCCTCTACGCACCCCCTTCTCTCCAAATCAGCAGCAGCTGTGTTTTGTTTTTTGCGGCAATCAACAATCAACAATTTATTCATGAAAATGGAAATAATGAGCAAAAGAGGATGCCGTTTGTCGTTTTCTGCGTCCAACTCTGACGACGGACCCTTCTTTGAGAGACTGAGAATTCGCAACGTTCGTGTGCTGATCATTCGTGTCTGCAAAAATCCCTGAGAGAGGAACAAACACCGCGGTTGTCGTTTCTGCTCTGCTTCAAGTGTGTTTGTTTGTAAGTAAAAAATTCAGAAAAATTCTTTTGCTTAAAATTTTCCTATTACATTTTAGATCACGTCTTTTGTTTCTGCATAATCAGAGAGAAATCTCATCAATTATTTTGAAACATATGAAAAGAAAAATGATTTCTATTTGTTTATAAATGGTACATACAAAAATGTATGAAATTCCTATAATTTTGCTTAGATTTAAAATATAAAAGAGTGGCTTCATTTTCAAATGTTTAGTGAAATTCAGTCCTTAATCCTTCTTAATTTCCTCCGATTTCAGAGAGCAGAGTTGATTTTACAGAACATGGACATGGGCATTTTCTCGTCTTCCACTTTGCCGGAGTCAAATGAAGCTGATTCTGCGGCCATTGAAGAAAAACCGGACAACGGCCAAAAAAGTTTGTTCGACAAGTATTTCAAAGCCATCTTGTCTGACACGTCTGAAAAGTCATCATCGAAAGGAAAAAGTAGACCCAGGTGAATAAAAAACTAATTTTTTTGCCAATCAAGTTATAGGAATAAATCTGCAATATTTATTTTTGTATTCAAATTTGCAGAAAAGGAAGATGAAAAGTATCTCATTCATCTGTCCGATTTTCCATGGGATAAGGATGACCCTTGTCGCGCCGAAGCTGCCAAAGATCTTGCCAAGACTGATCAGTCCGGCCGTCATCGGTCTTACTTCCTTCGGAAGATTTTCGTCATCGACGAACTGCACAAGCCTCTGTGCTCATCCCTGGCACTGGCGACCCCTGAACTGCTGGAGAGACAATTCTACGACTTCAGCCTCTGGTTTTCCGCAGAGGCCAAGAAGGAAGAGGAAGATCGGCTGTTCGACCTCACCATGGCAACCCGCCTGGTTTTCCTAATGGTAAACGCGGGAATTTCCTTTTGGCGTGTGCTGGACGAGGCTGTCCAGAAAAGAGACAAATCCTTGTTGGCTGACTGCGCTTCTTTCGTCACCAACTACTCGATCGAAGAGGTTGCTGCTCACAGGACGAAGAACCCTCCGAAGGAAGGACGCAAACCGGACGAATTTCTGCTCAACCCTGGAGTTCTGTGGCAGCTCCACTGCAACCCTGTCCTGCTCAACCAGTGGCTCTTTGCCCTCTTTGCCTTCCTCAACATCGAAAGAGGCTACACCTCCATTCTCAAGTACCTGCCCATTCCTGAGCAGGTGGAACCAGTTGTGCGAGACCTGCTTGTGTTCACCAGAGATGTGCACAAAAGGCTCAACTACGGGTTTGTGCTGCTCGGCCAACTAGTTAAAAGTCCAAAGCAGGACGAGGAAGTGACCAAACTGATCATGGAGGACGTGGTTGCCCCTTGCCTGGCCGCCCTCATGGTCATCTTGGACAAGAAGCACAACTTCCGGAGTCTCTGTGGTGATCTGCAAAGCGTTGTAGTTCACGTTGCTGCCGGAAATGAGGACAAATCACTCGGTAAAGGCGTCTTCATCGACCCCAGAAACTTCTCCCTGGACACTGAGGATGAAAACTTTGACATTGTGTACTCCCTTAAGTACTGGGTTGCCGAGGGAGCATCTAGGAATATCTTTGGTGACCTCAAGACCAAAATTGAGGATGTCAAGCTGAAGATAAACGAGAGCGAAAAATTCCCATCTGTGGAGGAAATGCCGACTGTCATCTCAAACTTGGACGAAGCTGCAACCAAATTCAACAAAATTTCTAAAAAGGTTGACCTGGACGATGACTACGTTGACGAATGGCAAACTGACATGGAAGTCAGTGACTACTACAATGCGTACGTGACTGCTTTAAATCATGAAACGGAGGTGATCAGCCTCTTGATGGATTTCACCGGTCTGGACGCCAGTTGTCTGCTGACTTTGTTGGTTGAGGAGCAACTGATCCTGCTGAATCGAGCCGGAGCGAGGAAATTGGTCATCGACAGTGATTTTGGTTGCTTAGAATCCCAAAATGAATGCACCCCTGAGAAAATGCAAGAGGCCATTTTGAGGATTAAAAGTGTGGAGGAAAACGCATTCCAGAAAGTGGCTGCCAAGTGTTTGAAAGAGTGGGATGGACAAAGCTTCATCCCCACTGGGTTTGTGCAGACGCTGGACCAGCAGACTCAATTGCAAAACCCAATTGAGGTAAAAAATCTAAACATTTTTTGTGAGACGATAATAACAATTAATTTCCCCTTATTTTTTACCAGGAGAAAGTATTTCAACTGGCAAAGCAAATGGTCTGCTTGAAGCCGAGGTACCCGGACTGGGCCTTTGTCTATTTTATTTCATCCTGCCACCACTTGTGACCTGCTTCCGTGACGAATCCTCTAAACTGTCCGGGTTCTTCCTGGAGGAGCTTTTTTCTCTCTTCGCCAAAGATCTCGATGTTTGGAGGTCTGCACCAGAAATTTATAGCGCCAACAGACACTTGTGCGAGGACCATTTGAGCTCCGTCCGTGACCTGAAGAATATTTTGCTTATGCAAATTTGTGATGTCTTGGCCAGGAAGTTTGGAAACAACATTTGCGCTCCCATCTTTAAATTGGGCACAGACCTGATGGACCATAGCGCTCACAAAAACCCCACTCTGCACCAAACTTTGTCAGCCTGGAAAACTCGAGGAGCCACCTGGACAGACATGATGAATTTTGCGCTGACTGAGGCTGCCGCCAGATTTGCGCCAGAACCGCAGCTGCAGCTCAAGAGTCTTTTGCTGGCAATTTGCTCAATGGCCGAACTAGCAAGTGCGAAAGACGAGACAGAATCGGACAAGGAGCAGTTTCACCTGCGATCGCGCCTCTACCTGACCCTTGACCTGGCCTTTGCGGAGTTGATGGGAGAAAAGCAAATTGCTAGTAAGAAGAGCAAATTCGAAGCAACGGTTTGGCCAAGGCTCGGAGTCCTCATCCACCTTCTCTATGAAAGGTGCAAGATTGTGCAGGTGCCTGAGAACTTCACCCCACCCGTCTACTACCCTGAGGACTCGAAAGTCATCCTCATGCACTTTGCCCAGAAGGACCTGCCCAGGTTGAGGAATGCGGTCGTCGCCCTGTGTCTCGATTCCAAACGCCAGGACCGAACTTTGACCCCGATGCAGGTCATGAAGGATTCGAGTGATTCGAGCCCGTATTTGTTCCTGCCGTACCTGTCGAGGATCAAGAAGGGCAAGATCAGGAGCTGGGAGGAGGACCTGCTGCTGCCGGTCAAGCACTGTCGCTTCTGCGGAAAAGTTGATGACTCGAGTCTGGTCATGTGCAGCGCGTGCCAGGACGATGACGAGTACCCGGACGTGACCTGGTTCTGCGGAATCGAGTGCGAGACCAGCGCCATGGAAAAGACTCATCACGTTGAAGAGGGTACCATCATAATGTCCTAAAGAAAATGTCCTAATTTGAGGTTAAAGACAATGTCCTAACAGAGAATGTCCTAAAGAAAATATCCTAAAGATAATGTCCTAAAAGCTATGGTCGCACATTGTCCTAAAAATTTTGTCCTAATTGAATTTCAAGAAAATGTCCTAAATTTCGGAAAAGTGGTTGATTTATTATAAAAAATTTAGTTTTTTCAACAGGGACTAACAAGAACTTCATTCCTTATCAAATGAATTCATTTAAGCAGAAAGAATGATGCTAATTGTCGAGCTTCTCTGTCACATTTCTTACGATATAGATGATCAAATAATTCAAAATATGAAAGTTTGAAACAATCATATATTATTTTCCACAAATACAAATTATTGTTAATAATAATATTATTACTACAACGTATATTGAAAAAAAATTTAACGAATATTTTCAATTAAAAATTTTCATATTTTTTGTCTTGAAAAAATTGAATGATACTTTTAAGTAAACTTTTTAGTAGGAAACAAAAATACAATTGCCTGAGGATTTTTACGAAATTCTTTGAAACTATTGTCTAGAAGAAAGATATTTCTCAAATACCCGTAGAAAAAGAGAAAAAATATTTAAAAAAAATATATATTAGAGTCATTGCAAAAGCCTAAAATTACTAAAATTAGTTCAAAAGTCTAAATATGTTTATTTTCCAATAAAGACTCTAGTCGTATGAAGCGTCAAATATTTTGAATCAGGATAAATTTTGAAGCAAAATTACTTGAAAGGACGAAATTAAATTTTTTTTGCACATGACACATGACTTGTCATAATTTTCAGGCGTTAGGATATTTTCTGTTAGGACATTTTCTATTCTTAATTTTAGGGCATTTTCTTTAGGACGTTTTCTATAGGACATTATCTTTAGGATATTTTCCGTTAGGACATTTTCTGTTAGGACATTGTCTTTAGGACATTGTGAGGCACCCCGTTGAAGAACATGACACGCATTTGATTGACAAGATTAGCATTTAGTGATTGCGTAAATGAAAAATTTATTAATTCTTCAAAAATCTTTTGTGAAGCAACTTAATTAAGTTTAATTAATTAATTTATTCCATTTGGTCTGACTGGAAAAATAAACAGGTAATTTTTAATGGATTATTCTTTTTATTTTTTTTCTTTAGCAATGAGTGTTAAATATTATAGATTTTCTGAAAACCCCCTTTTATAAATCAATCTTTAAACCTTTTCAAAAATTTTAAATTATTTATTGCATCAAAAAAAAATTGTCTTAAGCAAAACAGTTCAATGAATTTGCAAGACTTAAAGCAAGTCATTGCCCTCCTAAAAAGTTTGTCTGCTTCAATATATTGCTTTTAATTTCAAGACTTATTTTTATCGCAAAATTGCTTTTGCTCATCAACATTAATGTACTCAAATCAACAACCCCTTCAGTGCCTTGCGACATTTCAAATAAACGGTAAAAATTGTCTCTCTCAACCGCCTTTAAAATGTGTTTCTCTCATCAGCTTAAAAGTCACCGCAGAAGAGTAAAGTGAAGTAAAAAAAGTAAAAATATGGCAATGATAAAAATAAATGATTTTTTTCTTCTTAACAATATGTTTTAAGTTACGATGGAACTTAAATTTTTCATTTATATAATATTCGTCTGGTTCTCTTTCACATAAATTGGAAAAAAAAGAAATTACTTATTAGCTGAAAACAGATATCTTTAGTTCAATTTTAATTATTTTTTTTTTTCAGAAAAATGTAATATTTGGCAATATTTGGTATTCTTGTTGATGAAGAATACAGCTATGGGGACAAACGCACGCTTAATATATATGTTGGTGATTAATTCATTATGTTAAAAAACTGTAAAGAGCCTACGCTGACCGGTCTGTTATCCACATCCGCCTTCAAACATATTTGCATGAAACCTAAAACGTCAAGATTTTATCGTTTTCATTCGCTATAAATCTAAATGTAAGAACCAGAAGAAAACTAATTTAAAAAAAAAAAACCGAAGAAGAATGTTTGTTTTTTAAAGAAAATTTGAATAAAAAGTACAAAAATATTATATAAGCTTGTTCCATGTATTAAAAAATTTAACACGATTGCTTAAATTCCCATGCAAAATTGTGTAACAAATCTTTATTTAATTAGCATTATGTAATGATGAACAAATGACAAAATGCATACAATCATAATGTACTGTAATATACCGAACCATATTTTTGCAATTTTATCTATAAGATATTAAAAAAATAAATATTTACATTTCTGAACAAAAAGAGATTATTTTTGCATTTAAATTAGCTGTTTTTAATATAAATTCCAAAATATTTGACAATAATTTATGCAGAACTATTGTATTTTTTATTAAAAAAAAATATTATTTTTTATCCGTGTATTAGGTGCCGCCGCGCGCGGTGCTTTTTCTTCTAATATTAAAAATCGCTGAGATTGCGATCGACGTCCACCAGGTGGCTGCACCGGCGGCCATATTTGTTTTGTCTTGCGAAAGGAAAGCGGCCCTTTGAGCCCTTCTTTGGCCGCTCTGCCCTCGTTTTCGGCCCACGAATTCGCCACGGTTCGAGTGGCCGTCGGCCTGTGTCCACGCACCGCGGCCTTCCGGGGCCCGCATGTCCACGAGAATCGATCCGGCGGCCGCGAACCGAGGTTCCTTTCTCGCCGACCGCGACTCGCGCACTGAACCGAATTAATCTCTTATCTTTCTGCGTTCGCAGGGCCAGGGGGGAACTCGAGTGCCGAGGCTTATCAGGAGCCGCCGCCGCAGCAACTCGGCCAGCAGTACTACAACCAGTACTACGACCACCACGGCCAAAATCAGCCACATCACGCCAGTAATTTTACTCATTTCTTGCGTAACAAAATCTTAAAAAAAAAATATCGATCGTCGGAATTTTATCCGAATTTGATTGATTAAAAAGTTCGGTTGTGCAATTTATTTATCAGAGAACTATTTGATGTTTTAAATTTTAAATGATAACCTTGGTAATTTTGCGGATTTTTTTTCAGATGGCTCGCCATATCAGAATTATGACCACCGGCAAATGAACTACAATAATTATCACCATCAGCAACAACAACAATATCAACACCAATGGTGTCCACCTCGTCCTTATTACAGCAGTACGGAGATGATCTTTTAATTATAATTATTCAATGATTAAATTTCAAATTTAATTTGAGAAATTTTGAGTTCATTTTTTTGGCAATTTGAACAATTAGTTGATTAAATCGAATTTGAATTCAGGTCAGGAGTATCCAGCACCTTTTCCGCAACACTCGCCACACCAGCAGCAACAGTTCTACCAGCAGCCCGAGCGGCCTCCGTGGCCGCCTGTTGAACGGCCACCGCAAGCTCCTCCTCTGGACAGTCTGCAGATGCTGGTGAAGGAGAACGGAGGTGTGAACGGCGACAAGCGGCCGCGGCCGTCCGACGAGGCGGCCGAGGGCGAAGGCCGCAAGAGGCGCCGCAAGTCGGACCGGCCGACCCGCATCAGCAATGGCAGCGCCCAGGCGGCCGAATCTTCGGCGGCCAGTGCGGCCCCCGAAGAGCTCAAACCGTGCGAAAGGGAGGAGGTCCCTGTCGAGGAAGAGGAGCCGCCGCCTCCGATAATAGTGGCCAACGGGGGTGGCGATGAGGCGGCCGAGGCCAGCGACCGCTCCACGCCCAGACTGGAAATCCGCACTGACGAGTCCAATGAAGCACCTCCTAGTCAGGGTTAGACAAAATCCATGTTAAAATATAATTTTGTCTAATTTTTTTTTTTAATTATTGTTTGGAAAAGTTTAAGTGAATTCATTATACAAACTTATTTTTCCTAAAAAAGTGTTAAATTGTTTAAAAAGAAATTAAAATAATTTTCAGAGAAAGGAAAAAAAGTATAAATTAAAAGCTCAAATAATTGATGGCTTAAAATAGTACATCAAATATCTGTAATGTATAAAAATTTACTTAAAATATCTGACAAACAATATTCTTAAACTTAAGATTTTGATATTAAATTTTTTACATGACTTATTGACTTATAACCTCTTTTCAAACATTTGAGTTTGGGACAAATGCAGACTTAAATTGTAAGAGACAAAGTTCCGATTTGATACTTAAAGATTTCAAATATCCTTAAAAATTGCATTTTAATTGCTGTTTACTTTCATTATTCTTTTTTAAATTCATTCATTCTTCTTCTTATTTTGAATAGATCAAATTTTGAATTAAAAATAATGTTTCAGGAGAACCCAGTGAATCTCAGCAAACGCCTACAAAACCAGCAGAAGAGTCTCCACATGATAAAAGCGAAGCAGCCTCCACAGAAGCCACTCCGGCTCAGTCCCCTAAAAAGAAAGGCCGGCCCAAAGGCTCGAAGAACAAGAACCCTAGTGTCAGGCGCAAAGTCAAACAACCCGAGATGGTCCTGGAGGATGATGACGACGAAAAGAAAAAGAAGAAGAAAAAGTCGGGCAAGAAGAAAAAAATTGTGGCGACGGCAGCTGTGAAGACGACGGTCGAACCTGTTGAGGAAAAGGAGAAGCAACTTATTAAGGGCCCTGTGATCAGGATCTCGGGCAACAGGGAAACTGTGGTCAACTCAGGCAAGTCCGAGGAGGAGTTGGGCAAGAAGCCTCGATCCTGCATCAACGACGCCGAACTCAGGACCAAGGCTAGTATAAATTTCTGGTTATGTATTTTTAACAATTTTAACGAGCTAATCAATAAAAACTAAATAAGAAGTTATTTAATACTTCCTACTCAGAAAAATTTTGATCCGTTGCAGAGCATTTATATAATTTAAGTAAATTTATAAGTAAAAAAAGTTTCTTAAATACATATTTTTAACTGATTGGATTGAAATTATTTCAAAATAATAAAAAATAATAATTATTTAATTAGGTTGCTGGAATGGGATTCACCTCAGCAATGGCTCAACACTACGACGCTTTTACTCTCGACGAAACCTGGATCTGCGCTTTTTGCAAACAAGGCTCGCATCAGAACGCACTGGGCGACCTCTTCGGGCCCTATTTTGTCCAAACGGCCAAGAAGAAGAAAAAGTTTGAGGTGTGGGTGCACGAATCGTGTTGCGTCTGGGCCCCGGGCGTTGGTCTCGTCGGACAAAGACTCGTTGGTCTGCAAGAGGCGATTTTCTCATCGGCAGACAAGGTAGCTTAAAAAAATTTAATCCGAAATAAAAAATTGATTTTTATTTGTTGGAAGGAATGTGAGGTGTGCAAGAAGAAAGGTGCGATGATAGGGTGCGTAAAAAGGGGGTGTGAGAGGAAGATCCACTACCCCTGCAGTGATGACTGGCACTTGGACAGTGAGAATTTCATTTCGTGTTGTCCTGACCACGAGGTAATTTTTTGAATCACAAATTTTAAATAACTTTCCATTTTAAAGATAGTTTAAATGAATTTTAAAAACAGTATTAATTTGCAATAATTTATTTGTGGAATGTAAACGATTCCTTGAGTATCATCAACATCAGAACAATATTCTCAAAAAAACTGGAATGAACGAAACAATTTTGATTGCAGAGGATTCGGCGCGACCCGGAACTATTGAGGCAGAAGTGACGTCACAGGTTTCTGATGACGGCCATCGTGAACTGTTTGGTGGTGGCCTGGCCGCCGAGGTCTTTGGTGCGCACCTTGCCCGCCTTGAGGACCATTTCGACCGCATTCCTCACCAAGTCCCCATAATACTGCAGATTGACGTGCGAAAGCAAATTGGCCGACGCCAGCAGCATGGCTGTCGGGTTGGCCACGTTTTTGCCCACGGCCTCTCCGTATGTGTGTCGCGCCCCCTGCCGACAAAAAAATTACAAACATTGAAGTGGCAAAAAAAAGGGAGGAGTTTCTCACAGGTTCGAAGAGGACGCATTTTGAGCTGAAACTGGCCCCGGCCACAAGTCCGGCGCCTCCGACCAATCCCGCAGCCAAGTTGGTGATGATGTTGCCGTACAAATTAGGCATGACGCAAACGTCAAATTGGCGCGGGTTCGACACAAACTGCATCGTGCAGTTGTCCACAATCATCGACTCGAATTGGATCTTCGGATAGAGCTCGGCGATCTGCAACCAAAAGAAGAAAAAAGAACAGTTCATGATTTTTGTTTAAATTCTGTGAGTGGCAGTCGGCATTTATATATAATCACAGACTTGATTAAATCGACTTGTGTTTCTTTCTCAAATAATTATGTATTTTGATTGAATTTCGGCAAACCTCAGCGCAGCTGCGGAGGAAGAGGCCGTCGCCCAGTTTCATGATGTTGGCTTTATGCACGGCGGTCACTTTCTTTCTGTTGTGCTTCGTGGCGTAGTCGAACGCGAATTTGGCAATTCGTTGGCTGTTTTTGCGCGTCACAACCTTCAGACACTCTACAACTCCCTAAAAATTAATTAAGATTTATGAGAAAAAAAATGTTAGATCATAATTTAAATTTTGATGATTTTTTTATTGAATCATGATGATGATTTCTGATTTGGTTTAATTTTAATTGGGCCAATTTTGAGAAGGAAAATCAAGTTTTCCAAATGAATTTTATTTTTTCTTTAAAACCTAATTGAAAATTAAATTTCCTCTCTGCATGATGTATGGTAAAATTATCATATAAAATAATCAGCCCTTTTTTTACTGAGGCCTCAATGCTGATATTTTGAAATATTTTTCAAACCTTGACGGTTTGGTGCTCAAGGGCCGAATACTCTCCCTCAGTCTGCTCTCTGATGACCACCGTGTCCACATTCTGGTGTCTGCTGCTCCCAGGCAGAGACTTGACGTGCACCACGTGGGCGTACAGGTCGAGTTTCTTCCTGAGTTTCATGTTCAGGGTCTGCAGTTCGCCGGTGCGGCTGTAGTCGGGGGTCGTCAGAATCCCCTTGAGCGCGATTCCATTCTTGGCAATCGAGGCGGCGACGTCGTCCAAGGGCGCCGACAACTCAGGGTGCACCTCGCTCAGGAAGTACCTTTCAAAGTCTATGGGCACACCAGCCGCCTGAGACAATTTTGATTAGCATTCGAAATACAAAAATTAAAATACCTTGAAGACTTCAATGACCGAATCGATCAGTTCGGGACCAACACCGTCGCCTGGAATTAACGTGCAGCTCGTTCGTCCTTTGGGTTTCGAAACTGGAGCTTGCTGTTGGGGAATCGTTGAAAATTAAACTTATATAATTCGGGGACTAAAACGTACAATGAACTGGCAAACCGGAGCTGCAGTATGGACGGAGGAGGATTTGACCTGGAAAGCGCCTGCCTGGAATTTAAGAGTAAATTCAACATATTTGGAAACTTTTTGAATTAAAATTCACCAGTTGGCTGAAGAGACGGACTTTTCTCGCGGCCAGAGAGGCCATGGTGCGGCCGACGTATTGGATTAAAATGTGGGTCGGTGAGTGCAGTCTTAATGAAATTAGCTAAAGCAAAAAACAAGGCGCACGTGGTGCCAGCTGAGAGCGTCAGCCGACCGAACTGTCATGTACAAAAAGAGGAAAGATATTCGATGGAAACCCCCACCATTGCTTTTATTTTATGCTTGCGAGGAAAACGTTCAAAAACAAGCAAAACTTGCGCAACCCTTTCTCGCTTATCTCATTTTTAACGTCACTCTTGCAAGAAAAAAACATTATAAAGGAGAATAATTGTTTAAAAATAAAAGATTTTTGAAAAATTATTTGTTCTTCTCATTATATTATAGTTGCAATAAAACTTGGTAAACATTTGATTGTTAAATAAAACACTAGCGCTCTTTTTTTTATTTGGTACGAAATACTTGCAGCGTGTTTGAATATCACAATTCAGACGAAGAATGCAACAGAAAAATGACATTAAAATGCTTAATGACGTGCAATCCACACACATCCGAAAATCTCTCTTCCGCACAAACTCACATTTGAGCACAACAAGTTTTTTTCCTTTTTATTTAAAAATAAATAAGTTCAAATAAACTCGATGCCCTCGAACTTGTTGTCGGCAACCTTGGTCTCAGGGTAGAGCACCTCGCCTTTGACGGTGAAGACGGTGAGGAAGGTGGCGGACTTGCCCTGGTCCTCCTCGGACTTGAGGGCCACGATGACCTCGTCGTCAGTGCCGGGGAGGAACTTGAACGAGGAGAAGCCGTGACTGGGCACCAGGGGCCCCACCTCGGTGACCTTGACCTCCTGAAAGGTGGCGTCGGCGGTGATCAGAAGGTTGGTGCCCATTCGCTCGTCGCGCGCCTCGTCGTACCGCTCCTTGCTCGCGCGCCTCGGAAGGAAGAACCATTTTTTGTGGCGTTCGCTCCAATTCACTGCCTCGTGGATTAAGTAGCCTGAAAATTTACAAGATGAATTAAATTCTTGTAAAAATATCTTATTTTTTTTTTTAATTCTTAATCCTTCAAATGAAATTTTAAAATTATAATCTTATAAAGAAATTGTTGATTCAGCCTGTTTTAAAATCCACTGGCAAGATTATTTTGAAAACCTTGGAGTTAAGTTATCTTTTTTGCTTTTATCTCCAGCTAATTTAGGTCGACATTTTCTTCCTTTTAAATTTTTATTTTTAAATATCATTTTTTTTCTACAATTTCCGCCAACCTGGAAAAGTGATTCCGCAGGCCTGTCTGATTTTCTCGTAGTGTTTGCTCCAGTCAAGGTGCTCAACCCCGCCGTCGGGCGCGACCCGCTTGACCCACATGGGGTCGTAGTTGACCAGCTCGCCCTTGGACGTGGTCCACTCCTTGCCGAGGCCGCCGACCAACAGGCGGCCGTTGGCCACCGTGGCCCACTCGGACTTGAAGCCCTTGGCCGCGTGGCCGTCGCCGTCGCCCAGCAACACCCACGGCACCACCCGCGGCTTCTGACCTCCGTACTCCAGCAGCTGGTAGATGACCCCGGTCCGGTCGTCGGCGGTCAGCAACCTGCCGGTGAAGGTCACCAGCTCGGACAACTCCATGCCTCGGCCGCCCGCGGCCAACTGACCCTTGATCTGAAATTCCAACAAGATTTATAAATTTTATTCCGAAAAAAAAGGTCAAGTTTTTGACCTCGATGGGACTGGCGTCCCAGGTGACGGAGACGCCCTTGGAGGAGGGCGTCCAGGTGAGGCGGCCGCGCCAAAACAGCGACTTCCAGGAGCGGCCGTCGGGCTCGGCGGCCGCCGTGTCCAGGTCGGCGATCATGCCGATGACGTAGGTGACCTGGCCGCGGCCGACCAGCGGCTTGGTCAGGGGGTACGAAAGGTTGGGCGCCACCGCATCCTGAGGGGAGGGCGACGGCGGCGGGAGGACGACGGCCGGCCGCAGGTGGCCGCGGTTGGCGGTCGCGAAGTACAGCAGCAGCAGAAGGAAGGCGCCGACGGCCACGACAACGGCCACGAAGCGCATCTGCAGTCTCAGGGTGCTGCTGCCGACCCTGTACGCGGGCGGCGTGCGAATCGCCTGCCGCCAGTCCACCATCTCACACCTCGGGGCCCATCACCGCCGTGCCACCATCGCCGCACTCACAGGAGAGAGGCGGCCACTTTTTTGCAAAATAAATAATACGTGCGCTGCTGTGTCAACACCACATTCGCACAAACCGGTTTCTCGCAATTATTACCGGTTTTTTAAGATCGGTTTTTTCAAAATTATTTTGTATAATTTTGCGACATTGAAAATTAAATTTTATTGTTTCAAACTATTTTCGGTTTTCTTCTTAATTTTACTTGCAAAGACTGTAATTTTGCACTTGAAAATTTGCCGATTAACCGTTTTGTCAAAAACTGAAAACCGGAAACGAACTTGGACCAATTTCCAAGTACCAACACCATCGAATTAAATTCCACTGCACTTTTGCGTAGGTGGACCAATCAAATGCTACTTTTTGGGTCACGTGTTCAATTTCAGCCAATCAAAATTCCGGAAAGCCTTTGCATCCAATGATAAATGCGTTAACGAAAGTACAGCGAGTAGAAACAAGCCGTGTTGGACCTTTTCGTTGTGCCAACTTAAGCAAAACGATTTGTGTAACAAGAAGAAGTAAAAAGAACCATATTTTTCTTATAATACCAAAAAAGAAAATAGACAGTAACTTAAAAGAAATATTTTTAATTTATATTTTGGAAAAATATGCAAAAGATTGGAGAATTTTTAAAATTTTTCACTTGTATTTTGCTACGTTGGCTATGCTGTCTTATTTTTAAGTAAGACCGGCAAAGGGTTGTGGAATTTGTTCAGCGGCAGCATTTTTCTGGTGTGTTGCCGTGTTTTGAAGTTGGAAATGCCGCTATTGTCCGGCGGCGGCAGATTCGTGGCGCCGAAAATCGAGCAGAGGAAAAGACAAACGCAAGATTTACCAGCGGATGCGTCACAATTACCTGACGAGGTGGAAATGACCCTTGATGGACACACGTTAATTTTCAGCGAAGGGCAGTGGATCAGTTCGGGAAGTAGCACAGGCAAGGACCCTTTCCAAAAAAAAAAAACTTGCCAGAAAATTATTGATATGCAAAATAAGAAAAATACAAAAAAAAAATGTCTAAAGAAGCTAAGCTAATATAATGAACTGAATTTATAAATAAATTTTCACGTAGTTTTAATTAAGTCTTGCTCTTTAGCTCAACTTTTTAAGGAGCTGTAAAAAATTCAAACCTTGTTTTAAATTTCTTAAGATTTAAATTATTGCTGTTTTAGGTTCTATAGTAATTAGAATACAGGGTTGACGAGCGCGCTGATTTTAAGCACGCTCGTGCTCGCGCTCTTTTCTGAAAATTGCGCTCGCGCTCCCGCTCTCCAACTTTTCCTCACGCGAGCGCTCAAGCTCGCGCTCTTTACCCAAAAGAGCGCTCGCGAGCGCTCTTTTTTTTTGGGTCGCTATTTTTTAAGTGAAATTGTTAATTGGATTGGTTTTCTTCAATATTTCTTACGTACAATTCTATTTTCATTGCTATTTTATGTATGGTCTAAAAATATACTTATTTCCATTGAATTTCATACAAATATTTTTCGAAAATTTGGAAAATGAAAAATTCTCTGTTTTTCGAGCAATATTTCACCAAATTATGGTCCCCAAAAAGAGCGTAAATGAGCGCTCTTTTGAAAAAAAAAACGCTCGCGCTCCCGCTTGCGGCATGAAAAAAGTCGACGCTCGCGCTCCGCTCGCGAGCGCTCCGCTCTTTTGAGCGCTCTTTCAGAGCGCTCGTCAACCTTCTAATAGAATATTTTGATAGCTAAACGACAAATTGAAAATTAGAAATCTCTCTCCTTTGCTCGATTGACGAGCAGGTTGCCCACCTCAGCAGGCTCTCACTTATTCTTCAAAAAATTTCAGGCGTGATTAGTGGCTCAAAAAGAGAGGCGATGCGTAAACTGGAAGAGGAGAACAACCTTCTGAAGGCGAAACTGGAACTGATGATGGACATGGTAAATCTCTTTAATTTATTTTTTATTTCTCTCTTATTTATCAAGAGATACAACCTCATTTCAGACACAGGTATTTTTTTAAAATTTAAATGGTGCACATTGTCGAGCGGAAACTTTTGCATTATAATTACCATTTTAAATTTGCTCAGTTGACAGAAATGACGGCCCAGTCACGTTTGCAAGCCAAAGAAGTTAAAATGCTCAGGGCGAAGCTGAGGAAATAATTTTTTTGGACGCTTAAAAGAAGTTATGTGTTAGAACATTCATGTGTAATAATTGTCCATTAATGCTAAAAACTGTCACGTCAAATCAGTCTTATCAAAAATTGCCAAGAATATTTTCATAATTCATTACATGATTATTTTTATTGTTTAACTGTCCAAATGCATTATTTAAGATTTAAAAGAATTTAGTAAAATCTAAAATAAATAATTTTCACGATTTTAATCTTATTTTTAATGGAAATTTACCCAATAGCTCTGAAGTTTCTACTGTTACAGACATGTAAAAATAAACAGATGCTATATATTTAAAAAAAAGGAAATAGTTTGTGTTTTTACGACATTAATTTGCGCTAAAGCGTAATGTTATTTTAATATCACTGAACAAAATTTAAACGAATTTGTGTGATATCCTTATTAAGGAAGTTACAATGTATAATTGTTTTAAGTAGTACATTTATTTAAGAAGGTGGGTAGATTTATTTCTTAGCAATTTAATGATAATAATCAGAGATAATAATTACTCAATAATTCAATTTAAAATTTAACATCTTTATCAAAATGTCATTATCTGCGTGAAAATTTCTGAAGAGTAAAATCCGTTTCCAATTGACTGAGACTTTTGAGTCAGTTCTGGGCCTCTGTAAAAATATTTGATTAAAACTGACGCTATAGGTACCGCCTGAGCTCCAGGAAGTCTATCAAGGCTCAAACTCAACACGATCAACTTTAGATTTGTATTAAACAGATGAAATAATTATTCAATAAATTTATATTTTTATTCAATTAGATAACCTTATAAGATAAATACATGTAAGTAACTTAAAAATATAACCCCTCTCAGCACGTATTTTAAATTCTTCAACACTGTGGGGCATATGAATCAACGAATCAACTGTTGCTTCTTATATTTGGCCACTAACCAAAATTTGCCGCAATTTTTCAACATCATCCGGATGAGCAACATCCAACGCGGTTTTTCCATCCAAGTTTCTTAGCTCGGGATCAACGCCACTCTTGATAAGCCACGTAAATGTTTTGATGCGTCTGTTCATAGCTGCGATGTGCAACGTTGTTTCCAATGTCTTGGTCGATTTCTGAATCAGTTCATGATTTTTACTAGTTAAATAATCCATTACTTCATAATCCTCTCTATCACTGGCGGCCGCGAAGTGCAGAGTGTTCCATCCGTCGTCATCCTCAGCGTCCACATCAAGATTCATAAGATCCACTAACCATTCCAAAATTTCCTTGTTGTCCCTTTGTACTGCATAATGGACAACAGTTTTGTTTTTCAGTGTTTTCTGCTTGATAAGCTTTTCATTTAACCGATGAAGGTGCTTTAAAGTATCAATTATTAATTGATACTTAATTTTCTTGACCTTATAATCCACGGCCACTAACAAGTGCATTGCGTTCTCGCCATCACTTGTCAACGATTGAATTAGTTGTGGTCTTTTCTCCATAATCAACTTCAAAACTGCAATGTTCCCGAGATCTGATGCAAGGTGTAAATAGTTCCAACCCCTGTTGTCCACGTCGTGTTTATCCAATTTCTTTTCTATCAGCCATTCAATTTTTTGTTTGTTGTTGTTTACTTTAACAGCGAGATGAGATACCGTTTCCAAGTTTTTATCACTCCTTTTCTTCTCGAAAAATTCGGGCTTTTTCAACAGCAAATAGTCAAGTATTTTTGTGGCTTCGCCATGCCACGCGAGAATGACACGATGGAGCGCATTGCTGCCTTTATTATCAAATGCGTCCAAATCAGCTCCATTTTCCACGAGCCATTCGAACCAACCGAAATTTCCTTTGTGCGCTGCTACATGAAGCGCTGTTTTTTTAGATTCATCAGTTTTTTTTATCATTTTAGGATCTAGGCCATGAAGGTATTGAAAAATTTCTTCATCGAATGGAGCCATAGCAGCAAAATGGAGAATGGTCTGGCCATAATCGTTGACAGATTCAATGAGCGCAGGATCATTTGTGAGAAAGTGCTTCATCAATTCCAAATTCCCTGCTCGAGCTGCATAATGTAAACTGGTCCATCCTCTACTATCCTTATCTCTGCCTTTCATGTTCCATTTTTCCAGCCACTGACACATTTGCACAGCGTGTGTTTGAAATTCTTTCCCCAACGCAGCTGCTACATGAAGAGCACTCTGACTATTGTGGAAGTCTGTGGTCTCTAGGACTCGGTGACTTCCCTGCAAATACTGGGCCACCTCAATACTTCCTCGCTTTAAGACATGCTCAAAAATTCTTTTTGCCAATATTCCGCCTTGCTCGGTTTGAGTCTCTAGAAGCGCCTTGACCGTCCTTAGCTGCAATATATCCATACCCTCATTAAATTTAATACAGGTAGTAGGAACGCCTAGCTGCACAAGAAGCTCTACGGACTCGACGCTGTTTTTCTTGACTGCACACTCGAGTGCTTCTATTCCATCTTCAGCGATCAGTACTTTATGTTCAATCAAACTTTTTAGCATCTGGTGGTGATTTTCTTCTGATGCATTCGCAACAGCATTTCTGAAATCAACATTCTTGCAATATTCCCCACTGAAGCTATTTAAAGCAGTAAATTTGTCCACGAGGTTTGAAAAGAGAACCATAAAATTTTTCTTGATTGCACTGTTCAACATGTTCCTTACATCATCCAAGCCCACATCTTCAACCGAGACCACACTCAATACTTCCGACGCGAAATCTTGATTGACCGCACAAGATTTTTTCAATATTTCAACACAGTCAGCAGACCTCAATTGGTACTTTTTGCTGCCAATAATGTGGTCGTTAACGATGGAGAGCATGGTCGCGAGGTTTTCATCAATGATAATGGACACGTTTTTTTTTGTAAAACTTTCACTCAAAATAGTTGTGAGATTCTTTGAGTAGATAGAATATTTTTTCTCGTCAGAAATTTTGATTTCAACAAATGATCTAACTTGCCGGAATCCATCTTGAAATAAATCGAAAGGCATAGTGTGTAGATTATTTTCTCCAAGGACAGTGACATAATGTTGAGCACAGAGAAACTCGGCAAAAGTCCTATGCCCAAACACAATAAGCCCATTGTGATGCGTGAGAATTCCAGTTCTGGGCAATGCTTGGATCCTCTTTATCGCTTGTGCACGCGATTGTTCACCTGGATCGCCAATCGTCCTCCACCTGATATCTTGAGGAAGATTGAAAGGTCGCAAAATAATATTAATAATAAATGACATACGGGCCATGAATGTCATCATTGAAATCCAAAAAAAGTTTCTAAGACCTTTTAACCATTTTCTGTTATTCCCTCTAGCATTCGGTTTCGTCTTGATCAAGAATTTCAATGCAATGTCTTGCATTTCCTCAATACATTTGTTGTATTGGTTCTTGTATATTTGCCCAGTTTTTGTATATTCCAATTCAAGCGCTCCATGAATTTTCTTGTTGAAAATTTTGTCATATATGGTGAACAAAGAGTCATTTTTCAAAATCGAATCACCTAACTCTAAGATCATTGTCAAATGAAGTGGATTGCTTAAAATATCACTCGTTTGATGATATTCAAAAAGGTCGAGCAGACGTTTGAGTTCTGTATCATCGTGTATTTTTGATTTAAGTCTCATGAGCTCAATTTGCTGATCTTTCTTTAGAGACCGAATCGTGGCTCTGCATACCTTCTTGCTCGCTCCAATTTTCTCAATAATGGCCTCTTTTTCTTGCGATCGCGTAGAAATCCAAATTGGAACCTCAAGTTCGATAACTTGCAGTAGAAAATTCAACACCACATCCCTTGAATCGGCATCAGCAATCTCGTCAAACCCGTCAAACATTAGAATGATTCTGTCCTTCTTGATCTTCACTAAATTATCAATTTCTTCCTTTCTAACTCCTGTTGCCAATGATATGACAGCGGTTGTGGAGGATGCATCTATTTTAGTTGAAAGATGATTTAAGACGTCTTGTACAAGGTGTACTTTGAAAACCCTGACGTCACTTTTGCTCCTACAAAGTTCAAGGCGAACTTCACTGAGCACAGTTGTCTTTCCTGAGCCTGGAAGTCCCGAAAGGATCCAAATCCGGTTGTCCTCTAGGTTCTTGGCATTTTCAATGAGTTTTTCATACTCCGCGTTTTGTATTATCATTTTGTCAAGAGTTATTTTTAAGCGTGGTTTAACGAAGGTACGCCGGAAATGTAGCAAGTGCGGCAAAGTAGTAACAAACATCGTTTCGGGTTGCGCTTTCCTCTCCTGACAAACAAACAGATCACTCAGGCATTCTTGAAGACTCCTTTCGCCTTTTATTTCTTCTCTCTCAAAAATCTCAAAAAGGCTATCTAAAAGACCTGGAAAGTTTTTCAACGAAAAATGTTACAAATAAAGGCCATTGATTTTAAAATCCTCATTTTCTACCTTCGTTTCGGAGAATGAAAACCATCCAGCCACTGTGAGGGGTCGCATCACGGAACTTAACAATCGCTTCGATGTCGGGCATTTTCTAAAAGTTGCGAGTTATTTAGACGTCAGTATTAACTTTATAGCATTTCCATCGTCGAAACTTTACCGGTTTTCCATCTTGAACCAACTGAATAGGCTGCTCAACATCAACCAGAATAAACAGCTTTGGTTTTCCCTTCCAATCATTTGACTCATGAGGTCCAAGCAGCGAGTGGATCAACTTACCGATGGGCTTTGTCTTATTTCCGTTCAATTTTATATAAATTTCATTGTTTTGCTCGGTGATCTTTGCAAAAAAGAAAGCTGCGAAACATCCGTAATCGCTCCATGATTTTCCTTCTAAAAAAAAAGAATTAGATCGTGTACATAAACGCACTGAAATTTCGCACTCAATTCATTGAAGTATTCATCGACATTCTGCTCAACTAATGGAACATATTTAGTTTCAAATCCAAGATTTTCAACAAGGGTTGACTGTAATCCTTCAATCTTCTTATTTTTCTTGCTTTCGTAATGAAATATTGCAGCAAGCCTTCCTCTGAATACGGATTTTAACTGCGGATTCATCCAATCAAAGTCAATCGCCTGTTGGTCGCCTGCGCCGCCATTGGCTGATGACGCCAAATCACTTTTTTTTTAATCAGGAGGAAAATATATTTAAAACTTATTAAAATTTAAAGATATGATTTTTACCGTTTTTGTAATGCAGAAAAGTTAAAAAATCTGTCCTGAGGATAAAATTTAGATTCCATGGTCTGCTCGTCAATTCTTCCAGTTACAAAATTAGGGTTTTTTATAACCCATTCATGTATTCTGTTTTGCATGCCTGTAGCGAATTTTACAATGCTCTCATCATCCTTCATCAGGTTAAGTTGATTGCACAAACACTGAACAAAAACAGTCCCATTGTTGGGATCTCTGCTCGAATTTGTTTCTAAAAAAATCAATCGATTAAATCCAGCTCTAGGAACGCCAAAAATTTTACAATAATTTCTTGAAGCTCTCCACGCAATCTTTGTATGTAAGACAATATTTAGATCACATTATATTATATTAAACTAAAAATCAATTACCGTCAACAGTTGAGTAGAATATTATCCAGTTGTGCAAATTCGGCTCGACCGTAACTTTGCTAGAGTATTTTATAAGTTCAGTTTCATTTGTGTGTGAAGGTTTTGCATCTACATGATATGTCAATAGTTCACCTCTGCAGGGCTAAAAAGTTGTAAAGATGTCAACGATTCGTTCACTTTTTACTATTGCTTCCTACATAAAGGAAACCTACCCCAAGGAATAGCAGATTCAAGCATTTTGGAAATGTGTTTTCTAGAGCTCCAAACAAATCCTTGGTGCTAAATGTTTCATACTCGCAATCACCTGGTTTAGGATCGATCTTTTTTTTGTCGGTGTAAATCTTTCCACCTTGTCCACCGTGCGACAGAATGATAAAAACGAAGACAGACGGATCTGAGTCTGTGTTTAATAAATTCCATGATGAAAGAGATTAAAAAGTGTAATTATAGTTACCGCTAGCACCAAAAGTTTTCTTCAGCTCATTTTTATTAGCAAGTAAAGCCAGCAGTTCATCTTTTCGCGGTGACAAATCGTGGAATTTACAGTTTCTTGCTTCAAAAGTTTGCTGCAGGTTCTTCACATCCTTGTCATTTCCCTCCCGAAGCCAAGGCTTGGCACTGCCTTCGAAATCATAGTGGGCGACGAGAACAAAAACGCTTTGGCAAAATTTTTTTTCAGGCAGCTTCAAAATTACATTCATACTTACTTTGGAGCTTGCTCCTTTCCACATTTATTTAGAAAATACCCAAGGTTAGCATGGGCACCGGCAGGTCCGATGAGAACATCAACATTTTCATGCCCTCGTCCTTGCATTTTTTTACGATAACATTTCACAGCGGGAATAGATTTAAAGACTCCAAGACTTGCGAGATTAGCAGCAAAAGGTTTCTGGAAAAAAACACAGGAACTAAAAATGAAAATTGAAAAAACTATAATAAGAAATGAATATTTCTTTTCGGCGCGGAAATTTTCGCATTCGAATTTCAAAAAATGAAAATATAAAAGTTTCAGGAAAATTCGGATCCATGACTTTATCAAAAATGTTTGTGACAAAAATTTGATTGAATGATTAAGAGAGGCAAGCAAATTGTACATTTTTTACATGCTTAGTTGCTTACCATCTATTAAAAAATTTTGGCAGAAATTTTCAAAACATTATTTATGAGATTTCCAGTTCATTGGCTTCAATTCTCGCCAAAACAAAAACTACCACAGTCAATTATTTTGGCTAATCCCTTAATGACATCTGAACAGGCTTATTTAAATGGTCAATATAACATTTATATAAAAGGCATAATTGCTTAGGGGCAAGTTGAGAAATATTCATATCCGTTTCCGAGATGTATTGAAAAATTCTAAGAAACGCGCAGAAATTGTTATTTTCAATTCAAAATAGAAAGAACTCTTACTATTTTATGATAATATTAAAATAGTAAACAAAAATTATTAAATGATTTAAAAAAACTCTTCTGTTTTCAGAGCCCTTATCAGGGCCCATTTTGACTAGAATTAATAATAAATAAATTAAAATACTCAATCAATTAAGAAGCATAAAATAATAAGGGGTTCAAACTCACTGCGCTGGATGGTCTGTACGTGTCACTGTGGCGGGCCTATTAATATTCCATTAACACTGATGCGACAGAATTTTGCTAACGCTTGGACCAGGCTTTTGAATTACATCAATGGTGAAACTTGAAAGTCTACTACTTATAGAAAAGTCTAACATTTATAGTCCGTCCGCGCGATGTCCTTAGACTTACGATGAGTCATCGTGTTTTTTTGGAGGACGGTGGAGGCCTAATTTGAGGGAGCTTCGAGCGGATGTGCGCAGCGGGCATGCATTTTTTCTATACAGTATGGGCTTCACGCGTTCTCCTTTTACTACCTTGCTTTAGGCCTAGCACAGACATTGACGGAACATAATATAAAGAAAACGTTCAAAGTTTTTTTTTTTTATAAATTTAAATGTTAACTTCAATTTGAATCTTCAATCGTCAGTTTTGGCTTGGCTGAAAACAAAATTTAACAAGAAGTATAATAATCATTATTGTCCGCGTTTTAAGGTACCTACGGGTAATAGAAGATTTATAAAAAAAAATTTATTCAAATCCCCAAATATAACATATCGCAAAATAATTATTTGGCTTTTTTGTATGTCTGCACGCGGCGTATAATTTCAGTAACAAAAGCGTGGAAAAAAGTTATTGAGTATTTAGTATTTCATTCGAAGGATTCAGGGATTATTTTCAAAAATCTTCTCATAAAACTGAATGGAAAAATTTTAAAATTGTTAAGTTTAAACAATATTTGTCTGCTGCACCAGAAAGTACACAAAACAGGTATTAATATCAATATTTAATGCATAAAAATTGATATTGTTGCGTTCTCATCGTTTCGCCCTTTTTTAAAATTTAAATAATGAAAATTTGGAACTTCTTTGTTTGAAGTTTTAACAAGATCAAAATATGTAAATATGTTTTTTTTCTACTATTTTTAAATAACGGCCTTAAACGAGGCATCTCTTTGTTCCGACACAAAATGTTTTTAATATGTTTTCAATCGCTGCCAAGATAGGTTTCCTCTGGGGTCTGATTCTGTAAGAACGACGCCAATTGAAAACGACGACTTTTTCAATTGGCGTCGTTCTTACAGAATCAGAGACCCCTGGTGTATTATTTATGGGTCACATGATCATCATCAAGATCCATGCTTTTCGTGCTACTTTGTTTCTAAGAAAACTAATTGTTATAGTCGTTTGTAGTTAATTTTTTTAGGAATTTATTACTGTTAAACGATCGAAATTTAAAATATTCTTCATTTGATCTCTCAAAATAAGCATTAAAAATTGTTTTCTTTCCGATTCAGCCGCGCTCCTTTTTGCACACCAGTCGTGACGTCACAAGGGATAACAAACTAGCAAAAGAAATCGCGAAAGAAGGTTTTCCGGAGACGATAGTGCGATTTATGAGAAGTGCGTAAAATTTCAAGCTACCTGAGAGCCGGAGTGGGGTCAGGCCTCAATTCCCGTGCGGTCAGCAGGCCCAGGTCAACCCTGAATAAATAGACTTCGACGAGCAAAGGCGGCAAAGGCCGATGGTGCGAATAAGCTCAGCGCCGGTACCACAGCAGCTGGCAACAGTTCCAAGAAGAGAATAGTTCTTGTTGGCAGCAGTCGACGGAGGGCACGGAGGGCGAGCACAGAGCAAGGAGAAAGGGGTCACAGGTGGGGTGCGCGCAGCAAGAAAACACATACACAAAAAACTTGACTTGTCTAGATAGACTTTATTTAAAGCGATTTAAAGTATTGATAACTTCAGCGTTGATAGATAATTAAATACAATATTTTTTGATTTGCCAGTTTTCAATTAAATTTTATTCAGAGGAGAGTAGTTGACGTTTCGGTGACAATTTGGTCTTGTCAATTTTACAAAGTCCCATATGTCTTTAAAAAAAAAAAAATTTAAAAAATTACGCTTTTGAAGAACAAAAAATTTCAGTTTTTTTTACATAATTCCATTATACCCCATAATTATTAAAAACATTTTTTTTTACCAATATTTTTAATTATATTCGGGACCAAAATATCCAATTAAGGACTCCTTATTGATATAGTCAAATCAAGTCTTTACAACAATGTAAGCCTTACTTAGCAATTAATATAAATTTAAAAAACCATTGTTGTAAAGATTGATTTGACTATGTCAATAAGGAGTCCTTAAGTGAGGTTTAATAAATAAATTTAAAAAAAAATGCCTTTTATAACATGGAGAATAATTAAGCAAAATTTCCATTTTTTTTCCTTTCAATCGCAGTCCCCATGAGATGATAATATGTATATGATAGAGATATCTGGTTCTGACAATTCTTTGTGCTCCTTTAATGAACTACAACATCACACACAAGAAAGAATTTTTTTACAACAATGAAATTGAGCACAAAAAAAGTAATAAAATAAATAAATAAAAGAGACCTCAACTTTTAACAAAAATGTTTTTTTTATAAAAATTGTAGAAAAAATTTAGAAGTTAATTGAAAAATACCAAAATTCAACACGAAGTTATTTCATTTTATTTTTGCAAAAATTATTAGCTTCAACTTTTGCAAACATAACTTTCCTAAATCCTAAAACGTTTAAATAACACGGCAAAAATGCCCTTCACTACAGCCAATTTGGAGGGGAGACGTGAGATTATTTAATTCTCTAGAATAAAATTTCAATTTAAAACAGAAATTTCCAATAATATGGCATGACAATTAAATAATGTGTCTTTTTTGCAAATCTACCATATTAAAAATGCGACCCTGCGGAAGATGTGCAAACAGATAAAGTTGAAAGTGGATGGGGATGGGGTTTGGGGGCAAGTGCGAGGCGTTTAATCTAAAAATCACATCATCTCTTATATTTCTACGCACTCATCAAATATACTTTGGTGGTGCACAATCAATATCTTAATGGCGGCAATAAACTTAGAGGTATACAAATTTTCCTTCTAGTCTACAATTTTTTTCTATTATTTCTTCTGTTTAGAAATGTTTCAAATAAAAACTTTAAGAAATTTAAACCTTCCAGATTTTAAGATGAACGAAACTTATCATGTGCTGCGAATTCTGCCTTTTGTCATTTATATACCTAAGGCCTTAAAAGTGACAAGCCATTTTCTGTGATTTTTGTCACGGAAAACAATAAATTAAAATTATCAAAATTTTTGTTTACAGAGGTTTAAAATTTTAAGTTTTTCTGATCTTATAATAAGAATAAAAAATAAAAATTGCTGACCGTTTTTCTTATTATTGAATTTCTGACAAATGAAAAACACGATTTCTGAGCGATAAATTTCTGATCAATGCCGAAATTGCTGGCAAATAAATTTATGATAATTAATGGCCACTCAACTACATAAAACTGACTTCGGCTTATGAAGCAATGTTACGCTTCCAACGTAACTGAATAAACACTGACCAATTGTTAACTTGGTACTTTTATTTTACAAAAAAAAGAAAAGAACAATATCAACACGTAATTTTAGCATTCTTTAAATTATTTTTAATGAATTTTAAATTTTGCCAATTTTGATTCACGGTTATTTATTGACTCATGAGCATTCGACATTTACATGTTAATGCACACTTACTAAACTAAAAATACACTGAAATAATAAATCACATTTTCCTCATTGTTGCGTACTCCACAAAACTTATGCGCGGCATTTTCAATTTTGAACTTTATTATAACACTTATCTAGCAATCAAATATCCATAATTTCATTTTATCAATTTAAAAAATATTTTAGAAGAAAGTTTTTTAAAGAATGAAACTATTTAAAAGGTTTTTTAATTTCAGGGACCCTTTTTTTGTACCTGTTACAAATTTTTCTACTAAAAAATTAGTTAGCCTTAATGCTAACAACCCCCCCCCCTCCATTAATTCTATGAGTAAATAAAAAAAAACCTACTTGGTTACATGTCTGCGCCTCGGGCTCCTGCGGTGGAGAATAGCCGAGGCGGTTTACTTGCGCGTATTTATGAACTATAAAATCATAACCTGAGCAAGCAGAGGGCGCGAGTGCTATTCTCTCACAAATTTGGGACTTAAAGTCGCATTTTTTAAAAATATTATCCTTTTTTTCTTCAATATATAAGTTTACAATATATTTTTGTAATAATTATGGTAAAGGATTGGCCTATTGCAATACAATAGTGACAATATCACTAACTACACTAACGTGTTGAATTGACGAATGGTAAAGTTTTTGCTCATAAATTGTGAATTCACTTATCAAATCTGCATAGCCGAGACAAAAGAATCATATTTTGAACCAGGGGGGAAATTTTAATTTATAAAGAATTTCTTTCTGTACGAATTTTTATTCAGTAATATATGTTGTTTTGATTATCTAATTTTGATTGATGTAGATATTGGAAAAATTTTTATCAAAAATTTAGCTACATGAACACTTCAGAGCGCAGGTAAATGTTTTGTTTTAACTTTTAACCCCAAATAGCATGCAGGATGTGACGGTGTGATGGCCATCGCCAGTTTCCAAACTTCGGTGAGCCAGACAAAGAGAAACAGTTGTGTGAGTTGCTTGCCTGCTGTTAAAAAATTAGTGAAAAACGCAGAAATTTATAAATTTGTTGACATTCTTGGGTCAAATAATTTTTGCGTACTTAATTTTATTCTGGGCCATCGTTCTGGCAGGTCAGCGAAATGTCGAGGTGAGCAAAAGTGGAGAGAAAAAAAAATAATAGTACAATTTCCTTCGGCAGGGTGGTCATGCAAAATTGGAACTCGCAGGTAAAAATCCACTCTTATTCCAGGACTGCGACAGTAAACTTTTTTTCAGGAAGATCAGCCCGGTTGTCAAAAATTGTGAATAGGCGCACAATTATAATCAAGTGCTGCGGTCTGAAAAAGTGTTCTGCTTCAAGTGCTGCAGCCTCAATTGACAAGCACCACTCACAACAAACACATGTATAAATTAAATTTATTATTATATTCCGCATTTAGAATTTAAAATGTTTTAAATCGTCCAGAAACAGGAAAATTTTACTGAATCAAGAAGTAGCTCGAGGGCCAATTATCATTCCACCGAAACAAAAATGACGGACTCTGAAGCAACAACCGATTCTACAGGAACACTAGTTGGCCCGGAAACGTCTGCTTCTGCATCGGCATTAATTGATTTTTCAGACTCGAGCATCCAAAGTACTGCAGTAACGTATTCTACCTCAGAAGCCACTGCTTCATTTGTTGCGACGAACTCGACTACGTCAACCACAACGGAACAAATTGCTACTTTTTCAACGACAACAGCATCAACTTCAACTACAGCAACAGCACCAACCGCGACTTCAACTGCATCTTCATCAAATGAAATTTCAACAACACCAGAAACTTCAAAAACTATAAGCGCAAGTGTCCCATTTATATAATATCTGTGTTTTCAATCTCTGAATGATGATGCAGCCGGCGCTCGTCGGGAAATGTAACCCGGACACAAACGCTGTCACCAACGTACGAAAACTCTTTCCTTTAAAATGCTCAATTCATTTTTCATACATCGATTTTTTTATACCAACAGCGTTCACTCTTTTCAACCAACGGCTTGTTGACTAGTAATAAAATTGTTTAAAATTAATTTTTTTGCTTTTTAATTTAGTGTAAAATATAGATCCAGACCTGCACGGATTCTGGCTGGACGCGTGCGGCCTGACTCTGTTGCTCGGAAAGTCGCTGGTCTCCTTTTGATATTATTTATTTTACCTTTTTTACCACTAAATTTATAGGGAACTTGGAATGAAAACTCGGCCAAGTGTTTCGGTCTCAACATGCAGCCGTTCACCCTCGAGAGCAAAGATAAACTAGATTGCATGAACCTCCAAGGTTTGATTTTAGATAAAACAATTTTTACTTTTAATTTTATGTTGAGTAAAGCAAAAGACTGGAAATTTAACATGAACTACTGGACCGGCGGCACCAAGGACGTGGCGAGCGGCGCCTTCGGGTGGTGCTCGGCCAACGGCAGCGCACCCTGGCAGGACTTCCTCCCCCTGGCAAACCTGGCCAGTGACCATAATTGCGTTCAAATGCACATTTCAAAGGCAAACGCATCCGTTTCGGTCAACGACAGGCGGTGTTCGGACAGATTCATTTTCGCCTGCCAGGTTTTTCACAAAATAATGAATTAATGAAAAATTATTAACCGGAAAAGGGTTCAGGGTCCTCCAACGGCGGCTCCTAGCTTTCCACAGTGCCAAACCCCAATTTGCACGAAATTCGCTTGTCAGAAAGATGTAAATATGCAATATTTTTGTTTCTCGAAAAAAGTTAAAACCTGATAAAAATATGCAGCCAAACCTTTTCACATCGACGGACAATGGAAAGACAATGACGCTGAATAGTGAGTTGGCACAATTTGAGAAATTTCAGAGTTAAGATTCAGCAAATTTAAGAAACAACGTGTTCTTTATTTTGAGGAAGCGTTTTTGAATTTTTGGGGCTGCATATCAATTAAAATCTTTTTTAATTAATTTTATTAAATCAGATTTCACCTTGCACGGCCGATTATTTTCGCAAAAACTGCGCTCCTATCTCTTCAGTCATAAGAACGACTCAAGAACTGTGAATATTCTGAATTATTTAATTTCTCAAAATTTTTTATCACGAATTTAAGTACTTGGAAGCAGCAAAAGCGTGCTGCGCTCTGGGCATGTCTCTGCTGAGTTTGGACGGGAATCACAAGTACGACGCTTTGGCCAACATCGCCAACACAGACGACATGAATTCAGGCAGGACAAATTATAAATTTTTGCTTAACTCTATCATTTTTCGATAAATTCAGAGGCCCAAAACTTGACCATGTGGACGTCGGGGTCGGACGAGGGTTGCGAGTCGGTTTTCGGATTCTGTTCGGCCAAACGGATGTTCCGCGACGAGGCCAAGTGGCTGCCTGGACAGCCGGACAACGCAGGGGGAAATGAGAACTACGTGGCCGTCCACATTTGGCGCCAACGGGGACAGGTTTTGCTCGCCGACTACGACGGACAGACCAAGTTCAGATACATTTGCGAAGTAAATCTCATCATTTGCTGAAATTATTATATTAAATTTGTAATTTAAACATTAGAAAAGGCTCAATCCGCAGTCAAAGAGCGGCAAGCAGGCGATCACGGACGAATGTTCTCTGATTTACAACATAACTTCGGGTGAAAAATTTATTTGCAAATGGAACTTCAATAATATTGACATAATTTTTATCAGCTGAAATTGACTTACTGCAGAATGCGACGAATTTGGATTTGCGGATGAAAGTGGGTTAAGCTAAATCATTAGCCCTTTTCTAGGGGTTCCATTTGATATTAGGCAACCTGTAGAACAGGCATGTCAAGAAATTGCATAGGCTTTGATTGCCTGTTTAAATTGGCCTAAAATAACTTAAAACGCTCTGAGAAAAACCAGCCCTCGATGTTGCTCATTTTACAAAGGAGAACATTGAAAGTATATTCATAATTTTTCAGTGCTTCGTGCAATGCGTTGGTGACGCTGTGGATCTCGTAAGTCAAATTTATAAACAAACATAAACTTTTTACCAAAAAACTCTTCAAAGTTAGTCGGAGGGAAATTTGTGGAAAGCAAGGTTTTTGCAATACTCGAGTCCATGGCTATGCTCAACGTTGACGGGCTGATAAATAACATGGCGATCGTGGACGAATGCAACAACAAAACTTGTACGTTTTTATTATTCAACTTTGAAAGAATCTTTTTGAAAATTTGATCAGACGGGATGGACTTGTGTGACAAGGCGTACCAGTTGGCCAAGTGCGCCCGAGACAAATCGCCAGCGGTTTTCGACCAAATCATCAAAGACCTGGACAATCAAACGACAGAGGTCGCAAAATGCTCCACCGTAAAATTGATAAATTAAAAATTATTTACAGAACGATCTACTCATCCCCAAAGGCTACGGCTGCGCATATTCTGCGAACCAAACTTGCACCGTCAACGTTTGAAATTAGAATTAATTATTTGTAAAAAAGATTGATTGGTTTGAACCTTAGGTGGCGTTGAGAGACAACATAGCGGCACTAAATCTCAGTATGTTCAGGTTAAAATAAAAATAAGTGGGTCTGAATATCAGAGAAACGATTATTAAGAAAAGCTGGAGAAAAGATTCTCGCGCAAGGATTATCCAGGAACGATTCTTTAGTAGAAATTTGAAGGCAGAAACGATCCTGTAGAATCCTTGCGCGAGAATCGTTTCTCTAATATTCGGACCCACCCTAAGTGGATTATCAAAATTTTCAGACGCTTCAACGTGCGTTGACTTTGTCAACCAATCGTGGGTGTGCAAATGCAGCGATTTGAAGCAATATTACATAAGCTTCCGAAATAGTATGGTGAGAGTGAATTTTAAAAATAAAAATCTTGTGTGCATCTGAATATCATAAAAATTTGAAACCGGGCGAACCTCATTGCAGAGAAAAAATGTAAAAATAATTTAAGGAAAACTGACCCCAAAAGGCGACCTGCAATCTGTTGGTTTCCAAACAAAATAAGATGCATTAAAAATTAATTGTAAAATTGGGAGACTTTCAATTTAATATAAAAAATTGCAGAACTTAATTAAGCAGCTGATTCAGTCAATTTTTTTTATTTTTACTTCGCCCGGTTTCAATTTTCATGAAATCCATTTTCATCTGAATATCGTTTGTCATAGTATTTTCCATACATTGACGCAGTGAAGTTCTGCTGCGAACGAGGATTGCAAATGTTGTCGCCGCAGAATTTCGTCAATGCCGTAAATTGTTTGCGAGTGCAGAGTAGGTTTTGTGATACATTTCAAATTTTGGGATTAAATTAGCAGGAAATTTCTGCTTAAAGTTCCACATCCCTACGCTAGCTACTTGTACACATTGTTGAATGCGGCTGCGGTCGACTTGACCACAGGATTCAGCTTCGACTGCGAAAGCCAAACCAGCTTTTCGCCGCAGCAACTGGGCTTCGTCTTGAATTATAACGCGTCCGGTGCCTTCGGCAGTGGACCGGTGATCGCTTTTGGCACCCACAACCAAGGCACGCCAATGATTAGGTTTGTTCAACCAAACGCCGTCAATAGCTTCATATGCGGGGAAATTTAAAATTCGAGCGAGGAAAAATTAAAGTGCGGAGAAAATGTGATTTAACAGTAAATAAAAATGTTGTGATTTTTATTGTAATTACAGATTTGAAGAAAAATAAATTATCCTAGCAAAAAGCAATTGTTGCAATTTTTGGCACCAGCTTTAAAATATTTATGCAACTTGACCTTTTAAATAGTAATACTATTAATATAAATTAATTTTCCTACATAAAATTTCTGAAAATGTTGATAAATTAAAACGCTTTGACTAGTTAATCAACCGGCTGCGACTCAAATTTTCCTTCATCAAAAATTATTTCAAATTAAAATTTAGAATCTGATTAAATTGACAGATGCCAAAATATTAAGGAAATTAATTTCTGAATTAAGAGATGAAAACTGCCAGAATTAAAAATGAATATTTGTGGATGGCTGCGGGCTCAATTTGCAAATCGGTGGATGTGAATGACCGTGATTTGAGCAGGGTGGGCTTTTCTCCACTTGGCGTAGTCGAGAAAGGTGCTGCCGCAAAAAGCGAGGAAATTGAACATTGCGAAATATCCGGCCGCCAAATTCCTTCCTTCATAGTACGACCGGTCAGACCACGTGGCCAGTTGCATGACAAACGCAGTCAGGTACAGAAAACAGAGGCACCCGTCACAGCAAAATTCCTGCACAACAATTTACGATTTTTAATAAAAAAATTTTCTTTCATTATAAAAAAAAAAAACGCTGCCACAAATAATTATTAAATCTGTTGTAATAATTGTGAGACAATTCTATTTAATTGAGCTTTGCTTTTTTAATTATTTTATGTTAAAATGATATAGAAAGTTGGTTTTGTACTCACAACTTTGACCCACGGGACGGATTTGAACTTGTCAATCTTTCTGCAGAAGAACCAGAGCAGGGTGAAGAGGAGCGAGGCGACGACCACGACGATGAGCCACGTGGTGGTCGGGTGGCGGGGAGGGGCGGCGCACCCAAGGCAAACCACCCCGAACACCGACTGCACCCCTTTCAAAACGCGCGCCCCCTTTAGCGAGTCAGGTCGGCTTGCGGGTGGCGGAAAATCTTCTTTCTTCTGCTCGTCCAACCCTCGATTCTCTGCAAACACAAAATTACAATTTTGAAATTATTTTGCCGTTTTTTCTCTGTAATAAGTTTTTATGATGATATTTCGTGTAATCTCAATAATTTTTACTTTCGACATCGGTGTATTCCATAAAAAGTTAGATTTTAAAAATCAGCCAAATTAAAAGAATCCTAAAAACTTTGCGTGATGGGAAACCGCACTGCTTCCAGTCTAACACTAAAGTGAGCGAATTCGCTTGAAAAGAGAGAAGTCGGAGAGAGTCGTTAAATTTTTATTGCTTTTCGGAGAAGTTTTTGCCGGCAGATTGCGTCACACAGGCGTGAACATCCTTATCTTTTCGTGGGAATAAAACACGCGTAAACGTCTTTGGTCTAACTGATGAATCATCAGAACAATCACCTCAATAATTCATTCTAATTGCATGAATTAATAACAATTGTATGCACGCCGAACTAAATTTACGTGTGTTGAACATGACAATTTTTTTGTGAATATTAGACTGGCCTGTTGAGTTTGGCCAAAGACGACGGCTTTTAATTTATATAGTTACTTATATATTATACAATACATCAAATCAAGATAAAATTAAAAAAAAACAGCTGTAAAGAAACACCTCCATTTTTTTTTTTTTTTTTGAAAAATTTACAAGGAAATGTTATTTTTCTTCTAAAGTTACTCTGTTCATTGAATCCTGATGGACTCATTTTTAATTTTCAAAAACTGTAAAATACAAAATAATATATATTGAATAAATATTTTATTCATGGCTAGTCATATTTATAAAATTTAATTTCTCACCTTAACGTTCAAATAGGGGCGATGTATTAAAAAACTATTTAAAACAGTATTAACACTATTTTGGCAACATATAATTGCATGTAATGGACAATGAAGTTAAATTAAAGCTCAAAATAATAATAATTTGAGTTTGAAACGAGACATTTGTAATTCATGAAGTATCAATATTATCCCAAAACTTTATCAATTTATTCAGATGCATTTTGCATTTTCATTTTGTTTCATTTCTATTTGCGATTTACGTGACCGGCACGACCGCCCTGCTACGCAGGTTGCATAATCTTTGGATTTTATTCAATATCTGCAAAAGCCAACAAATATAATTGTTTGACGATCAACTCTGAAGATCCCAAAATTGAAATTTTTAACTGTTCAGGCGTAAGAAATGATTATTCTTATCATTTTCCACTTCAATTTTCATTTTTTCCGCAAGTTTTTGTATATTTTGGTCGATTTCATGGAAATTAATATTTTTAAATCAATATTTTCTTCTATTCATCAATTTGTAAAATTCTCACCAAAACAATTTAAATCGAGTTAAATCCATCGCATCTATTAGTCTAATTTTAAGAAACTATACAATCAGGTAGAGGTTCAAGTGATTCATCCAACGTTGCGTCACCTCATTAGAATGATATTTTGGCTTAGACTTTTGCACATAAAGCGGCTGCCTCTGCCTGCTTGCAAAACTCACAAGCTGGAAACATGGCCGAGCTGGTGGAGCTGCAGCCGGAAGACGAGATGTACGAGAAAATTTTCAAACTGACCATCGGCCTCAGCCAAAATATGTCCATTGAAAAGGTAAAAATTTAGTTAAAAATCGCGGCATTAATTCACACATTTCGGCAGATTTACGCAATCATCAATCCGACGTTGCAGTCCATATTCGAAGTGGGGAAATTCGTAATCGAAGAGGAAATCGGCGGGGAGAGCGAAGTTTTTGACCTTTTCCACGGATCGCCGGAAGCAAGGAAAATCGCCCACGAAGGTTTCGACCTAAGTCTGGCCAAAGATTGTGGAATTTTCGGCAAAGGTGTTTACCTGACGGAAGATTCTTACCAGGCGCTTGACTACAGCACGTGTCCTGACCCAGAAAGCGACAAATCCGACTGCACCCCGCAAATCCTCCTCTGCCAGTGCATTATGGGGAAGCATTTCAGAATAAGCCAATTTATCCAATGCAACAAGCGCGTTCCACCTGGCTTTCACAGCAGCGCCTTGTGGATCACCAATCTTCGCGTTCCCAGGACTACCTACTGCTTCCCAAAACGTGAACAGGTATTATTTCAATTTTCAATTATTATTTTTTAATGAAATCAAAGCTCAATCTGTGCAACAATAATTTTGGTAAAATTAAAAATGTAATAAAATTTACACGAACGGAAGTTTTTGCAATTTATTCGTTTTGTGCATCCAGTTTGTTTATTGTAATGCTGTCATATCTATTTTTTTCCAGGTTCTCCCGTACGCCCTTATTGAATGCAGACGGCGCCCAAGGGAATAAGAATCAGAAGAAATTTTCTCTAATCCGCTGAAGTTTTTACATGAAATACTTCCTTCTGCTGTGAAAAGCCTTTGAAAGTAATCAACAAACGCTGCATGCTACAATTCAGTAATGCGAATATCAGGAGCACTTTTAAACGTTTTCAATTTTTTATAATACTTTTTTTGGAAAATATGCTTGTTTTCATCTCAAAACGCTTGATTTTATAAAAAGTTGTTTTACGCAATCAGCCGGCAGTGCGATTCTTTCCGTGTCCTGCCAAATTTCAACGCATAAGCACTGGGCTAAAAATACTTGGTTTATTTGGTTTGGACTGTGTGTTGCGGAGATGTGTCTGCATGATTCAGAGAGCCGCTGCCTTAGACTTTTGAGCGCATTTTATTTTATATAAAAGTGAGGCTGCTGCTTCAAAAATTTATTTCTGTACTTTCAACGCTTTTTTACATAACCGCAGTGCAGAGCAAATAAATTTGCCAGTTTAAAAGTAATAAAATATTCTGCGATTTTTACTCCCAGCAAAAAAATTCTATCATTTCCTATTCACATAGTTACTAAAGAAATTCCTTTCCTTTATTAATATTACGAACTATACTAAAAAAAATTGGAAACTGTAGATGTCTTCTTATTTTTTATGGTGTTTTTTATACAAATATTAAATCAATTAATAGCTCTGTAAATAGAGGATTCAATTGTATTTCCGTTTTAGTGTAGAGAGCTTTCTTAAAAATCTCTAAATCTCACACTCACATTCTTCAAGTATTCTAAATTTTCGGGGCTGATAAAACGGCAAAAAAATAATATGGACAATGAATCGTTTTACCCGGGAATTTATTGTTTGTAAACTTACCAAATTGCTTTACAGCATCTTTTTTTTATCATTTCTGTATTTCCAGCAGTTTCCCATACCAACACAATCATTAGTTAGTCGCAACATAAATTATATTGAAATAAAATAATTTAAATTTTAACTCTTCAACAAAAATTTGAAAATTTCATTTGAACTTTGTTCATAACATTTAATTTGAAATAAAAACAGTTTTAACTGGAAAGGAAATTTTCCTTGCCAAAAATACGAGTTTATTGCCACTCGGAGTAGTGACCTCCGTTAGCTGGTTAGCTCACGGTTGATCAAGAAGCAACTTCTATTTTTGATTTATTGCTTCGTCAATATTAAAGAGAGTTGAAAAGGACTTTGCTAATTCACATTCTTCCCTTATGTGAAAGATTTTTGAAATTGTGTTGCACAATTAAATATCGAACTAAGTTGAAAAAAAAAAACACTGTACGAAGTGTATGAGCTCCAATCTAGCAGAGTCATTCGTGAGAGGCGGCCGCGCAGGTTGTTCTCTCAGGTTTGCGGAAAAATGCAGAAGAAGGAAAATTCTGGATTGTGGCCTTCTTAGACTTTAAAAGAGCGTTCGAAACAATACACACAGAGCGTTTAATTTGTAAAACTAAAAAAATATGGCTTTTCGGTGATAAGCCATATAACGTTGCGTCACCTCCTTAGACTTAATTTTGTGGCTTAGACTTTTAGCAATTTTCTGAGGCGCCTCATAAAGCGGCCTCCTCTGCCTGCTTGCAAAACTCGCAAATTGGAAACATGGCCGAGCTGGTGGAGCTGCAGCCGGGCGACGAGATGTACGAGAAAATTTTCAAACTGACCGTTCGTCCCCGCCAAAAGATCTACATCGAAAAGGTAAAAATTTAATTCGCTATCGCGCCATTAATAATTGCAATTCTTCACATTTCGGCAGATTTACGCAATCATCAATCCGACGTCGCTGTCCATCTACGAAGTGGGGAAATTCATAATCGAAGAGGAAATCGGCGGGGAGAGCAAAGTTTTTGACCTTTTCCACGGCTCGGCCGAAGGTGCGAGGAAAATCGTCCACGAGGGTTTCAACCTGAATTTTTCCAAAGATTCGGGAATTTTCGGCAAAGGCTTCTACTTCGCCGCCAACCCTTACGACGCCATCCGCTACGGCCTACCCCGGAGTGCAGAAAGTGACACATTGGAATGCACTTCGCAAATCCTCCTGTGTCGCTGCGTCGTGGGAAGGATTTTTGAAACCCCAGAACAACCCGGATGCATTCCAAAAGGATTTCACAGCGCCTTTTGGTTCACCGATGATTGCGACTGTTTCTCCTACTGCTTCCCAAAAAGTGAACAGGTATTTTTTTCCCCCAAATTATTATATCATTTTCAATTTTGCCTTTCTTGCAATTTAAATTTCTCTAAAATCATCATAACAAATTAGTCGCAAGTGATAATTTACCCTTTTCAAAGCTACATAAATTAAGTAAAAGATTAAAAACAAAATTAAAATTATCATTAATAAGCCACATTTATTCAAGATTAAATTTCTTTCACAAAACTGGATTTCTCTAGTGTTTATTTTTCTTTTACAGATTCTCCCGTACGCCCTTATTGAGTGCAAATTATATTATGAAGATTAAAAATTGCGTCTCTGCCGTTGACAACACTGATACCTCAAGCAACATCTTCGGCTTCTCTCTAAAGGACAAAGGACTTGCAAAATAATCGAGCAACGCTGTGATGTTATTGAGTTTCTCTTATAGTCAATGTACATAGTTAATAGAAAAAAATGTAAACTGGCTGTTCATGGGAGAAAATCAAAATAATTTAATTGTGATTCAATTGCACTTTAAAATGTTTCTTTTATATATTAATTTTGTTAATAAAGAAATTTAATTACTTATCATGAAATAATAAATCAATTATCTCGCAGCCTATTAATGTTGGAACTTTTCGAGGATGATCAAACGGGAAGAAGATAATATGGGCAACGAATCGTTTTACCAGGAATTTATTTTTCGTAATTAACCAAATTGCTTTAATCATTATTTTTTATCATTTCTGTATTTCTAGCAGTTTCTCATTCCAACACGTTAATTATTTAGTCACAAACATATATTATTTTCAATGGTTTTGAAATGGAATAATTAAAATTTTAATCTTTTCAACAGAAATTTCAAAATTTTATTTGAATTATATTCATTTTTCATTACATTTAATATGGAACAAAAACTGTTTTGCCTGGAAACGCAATTTCCCTTGCCAAAAATGTGAGGCTATAGGCACTTACGGTGAACTCCGTTAGCTCACGTTTGTTCAAGAAGCAACATACTATTTTTGATTTGTCGCTTCGTTGATATTACAGAGTTAAAAAACACGCGCATATGTTGGAAGTTTGGTTTGTCAATGAATTGCTGCAGCGTTTCTTTGTCTGGCATGTTCCTCAAATGCTCTGCGGCGAGGAACGTGGCGATCGATTCGCTGATGAATTTCACTTGTCCGTCCTCGATCGTAGCAATGCCTGTGTTTGTCACAGCACGATTCACTTTGTAGTTTCTGAGGTTGAGGCTGTCATTTAAATAGTCAAACGCAAACTTTTGCAGCTCTTTGTTGCGCCGTTTTTTCACCATTTTAGAGCCTGGAGCATTGTCATCGTGCCTCTCCATCCGAACAAGTCCTTCTTTGACTTTGTGGGAAATTAATGTCTCGTAAATATTGCGCACATTTGCAACTTCAGTGTTTATTATCTCTGGGCGGGCGAGTAACTTCAAATGAAGAGGATTTTCCAAAATGTCACTGCACCCAATTTGCTCCAGGTTGATGAGAAATTGATCAATGTGTTCATCGCTGGCTTCCGGCTGATAAAACTTTAGAATTTTCACTTGCAAATCCCGATCGAGTGGATTGATGTTGACGACCACTTGACGCGCAGCTTCAAAACGGGCAGCGATTGTTCTTTCATCTCCTGGCCACGTGCAAATCCACATGGGAATTTTCCGCGCTACCGCACCATCTACAATTTTGAGTCCTTTCTCTCTTTGTTTAATTGTATTCAAGAAAATCTCTTCAAACCCGTCGAACACCAAGACAATTTTTCCTTCTTCAAGGAGACGCTTGATGTGATTTTCGGTGAAATCTGCTGCTGTTGCGAGAACCTTCGCGAGTTCCAAATCTGCAAGATCCGTGTCCAATATGTAGCGATTGACATTCTGACGAGTGATTTTGATGACTTCGTAGCCGTCCAGCTTCGCTTGCAGCTCGTAAATGGTTTCCTCCAGCACCATCGTCTTTCCCGAGCCTGGTGGCGCCGAAATCAGCCAAAGCAGGTGTCGGTTTTCAATTTGACTCGCAAGATCGACTAGTTCTTTGAAGTTCATGTGCTTGTGCTCGTAACCAAGGCTTTCTGAAGTCAAGTTAACATCGAAATGCACAAAGTTCCTGCGTGGGAAAGCGAGCAAATACTGCAAAGTGGAAACCATCATGATTCGAGTCCCTTCCGTTTGCGGGCCAATAAGCAAATTTCCGAGCAAATCCTGCAAACTCGGACCGATTTTCTTCGGCTTCCTCTGCAGATCCTTGTTCTCAAAAACTTCGAAGAAACTAGTCAAATCTGTTTTTTTATAAAATTAATTTTCTTTTTTATATTATATTTATCGGAAATACACACCATCAGAACGGATGTAGAAAAAGAGCCATCCGCTGTTATTGGTTGCTGAGACACTTTCCATTTCCTGGTGCAACTGCCACAGATTATTTATTTAAAAAAAAGCTGGTTTAATAATTGGTGGGAAATTTCTTACTCCACTCCCATCAGAGCTGCTTGCTTGGTCCACTACAAAAATGAGTTTTGGCTTCCCAATCCACTTGTCGTTTTTCGGCCCAAGAAATGAATGAATCACGGCACCGACAGGCATCTTTTTATTGTCAACCATAATGCAAACTTCGTCGTTTTCTGCGGGTTCGGCAATTTTGGTGAAGAAAAACGTTGCCATGCATTCATAATGCCGACTCAAATTGTTTTCTACGGAAACAAATTAATTTTTATTAAACGATTTAATGGTTTTACAGTCATAATATAAGATTAGTTGAATTTGTTCAAAAAGTGTCTCAATGTTTTATTTCTAATTATATTATATAAAACATTTTTTGTTGATGAAATTATATGAAATCGTCTCAAGCTAATGAGAACGTCTACAGCTCAACTTGAAACATTTTGAAAACACATGCATTATTAAAAAGAAAGCTTGTGACGCAGAAAATATTCAAAATAAATTTATCAAAACCGAGAACTTAATAGGATTTAAAACTTTGATGAAACCCAAACCCAACATGTAATAGTAGCAGACGTGATATAATATTTTCTTACCACAACAACGGTTAAAGCTGCTTGTGTTTAACTCTTGAACGTTAGTGTTGAAACCCAAATTGTCTTTGAGGGCCAACTCAAGTCGCGCAACATCTTTATTTTTTGGGTCGCTGTAAAGAATGGCAGCATGTCTCGGTTTATAAAGAAACCCGTCATTACTTTTCCAAGGAAAATAAAACCCGTCCAATCTGGATTTCAAATTTTCTATGCTTCCCTTGCCGTCAGGTCCATTTTCCACTCTTCTCAGTATTCTGCGATAAGTGTGCGTCTGAAGTACATACTCTAATAGTGGCATAAAACTTTCTTACTCTGGAAGAGGCGTGAAAAAAAATTTCCTGCTATGCAGAAAAATCTTTGATTCTGGAGTTTGATTGAATTCGCCTTGGAGAGGGGCATCGCTTTGAACATTGTTTTTTATGGCAGTCAGGAAGTGCGCAATCGTTTGATTTTCCTGCATTGCGTTCAGTTCTCTGCAAACATTTCGCACCAGCGAGGTTCCGGTGCAATTTTTCTGTGACGTAAATTCTTAAAGAAAGATCATGAAAATCAAATATTATATTAAAAATAAATGACTTTTGATAAAATTACTTTCAACTGTTGCGTAGACAACGACTAAGTTGTTCATGTTCGGAAAGAATGAGACGGTGCACGAGTCACGATTGTCAATTTCTTGGAATTCTCTATGAATCAAATCATCCTGAAGACCTCTGCACGGCTAAGAAAATCAAAATAGTTACAAAAAAAAGAGGAAATTAATGCATAAACAATTATTTTAACCTACTCCAAAAAATACAAATTTTTGACATGCGGAGAAACCCTTCACTTCTTTCAAACAGTCAAAAATATCAGAAGTTTTACATTCTTCCAATTTCTCAGAATCAGTTTTATTGATGAAAATGACGCCGTTGCATCCTCCGTGGGACAAAACAAATAAAAAGAATACTGCGGGTGGCGCGTCTGTTAATTTAAACCAGTAAATTAGCGAATCAATTCTTGTTAAAATATATTATATTATTAATTTAACCTGAATCGAAAAGGTTAAGCAACTCTTCTTCGTTTTTGAGTAGAGAAAAAAGTCTTTCCCTGTTGTATGAAATTTCCCGAAATTCGCATTTTCTGTTTTCGGCAAAAGTTTTTTTGAGGTTGTCAATGTCTGCGGTATCGGCCTCGGTACGATCCATATCTTCGAATTTCTCAAAGCGGTAGTGAACAGCCAAGACAAAAACTCTGCAGCGGAAAATAACAAAGCTTGATTATCATATTGACATTAATTCTCTGCTCACGTTTCGACTTGAACCTGCACTCCATGTTCATCCTCAAAAAAGCCTAAATTAGCTTCAATTTTCAATCCTCTGGGAGGCTCACCTGAGGCAGCCGCCGCTTTAATAAATTTTTATAAAATATAAAATTCAACAACGTTAAGAAATTTGAATGAAATAATACTCTTCAACATCGTTTTAGACCTTTTTTTCGTAGAAATTAAAAACTAAATATGAGATGGTATAATATTATTTTACAAATGAAGATGCTTCATTTCAATCCACAAACCTTGTTAGGTTAAACTGTAGAGAATTTTTAAAGCAATTTATTCAACATTCATCACACATTTCAGATGAAGCATAAAAAGAGGAAAATAAAAATTTATAAACTATTTTTATTTGCCATTTATTTTTAAACTGTAAATATAATCAAAATAAACACACCTTTTCCCATTTGAGAATTTATAATGCAAGGTGGGTGTATGAATCAAGAACTTCGTGGACTCTCAAAAATCGCAATCTACTCAGCTGATTGATAATTGATCATCTGCAAAAGTGAAAAAAAATATCAAGCGGATTAGGTGTGACAGTGGTGGGCGTGTTATTTAAAAAGTCTACTTTGCTACTATTTTTTATCTTATCCTCAAATGTTAAAAAAGTCTAGCGCGAGAAAATTTATATTTTTCTTTTAAACTCACATGTTTAAAAAAATATCGATGCAAAAAAAATCATAAAATATATATAGAATTTAAACCGAACAGCAAGCTAATGACGTTAATGTTAATGCAAAAAAAAATCAGTATCAGCGCCCAGCGGTAGAGTTTATTTAAGTGCCAGGAGGAATTTGATTAAAAATTAAAATTAAAAATAAATACTGCTGATCTGTCCTAATATTTCCAAATTTATAATATTAATATCAATAGTTATATATTCACAATAATTTTAATATAACACCTAAACGCTCGCAATCAATAAAGTTAATTACAAACACATTTTTTTTTTTAATATTTCATTGTTAAATTTTGGCTTGCAAGTATTAAACTTGCGCATTGGTTTTAATTAAAAATGAAGAAAACTCATTGTTTGTTTGAAGCAAAAATGTTCTCAACTTCAGAAAATTTTAAATGATATGACGAATGATACTTACTAATTTTGGAGATTTCAAGGTGTATGTCAATCAGAAAGAGGGGATGCAATTTGAGAGTTTTAAAAGCAGAAAAAGTCTAAGCACTCTCATGTAAGATAAGAAAATGCGCATCCAATCTTAGCTGACTTAGCTCTAGTTTCTATTGAAGCAGATTTTCGGAACCCACTTGACAGCGCATTGGTGCCACAAGCTGTTCACGTGATAGGACTTTTTTATGGACTTTTCGAAGCGCACGACACCGGTTACGTCATCTTAGGGCTATAAAAATCAAAAGTCTATCTGTATAACTCGTAGGAGACACTTTTTGCGTCGCAAAAGTGCTGATTGACTTGAAAATTACTGGTGAGTTTTAAAGGTCAATTCAAATCTTGAAAAATTTCATAGTGGTGTTAATTTTTTATATATTTTGATTTTTTATTATGTTTGAATAAATCAAGTGAACTTTAAACGCTGCACTGAAAAATCATTTTGCAAATCATGAATCATGCATAAAATTCATTAATTATTAGTTGTTATTTTAAAATAAGTCAATTGCATTGAAATGAAAAATAAAAATTTGAGAGGCATTATTATGAATAGTGAATAGTTTATCTAAATAATTTTAAATATTATTGTACCAAAAGGTACTTGAAAAAGTTGTAGTGTTTAGTGCCTTTTTGAAATAACTTCAGATAATGTTTTATTTTAAAACTTTTTTGGCTTTTTATCAAATTACTTGAGTATCATGGGCCTAGAATTGATACAATTGCTTTTTAAAGCATTATTATTCTCTCTCGAGGCATTGCATATCTACGGTAATTTATTTTGATTAACAAAATGAAAATTGATAATGTACATGCAATCTTTATCTACAGTATGTGACAATTTTCAGCCAGCAAACGCTAAATCTATTCTATCAGTACAAAATGCTTATTAAGTCCTAATGATTGCATTTTTATTTTTTCAAATTTTGTTTGTTTCACTTTTCAGATGAATTGACGGCCTTAGGTAGAACAGATGGCATTCCATGCCGCAATGGATAAAACCACTACATGTTTGTCCACGCATTACACGCCTACAGATAAAGGTTCGGGCAGTTCATAAAAAAATAGCTCATTATTTCATGTTCTAAAACTTTCTCCTGATAAAAAAAAAAAAACAGAAAAAAACTGTTGCGAAATATAAGGAGATTCCAACACTCCAATAAATAACAAAATTTACTTGAAAATTCAAAGTTGTTACTAATTGTAAGATTGACTTGACTTATTAAATTATTACAAGCTTATCTCATGTTTGAAAAAGAAATAATGGAGTAAAATATTAAATATAAACGTTTGATATATTATTTTTGAGCGTAGAAACGCTGCTCTAATGTATAAATGGAATGGAATTAAAATACTTCATTAATTGATGTGTAATTCAAAGAAGTTCATATCAAAGCATGAAAGCAGATGTTTCAGGTGAACAACCTGAGGAGACAAAATGTGGAGCGACATTAGGTTATTTTGAGGATGAACATGGAGTTCAGGTTCAAGCCGAAATGTAAGCAGAAAATAATAATCTCTATGATATAACAACTTTTTTTTTTTAAATTTTCATCGGTGCAGAGTTTTCGTCTTGGCTGTTCATTACCGCTTTGAGGAAATCCCAAGCATGTGTCGTACCGAAGCCGATGCAGCAGACATTAAAAACCTCCGAAAGACTTTTGCCGAGAACAGAAAATGCAAATTTCAGGAAATTTCAGACAACAAGGAAAGACTTTTGGCTTTACTTAAAAACGAAGAAGAGTTGCTCAAGATTTTCGATTCAGGTTAAATCAATTACATATTTTGACGAAAATTTATTGCTAATATACTGGTTTAAATTTTCAGACGCACCACCGTCAGTATTCATCTTATTTGTTTTGTCCCACGGAAAATGCGACGGTGTCATTTTCATCAATGAAAATAATTCAAAGAAATTGGAAGAATGTAAAACTTCTGAAATTTTTGACTGTTTGAAAGAAGTGAAGGGTTTCTCTGCTTGCCAAAAATTCGTGTTTTTTGGAGTAAGATTAATAAATATATCTGAAGTTTATGTGCACTTAATTTATGCGTTTTGTAGCCATGTAGAGGAGAATTGGAAGATTTGCCCTACGATAAGAGTCAAAATTTTGAAAATCGGGTGTCCTGCACCGTTACATCCGTTCCCAACATGCACAACACGGTGGTTTTTTACTCGACTCTTGAAAGTAATTTGCTGAAATCATAAATTTTTACCTTCTCATTCCCATTTTTTTTTAATTTCTAGATTTTCAGGCTCAGAAAAATCAGACTGGAACTTCCCTAGTGCGAAATGTTTGCAGAGAACTGAACGAAATGCAAGAAATTCAAACAATTGCGCATTTCCTGACTGCAATTAAGAACAACGTTCAAGACGACCCTCAAAATCGAGGCAAATGCAAACAAACGCCGGAATCGAAGATATTTCCGCAAACCAGAAAATTTATTTTCAGTCCTCTTTCAGAGTGAGTAATAAAGATTAGTGAAGTTTTAAATAATTTTACTATGACGTCTTGCAGGACAATAGAAAATAAAACAGGCAGAAAGGAAAATATTGAAATCTGCAAAACTAGATTGGATAGGTTTTATTTTCCGTGGGAAACTGCCGACGGGTTTCTTTTTAAACCTAGACATGCCGCCATTCTTTACAGCGACCCAAAAATTGAAGATGTTGCGCGACTTGAGTTGGCCCTCAAGGACAATTTGGGTTTCAACACCAACGTTCAAGAGTTGAACTCAAGCAGCTTTAACCGTTGTTGTGGTACAATATTGCATCTGAATAATTTTATTTAATTAATAGCAACATAAATTTTAACATGTGAGCATCATTGTGAATTTCACACCAAACTTTTATGGGTGTCTTTTTCGCACTGATTACCATCGTATTCTGAAATTTTAAATTTAATTATCAAACGCGATATTAATATAAATGAAATAAAAAATTAAAAATGCATAAATTATCAAACTTGTCAGTATTTCAAGATATATGAAAAATATTTCATGATAATGTGAATCTGCAGATAGCGACCTGTGGCTTCATTACGATTGCACGGCAACATTTTTCTTCACCACAATTACTGAGAGCAACGGTGAAATCTGCATCGTTGTTGGTAACGAGAAAAAGCCAATCGGAGATGTAATTCATTCTTTTGTTGGACCAAAAAATGACATGTGGATCGGAAAGCCAAAGCTTTTTTACATAGTGGACACAACAAACAGCACTGACCGTCTGGTGGTAAAAACATCTTCTTTATATTTCATTTGATATTGACAAAGAGTTTTGCAGTCGCACACAAAAATGGATGAGAAACTGGTCGAAGTTACCAGCCACAGCGGATGGCTGCTTTTCTATTTACGGTCAAGTGGTAAACATGTTTAAGTACATTTATTTATAAATATGAAAAAAGGGATTAAGACTAATTAGGAAATTAATTAAAATAATAGGGTATATATATAAAATCTGAATTCAGTGTGCTTTAGATTTCTTATGAAATTGATGCTTTAAAACTAATTTAGTAATATTTAGTTGTAAATTAACGAAATTCAATTTATTTGTTTAGATATACAATGTTTCATTGATGTTTTCGAGAGCAAGAAACTGCAGAGGAAGGAGCGAATGCCAGGACCGAGTTTGCAGGACCTGCTTGGCGATGTGCTTGTGGGCCTGGGCAAGGGAGCAGATTCAAAAAAGTTACCGAGAGGAATGCTTGTTTCCACTTTGCCATATTTGATTGCGTTCCCGCGGAGGAACTTTTTGCCTCGCCTTTTTCGTGTGAAGTCAAAAGCGTTGGAAAATACCTTATTCCCCTATATGGAATTCCAAAAACTTATTGATCTGGCGGTTGAGATTGATAAGCATCCCCTCTGGCTTATTTCTTCACCACCAAAATCTGGAAAATCAACAATGTTGGACAAAATTAGTTACGAGCTGCAAGCCAAGCGGAGCGATTACCAAGTTTTCAAGATCAATCATGAAAATATGTTTGATTATCTATTTGATGAGGATATTGATGACCTACAGCTTGTCAAAGTTCTCACTCAAGCAACAGCAACGAACCGCAATGATTGCAATGAACACAAAATCAGGAGTCTTGTTGAAGACAAAAAAGCTATTTTGGTCTTTGACGGGTTCAATCAATTTTGCACGGACTTGGAGCCGGGTGTAAAAGAAAAAGGACTAAAAGTTCTGAAAATGGCGTTTGAAAAAAATATCCCAGTATGGATTTCCACGCGACCGGAGCAAGAACAAACGCTCATTGACATTTGCAACCTTGAACGTCTGATTCAAGTTAGCATCTTTCCGCTCATGCGCATTTCGAAAGCAGCAATGCTTAAATTACGCGACCCTGAAGCAAGTGAACAATGCATCAATGATTTCCTTCAAAACTTTGAAAACAGTGCGTCACAAGACGTCTTATCAAATATCTTGAATTTGAAGTTAATTGCCGATCAAGGGATACGAGACGATAATTTTGGAACCGCCTATGACGAAGCTGTGCGAAAAAAGATACGAGAAGCCATTTGTAAGTCGGAAATTCTTAGTGATAGCGCTGTTGCCGATACAGTGGAAGAGCGAATTCACCTCCTGGAAAAATTTGCATATGATTATATCACAAACAACCTTAACCTTGATGACTACAAAAATGAAATTGAAATTACTGATCTTACAAACACCGGAATTGTGGCTATCGTAGACGGACAACCAGTATTCACCGACCAAACTATCGCAGAGTTCCTCACCGCAAATCATTTGAAGAAGAAGAAAGATGACCAAGATAAGCTGAAGGAACATATCTTTAAGCAGAATTTGTTCAAATTGCGCAAACTTATGGATAAAGATTTGCCGCAGAACAGATGTTTTGAAAAATATTTTCAGAATATATTCTTGGATAACAAGGAAAAGAATGTTGCTCAGATTGTCACGGAAAATCTCTCAAATGTATTTTCTCTCCTTGTTAAGAGAGAAATAACCTTTAAAAGAGAGGAAGCTGACAGCAAACGTTTGTATTTGGAATCTAGCTACGAAATATTGATGAATGCGTTGAAAAACAGTAAAAGCATCACACTGGAACTGCTGGAAATGGGAGCGTTTGAAAATATAATAAACCACGACGAGCTAAGTGAAATAGTGGAAGTTCTTGTAGACAAGAATCATCTGGAAGCTTTTGAAACCATATTCGAAACAAGATCCACCGACATAAAAAAAATCATTTCGGAAAAGAGTGCAGATTACGCGCTTATAGCAATTGAGGAGAAAAATTACAAAATGCTGGACTTGTTATTGGAAAAAGAAATTCTAGAAATGTCAGATATTGAAATAGACAACGAGTCGATGCTCCACTTTGCAGTGGAATGGAGCGATGTAAATACATGCAAGGTTTTGCTGAAACACGGCGCTGACGCAAATTATACATGCGGAGAATATGGAAGAAATTGTCTTCATAAAGCTGCAGCTAAATACGGTCAAATCGAAATCGTAAAACTTCTGTTGGAAACTGACAAGCGAATTCCTCAGGATGGAAGTGCCTCAGCACCTCGGAAACCATACGCGGACATAAACATTGAGGACAATAGAGGCTGGAATGCTTTCCACTACGCGGCACACGCAAAAAATGGAGACACTTTGCAATACCTTCATCAAAAATGCGACGCAGCTTTGATGAGAAAAGTTACAAAAAAGGGAGAAACTGCTCTTATCCTTGCTGCACAGAATCCCAGCGATGAAGATCTCTTTAAAAGACGTCCTCGCTACTTTCCTATAGAATCTTGCACTTGCTTAGAGGTGTGCAAATTCTTGGTGGAAAATGGAGTGATGGTTCATTCTGTAAATGACGAGGGATGCAACGCGTTGCATCAAGCTGCCGCTACAAATAACGCCGAGTTATTCGAATATCTGCTCGAAATAAAGGGAGATTTGGCCGAGAAAGTGAACATAAAAGGAGAAACACCTTACGATTTAGCTGGATGGAAAATTTATCACAGTAGTATTATGAACAACAAAGCTGGACCAAAATATTATGAACATATCGGCAAGATTATAGTAGGGATCGTGGATTTTATTTCTCCAAAACTTCTGCTGGCTTTTGTTCAGAAAATGAAGGCTGAAAATATACAAATCACTCTTGCAGAGAGCGAGAAATATGATCTAATTACGTCATGTTTCAGGAATCGTCTGAATATGAACGATGAACCCCACGAGAGGTTAGATATTCTGCTGCAATACGGAATTCTTAAAACGACAGACACGACAGAGTCTGGTGAAACAATGCTCTGCGCCGCATCAAAACTTTCAGGAAGTTATAATTTAGCAAAAGTTTTGCGGAAACACGGCGCTGATGCAAATCAAGCCCACGAAAAATCAGAATAAACTTTCCACCATGTTTCTTCCTCTAAAGGCAGGCTTGAAGTTGTCAAACTTTGGAAAGCAAGGATCGAACTTCATGTGATGATGGAGTAATGCTATCACCATACACAGACATAAATAACAAATGTATAACAAATTATTACTTCTAATAGCTATTTTCTTGTGCAACTTTTTGTATTTACGGTTTATATCCAATTATGAACTATAAATTAAATTAAGATAGAGTATTGATTTAAAGATTAAAATGGTCATATCATCGTATTTTCTGTTAAAGTGAAAGAATAAAAATGAAATTTAAAATATGCTAAATTGCTTTTTTTTAAAGAGAACCAGTACTTCAAATATATTTTTATTTGACACAAAAACGAGTAAAAAAACAATTATTCGTTCGTTTCCATTTAATAGCGGTTTTTTTCTTTCATAACAACATCAACGGCTCATAAAAAGCCATAAAAAGCTTTGCAACTAATTGACGAACGATGAAATTTGTCAGTGTCGACAATGAATTAGTTTATTTGGCATTTTTTTTAGCAGATAAATTTTTTAAATTGAACAAAATTTGAAAATTTTCTCAATTGCTTGATTAAATAAAACGAATTATATTTGCTGGGGGTTCAGTTCCATGTCCTGCTGAATTCCAAATGCAACACTGTGGGCTTAAAATACACTAATTTGGTCTATCTCATGGTTGTGGCTTCGGAGAGATGCGTCCGATTGATATTACGAAGACCGATGTAGCGCCGCAATGTTTTGCTCCAGCCTTTTGCGCGCTTTTATAATGTTTATGGAAGCACCTTTATTTATCTATAGTTTTAAAACTTTTTTACGAAAATTAATTTAGCAAATGAATTTAAAATTAATTTTGAGATTTAAAAGCATTAAAATAGTTATATTTTAACTCCCACGGCTCTTGAAAGCAAACATTTTTTATTTATTATTTTTTTTTTTTTTTTGAAATAATATATCATTTTTTTATTAATATTATTTGAAACAAATGATTCCTTCATTTAATTAATATTATTTATAAAAAAAGGTAAAATATTTCAATATTAATGCTGGAAAATGAAGCTATCAAAATCTCTAATTTCTCAATATTTTTCTTAAATTTGCGAATAAAAAGGAACAATAAAACCTCGCAGGAATTTCTCTCTAATTTAGCGTCTGCGCTGCTCCCAAGAGCCAAGGTCAAGAGCTTGAAACGTCTCTGTTAAATATTAAAACGGTAGAAAATTATGCTCGTATCTGTCTTGCCGCTGAGAAAAAAAACATCCTTGGGCCACGAAACCAAACAGCAAGTCCGTTTTCGCATCTGCAACTCGTCTCTTCATCTTGCTCGCTTTTCTCGCCAAAAAACTGATTGAACTCTCGTTTTCCGACTCAAAATACACAGTGAAGGGATGAGTTTTTAATCAAAGATCATCATTTCTATTGTTTATAAGGACATGGCAGCGACACAACTTTGGACCAGGAAATATTTATTCACCATTTTAAACTTATGCTCAATGTTTGCTCTTCACGATTTCAACGATACTCCCGTAAGAAACTCTAAAATTTCTTATTATTTTAATTTTCAATCAGTTTGTACTTTTCAGTTTCATTATGATTGTTAAATTAAGCATTGTTCCACTGAATATTTTAATATTTATTCATTCTTATTTCATTATTACCAGGAGAAAAATAATTTGACCAAATGTTGGAGTTACGAAAGGAGCAAACCATTTTATCACACCCCTGGTAAGCTATTAATTATCAATTAAACATTAAATCTTGTGAAATCTTGAAAGCGTTCTAATTACAACAATTAAGGAAAATAATAAAATAATTGATCGATTTTTTTGAAGAAAAATTAAAAACTGCTAAAAAATTTAAAAAATTAGTGAATTGAAATTATTATTTAAATTTCCCAAAGTGCAATAAATAGGAATTAAATTTTATTTGCACACAGGTTTTGATTTTCATTAAATTTTTTCAAAAAATCCACATATGTTTCACTGAAAGCTTTTCCCATTTTAGTTTTCAGAGTAAAATCGTACGACGAGGAAAACCTAAGTTTCAAAAACTGCGGCCGGTGGAATTTGCGCGACCACGACACGATTCCTCCGTGGCAACTTTACCTCGCCGACGACGCGAACGGTTGCCACGTCGCACTCGTGTCCGACCGAATCATCATTTCCAATTTTTGTATACAATTTTTTTTATATATTCCAATCAGAATGGAAATGACTGACGAATCTTGCAGTTTGCGATACCATACGCGACAAATACTTGAACAAGTCAAACGAAATCCAAATTTTTGGCGGCGAGTGCAGCCCTGGCGAAAGTTGCAAATTGAATCGCGGGTTGCTCAGCCAAAAGGTATAAATTTATGCGAAACAGATTCATTTGGTTGATTTTCAAATTAATATGATTGCAGGTTCGTAAATTGACAGATGTAAAAGTATCGCATGGAAAGTTCTTTGAAAACTCAATCCAAGTTTGGGAAGTGGATCGAATTCGCTTTTCCGACTCTTTGATGCCGATTTGTTTGTGGAACCAAAACAACCTCGACGACTGGAGACAAAATTTCTCCCTGCCTGAATATCTCACGGTAAATTAAAATTGAGAAAATGAAATTTTAATGTCTCCCTAAAATCTCATTGAGTTAACTTTAAATTTGTCTTAATTAAAATTAAAATTTTTAAAAATAAACAGGGGAACTATGGAGGAGACGTAAATTACGTGCCGGAGGAAAAATGTTACTTGGGGTCAATCAAGGACGAGGAGTGTGATCTTTATGGAAAATCTATTTGCACGCAAGGAAAAGGTAATTATAATTTAATTGCGATTAATTTTGTCTATTTTTTTTTTGTTAAGTCATCGGAGCCCATTTGATGATTTACCGAAACGGGCGCTTTTTCCTGCGAGGGGTGCTCAACAATGCGCCGAAGGTAGACGGCCTTTGGCTCATTCGGTGGCTCGACCTGCTGCCCTTCACCAGAAAAATCGTCTCGGCAACGCCGGGACTGGTTATGCTGCCCAAAATTCCAAAGCCGAAGCCAAAAGTGGGTAAGTTGAGGGCAAAATTTTGAAAGGCGAAAAATTGGTCAAATTTTATTCGCATAATGGCATTAATGAAAGTTCAAAAACAATGAATTTTAATTAAATTGAGGGCAAAATATCAATTTATTAAAATCTATCAAAAGTAAAATGTATTTAAAACAGATTGCGCAGAAAATGGTGGCAAAAAAATCGTCAACTCATCGTCAAGCTTTAATTTTGGCCAGAAAAGTAGAAAGTTATGTTTAGATTTTTTTTTTAATTTTTTCACAAGCCAACATATTATAATATTTATGTATGGAAACAATCTCTATCCCTTAGTGCAACTGAAAATTTGAACCAATTTTGGGGAAGATTTAATTATTTAATTTTGGATATTATTAAATCAACTCGTCCAAAAAGTATGAATGGCGCAAAAATACGATCAAGTAATTGGGATTGGCCATTTACTTCAAAAAAATCTAGGAATTTTTTTGGGAAAATTAGAAAGAATAATTAGGAAAATTCATTTTTGATAATGAAAATCACAGAAAACCAGTAAAAATATAATTTAAATAGGAAAATATTCAAAATAATAGTATTTTGCCAAATTAAAGTTCAATCACATTTGCGAAATAAGGTTAGAAACAAGGGAAGTTGCAGGAAATTATATAATCTTAAAATGATTTAATATCAAAATTCAAAATAAATATTTTAAGAAAATTTTATTTCAAGTTGATGAAGTAATTGAAAATCTAGGTTAAAATTTGGGAGAACTTCAATTTTTACATAATTAAAGATAAAAAAAATGTATTATTTCCCATACCATGAATTTTTCAAATGAGATCAAAATTAAAAAAGGTTTCCCTTTCTCTTGGCCTTTAATTTAAAAAAGTCTTCCAGATTGTCCTTCAAAAATAAAATTTTGACTTTTTTGTTCAGACTTTGGCGCGATGCAGAGTTTTGCGGATTGCGGACGCGTGTCGCGGCGTCGGGGCCGAGACGACAAAAGTCAGGGCTACGGGTTCGTGTTGGGCGGGGTGGGGGCGAGTCGCGGGTCGGCGCCGTGGCACGCCAGCCTCACCCTTTTCGACGACGCGGGCCCCGCCGTCACCGACTTCTGCGGCGCCACCCTCGTCTCCGCCAGAGCCCTCATCACAGGTGCCAAAATACTCGAAATTAAAAAGAAAAAAGGAAATAAAAAAAAAATGATTTTCAGCGGCGCATTGTTTGTTTGACGAGGACAACCGGATGGTGGCAGCGCCGCGGCTCCGAATCACGCTGGGCATGAACGACGCGTCCAATGACAAAGAAACTTCAAGACAACAATTCATGGTAAGGTTTGTTTTGTATGCTTCAACAAGAAAAGTTAAATTTTGACCTCGAGAATTAAAAAAAATTAATTTATGAAGTATTTTCTCTAATATTTAAAATCACGTAATTTTTTTTTGGGAAAATATTAATTTTTAAACTCAAATATTTCGAGGAAATTCCAATGAATACAAATTAAATGATTTAGGTATTGATTAAAAAATGAATTTTGATTAAAAAAGATATCAACGCAATATTTTTTTAAACTAAAAATGACAATTTGCAAGCAGGCGGCCGAGATTGTGCTTCACCCTGGCTATGATCATTTGAGAAAGGACTTTAAAGACGACATCGCCCTGATTATTCTGCCCCAAGACGAAATCCGCCTGAACCAGTTTGTATGTCCGGCGTGTTTGTGGAACGACGACTATCAACTGGACAAAATCGTCAACACGACCGGAAAAGTGAAATTTAAAATAAGAAAAAACTCAAAATAATAGTTTTTGTGATCAGGTTTTTGGCTGGGGCTACACGGCCGAGCACAAGCAAGCCAGGGTTCTGCAGGAGGCGCGCTTGAAGGTCGCGTCCGTCGAGGAATGCTACGAAAACAAACCGACTTTTTTCTCCGCCAATTTGCGTCCGACCGAGAACTTTTGGGCCGGATTTCCACACAACCGTAATAATTGTTTAATTCGTTTCAAAATTTCTCACTATTTTCTTCTGGAAATTTATAAAATAAAATTACAAGCTGAATTATTTTAACGTTTCCAACATAAAATTTAATTATACTTCTAAACTTTTGAATTGATTATTTTAGAGCCGTATATGTTCAAAACACTAGACTCTTTTAAACTTCTTCCAATTTTATATTACTTTTTTTTTAAATTTTTGACACAGCTATACAGATTTTTAATCGCTTTGTATCACTATAACAGAAGCAACAATATTTTTGGTTTTCAAAATCAAAATTTTAAGCAATTTTGAGAAATTTAAAATCCTTTCGCACTTTATTTATAGATATTCACCTGAAGGAAAGAGCCTGAACAATTTTACGCAAATTTGTTAACCCAAAACTAAAATCTCTAAAAAATGAAAAAAAGCCTCAATATATTTTGGTCAAATTTTCAGCTTAAATTGAGTGATTTTAACTTCGTAGTCATTTCACCCTAATATGATTTTCCGAACTCTGAAGATGCTAAAATTCAATAAAAAAAATTAACTGTTGTACAGAGACGACGGCGTGCAAGGGAGACAGTGGTGGAGGGCTCGTGTTTTTCTCGGACGACCGTTTTTTCTTGCGCGGCGTGGTGAGCATGGGACGGGCGCGGACGGTGGCCACGGACGACGGCGCCCTCCTCCTCGTCACCTGCAACCCCGACTACTTCGCCCTCTACACCGACGTCACCAATTACATGCGCTGGATCGTCGACAACGTGCCCGACGTCCAGCAGAACTCGAATGGGAAAAAGGGACAAGGACAACTCGGCACATCCAGCGGCGCCGCAAAAGTCATCCTCAAATTTGCTCTAATCCTCTCTCTTCTTGTTCAAATAAAATTGTAATTTATGCAAAAAAAATAGCCTTCATTTTTACACATAACTTTCTAAAAAAAAACTTGACTTTTTAAAACTCTAAATTAAATATTTTTAAGTGATCCAAGAGTGATATTTTAATTACTTTTTTAATTTCTTATTAAAAAAATAAGTACTGATCGCATTATATGTATAATTTAAATTTCAAGTCATAATTATATAAAACATCGTAATTTTTTACATTTTGCAGATTTTAATTTTTTACCCAAAATTTGGTTTGTGATGTTCGAAAAGTTTAGAGGCGCAGCCGCAAGAAGAAAAATAAATTAAATACAGCACTTACTTTACAGGCTTTTCTAGGTGCGTTTCCTTGCGAAGTGAAGGCCTGACCAGGAAGGATTCGAAAACAGAAGAAAGCAGTCGCCAGAAATCTCCCTCATCCCTTACTTGATCTTCCACCAACACGGCCAGCACATCAAAATGTCAATATAGAGGTTCATGAAGAAATTAGTGCCGGTCTTTGCCTTTGCCCACATGAGACACAATCGCACGCCAAAAATAAACACAAACACGGCCACGCTGTTTTCATGCAAATCTGTGAGTTACTTTTTCGGTTCTGCCGGCAGAGGCGCTGGCGTCGCTCGTGCGGCCAACACGTGCGAGTCGAAGAGGAAAGTTGTAAACAAAGCGGCGTTGGAAGGATTTTGGCGACCGGATTTCGATTCTGCGGACGGCTATGGTGGTCGAGTGCGAGAACTACTCGGACGTGGAGGTCGTGGTCGGTTCGTACGAGGAGTTCGTGCTCGGCTTCAAGGCCCTCAAGACCGAGGACGGCGTAACAAGTCGCGCCATTAAATTGAGCCAATTTTTTTCAAAGACTTTTGCAGATGGTGAGGTTGTCGCAGAGTTTCGCCAACCACTCGCACCGGGCCAGCGTGCGGTGCGTGGCCGGGGGCGGCCGCTTCATGGCCTCCGGGGGCGCCGACGACAACGTCCAGCTCTACGACATGAAGCTGCGCAAAGAGATGGGCGTCCTCATGCACCACGACAGTATGATTTGTTTTGATAGAAAAAGAGATTTTGTTGAAAGAATTGCACTTTTCCAGTGAATTCATGAAAAATTTGACATTGGAATCTTTTCTTTGGCAAGTTTTTTTTTATGTAATTCAAACTGTTAACCAAATTAATTTTTTAATTAATTTATTTTTAAATAATCAAGAGAAAAAAAAAGCAAAAAATTTGTCGTCATTCTAACTTTGGTTATTTTAAATTGCAAAAATTTCACACATAATTAATTAATTTAAACTAAAAAATTTCATTTTTTCCTATTTTCAGCTTAATAAAATTACTAATTCAAGTTGATTTGCAGAAACGGTGACTTGCGTGGCGTTTGCTGGTTCGACGCACCTTTTGAGCGGCAGCGACGACGGCCAAATTGCCCTGTGGAGGAGCGGCAGCTGGCAGTGCGAGAAGGTCCTGCACGCCCACACTGACACGGGGGTCACTGCCCTCGCCGTCCACCCCAGCGGAAAACTTTGCCTCTCTGTCGGCAAGGACGGAACACTCAGGTTTCTATTAAAAAAAGCAAACTGAATATTTAATGATTAAAGATGTAAATGGAGAGAAAGCTAATTGATTTGAAAACTGTTAGTGTTGTAGATTGTTAAAATGGCCAGAAAAGTTTTTCTCACTCAAATTTGAGAAATATTCACCTTCGAAATTCTATATCGAAGCTTTTAATTCAATTTTTTTTTAGATTTTATTGAATTCTAAACTAGATCATTTGTATTTGAAAGATCAAAATATTCTTCAAGGTCCAGGCTGCAAATTTATTGCCGCAAATTTACATTTCCTCATTTTAATGTCAGATTTTTATAAAATTATAGTTAAATTATCACATTTGTTTAAATTGATCCAAAATCTGAATTGATAAAGGACATTTTCTGTTAGGACATTGTGAGGCACCCCGAACAAAATATAAATCTTCAAATTTTCAAATAATACCATTCCAACTGAAGTTTGCAGATTTTTATTGCACTTGAATTCATAATCATTTTTAAATTTCCAAATGATTTACCAAAATTCTCGAATCGTGAATTTTCCATTTAAATTTTGCCATAATTTCTGTTTGCATTTCAGGACGTGGAACCTTGTGAAGGGCAGACCTGCGTACACAACAAATCTGCACGCAGTGGGTGAGGAGGTTGCGTTTTCGGAGGACGGATCCTTGTACGCCGTCCTCAAACTGGTCAAGGGAGGCGCCCACGTGCTGGTCGACGTTTACAAGACGGAAATCGCAGGGGTCGTCTACTCGATCGACCTACGCACCAGACTCTCCTGCATCACCTTCCTCCAGGTGCGTCCTGAGCCCTGCGAGTTGAAATTCCTCATCTTATTTTGGTTTCAGGATGACCTGATTGCTGTTGGGACGGATACGGGGCTAGTTGAGGTGCACAGGGTGTCCTCGAAAGGATGTGTCTGCAGATTCGAAACCAAGGCAGACAGGGTCAGGAAAATCAGCGCCTGCAGGTTTGCCTCAGGCGAGACCTGGCTCATCACGGCCGCCAGCAACGGACAAATTTCCATTTTCAGTTTTAAGGTCAATAGAGAATTTTCTTTCAAATAAGAAGCTCAATTAAAAAAAGTTTTAAGGAGGATTAAAAATCAGAAGTTGAATGTTAAAGCAAAAATTTTCTGTCTTGTTATTCTCAGAACTAGAAAAATTCAATTTTTTAGAAATCATTTCCTGAATATATATGAACAAATTTCATTTGACATTTTGCATTCAAATTTCCATCTCATTTTGATTTTTTTTTAATTTGCTGATATTTTGTACCTTTTTATAACAAGTGAACTGACGATGAAATTCTCAAGATTAAAATTTACCAAATAGAATCCAGTGATCAAAACTTTCATTGCAATTTTAAAATTCGCTATTATTCAATTTACGTGAAAAATTTCAATTGTTTTTGTAGCTTTCCAATTCAATAAGTGTGTATGCGTGCTAATGTAAATATCTGAAAAACCAAATTTAAACTTAATTATGAAAAGAGCTCTATAAAATATGATTTGATAATATTTAATGAGTTGATATTTTGTCTAAAACATAAACAATTTACAGAAGAGACTGAGTGAGGAGAATGGGGAGTTGAGTGTCCCGAAGCTGATTGGGTCCGTCAGCACCGGTTGCAGACCAACCTGCCTGGCCCTGGTGGTGTCGCCTCAGGGTGCGGTCGAACCCAAGGTCAAGGGTGAGCAGTTGGAGGAGAAAATCTTGCTGCCAGAGGTCAGACCCACCATTCCAAAGAGGGGCGTGGTCACTGTCGAGCTTGAGGACAGTGACGAGGAAAAAAAGAAGAAGAAAAAGGACATCAAAGGTAGGAACAAAAATGCGGTTGCGAAAAAGAAGAGGAAGAGAAGCGCCGGCAAAAGTGGAAAAGACTAAATTAAAGTCAAAAATTTGTTAAAATAAAAAAAAAATGCAATTAGTTTATTAAGTCTTGTTAAATTCTCACACATATCAGTTCAGATCAAATTCATTGAAACTTGAAAATTAAAAAAAATTTCTTGCAGTTTCTTAAATGCAAGTGAAAATAGGAGTTGCAAATATTGCAAAAATTTAGATCAGTTATCTTCAAATCATACAAATAAATTATAATAATTAATTGGGTAATTGTAATTTAATGGTTAAAGTTTCTTTTTCATTTTTTTTTTGAAAAGGAAATTCAAACGGGCGTGTCTGCAATCAGGTCCTCTTCATTTCCGGCAACCCTGAAAATTGGCATGAAAAACTCCTACAAATTTAAATATATGTCAAAACCGACCTGCCCTTCAAGGCCCAGCAAAGCGGGTCAAACTCGTCAGGGTAGCGATAGAGCGTGTTATCGGTGGCGTTGAACCTGAGGAGGTCAGGGGGTTGCGTCAGGGGGAGGTCCGCGTGTCGGAGGTGGAAGATCTGGTCGGCGACCACCTTGTCAGGGTCGCGCGTCAGCACCCTGAGGGCTTCGGCGTAGTACGTGTCGAAGTAGTTTGGGTTCTTGGGGCGGGCGGCGCCAGGGTCGCGGGCCACCCTGACGCTCCAGTCGGTGTGCAGCAGCAGGACGCGCACGTCGTGGTGCGCGTTGAAGCACGAGTCGCGCCGCAAAAAATCCTCGACGAAGCCGAAGCCGTCCGCGTGCAGCCGCGGCGCGCAGTCGCGGTGGTGCAGGTCGACCACCTCGCACCCCAGCCGCCCCTCCAGCGCCGAACGCAGCCCCCGCACCGCCAACGCAAACTCCTCCGCCTCCTCCCGCGCGTACAGCAGCAGCACCTTCAGCTCCTTCCGCTCGGATCGACGCTTGCTCGCTTTTCTCCCCATCGGCGTAAAACCTTCAAAAATATTATTAAATATTAATTAAAATCTTAAAAAAGGTGTAATAATTTTAGGGGGAGGGGAGTTTTGTCTCTGAAATCGGCCTTTTGGCCTAAATTCTCATGAGGATTTTAATCATCAATTGATTGGTTTTACCTGACCTTTCAAATTTCCTTTCAAAGACGCTTTATTATGTTGTGGTGGGGGAACAATTCCGACCAATGAGATTAATTTATTCCTATAATGGCCGTATTCTTAAAAATGACCTGATTTTTTTATCACCATTCGATTCCTGGTGACCTGACCTTTCCAATGATGTGTCACACTTTATATATTAGAGCAAATGTGATTTAAATTAAGTGGTGGGGGAACCTATTTAACCAATGAGATCTCTTCATTCCTTTAATCTTTGTTTTCAATTAATTTTACTGCGACTATTGAACTTTTGTGATCACCAATCGATTCCTGGCATTTGAAATCATAAAATTCTACATTTGAATCACCCAAATTGTTCTGATTTAAGGAAGGAAAGGGTTGATTTTCTCAAAATTTCTTTCTTTCTATAAATATATTCTTAAAAGCTCAGATTGTCGTCTTTCCAAATATGTTGTGTGACTTTTCGGTTACACGATGTATTCGATTCAAACAAATACTACACTCTATGTGTGACTAATGAGGCAAAACCCGAGGTTACAAAAGGTCAGCTTATCTCAATCTCGACAAACTGTATACTTTCTTTCCTTGTAAGAAATTATATGATTTATAGTTGAGACAAAAATATATTTACTCTTTTCCTCAATGTCGTCATCGTCGTCGTCCTTTTTGGCCAGAATGCGGCAGATGACTTTGTAGGCGAAAAACACAACCGCGGCGGTGACGACGACGATCATGACCACGATTTCAGGTGCCCCCGACTTCTCTTCGGGCATACTTTTTGCAACCCCCTCTAGATTTAAATCGGTTAAAAGTAAAACTTGCTGTTATTATTTTTTATACTTTGCTCGGGAGAAGGAGACTCGAAGGAGCACTGCATTGGTTCGAATTGCGTTCCGCACCGCCCGTCGTCGATTTTCACCTTGGCCCGAAACGGTCCTTTGGTGTCCGTCTGGACGCTGCAGTTGAATTTCGGGCCATGCTGCAAATTAATTTCAAAATCAATTTTCTTTTGGAAACTTAGCTTGACCTACGAAAAAGCAGGAACAGCTGTTCGTTTTGGGAACTTCGGTTTCATGCTGAAATTTATTATTAAAAAAACAAATCGTTCAAAATTAATTAAATACTTCGTCAAATAGGACTGTGCAGGTTGGATGTTTTACTTCCGCGGTGCAATTTTGGCAAATCAAAGTCAACTCAAGTTTGAACGGCGGTTGCGGTTGAGGCAAGATTTGCCCTCTGACCTCAACTTCAGCCCTGAAATGAAAATTAGATTAAAAAAGATACAGCTTGAAAATAATGTAAAAATACGCAAATTTTGCCGATGGTAGAAAATTTACTTTGAAAAGTTTTGAAAATTTTCGGAATGAATTTCATCAAACCGGTCCTTTGACTTGAAAGATGCCCAGAGAAAAAAAATGCACAAATGACCTTAGGGAATCATTTCGGATGCTCAGGTCGGTGACCTTCGCGTTGTGGTGTTCGGTGACCTGGTTGGACACCGAAACCTCGCGGCAAACGTGGCCGAGCTCAGTTTGACCTTTGGTCAGGGTGGCTAGCATCAGGTAACAGCCGTTCGCCACCTGGGAGAAGGTCGCCCTGCCCTCCGCGTGCCGCTCAGGGTGCGACCTGAAGAGGTACCTGCGGCGGCTGTAGGTGACGGTCGAGGACTCCGTCTCGCATGCGCACCTTGACCTTAGGTCTTGATCTGGGCGTCTTAGGTCAAGGTCGAGTTGCGCGTCGCAGGGCAGCGGTGGCCACGTGACCTCCAGCCGCTCGCTCCTCCACTCGACCGAAACTATGATTTTTTTTTTTTTTTAATTTTTTTTTTTCAACCGACATAATTTAGACTGACCGTTCAATGCTGAGGAGGCGCAAGACGAGTCCCGGACGAGCGTCAACCACTCGTCGCCCTGCCAGGAATTGGTTCAAAAAATTTGAAATGGAATGATTATATTGAACTCACGTGGACGGCGGCGAAGAGGAGGGCCAAAAAGGCGATCCGCGTATCCATCCAAACTAGAAAATACTCGGACACACGATTCTTTCCTTGCTGAGAGAATAATATTACAAGAGTGATGGAAAACCTTATCAGCACTCTCAGCTTTTTGCGGTTTCCGTTCTCGTCGCGATAATTTTATTTTATTTTCGTTTAATTCCAGCTCTTCATATTTAGGCTAACGAAAACTCACAATTTAATTATCTGAGAGGAAACTTTTATTGAGCACAGCGGTATTTACAAACACTAAAACTAAAGAAACGTATTTCGCCAGCGTTGAATACTGGAGTGATTTTTTTAATAAATAATCCTAATTGATAGTTATTTTTTATTTGGTCACTTAATTAAGATGACTTTTAAGACATTTTTTCAAAATTGTACTAACTACAAGAAACATTGATCATTTAAAAGTTAAAAGAGAAAAATAATGGGGGCATTCACTAGAAATTTCCTCCTCAGGAGGACTTTTGTTCCGGGAGGATAGTGGTGGGACAAATTTGTAGTTCTTTTGCTCTAAAAATAAGTACAAGCTCCGGAAGTACCAACTTAATTTTCAGCAAGTAAATTATTCCTCATCCAGAAAATCTAATCAAAACAGAGAGTTCACGACATGAAAATGATTTTTATTTGAAGCAGCTGACTTGATAGATGAGAAAAACGCAACGGAACCAATTTTGTCCCGACACTATCCCCCCGGGGAGGAAATCTCTGGTGAATATTCCGCAATATCTTCATTGATATTCATTTTTTATCATATTTTGATTTAATGATAGAGTACTGAGGAGGTGAATTTTTATTTCAATTCAATGTAAAACTTATTTTATCAAGAAATTGGTAATTTGAGCCATTTTTGTGCTTTTGCTTTTTTTAAATTAATTTTAAGACGATCACTATAGACTTGTCAATGCTAGTATACTTTTTCTGGCGCTTTTCAAAAATTTTCAAAAACAGATCAAATCAAACAAAATGAAGTATTTTAATATAAATATAAAAATTAATGACCAATAATTATTCATTTTGTTTTAATTTACAACCAAAAGAAATTTCAGCAACGATTTTGTTTAGAAAACGACTATAATATCTGCAAGTCTAGAGTTCATCTCCTCCCCAAAAGCGTATTAAACTTTTGCCACTGCGTTTGAGCCTTCGTCAGTTAAATGTTAAATTAACTAACAACTTGCAGAGATACTGATAAGGAACAAAAAAAAAATGGATTAAACCAACATTGAGCGACAGTCTAAAGTACGACCAGTACACACATAATTTGCGCGTTATCAGCACACATCCGCCCCCTGCTTGTCCTGCTGGTCCGTCGCTGGAGGCGGCCTGAAATGTTCACAGGAAATATTTAAGAAAAAAATTGGCAAATTTTTCGTTTAAATTTTGACGGCACCTGGCAACGTGGGCGCACAGCAGGTGGAGGTGCGCGGGGAACCTGTAGGTGGTGAGGGTGTTGACCCTGAGCACCGTGGCCGCCGCGTGGAGGGGCGAGCGCACGCGCAGGGGGTGCTTCTGCAGCTCGACGTTGAAGACGCGGTCGTAGCGCACGGCGCCCTTGTTGTCCGAGAGGAAGCGCAGCGCGCGCCGGTACTGCTCCCCCTCCTCCGCCCCCTCCTTGTCCGAGTGCACCAGCACCGTCTTGACGCGCCCCCCACCCTCGGCACGCACGCTCTCGAACAGCAGGTTGTCCAGGAACGCGCACCCCTCGACGTTGCGCGGACGCTCCGTGTCCTCGTGCAGAACGTCGATCACCTTCAATAAAATGGCGGCAAATTCAAAAGATTAGGCACGGTTTTTTTTAGTTTTTTCTTAATTAAAAGTTTCTCCAAAGGGTGGATTTTCTGGATCTACTACGGGAGAGCAACTCCAGCGTTTCTTGATCAAGGAACCAAAGATGCTAATTAAAAAAAAAAATGGAAGTAAAATTCAGGCAAATTTGCAGTATGAATTCGCGTGAAAATTATGATCAGGAGTCTTTTCATCAGTTTTATCAAAAAAGTGCCTTTCCTGGGCGGTGGCGGCGCTGTGGACGCTAATTTAACAAGGTTCTATTAAGTTCGTGAAGGTTAAATGTCAAAATCAGCGTTTGCAGCGCCGCCACGTGTCAAAAAGATATTTTTTTGGGCGCACTGACCAAATTTGTCCTGGTTTTCTTTGAACGAAAACGAGATACTCACTTGGCAGGACGGAAGTATTTTTAGAATGGCTCGCTTGAGGTTTTGCACTTCCTGGAAAAACTCTTCGGACTCTTTGACGTAGACGAGCAGGATTTTGAGATCGTTGGATTGGTCGGGAATGACGAGTGGGACTGCGGACTCGGAGGCTGTTTTCCGTTATTCTTAAATTTGCTTCCTCTGAATAAATGTGATTTGCACTCACTTCTGGTTTGGCGGGGTCGCTTGAACGCCCGCACGATCTGCGCCCTTTTCGAGACCATCACGGCGACCAGGACCAGACACGTGGCCGCGAGAAAAACGCCCAAAACCAGGAGGCCCGTGTTGGCGCCTTTGGATGGGTGCGGCGCCTGCTGATCCGCCACCCTCGTCACGTTGTCTAAAGCAAATTTTGCGCCCAAATTTTAATTTATTATTTATATTTAAAGTGAAATGAAGACGATAATAGGATTTGAATATTTTTACTTACACGTCATGTCGAAGCAGCAGGAGTGCGTGGAAGGCTTTTCAGGACAACGTCGTTCATTGTAGACGTGAATCTGCAGCCGAAATTTGGGTAATTTTAAATTTTTATTCGTGAAAAACCATCAATGGAAAGGAAAATCTTGGAATTGACCAAAACTTATTGTATTTAACAGAAATGCATTTAAAATTTTACGAAATTTTAAGAAGAAACGTGCAGAACTATTTAATAAGGGTGGGGATTTCAGCTCATAAAGCAGACAATTAATTTTTATGATTAATATTTATATATCTTCAGCAATAGTTTGCTGATCTTTGAGGAGACATCGTAATACAAATTTAATCATGGGAGTATTCTAAATTTTCTTATTCAAATTACGAGGGACTAAAATTGGTTAAAAACTAAATTCATATATTTCAATCTTGAAAAATTAAAGCTTTTCCAGTAAAAAAGTTCCCTACAAGAAAAAAATTGGTTCCTCATAAATAACCATAAAAAATTACTTACCCTTGCGTGGATTTGGTCGCTGTAGATTTTCTGTTTACCGAAGCGGCACTTGAGCGTGGTTTTGTCCTTCGCAGCAATCAATGAATTAATTGTGATTATTATTCCTAATTGTAAGTAAATATCAAAGATATCTTACGTATTGCACGGTGGTCTCCTCGCACAAGTTATTGGTGAACGCGCGACTTCCATTCTGCGGAACAGATGAAATTGTTCGTCAAAATATTGTATAATCTTTTGGGCGCACCTGCGACAGTCGCAAAAAATCCCAGGCCAAGACGTCCGAGTCTCTGCATTCGACGCACGCCGTGCTCTTGTTTTTCAAAAGCGTCACAACCACGTCCGCGGTGGGGCTCAGCGCGGGCGCGAATTCGAGGGCGGTGATGATGTCGATCTCATCCTCGCCACCCTCCCGCCTGTCAAAGAATAATCAAGAAATAACAGCTTTTGTATTTCAATAATATGAGATTGTTTTTATGAAAGAGAAAAAGACGAGGGATATAAAAAGTTCAGGTGAAAATACAATATAATTTTACGTTGCTCACCAGATTTTTACAAATTGAATTTTTGTAACACAGATTTTTTTAAAAATAGAAATCATAAAATATCCCAGGAGCGGTATTGATAATCAACCAAAAATTGAGAAAAAAAACGATTCTATATACAATTTTTAGCGACTAAAAACTTGATAAAATCGTATCAGAACAGAATCTAATTTTGGCAAATTTTAATTTAATTTTTATTATGTTCATATATTTAGAAAATGAATACACTTCTTCAATTTTATTAAAAGTATAAATATGGGAAATTTCTAATAAATTAGTGAAAAAGTCCTTTTAATTAACTCCTAAATGAATATTGTATTGCGAATGGTGTTATTCTGATTTTTGACTGTTTCCAGTTTTTTTCTAAAGCACCTTGAGACCATGAATTTATTGGACATATTTATTTAGTCGGAATATCATTAAAACTTCTAGCAAATGATTCTAATTATTTTTAACTGTTTTGAATTTCAGTTTCTTTACTGAAAAATAAAGTTTTAAATTACAAAAATACAATGAAACATAACATTTAATGATAATTTTCCCCAAATAATTAAAATTAAAAATGACTGCGCATATAAACTTTTGCTTAATATTCTAAAATAAACTAAAATTTGAGATCAATTTTTGCCCGTCTACCTCATCAAAAGTGAGTGATTGTTGAAAAGTTTTTAAACGCGGCAAAATCAGCAAAAAATTGTTTCCTACTTAAAAGTTAAAGGATCAATTTATTAAAGTGTTCAACGTTCCGATTATTTTGTAAATGCAGTGCAAAAAGTAAAAATAAATCTCACGCGAATTCGTTTTTGTCGAGGCGTTGAGGTTGGGTTAAGTGGCTCGTGAGACCGTGGGTGCGCACAAAGACGTTGGGCTTTGATCTGACGAAGGCCCCGACGACGCCGGTCGATGTGAGGAAATCAAAGTCCGCCGAGTAGCAGCCCATGGGCACGGGCAGCGCGGCCGCGGCGTCGAAGGCGCCGCCGGCCGTCGGCCTCACCACCACGATCCACTCGTTGAACTTGTCGTGTGGGGCGGTGTCGGGGTGCAATTTGACGCAGGCGGCCTCGTCGGTCACGTTGGTCATTCGCTCCAGCGCAATCTTCAAACGGAATGTGCAATTGCGCTTGTCATTCACCTCACCCTTCACCGCCAAATGCACCCACGTTCCCTCCACCCTCAACTCGCCGCTTCTTTCTGAAATCACAATTTCAATTTCATGCTGGCGAAAAAGCACACAATCAATTCTCAATTACTCATATTTCAATTTGAGAACTACTTTTGGGAATTTAATATGCATGAATATGAATTTAAAAACAGAAGTTTTAACTTCAAGGAAGATCTTGTTGGAAATTTTGTGGGAAAAAAATTGATTGCATCATGCATCATAATCTGTAAGGGCAACCTAGGCATAATTTTTTACCGCATTGAATTAAAAAAAGCACAGTAAATAGGACTGGGTGAGTTTTAGAGAAGAAAATTGTCACCAGTTTGGTTGAAATTTCAGGCTAAAAGAATTTTAATTAATAAATTCTACTTCATACATTTCTGACAAAATATGTGATTTTTAAATAAAAATATTTTAAATTCAGAAGTGGAATAAAGATAAATTTAAAATCAAATATAAGTTTTCAAGGCATTGTATTTTATAATTTTTTTTTTTAAAGTAATAAAAGTAACTCCTGGAGAGGGGGGTCTTGAAATTCGACTTGACGAGGTACATACTTATGCCGTTATTAATTGTGCACCACGTCTCATTTAGCACTTTTGGATCCGTGCGAGCCTGAAATCAATAAACAAAACAAAAATAAAATTTTTCCCTCTTCGGCGTTTGTTATGGTTGAGGGCAATGCGTAAAAAGTTATCTCGGAAGTTAATCAGCAGCACAATCCGCGACCACTTCTCTCGACCGCACATCCAGCTCGCGAGTCAGGCATTAGAGAGAGAGACCAACCACAGAACAAAATTGTAACGCGCAATTGTCAAATCTGAATCAAATGTAAAAAATTTTAAAATAAATTCTTTATCTCAAGGAAAGGGAAAAACCTATACCGAATAAAAACAACCATTATTTATTTCCTTTTCCTTATAGCAGGAATAAAAATGTGGTTTAGGAAAAAAATAATCCACCCCATAAAATGAAATATATTTTTTTGCCGCGAGTTTAAAAAGATGGATTTTAAATTTTAATTACCGTGCACGCGGCCACATTTTGCGCGTCGACCCGGAGTGACCAAATGAAGAGGAGGTGTCCGATGACGAGGACGAGGGCCATCGTGCGTCAATCAATCGCATGCCGAGCGAGGCCCTTCAAGGCAGCCGTCGGTCCAACCGATCCCGTCACGACACTCGCGAATGACTGAAGTAGTTTCCAGTCGCAGTTCTGGCTAGAAGACTTTTTTATCAGAGCGCGCCCTCTGCTCTCTCAACCGCGAGCTCCAGCGATTGGAATTAAAACAACCGGCGCCTTTTAGCTGATTTCGTTGGACCAAAATCGAGGAAAAAAATTACACTCAATCAATATTGGAAAAGCAAAATCAAAGTAGATTTTACTGTAGTGAATATTTTTTTTGTAATATAGTTTAATTAGCTTTCGATATAAATAATATATCTCATTATAAAATTAAACTCTAGTTATTTTCAAAATTAAACTATATTTATTATTATTTCAAAGGCCATTTTTTTTTATAAATTTTACCAACCTAAAATTGTGAAAATTTAAAACTGATTTTGAAATTTATGACGAATCTTTTGATTAATCTTAGATTTTTGCCAGGAATGCCAGGCTGCAAATTTTCGAGAGGCAGGAAATGTCACAATTTGACCTGTTCCCCAGGATCAACGGCTTTGACCTCCGACAGAGAAATTTGAAATTTTCCCACAAACTCTTTTTATGACACAACATTCATAAATTTCAGTCAATTGAAACATCACCTTTTTTTATTCAGTACCCACCAAAAATTCAGATAAACCTTCTCATAAGAATTGTGCTATTTTTGCATCTCTTGATTTCATAGTGAGATTCATATTAAAAATTTTTTATGAAATACATTAAAAAACAAAGTGAAAATAAAAGGCGCGTTATTTTGGTAATTTGCCGCTTTTTAAATTTTCGCACAGATTGGAAAAATAAAAATTAGTCCATCAGGAACAGAGGATTCTTCTCAACTCTCGCACAGGAAGTGGGTGGGCGTGGCGCAGGGGAAGGTGACGAAGACCCCATTCTGGTAGCCGAAGCACGCGTCGACGCCGGGCTTGGCGACGGCGGCCGCCCAGCCGACGGCCGCGTTCGAGAAGGTGTTGGTCGCGTCGAACCACTTGAACTGCCCGGTCGACGCCGTGAACTGCAGCGACGTCCGCAACAACGTCGGCGCCAATCCTTTCAAAAAACTCAGTATATATAATGTACACAAAACAATTTGCGGTAAAAAAACACACATTCCATTTAATTTTAATAAAAAAAATCTTGGTTACTCTCATTTTCTGAAGTAAATTGTTGTAATTTGTGGATTTGTCAACAAGAAAAATACTGATTTGCAAATTTTTTGATAAAATTAAATCAATTAAACTATTGTGAGCCATTTTTGCTTGAAGTATTGCAATACAATTATATTAGGAATAAAAGTGCAGGAAATCGCACCGTGATTGTTGATCGTGGTGACGACGTCGTTGTGGTCATAGATGTTCTGGATGGAAAGCGGCTTCAAGCCAAAGGACGCGCAAATTTTGATCATTTCGTCCAATGTTGAAGCCTTCGGGTGAATTAAAGCGATTTCAAATAATCAAATTGTTTAGATGAATTGAAATCCAAGTAATTACCTTGACAAAGGAAAATAACAAGGTAGAGTAGGTTCCGTTTTCCTTTACTCCTGAAAAGACAATCAATTTTAATTTTCATCCTGTGCTCAAATTAGCAGAATCGATTGAAAGGAATTTAAATAGATTATTTTTTTTAATTATTATTATTAAAGTAAAAACGCACCCATCGCCAGTGGCCTGCAAACGTATTATTATTGATATTTTCTTTGTAATTATTTTAAATTTCGCGACGCACGGTTTTTCGCAGAGGAACTCTTTCTTGTCGGCGCACGGCTTGACGCCAAGGTAGCCGTTGAGGGTCTCGAGACAGTCGCTGGCCGCCTTGGCCGCCGTGGGCATGGCGTTTCCGGTCCAGGTCAAGTACAGGGGCTCCTTCTTGTTCCAGTAGTTGAGGGCGGCGTCGTGCTCGGACAGCCGATGGCCCAGCCACACAGGCGCCGTGTCCAATACCAATCCCGTCGTACTGACTATAGGAAACGTCACGTTACAATTGTGGTCCGCCAAAATACACCATAATTTTTAATTGCTATAATCACTCTTCAAATTCGGACACAATGAGAATTTGAATTTTTTCCGCCAAAGTATTGAAAGCAGTTAATTTAGTTAAATTTTTTAAATTAATAATTACAAATAATATTGATTCAAATTATATAAATTACAGTGAATTTAAATTAAATCGATAATTATGTAAATTAAAAACCAAATTGAAAAAGTTTTCGTGAAAATCTTTGATTTTTGTCAAATTTAATCAGCAAAATTTATTGAAAACATTCCAAAAACGCCGTGTGACATTTTATGTATAATAATATTGACTATTAACTTACGAAATCTGGTGAGAGCTGTGTAAATGTCAACTCTGTATTCTTGAGACCTGTCGATCGTCGCCAAGGTGTAGTTTTGCGAGGCGCAGAATTTCTCCGCTTCATCAAAAGTCAGCTGAGATTTGTTTCTTCAAAACTCTAAAGTCGTTTCAATATTTTCTGTCACTCACATTTAAGCCTTGGTAGTAAATGTAATTTTCAATAATGGTGGCTGAAATTTTACAAATATATAACTAAATAATTAATTATGTTCCCTTCCTTGTCAAAGGGAGAAAGAATGTATTTATTGTCAATTGAAATAAATAAGTGAATTTTCGTTCAAAAACTAAAAAGATTTGTAAGATTGGGGTGCCTCACAATGTCCTAAAGACAATGTCCTAACGGAAAATGTCCTAACGGATATTATCCTAAAGATAATGTCCTACAGAAAATATCCTAAAGAAAATGTCCTAAAATGAAGAATTGAAAATGTCCTAACAGAAAATATCCTAACGCCTAAAAATTATTCAACGTCATGTGTCATGCGCGAAAAAATTGAATATCATTCCTTCAAGTTTGAATGCTTCAAAATTTATTCTGATTCTAAATATTTGAGACTTCATACGACTTGAGTCTTTTTCAGAAAAAATATACTTACTTAGGTTTTTAAACTTTTTTCAGGCTTTCATATAAATACTCCCGATACTTTGTACATAATTATACTTGTTTTTGCATTTTTCACGTTTAGTTGAGAAATGTAATTATCAATCTTTCTTCTAGACAATAGTTTCTACAAATTTCTTAAAAATCTTCAAGCAATTGTATTTTTGTTCCTAAGGAAAGATTTACTTCCAAATATCATCAATTGAAAATTTTTTAATTTTAATAAAGACCAAAAATAAATTCTGTCTAAAAATATTTAATTTATTTTTAATATAATTATGTCATTATAATAATAACATTAACTCGACAAGGGCCACATCATCATAATTGAATTTATTGAGCACACCTGCAGTTCCACCTACAACCCTATATGCGCCTAAAACGCAAACTGAAGAAACAGCCCAGAATTACCGCTGCCGAGTCCCAAACTGCCCCTGACTCTGATTCGTGTTAAGAAAATATTTATGCACATGTGAATTCATTTGATAAAAAATGAAGTTAAAGTTAGTCCCTCTAAAACCTGAAATTTTTTAGTAATAAATCAACCATTTTTAAAAAAATTTAGGACATTTTCTTGAAATTCAATTAGGACAAAATTTTTAGGACAATATGCGATCGCAACTTTTAGGATATTATCTTTAGGATATTTTCTTTAGGACATTCTCTGTTAGGACATTATCTTAAACCTCAAATTAGGACATTATCTTTAGGACATTATGATGGTACCCGTAAGATTGACTTCTATATTGGTTTTATTTGACTAGGAACGCCAACTTTGTTGAGAAAAAAAATCAAGTTTTTTTTTACTTCTTTTGAGGTTAAATTATCAACTTTCTCCCCTCTTTGATTAAATAAAAATTTTAATTCTTTTGATCTTTTCCGCACCTAAGGGTGGCTCGGGGGTGGTGGTGGTGGTGGTCACGTCCTCGCAAAAGAAAAAGGCCTGTTGGTCGCAAGGCAGCGTGACCAGTTTCTTGGTCAACTTGGACATGCCGAGACACTTGTCCACGACCGGCACCAAGGGGGGTGTCAATCCCAATTTGACCGCGTCAAAAATGTCGCCGCTCAACCACCTGTAAAAGTAGGCAGTCGACGCCAGCAAGGTGGTGCTGTTGACGAACTCGGCCGCCAGGAAAAAGGCGTTCGAAGCATTGCTCAGGACGGGGTCTGCGAAAATGTTATTTTGAATTGAATAAGTTTATTATAAGTAAAAGATGGGCTTGAACTCGTTGATAGAATTTCATTATTTTATTAATTAAAATTACAAAATTCCGAATTCTTCAATTTTTTCAATGTTGATTGAAATGTATATTAATTTTTGCAGTTAATTTTTAATTTCCTTGATTTAATCTTATGCTTTTTTAATTAAAAGAAATAAGAAATAATAAAAAAAAAAATTAGAAAACAATTCCTATTTTTGTTTGGGCTAAAATCTCTTACTGGCAAGATCGATGGCCCTGGCGAGGTCAAGAAACTCGATGCTGGCCTCCAAGGACGCCAGGGTTTTGTTGTGCGCCCTGCAAGTTTGTTTGGCCGCCAAAAAGTCACCCTGATTTTGAATTCTTACGTAAAATTTGAGTTAAAAATAAATCAAAGTGGAAACGAACCAGCGAGTTGAAAGTGAGATACTGCGTCCCACTGGTGCTCAGCGCGGCTGGGAAATGAATTGATCATGAGCAATTTTTTATGAGGAAATCAACAAATTTGCTTACATTGTTTTTCCACGCTTTGTCCAGTTGAAATTGAAAAGAAAAAAAATCAAGATTTTAGATTATTTTTAATAAAAAACTTGTGAAAATAAAGCACGAAAAATAATTAATAAAATGCTCACAATTAGAAGATCAAATTGAGTACTGGGATTTGTAAAATATGAAAAAAGTATACTTTTCCACCCTTTTGTGCTAGTAAAATTAAAAAAATTTAACTTCATGGTTAAAAATTTATAATGAATCCTCGTTTTCGACCCATCCATAACTTTAAATTGTAATTATTCTGTTGACTCAAATATAAATAAAATAGTCAAAATGAATTGCTTTCAAAAACTATGCAAACAAAATCAATTTTTAAGATGACAATAATTATAATAAGATAGCAGTGAAAAATTACGTTTCGCAAATGAAGAAAAAGGAGTTGGAGCAGTTGGCGTTGGCGAGGCGACCCTGCATGAGGGCAAAACAGGTGAACGGGTAAAAATTAGCCGGTTGGAGTTCGACGGTCTCATTCAGAAAAGTGGTCACGGTTTTTGAAGTCCACGTGAAGCTGCCCCAGCCGAAGGCGTTGAGCGAAGTCCAGAAGGAGCCGTTCAAGTTCAGGGCTTTTTGAAGAACGAATTTTGAAAATTCAATAAAAATTACAAAATTTTGGTTTACTCAGATTCGTGAGCAAACCCGCCACCAGGTTTCTCTCCAGAATACTTTCTATGGACAACAATGCGTAGCCTGGAAACTGGAGACACGGGTCCTGGCCCGTCAATGTCTGCAATTTTCAGAAAATCTTAAGTTTTACAATGGTTGATAAGCTAGATCTCTTGTGAAATCAAAGTTTTTAGAGTTAATTATTAAATTTATGCGGAATAATTTTAAGTTACAAGTTTCTAGAAAAGCAAAGATGGCTGCCGTATAGACAATTTAGTTCTACCAATTTTGATCTAAAATTAGTTTTATTAAATACTTTTTAATCTGTAAACAATTATCTCAACTATTATAATTCACTATTTTCTGAACATTTCTTAAATTTCCCACCCATTTAAGCTAATTAGTTTTTTACTTCCGCAATCTCATACCGCAGTTTTGTTGGAAAAGTAGTAGTTTTTGCCAAGTAGTGTCACGTTCAACGCTATTTTTAATATTTATATCAGAATTCTTAACTTCTACGATACCAAACCTGGTTTCGGAGTTCTTCGGATCGAAATTGACAAATTATTTTTAATTTTAAAATTTTAACTAGTTGTCTTACGTTTGCTCGCAAATGTACTCGGTGGCATCCGAGCAATTGGTGAATGCAAAAACCTTGTCCTTGAAAGAGCCGCAAGAACCCAATGATGGCGTCGCCGTCAACCCCACTTGTGTGGGGTAGAAAATCACCCCCGTGTCCCACACAGACTGCAAGCCATAGTTGTTGCTAGACATCGACACTGTGGTCAGCGAGGTCAAGTACGTCCCCATCAAATTAATGCCTGAATTTGTTTTTCAAATGAAGAGGCAAAAACAAAATATTATTTAGGGAAAATTTACTTAGATTTTGCACAAGATTTTGGAGGAGGGAAAACTCGGCCGGCGTTTCGAGCGAGAGCAGCGCCATTCCCATGGCCCTGCAGTCGGCCTGGGCCACGCTCAAGTTGCCCTGAGTTAAAATTTATGCTTCAGAATATTTTGAAGGAAAAAAAATTGATACAGTTTTGGCAGAGAAAAAGTAGCTCACACCGTCGGCAACTATCGTCACATCTAAAAGTTAAAAATATATTTAAATTAAAGAAACCTTTATTCAATGATTCCAAAATTTGTTAACTGATTTTTTGGCGTGGTCTGATTGAGATGAAAACAAAATTAATATGAAATAATTCGCTTCGGTATGAATAAAATTACGGGGTAGGGTCTTCGCAGATGAAGGTGGAGGCGTTGGCGCAGGGGAAGGGCAGAAGGGTCGCGTTGACGTAGGCGGCGCACGCGTCCTGCACCAAAGGCAGGGTCGCCCATTGCACCGCCGTCAGGTCAAACGCAGACTCGTTCAGCCACTTGTACAGGCCATTCGTTTTGATCAGCGACGTCACGTACGAGTACGAGCCCAGAAATTTGCCTAGATTTAATTTTTTAATTCAAAATTTATTTGATCAAAATAACTTGCTGTTATTCAAAAGTGCAGACAAGAGGGCCAAATGTTCCCCCAGCGTTTCCACAACCAGCAAAGATTGATTCCGCTTCAAACACAAAGCAATCGCCTGCTCTCTTGTTGCCTGAAGTTGTTCAAATTTTAATTTGAAAAGATTTTATAAAAATTTTAAAACAAACTGTTTCGTTTGATAAGTAGTAGGTCTTGTTGTTAATGATCACGTTTAGAGCTGAAATTTTTCAATTAAATCAAATCAAACCAATAAAATTAAAACGTACCCGGTTTGATTGTGGTTGTTGTTGTTGTTGCTGTTGTTGTAGTTGTGGTAGTAGCAACAGTCGTCGTCACCGTTTGACTGCAATTTCAAATTAATCTGAATTTAAACAAAATTTTACCGGCAAAATTACGTGGTTGTTGCTGTTGTTGTCGTCGTCGACGGTGTCATGAGGGTGGTGCTTGGGGCTGCGGTTGTGGAGTTTTTTTCCTCGCACAGAAAGTGGTTGAGGGTGTCGCAGTCGGCGCTTTTGAGGCCGAGGGCCGTGACGCCGGCGCAGGAGCCGTCGTCGGGTCCGCCGTTGCCTGGGGCCCCGCCGGGGGCCCACGCCGGCAGGAATTGGGCCGCGATCCCGCCCAGCCACTCGAACGACCCGGCGCCCACGCTCTTAAGTGAGGTCAGCACCGTTTGGCTCGACAGACCTTTTATCAAATAATTAAAATTAGAAAAAAAGGACAAAATTCCTACCCATGCCGCCGAGGAAGTCCTTGACGACGTCGTTTTCGGCCAGCGTTTCGAGGGACGCGAGGCCCATTCCGCGGGTGCTGCACGCGGCCTCCGCGTCCACAAAGTTTTTCTTGTCGCTCGGAAAAATGTAGTTTCCGCTCGTCAGCTTCACCACTTCCGCTTCAAAATTAGAAAGAAAATTCAGATAGAGTATGAATTTTTTTAATTTGTAATTTCTTATAATTTCAGTCAAGCAACGGATAAATTTTGACTGAATTTTTTTTTTAATCAGATAAAAAACAAATAAGTTCAAAAGTTTCAAAACCAATTATTTGTCTTGGAAAGCTTTATTCAATAAAAAAAAAATTATGTACAAAGCAACTTGCTTGACACGCATGACGCGCAGGTTGCATCCATAGCAAAGTTGACTTATACATTCAAGAGCATAATATGAATTAAATAATCATCTAAGCATCATTTGAGTAACAAAAACGGCTTAAGTTGAATGAAAAATAATTTTAAGGAAACTGAAGGAAATCAATCGTTGCTAAAGCAGATGTAAACATTAGATTTGTCAAGAAAATGACAATCGTAGGAATAAAAAAGCTCATTGGCTTGAAAGATTCCCCCAACCACCAAAATCAAATTCAAACAACCCAAGGTCACCACTTGATTTGTAATAAAAACAGCCAATTAAAATACTTAAAAAAACTGACTGTCTAAAACTTTCCCGCCACTATGACTATCTAATTTACTTTAGACTTTTATAGGTTTTGGCTGTGGCTGGGAATTTAAATAATAGATATGCTTTTACATAATAAAACTTTTGTACCTTCTGCGATTGAGAGGAGCTTGCTGAATGGGTCTCTGGAAATTCAAATCAAAATTTTTAATTATCGTCTATTTTTCGATTGAAATTTAAGAAAGGGCCGACTCTGTTGTCGTTGTTGTGGCTTGAGTGGTGGAGGATTTGGTTTCGCAGATGAAGTTGGAGACGGTGTTGCAGTCGGCGGCCGAAAGTCCGAGGCCGCCGAGGGTGGCGCAGTCGCCGGCGGCCGCGGCCGGCTGGTCGGGCGCCCAGTTGAGGAACTGGGCGGCGACGCCGCCGACCCAGTCGAACGAGTCGACGCCCGACTTCTTGAGCGAGGTCAGGATGGCGGTGGAGGAGAGGCCGAGGTCGCCCAGCCAGTCCTTGACGGCGTCGTTCTCGGCCACCGTCTCCAGCGACGCCAAGCTCATGTCGCGGGACCCGCAGATTTTCGACGCGTCGTCGTATTTCGCCTTTTCTTTCGGCACCACATAACCGCTTTCCCCGATTTGCTTCAAGGTGGCTTCAAATGAATTTTTTTTAATATTAATTTGCTTAATTAAAAAATGAAAAGAAAAAGAGATATCTAATTTACATTCCGCCATGGAGAGCAATTTTGACAGAGGATCATCGCTGCAAAAGTTAAATTCATTTTTAAAAAGTGTGCATATTTGGCACAATTTTTCCATGTCTATTCGACTTGATACCAAAAATTGTCGAGGGAGACTTTATAATTAATTATTTTTTATTTGTAAAAATTGTTATGATCGCATTGTTTATTGAAAAAAATTATTATCTTAGCTTTTCTGGAACTTTTTTCAGTTTAAGTTGGGGCCAAACTTATTATCATCCCCTAAGCCAGGGGCAAAATTTTCAAATTAAACCTATAAAGCCTTGGAAGTTTACCAAATTTCGTTGCTTTTGGGGTTGAATTTACTACTCTTTAAGTCAATCTTAACCACAATTGTTGAGAAAAAGCTTCACATTATTTTGAGTTTTGGCAAAAACGTGTTTAAAAGATGCAGTAAAACTGTGCCTATTTGTCACACAAGGATCATATTTACTCTTTTTTGGCCTCGCAGCCGAAGTGGTTCTTCTGGTTGCAGTCGAGGCCGAAAAACTGGCCGCCGCTTATTCCGGCGCAGCCTTGGCCCTTTTTGGGCTGCTCGGGGGCCCAGCCGAGCACCGAGGCCGCGACGCCGCCCAGCCAGCTGAAGTCGCCGCCCGCGTCCTGCTGCAGCGACGTCATCACCGGCGCCGTCGACGCCCCTAATTGAACCAATTAAACAGAATTTCAGCAACAAATTCAAAACCAACCGAGCGATCCCAGGAAATCCGAAACGGCGCTCGCTTCCGCGCCGCTCGCCAGCGACATCAGGTCCATGTCCCGCGACCCGCACATTTTCTGCGCCTCCTCAAAAGTACCCTGATTGGAAAGTGGAAAAATTACTTTTTAAATTGTTGTAATTAGTGCAGAAAATGGTCACCGTGTCGGACGGGAAAAGGTACTTTCCGTCGCCAATGGAGAAAATTTCAGCTGAAAATTTAGTGGTGGAAATTCAGATAAAAATTCCATTATATTTTATTTATTTCATTAATTCTTTTTAAATTCTTTGACTTTAAAAAAAAAATACATTTTCTTTTTGGAAATTAGGACAAAAAAACATTTTGGAATTGCAAACTGTTTTTTGTGCTTTTCGAAATATACAATCAATTTCATATGGTTTAGATTTCCCAATAAGTTTTGCAGGAAATAATAGTTCGTGGAAAAAGTTTGCAAAATAATGAAAAATAATAAATTGCGTCAACTCAGAAAATCATAAAATTGTGTTTCAAAGCAACTTTTTAAACCAATTCCAGAAAAATCGTTTTTCAATTCTGCTATCTTTTTGAAAGTTTCATCTAAATTATTATTCAAAAATTCGAACCTTCGCCAATTGGCTTTCTTAAGTCCCTAGAGAGAAAAATAAAGTGTCTGAATTATTGGCAATGCCAAAGAAGTACTTATCGGCCTCGCAAGCAAAAGTGGAAGGTGCGTCGCAGGCAACGGTGGCCATTCCTTTGGCGCCGAAGCTTCCGCACTTGGCCTCGGTGGCCGCCGGCTGGTTTGGCGCCCATTGCACAAAATCGGCCACCACCGAGTCCAGCCAGTTCAAGTTGTCGCCCTTCTTTGTCAGTGACGTCAAAACAGAGTCCAAACCTTAAAAAATATTGTGTTTATTTAACAAAATATTTCTTTTGAAAATAAAAATACTGTTGGATTTCAAGTAGTCCATGATGAGGTTCGATTCTTTTGGTGTTTCCAGCGAAATCAACTGCATTCCTCGGCTTTGGCAAAGTTTTGCAGCGTCTGCCGCACTCGCCTATGAAATTTTATAAAATTGTATGAAAAATATCAAAAACAATTAAGGTGTAAATTAAAAGACCTTGTCGCTGGGAAAAAGATATTCCCTGCCACCGATCTGCACAACAGGAGCTGCAGAATTCATGCAAATAAACGGTTTTTGATTAATTATCAAGAAAATTGATGCATCATTATCTTGTTGAAAAGATTCTTGATTTTGCTTTTTTAATCATTTTTTCATATCAACCTCATTTTCCACAATTTGTAACATTACCTGAAGCAATTGGTTGCAATCCGTAGCTGCAAATCAATTAAGAAGATAACATTATTAACAAAAATTTGATTAATGAAACTTGCTTGTTTTGCTCGCATGCAAAGTTGATGGTCTTGGCGCAGTCCTGTTGGTACATGGCGCCCTTCCAGGTGACCACGCAGTCGCCGAACACCCTGCCAGGGGGCACCTGCTTGCCGAAGTTGAGGTGCGGCGCCGGCTGGTCGTTCACGCTCAGGTACTTGAAGCTCGTCTTGCGTCGCGTCGCCGTCAAAACCATCCTCGAAGAAGACCCTTTTTTTATAAGATTTTTTATTTGAAAAATTTTAATTCAAAGAAAAAAAACCGATTTTGGAAAGGTGTTTGGAGACCATGGTGTCCTCGTAAGGACTGTCCAGCGAGATCAGGTCCATCCCCTTTGCCCTGCACTGCTTTTCCGCATCCTCGTACGAAGACGCCTGTGATTGAAATTAATTAATTTTTTTTCAACAAACTATTTATTTTACTCTGGTTGAGGGGAAAAAATAGTTCCTCCCTCCAATGTGGACAATTTCATTTTGACCTAAAAGAGATAAAGATAATTGTTTTAGTTTTTGCTCAGAAAACCATCATAATCTTTTTGATTTTTTTTTGTTTTACTCTTTTGGCCTCGCCTGAAATATTAACTTTTTTTTATCCTTTGCTGAAATTGGCAATTTTTAATTACGAGTCAAACCTGCAGGTCTCTCTACCGCAACATCTGATGATAAACGCCCGTTTTGAACTGTTTCTTGTCACCAGAATGTTCAAAACGTCTGTGAATTTTTTTAATGAGTATGTCAGAAAATCTCAGTCAATTAACTGTTTTATTCTTTTTAACTACTTGAGTTGGTTAGAAAACCATGCAAGTAATTTAAATTTTCAAAAAAGTTTTAATATTTTCATTGTTAATTGAGTTTTTTTTTAACAAAAGTAGTAATTTATTTTATGAAAAGACATCCATTTAAAATATTCAAAAGTGTAAAACACATCATAAGTTACTTATGTTTGGCCTGAGACGGATGATTTTGGAATTGCTCGCCGTTCTCACGCTTCTCAAATCTGAAATTATCAAAAATTACGATTAAATACACAATATAAAAAGAAAAAAACGATTTTTTTTTTACTTTTGGATGCGAATCTGGCCACCTTCCTCTGGCGTTTGTTTTCGTTATCGACCGGGGTCAGCAGCTGCGAGAGGTCAAACTAATTTAGGGGTCAAAGGGCCAAACAAACTCATTTTACCAGGCAGAAGAGGAAAATCGCGGAGGCGCATGTTTTCATCATGCTGCGTCCATCGGCGCACAATTAATTGGTCTGCGAGTCGCGCACAGGAACAATTCAATTTTTTACGTTGAGCTGTGACGTCGTTTTTCCCACTTCCGTCCACGTCTGTAATGCGTTTCATTTCAACACCGGCCTTTCAATATCAGCTATGCCATTTTTTTATAATTATTAGTTTCCCAACATCAGTTGGAAAAGTTAATAAAATTTGCAACTGACGGAGTCAATTTGAATCAGATTTATCTTGAGAGATCCAAACAGCTTTTCAACAACGGAGGAAAAACCAAATGTTTAGAAAAATAAGAAATATAACAAGTTTTATATATGTGAAAATTAAGTCATTTTGAATTATTGTTTTTCCTCTATTTTCTCTAGTTAATTTGAATTTATGTGATTCATGATGTGTTTAGGAAGGAAAATAAAGTTATTAAAAATTAAAGATGTCACTTTTTTAGAAAACTTTTATTCTAGAAAAATAATAAGTTCACAATATAATTGCATGTTTGAAGTGGAAAAAAAGGGTTTCTCAATTAAATTAGGCATTCAAGTCAGGGGTGTTGTCGACGATCCATCGCATGTAGTTGGTCACGTCGGTGTAGAGGACGTAGTAATTTGGGTTGCATGTGAAGATTTGATAATTGTCCTCAGTAATGACTCTCTTTGAGCGACCCATGCTGACGACGCCGCGCAAAAAGTGCCGCCCCGAATTCGTCAGATAAAATCCGCTTCCACCGTCTCCGCTACAAGCGCCTCTTTCTGAAGTGGAAAAATTCATTTTATTGTTAATAAAAATTAATTTCAAGGTAGAAAAACTGACGGTTTTGAGGAATTCCGGCGCAAAAGTGTTCCCTCGGGTGCAGGAATTTAGAAAAAAAAAATTTGTTGCTCTCGAAACACTCCTGGTATGAAACCACTTTGATTTGGGCCTCCTGCAGGAATTCCGGCTGAGTGTGGTTGGCCGTGAAGCCCCAGCCGACCACCTAAAAAATGTGATATTTTATAATTTGCTGAATTGCGTTTTTGACTCAGACCGTGCCCGTCTTGTTGACGATTTTGTCGAGGTCGTAGTCCGAGTTCCACAGACAAATTGGCCGCACAAAGTTCGTGAATTGAACCTCGTTTTGCAAAACGATCAAAGCGAGATCGTTTCGATGGTTGCTATGGTTGTAGCCAGGATGCAACAAGATTCGTGATACCTGCATTATTATCAATTTAAATAATTATTTTACAACTAACAATTAGTGTAGAATAAAGTCTTTCCAATTTTCAATTGATTTTAAACAAATTCCAAAAATGGCTCCTAACGTTGTAAAGACTTGTTTTGACAATAAAAAGATTTATGATTTCACTTGTCACCTGAAGCTTCTGTTGTGAGGTTTCAAATCTTTCGAGTGCGCTGTGCATCCCAAGCGTTACTTCCAACTCAGAAGCTAAGATGGGGATTCCAGCCTCCCTGTACAAGCAATGGGCCGCTAAATTTTTTCAATTGAAAATGCGGAATAATTAGAAACCAGACAGCAATGAATTAAATACTAATTTTCCTATTTAAAAATTTCGCTCACCAGCAACAAGGGTGGTCTTAGAAATGAGGGTCGCCCCGCAAAAATCGTGTATCTCTTCAAGCGAAAGACTTGCATGCCAAGGGTGTTGTCCAGCGGCCGCACTTTGACCACCGACGATGAGACCGGAACCTCGCACCTTCGCATTGTCCCTTTTGCTTCTCCGTCTCGGCAAAAATCCGCAGTCGGCAAAACTTTCACGTGCCCCAAAATCTTGACGGGAAATGAACTGATCAAGTAACACGCAATAAAATATGATTATGCAAACCAATTCTAGACTTCAATTCAGGAATTTCCGGCATTTTTTCTGGGACGGGCTGCAAAAAATTTGAAATATTGGAAAAATAATTAGATCTAATAATTAGCGACACTTACTTGCTCGCGAACCGCCGAACCAAATGCAGTCAAAATGCAATTAATTGCAAAAAAAATCCATCCTTGAGACACAAATTTCATCTTAATTTGGATATCGGTCTAAATTAATAAAATATTAATTTATTTGAAATTTAGCAGGAAAATAAACAAAAAAGTGCAATAAATTCTTTTATTTCAATAATTGTTAAAGAAAAGATTATCAGTGCGGAAAATATTATATGAACTTACGTTTGCTTCAATAAGAGTTCAGACTTGAAATGAAATGAAATTTTTTAACTCAAGGCATTTATAGCTAGTGCAAAACATGAGGAAACACTGATTTTGGGTCTTCCCAATCACGCATGAGCTTTGATTAATTTTGACATTTGACCCCGACCAAAAGGTTCAGCTGACTCGATTCGCGAGAAAAGTTTTTTTTATCCCCGCACCTAATAAACGGAGATATAGAACTGGAACAAGGTGTCGGTGAGAAACTTGGACGCCTGATCAAAAGTAAAGGTGCCAATTAAGCGATTCCTCTCAAGAGTTTATCTAAACTGTGGCCCTTTTTGGTATTTTTTTTTTTAAATTTGCCTAGAAATAGTTAACATTTGAAATATATCGAATTATAATTTGTGGACAGTGTCATATAGCAGTTCTTTAGCTTTCTAATTAAATTTATTTATTGCGGGGCTTAAATTTAAACAACTGGAAAAAAGGACAACTCGATATCCTTATCTTAATTTGAAAAACAGCAGAGATGGTTAAAAATTATTATTATTGTTTTTTTTTTCACAAATATTTAATGAGACATTTATAAGAATTGTGATAAATAAAGGCGTTACAATTATGACCTATGACCTATTATGACTTGTTGTAACTGGCCAGGCCAGCGAGTCGGCCGCGGATGGCGCGGATTGCGCGTTGTCCACGGCCCCGGCGCTATGCGACGCACCGGCCGACTCAGTTCAAAGTCGGCCGCCTCCGCTGGTGCAGCGAATTTGTCCTCGTCCTCGTCCCTGTCCTGCGCCACCACCGACGCCGCCAGCACCGCCGCCGCCAACAACACAAATACCTGCGATTTTTAAAAAAATTGTTGAATAACATTTATTTATTTATTTAAAAATATGTTACTTTTCTAAATTTTGTCAATTTATATAGATTTTTAAGACAATTTAAATTACTCACCAACTTAACCATTTTCAAGTTTTCTTCCTTCTAGACAAGAAAATATAAAAGTTAATTTAATTCGCTGTTTTTGCGTCAAAACGTTGAAATAACTCAGATTTTATCCCTGCTCAACTTTTAGAAATAAAAATTTCACATTTCATGCAAAATGGAATGTTCAAAAATTGTAAAAATCACTTTTAACTAGTTTGAGGTGTACAAACAAATTATCAAAGTCAATAGATCGGATTTAATTGAAATATATGTGAGCAGCTGAGAATTGTAATTGTAAGAAGCAAAATTTACCACAACCGTTAGAAGAGCTCTTGTTCTAGACAGACAAGTTTTACGAGTCCTTTTATACTCATCGTCCAAAAACAGGTAACCACACACCACAAAGTGCCCGTGAATTTGTTGTTTTTTAAAATTATCACATAAAAACAAAAGAGTTTTTATCCCACAACCCAAATTAAAAAGTTATTCCTGTTTTGCCTTTTAAATTCTCTAAATTTAGCTTAATTATCATTCAAAACAACACTGCAATTGTCTAAATTTTGAATTTAAAAATGTCCTGTAAGTCTTGCAAATAAAAAGCTTTATCCAAGGCTTTGAGCAGATTGAGACGAGATACGAGAGCCAACAGTGAAATTAAAAATTAAAATAAATACATAGAAGATAAAATTTTTGTGTGAATTTTAGGGGAAACAAGAATCTTTGAGCCAGAAAGGCACAACAAATTAATCTGAAAATCGTGAATTCTGAAATATAGAAAATTATTCATCCGAAGAGTTAAGCAATTCTGTTTCTTTCTTTAATTCCTCAAAAAAAAATTTAAAAAAACGGACAATGTCAAGGTTGACAGCGGAACTGGGAATTAGATCTTATATTGGCATGCATGCCAGTCATTAAAATTTATATATAGAGCAAAAAAAAAAATACATGACTCTGTTTGTATTAAATACCTTCAATATTATGTGACACATTTCTTTGGGTTTTTTATAGTTTTCTTTGAAACAATTTCTTAACAAAAATATTTTAAAAGGTGCAGTGAAAAAAATTCAGACGCACCTCTCGGCACCTCTGAAATAAAAAGAAAAAAAATAAAGGTTTTGGGAAGAAAGCGCGACATCAATTTCCATCTGGCTGAATAACTTGACTACAAAATCTGCTTTTGCAACAAATGCGCGCGACGCAGCGAATTAGGACCAGCTAATTTATTTGTAAAATTGATCGCACGGATAAATTGCAAAATTATTCATTACAAAAATAACGAAACACTATGTTACATGATTTAAAAAAGGTCAAATTTAAATATTTGCATTGCGATTTTGTAAATGAAAAAACTCGAAAATATCCCTAACCACATTTAATATTAGCGCAGGTACGTAACCTATAACATCAAATTATTAATTTTTTTTTTCATGAACACTCACTCTTCTTCAAAGTTTGAATTTGCGGACACTCTACTTATGTCTCGATCAAATGTGCGGCTCTCAAGAATAAAATAGGTATCAGAATTTGAATTTAATTCAGAAAAAAGAGTTTTTCGAATTTTTAATTTACTTATTCGATTCAATTCAATTCATTTTATTTTTCTCCAAACAAAATGAATTGAATTGAATCGAATAAGTTTTTCGAATCGATTTTGGAAAATCAAACTTAAGGTGGTGTGGACGGAAACCATCGACCAAAATTCACGTCGCGAAACTCTCGAATCTTTCATATGAAATTTCAGAGCTTGACTAAAAGCTTTTGGCTGAAATTTTGAAAACAAAGAATTCCGCTGGCTCCGGAACCAAGCAAGGAAAATCTTGGTGGTGAAAAATCACGGCCAAGGAAGATATTGCTTGATTTTGAGCAAAAAAAAACGTGCACCTCAAGGCACCTGAACCAGTCCATGAACTTCATTTGACAGCTTGTTGATAATTTCTTTTTGTAATATCAATAAATTTTTCAACTTTTCTCGTGCAATTGTTGTCTTTTAATATTTTTTTCAAAAGATTGTTTTTAATTATATCATTATTGCATAAAACTCTAATTTATCTCCACAAATAGCAATTTTGTCAGATTTTTAAAATGTTATTATAAATCATTTCCAAATAGGAAATGATAGGAAACTCAAATATGTGGATAATTTAAGTTAATCGAATATAATTTTCAAGTTTCAAAATTTCTGAAATTAACATTTCTTATTTAATTTAATGAAGTCTTATTGGAAACAAATGATTTACCTATCAGATAATGTGTTTATTCAAATTTGCAAAGCTTGCGAATAAAATTTAATGAATTGCTTTGTCAGGTCAGGATATATGAATGATACATAATTAATCTCACAACATTTTTGAACCAAATTTTAAATTTTATTGTGGTTTTTTGTGACAAATAAAATGGGGTTAGTGAAAACCAATGGTTGAAATGATAAAAAGATCCGCACGAATTACCAATAATTGGGGAAGGTGCCGTCGGGCAACTGGCCAGGCCAGCGGGTTGGCCTTGGACGGCCTGGACGGCCAGTACGGCATAAGGGCCGGCATGGCTGTATGCGACGCACCGGCCGACTCAGCTCCAAGTCGGCCGCCTCCTCTGGTGCAGCGAATTCGTCCTCGTCCCTGTCCTGCGCCACCACCAACGCCGCCAGCACCGCCGCCGCCGCCAACAACACAAACACCTGCGATTTTTAATCAAAATTAAAAAAAAATGTTGAATAACATTTATTTATTTATTTAAAAATATTTCTTTTCTAAATTTTGTCAATTTTTATAGATTTTTAAGAAAATTTAAATTACTCACCAACTTGGCCATTTTCAAGATTTCTTCCTTCTAGACAAGAAAATATAAAAGTTAATTTAATTCGCTGCTTTTGCGTCAAAACGTTGAAATAACTCAGATTTTATCCCTGCTCAACATTTAGAAATAAAAAAATATCACATTTCATGCAAAATGGAATGTTAAAAAATTGTATAAAATAACTTTTAAATAGTTTGAGGTGTAAAAACAAATTATCAAAATCATAGATCGGATTTAATTGAAATATATGTGAGCAGCCGAGAATTGTAATTGTAAGAAGCAAAATTTACCACAACCGTTAGAAGAGCTCTTGTTCTAGACAGACAAGTTTTACGAGTCCTTTTATACTCATCGTCCAAAAACAGGTAACCACACACCACAAAGTGCCCGTGAATTTGTTGTTTTTTAAAATTATCACATAAAAACAAAAGAGTTTTTATCCCACAACCCAAATTAATAAGTTATTCCGGTTTTGCCTTTTAAATTCTGTAAATTTAACTTAATTATCTTTCACAACAACACATTAAATGTCTTCAATATTATGCGACACGTCTTTGGGTTTTTATAGTTTTCTTTAAACCAATTTCTTAACAAAGTTTTTTAAAAGGCGCAGTGCAAGAAAGAAAATTCAGACGTGCTTCACCAATATACTCGATCTGAAATAAAAAATATAAAAATAATGGTTTTGGGAAGAAAGCGCGACATCAATTTCCATCTGGCTGAATAACTTGACTACAAAATCTGCTTTTGCAACAAATGCGCGCGACGCAGCGAATTAGGACCAGCTAATTTATTTGTAAAATTAATCACGGATAAATTGCAAACTTATTCATTATAAATAACAAAACACTTTGTTACACGATGTAAAAAAGTCAAATTTAAATTTTTGCATTGCGATTTTGTAAATGAAAAAACTCGAAAATATCCCTAACCACATTTAATATTAGCGCAGGTACGTAACCTATAACATCAAATTATTAATTTTTTTTTTCATGAACACTCACTCTCCTTCAAAGTTTGAATTTGCGGACACTCTACTTATGTCTCGATCAAATGTGCGGCTCTCAAGAATAAAATAGGTATCAAAATTTGAATTTAATTCAGAAAAAGAGTTTTTCGAATTTTTAATTTACTTATTCGATTCAATTCAATTCATTTTATTTTTCTCCAAACAAAATGAATTGATTTTGGAAAATCAGCCTTAAGGTGGTGTGGACCGAAACCATCGACCAAAATTCACGTCGCGAAACTCTTGAATCTTTCATATGAAATTTCAGAGCTCTACTGAAAGCTTTTGGCTGTAATTTTAAAAAAACTAAGAATTCCGCTGGCTCCGGAACCGAGCAAGGAAAATCTTGGTGGTGAAAAATCACGGCCAAGGAAGACATTGCTTGATTTTGAGCCAAAAAAACGTGCACCTCAAGGCACCTGAACCAGTCCATGAACTTCATTTGACAGCTTGTTGATAATTTCTTTTTGTAATATCAATAAATTTTTCAAATTTTCACGTGCAATTTTAGCTTTTAAATATTTTTTTCAAAAGATTTTTTGATCATATCATTATTGCATAAAACTCTAATTTATCTCCACAAATAGCAATTTTGTCAGATTTTTAAAATGTTATTATAAATCATTTCCAAATAGGAAATGATAGGAAACTCAAATATGTGGATAATTTTAGTTAATCGAATATAATTTTCAAGTTTCTAAAATTTCTAAAATTAACATTTTTTATTTAATTTAATTAAGTCTAATTGGATACAAATGACATATGACATATCTCTCTCAAATAAACACCATCAATTTATTTGTTTATTCAAATTTGCAAAGGTTGCGAATAAAATAATGCAAATAATGTATTGCTTAGTCAGGTCAGGATATATGAATGATACATAATTAATCTCACAACATTTTTGAACCAAATTTAAAATTTTATTGTGATTTTTTGTGACAAATAAAATGGGGTTAGTGAAAACCAATGGTTGAAATGATAAAAAGATCCGCACGAATTACCAATCACCGGGGAAGGTGCCGTCGGGCAACTGGCCAGGCCAGCGGGTTGGCCTTGGACTGCCTGGACGGCCAGGACGGCCGCCGGGCCGGCCTCCGCGCCGTCCTACGCGACGCACCGGCCGACTCAGCTCCAAGTCGGCCGCCTCCGCTGGTGCAGCGAATTCGTCCTCGTCCTCGTCCTGCGCGACCACCGACGCCACCAGCACCGCCGCCGCCAACAACACAAACACCTGCAAATTTTTAATCAAACTTAAGAAAAAGCAAACTTGTTTCTTGATGACAATGGTGAAAGAGTTCATTTAAAAGAGACAAACAACATGAATATAATTAAATAATGGTATTATTAGAATTATTTATAATGAAAATAAAAACAAAAAATACTTACAAACTTGGCCATTTTCGAGATTTCCTCTTTCTGTAGACAAAAGAATAAAAATTTTAAAGAAGAATCATTACTGCCGCTGAATCAAAAAGGTTGAAATAATTAATAAGTTTTAATCTTTTATTTCGCTCGTCCTGCAAAACTATCACAAACAATATGACATTTTATTTTAATTAAAAGTTCCCAATATTGCCAAAACGAGTTTGAGGACTTATAAATTAAATTAAAAAAATTAAATCAACTAAGTTGTGTGTGCAGCCGAAAATGGAAGATATTGTAGAAGAAGCAAAATTTACCTACCACAATTGTCAGAAGAGCTCTTGTTGGAGACGGACAAATTTTACAAGTCCTTTTATACCCCTAGTCTTAAAAACAGGAAACCGCGCTGTTGGCATTGAAAATTTTGCTGCAAAACATCTCCTTTTGCTATTTACTTTCAGTCAAGTGCCCTTGAATTTGTTTTTTAAAATTATCAAATAAAAACACAAGAATTTTAATTCCAATACCAAATTTAAAATTCTTCCTGTTTTGCCTTTTAATGTCACTAAATTTAGCTTAATTTTCATTCACAACAACACTGCAATTGTCTAAATTTCGAATTTAAAAATGTCCTGTAAGCCTTGCCAAATAAAAAGCTTTATCCAAGGCTTTGAGCAGATTGAGATGAGAGAGCCGACAGTGAAATTAAAAATTTAAAATAATATATAGAAGATTCAATTTTTGTGTGAATTTTAGGGTAAACAAGAATCTTTGAGCAAGCAAGGCACAACAAATAAATATGAAAATCGTGAATTCTGAAATATAGAAAATTATTCATCCGAAGAATTAAGCAATTCTGTTTCTTTCTTTAATTCCTCAAAAAATTTTTAATTAGCCGGACAATGTCAAGGTTGACAGTGGAACTCGAAACTAGATCTTATATTGGCATGCATGCCAGTCATTAAAATTTATATATAGAGCACAAAATACATGCCTTCAATATTGTGCGCCACATCTTTGGGTTTTTATAGTTTTCTTTAAACCAATTAATTTCTTAACATAAATGTTTTAAAAGGCGCAATGCATGAAAGAAAATTCAGACGTACTTCACCAACACTTGATCTGACAAAGAGAAAAAATAACCAGTTTTTGGGAAGATCGCAACCCGCGCGACATCACTGTCAAATGAAATTGTTTCGATAATTTAAAATTAACATACATATTTAAGTCTAATTGGAAACCAACAATTTATCTATCAAATAAACCATCAAATTATGTGTTCATTCAAATTTGCAAAGGTTGCGTATAAAATTTAATGAATTGCTATGTCAGGATATATGAATAATACATAATAAATCTAACAACATCTTGAACCAAAATTTTATCGTAGCCTTTTGCTTGTGACAATTTAAATGAAATTTTCGAAATTTTCAAAAAGCCTCGGGGAAAAAAATGACGATCGCGATGAATTGGCGCGTGTTTGGGCTCAAGGAAAACTCGGCCGCCCATTCGTCGGCGACAAAACACGTTCAAGGTCGTTCTATGCCGGCCCAGCTGGAGCCTCTTGTTTGTTTTGCTCCGTTGAAAATTGGAAAAGGCCCAAAGAGGAGGCCGTGTCCGTCGACTGGGGCAGCTTTCGCCGAGATTCGAAACTTTTCCCTGTAGATTTCTTCGTCCCCTTTTTCATCCCCGTCCCCGTGTTTCGATGTACTTAAGGACCATGAGCCGCTCCATCATTTTAAGCGTGAGATTATTTTGAAAATAATTTTTATGAAATAAAACTCCAAGTGACATTAATTCTGTGCAGAATGCAAAGAGGTTGCAGGGGCTTGTTTTGGGGCGCGTTGGCCTCGTCCAGCGGCAGTGCCACCACGCCACTGCCCCCTTAGGACACTTCACCGCCGAGGAAACCATGATGAGGGACTCGGGTATGATTTTACTTTTTTATTGCAGGATTTTCTTTGATTCTAATTTAGTGAGAAAACTGGCGCAGGAGAAAATCGCCCCTTTGGTCAAAAAGATGGACGAGGAGGAACAACTTGACCCCAGCATTTTGCCCATGTACTTTGAAAATGGGGTAAAATTTATTTTTGTACTAATTTTTATTATTTTAATTCATCTAAATGTTTTTGTTCCAATCAGTATTGTATATATTAATTATTAATCATTATTATTGCTCATAGATTAATCATAATTTTTATTCAATTTATAAAATTTGGAATTTTTTATGATAAGTAGTTAAAAATCAAACAAACTTTATGTAGAAAGTTCTGATTAAAAATTTTAAGTCCCCAAACTAACATTTTTATTTTTTACAAAAAACAATTTACAATCAAACACTCTGATTGGTCCTGAATTTTCCCCCACCATTTCGAATTTTAATTTGGTTTTAAATTTTGCCCCTAAAGTTGATGGGCATTGAAATCCCTGAGGAGTACGGAGGGACTGGCGCGTCCTTTTTCTCGAGCATCGTCGTGGTCGAGGAACTGTCGAAGGTTGACCCTGCAGTGAGCCTGGTGTGTGACATCCAGAACACCCTGGTCAACAGCCTCATCATGCAGCTCGGCACCCCCGAACAGAAAAACAAGTACCTGCCCAGACTCGCCCAAGACACCGTAATCTCAATTGTTTATTTTTTAAATTAAAAAATCATAATTTTAAATTTTCAAAGGTTGGTGTCTTCTGCCTGTCGGAACCCTGGTCAGGGTCGGACGCGTTTGCCATGAAAATGGTGGCTAAGAAGGACGGAGACGACTTCATCCTGGACGGCTCCAAAGTCTGGATTTCGACTGCGGACAAGGCCGGAATCTTCCTGGTGATGGCCAACGCGGACCCTGCAGCGGTAAAATCTCACCCTTTGAACTTAAAGGATCAGAAAATTGAAATTGAGATCTTTTTATGTCTTTTTTATAAATAATATTTGAAAAAAGTTGCCTCGAAAGATTCCAAGATATAAATAACGGACCACCTTCATTTATTTTTAAAGTCATTAAAATTGTGAATTTTAAATTTCGTATCATGGAGATTTAGAATTTAATCCTTTGAAAGTCTAACAACTCTTTTAAATTTAAATAATTTATTTCTGTTTTAAAATTTGAGCAGGGCTACAGGGGCATTACAACCTTCATTGTGGAAAAGGGGACGCCGGGACTGAGCATCGGCCGGAAGGAGAAAAAACTGGGCATCAGGGCGTCCAGCACTTGCCAGGTCATCTTCGACAGTGTCAGGGTAAGCAAATCTTAATTAACCCTGAATTTGGACTCTAATTGAATTTGATCAGGTGCCCAAGTCGAATATTCTCGGAGAGTTTGGCAAAGGGTACAGGTACGCTGCGGGGATGCTGAACGAAGGGCGGATTGGAATTGGGGCGCAGATGGTCGGTCTTGCTCAGGGTTGCTTCGATGCCACCATCCCCTACACCCTGGAACGCAAACAGTTCAACCAACCCATCTTTGACTTTCAGGTACAATTAAATTTGTAGAGTTTTGAACGAAAAATTTTAAAATTGAATTTCACTAAAATAAAATGGTTTTTTCATATCATTCCATATCATCCATAATTCTATTAAATAAGCTTCAAGTTTAGGCTAATTTCTAAGTAATTAAAGTTAGTATTAGTAAAAAAAATTAATTAATTTTGCTTAAAAAAAGAATCGATTCAAGTAGAAAATAAATATTAATCAACATTTGCCCAAACTATAGGATTTTCTTTGACAAAAGTTGAATGTTTTGTGGTTTTCAGGGAATGCAGCACCAGATTGCTGAGGTGGCCACGCAAATCGAGGCGGCCAGACTGCTGGTGTACAACGCGGCTCGGCTGAGGGAGGCGGGACAGCCCTTCGTCAAGCAGGCCTCGATGGCCAAGGTCTACGCCTCTCGTGAGTCCTATCCTCATTTTGTGACCTCTAAAAACCTGACTTTTGCTCTTTGATCGAGCAGAGGTGGCGACCCTGACGACGTCGAGGTGCGTCGAGTGGATGGGCGGGGTGGGCTTCACCAGGGACCTGCCCCAGGAGAAGTTCTACCGGGACTGCAAGATCGGCTGCATCTACGAGGGCACCTCCAACATCCAGCTCAACACCATCGCCAAGTTGCTCAAACAGGAGTACTCTTAAAAAAAGGTACACCTTACTTGCCGCTAATGTGCCATTGCTACTCAAGTCAATTCTCATTGCTTAAGGTGGTGGTAATTTTTTTAGGTCTGACAAAAACTGTAATTATTCAAGGATTGCCCTAAACTTTTTATGTTTTATTATTCTTTATTCTTCTATTTTCTATAATCTGAATTGCAATTCTGCTTCTTCTGTACTAAATTTTTGTAAAACATTATTTAAAATCCATGTTAAACACTGATTGAAACAGTAACTATCACCTTAAGACATAGTGAATCTATTTTTGTGTTTTATGTAATTTGAAAAAAAAATACCTAATATATTGTTGATTCTATTTGACAATAAAACATATTATTTTATCTAAATTGCAGATAGTGGTGATTCACAAAAAAATCATATAAATTTTGTCCAATTTTGTGTCGACATTCACAGACATTTCCAATGCCACCCCAAAATATGAGGAGCTAGTTCAGTCAACCCAGGAAATCACAATTTTCTTTTGAAAAGTTATATTTTTATTTAACAAAAATAGCAGCTACAGTTTTAAGTAGTCTCTAAACGAACATTTTTGGTAAATGCAAAGATTTCTACCTTTGTAAAACAGCCACCGTTTTCAATAATTGACTTTTTTAAATGTCTTGGAGATAAATTCGGACGGCGTCGTGCACCGACGGGTAAATCAGCAGCGCATTTTCGCCCGCCAGCAATCCGCACTTGCGGAGCTGCTCGAAAATGGGACCTGAAGAAACAAACAAAAAGTCCATTTTATTTTTTAAATAAATATATAATGAATTTACCCGAGCACCCGGCGACGAGAAAGTGGACGCCGATGTCCTTGAATTCGTCCCTGATGCTCAGCAGCTGGTTGGCCGACGACGGGTCCAAACTGCTCACCCCACTTACGTCCAAAATCACCACCTCCACCTTATAAAAAGTGTGGAAAAAAATTAAAAATTAATGAATAATTTCAAGGGACAAAAAACGTAGAATGTGAAATTCTTCAAGTTTCATTTGAATGAATTTGAATTTTTTTTAATTAAGTCGTACCTTGTTGAGGGGAGAAGGGCCTTCCAGTTGGCCACCTTCGAATCCCAGGTTCACTTTTCCATTCGAACTCGTCTCCTCGGACTTTGAATTCACAAAATCAGTAAAATTAAAAATTTTCTCTAATTTTGTTACATTTTTGTTTTTGATTCGTCTGCGTTGCTCCTCTTGCGGGTCGATCCCCGAAAGGTCAACAATGGTCTGGTGCAGTCTTTGCCGGGTCGCGAAATTCAACGGGCCGCAGTAGTGCACGATTTTGAATCCAGGGATTTCAAACGCCTAAAATTATTCAATTATTTTTTAATTAAATTTCGATATTTTAATTAAACTCACAGCTTTGTATCTTTTGATGTCGAGGTAGAGATCCGTGTTAGGAACTTTTCCCAGCAGGCACGTGTACGCCTTCAACCCCTTCCAACCGAAATTTGAATAAGTATAAACGAATTCAAAAGTTTATAAATTTGGGGAAATGCGGCAGACCTGCATGAAAACTCTGGCGGCGGAGAGGAGGAAGCCGACGAGCAGGCCGTAGTCGATGTCGATGAGCACCACCGAGAGAAAAACGGTGACCCAGAGGAGGCCGTCGGCCTTCGAGAGGCGCCAGAAGGCTGGAAGGTCCAGGATTTGCAGAAGGACCGACCGCAGCGCCACCACGATTATGCTCGCCAGGACGGCCTACAAGGATGTTTTTGCACAGCAATTAAATTTAGGGGAAAATATTTAACTTTTTCATTAATTTTTTAGTCGAATTATCAAATTTTGTTATGGTTTTACACACCGAATTATTAAATGCAAAAACACCTTAATTTTTTTGCTGATTTTTCTTCAATAATTTACTGTCAAAATTTCTAGTTTTTCTTTGGTCAATTTAATTAAATATTCTTTTCTTGATTTATGATTTATGCTTTAGTTGTTTTATTATAAAAGTGTTTGTTACCCTTGGGAGGGGTTCGAAGAAGTCAGCGACCCAGAGGAGGGTGAGGACGATGAGGAGGAGGGAGACGAGGGCGGTCAGTTGGGTTTTGCCGCCGACGCTCTTGGCCACGATGCTGCGGCTCAGCGAGGCCGCGAACGCGATGCACGAAAAGCACGAGCCGACCAGGTTGCCCAGGCCCTGCGAAAATTTCGTAATCAATTCGTCAGGGTAAGTTTGATTTGTACCATGGCGAGGAGCTCCTGGTTGGCGTCGACCTGGTAGTCCTCGCCGCGCGCCAAAATCAGCGCCATCGACATGAGGGTGGCGTACGAGACGATGGCCGCGATGAAACTGTCGGCCATCAGCTCGGCCGACAGCCCCACCTGAGGCAACACCGGCTCCGGCAACCTGCCACACAATTGAAGGTTAAATCATAAATATAAAAAAGGTTTTTCTAGTTTTGTCGAAATTTCTGATTAAAAATGACACAACGAAAAAAGATGCTTTATAACTGTTTGTTGGTTAATTTTTTGAAAAAATTCAATTTTTTACTGTTTCAAGCCTTTTTCATTGAAGCCAATAAGAAACTGTTTTAAAGCAACCCTTTTTCAAATTCGTACAAGATAAAGCGACCCGAGTCGAAAAAAAAATTGAATTTTTTATAGAAATTCAAAAATTTAAAGCACTTGTTCTGTAATCGTTAATAGTTAAAATGGATTGCAGAGCGAAAATTGTTAGGTTATTTAAATATATTTACCCTTTAGGAATGGTTCCGATGGAAGGGAGGCCGAAGCGACCCTGCAGGTCAAAGTGGTTGGACAGCAACACCCCCGCCACCACCAAGATCAGTTCGCACGGAAATGGCACCCGCGTCACCTTTGCCAGCCGCGGCTAATCAAATAAAATAGTTTTTTTTCTATGCATCAAATCAAAATTAAATTTACTATGGAAAGTTAATAAGCTAAATTGTTAGTAATTTTATAAAAAAATTTGGCAATCATGGTTTTAAATTTATAACAAAAAGATTGCAATTATCACTCAAACGTAAATGTTTAAAAAAAATCCAGGTTGATTTTCTTTTTGATTCAATGCCATGAATTACATCATTACGCTGTTATCTGTTTCACTTCTTGTTGCATCTTTTTCTGAATGAACACGCGTGGTGTTTTATTGTTTGTTAAGGGTTGGCAATGATTGCATCCTTTTTTTCTTACCTTGATGATGTAGACGCTGAAGAGCGATACCGCAATGCAAACAGCGGAAATCACCACGGCGGCCACAATTGTTATTTGCGCGTCCTCGTCGCTGCTCACCAACTTGCTCACCATCTCTATATACGTCTGCAAATTTAATTAATAAAGAAAGGAAAAATGTCAAAGTCGAATATTGAATTAGATAATTTACAAATCAATGTAATAAAATAAATATTCAAATAAACCAGTAAAATTTAAAAAAAAAAAACTTTTTTTAAAGCAAAAAATATTTCTTTATTTTTATTTTCATCTTTCACAATCTTGATGTTTATCTCTTCTTATAAATAATCAATTTTATATCTTTTAATTTTGTAGTCAATTGAAATTTTGTTTTCAAATTCTGTGTAGAATAGTTTCTCATTATTTCAATTAGGCTCTTTGATTTTTCTTTCTTCTTCGCACCAATTTTCATCTCTACTTTATTGAAAAAAAAAGTCTATTTTTCCCGTAACAAAAGTGGTTTTCCATATTTTTATTTTTTTTTGTCGTACCTTGACAAGTTGGAAGGGTCCGCTGTAGCGTTGGGTGGTGACGCCGAGGATGGCTTTGAGTTGCGAGGTGAAAATGTGCACCCCCGCGCCACACGTGAAGCTGTTGACCAGCACGTCGGACAGCAGCGCGCAAATGCTGCCCAACCGCAGGAAGAACATTAAAATCTAAGGGAAAAATTTCGAATTTTTTCAATCAACTGATTAAAAAGAAAACACGGACCTGCCAGAGGCCGACGAGCAGGGTGATGTGGGTGGCGACCTCCATCACCGAGTACTCGACCATCACCTCGGTGCCGTTGGCAAAGACACCGCCAGGGTGCACGAACTCAGGGTTGTTGGCAAACTGCGTCACGGCACGACCCACAAGCAACGAAATCACAGCAAATGTTCCTGGAAAATTTCATTTAATTTTTCTTATAAAATTGACAGGAACTGTTTTGAAAATTAAGTTGAAAAACTGAGATTATTTCTAATTTTGATGAAAAGATTTATGAATTTTACTTGTTTTTACCTTCAATTGAAAGCAATTTTAAAACTGTTGATTAAAAAATGTTTTTCTTTTCAATTTTTTATTTTTACCCATTGAAGTGTGTCTGGAGGTGCCAAAGAGAATGTAAGGGATGACAGGGAAGACGGCCATGTAAATGCCAACAATGGCCGGGACGTTCGCCAGCAACGCGTAGCCCAAACCTGCAAATTGCCCACATTTATTTTTAGAAACAAAAATCATACAAAATAAGATGAAAGAGTTTAAATTTGTTTTGATTTCTGGCGAGATTAGGCAAGCGTTATTTTTGTCAGCAAAGATAATGATGGGCGAGTGGAATTTTCCCGGTGTTCACCTTGCGGCACCTGCATGACGGCGACGGTGAAGCCGGCGATCAGGTCGCAGGGCAGGTCGTGCGTCCACTCGTACCTGGGCAGCCACTCGGCCAGCGGCACCGTCCGGCGCGCCACCGACGCCCAGTCCACCCTGCACCCCCGCCGCGCCCTCTTGAGCAGGCCTGCAAAATTTAAAAAAACAAATATTTTATTTTTTTGTGGGAAAAAAATCGATAGAGACCATCTTTGTTGGGCTTTTCGTACTCGGAGACGTCGTGGAAGATCTCCTGCGAAAGCACAGGTCGCTCGACCGTGACCCTGATGTGCGCAACGCCCTCGTCCGCCGAAGGGTTCATCAAGTCAAGCGATTCACTTCTCAAAACTGCAGGAAACGAGACGCATATTTTGTTATTAATTGTTTGAAACAAAAGGCAAAAAATATTGAATATTCCTTAAATTTCCTGCACATGCGATTAAAAAATAAATTAAATATTGATTATTTTAGTTAAAAAATATTATACGCATAAAAGTTTTATATTATGATTTTTCCATGCTTGAAAGTTCGCATTTCCTTGATCAATTTTGTTAATTTTTTTGTTAATTAACAATTGAATAGTAATTAAAGATCATGAAACGCAAATTTTTTTTAGCTGAAACCTTCATCATTAATTAACTAAAACTGACGCTACGACTTTTCTTGGCCCTATATCTAAAGCAAAATTAACTAATTCTTGTTTGAAATTTTTAATATCATGAACCACGCAAGTTGCAGCTTATTAAATAAGACTAATAACAAAATAATTTGAAAAACAAATCAACTAAAATTAAGTTTATGACGTCGAAAAAATATTCAGAACTAAAATATGACCTAAACAAACATATCAATTTTAGTTTTTAAAATTCAAGAATTTTGAAAAGTATTTAAAAACCAACGCAAAAATAATATGCTACTCAGAAGAAAGTTTAAAATAATGAGTTAAAATATGCAAAATTAATAATTACTCGTTTTCTTGCAGCTCAATTGGTTAATTTTGCTCCACTTTTGTGTTGCAGTTCTCGCGCGCGCAGACAATTGTACTCAAGTAGTGTGAACGCGTGGCCGGAAAACTTGCATTTAATTATATTATTAGAGCTGAGCGAGGTGTTTGTCATTAATCGAGAGAGACGCGCCGCGAGTGGAGGGGCGACCGAATTTGAAAGGTGACCAAAATATTTTGAGCAGCTTTGTTTTCTCCACTTCAGAATATGAACTTAAGCGGTGCTGCAATCCGCACGAAAATTAGATAATGAAAATGCACCTGCCACTCAACCTAATTCATTTCACTTTTATATACCAAAATAAAAACAAGAGAAAAATGGATTGCTCCGGATTATTCAAGCTCACAATTTACTTATTGAAATTTTTGGATCGAATTTATTTATGTAGTGATTGTAGTGTAATCAAAGTACAACTAAATAATTTTATCTTTTTTTTTAATTTTTATGACAATATTTACTATCAAAATTGACATTTTCTTTTCATAATTTTTGCTCACTTTTTCACTAAAGAAAATGTGAGTTTGCTTGGTTTTCCAAATTAATTGAAAATAAAAAAGGTCCTAATTTAAAGAAGGAAAAAATGAAAACTTAAAAAAACTAGCAAATTCTTTGTTTTAATCATGCATCTAAATTTTGTAGTAATTTGAACTAAAAAATATTCAAAAACTACGAATATTTTATTAAAAAGTGCAAAAAGTTTTAATAAAATATTATGTTAGCAGTGAATACAATTTTGAGTTTTATCTTTTGCGTGAGACCTCAACTATTTCCTGTCTGCGACTGGCGAGAAGCAGGAACGTGGTTATGTTGAAAAACAATATGAACTGACCTTAGAAGACCTGGAAGGTGGGCGGCCGCGTCAGAGTTGCTGCAGAGTTTCTGGCCCGAGGGCTGCACATGTGGCGCGACCGCGAGCGAGCACCAAAGGCGAAAAGAGAAGTGCGCCCTGCAAAAGGCACAACTCTTTGATTTTATCTGCGTGTCAACAATCAATTGAGGCGCGCAACGTTCGTTTGTTTGTGCAAAAGCAATTCATTGTGTGGCCAAGACTTACGGCCACTTTATGGGCCAAAGTCAAGGCTCCGAAATTATTATAAATCACTTTTTTGCGCGCAGAAATCAATATTAATTTAAATTCAAAACACTAAAAGCCGTTTCTCTCCATTCTTTTCCTTTGAAATATATTTTCAGCAATTTCTATTATTTGCAATCGTTTTTCTTTAATTTATAATCTCAGATTGATTATAAATTGTATAAAGGGTTTAGTACTTTTTATGTTAAAATGATAATTAAAAAATTAAATTTTTTTACTTTTTGTCAGCCCTTAAACTACGAATATTGGGCAAATTATAATTTCTTTCTTACATACTAAGACTGTTTTGAATTAGAAAAGTATTTAATTTACCTACTTTTTGGGAGAGCAGCTGAGAGAGAAGTTTCTGCAGCTGAAAGATGTTATTTTTAGAGGCAAGGTCGCGCGCAATAAGAATGTTTGGTGAAGCGACGAGAGGAGCAAACAAGAGAGCGCCAACAAAGACACTTTTGAGTGGTGGAAAATTTATTTTACACACTTTATTTAATCGAAGGCTCAGATATAATATATAAATAAATTTGTTGTCGTCGTTTTGTTCAATAAATATGATACAAAGAAGAATTAAGTTGTGATATTAAGGCACGTGATCACACAGCTCAGGAGCCGACTTAAGTTTTAATTAACGTGTAGCTGCACTTTAAACCCTCTCTCGGGAGGAAGAAAGAAAGGTCGTCGTTAAGTATTGAGAGTGGAATTTTCCGCAAGACGAGGCTAAAAATAGGAGGCGATTTGCCTCAATCAGGCATAATTGTGATGGTCAGTCTGTGTTCGGGCCAGCTGAATGTTTTCGGCAGCACCATCTGGAACAAAAACAATTTTATCTCATGTGATAATTTTCCACTACAAGTTCAATTGGGTCAAGGTGGATCCTTAACATTCAATGAAGGAATTTGAAATTTACTTTAATACGAAATAATTGCAGGAAAAATTTAAAATTATGATAAAATACAATTATTCAAAAATCAAAATTTCAATTGTTTTTTTTTATCTAAATTGAGAAAAAAATTGGCAATCCTGAAGCTAAGGTCATAAAGAATCAATTGGTGACCAAAATATTAAGGTCACTGCATGCAGTTTTCAGTAAAGTCAATATTTCAAGTATTTCTCCCCAACATTCTTTGATCAAAATGAGTGTCCGTAACTTACATGTTCGGGGTTGGTGAGTTGTTCGAGGCTGTCGGACATGTCGATGGCCACGTGGGGAGGCAACAGCATCTGGAGCCACGCCCCGTGAGCCGCATAGGGGTTCTCGAGGTCGACGAAGATTCCGGTCACCAAAGGGGACACCAGAGTGATGGCCGAGTCGCTGAAGACGCTTTTGAAGGTGAAGTGGCGCCCGTGCGACACCCGACCCCTGCAATCAATCAAAAACAAAAGTTGCTTAACTGCATCAAAGATTGAAACATCAATTAAATGATTATTAAGATTCATCTAATTAATTTTAATAAAATTTCATGAACCTTGGCTGAAAATTTAAAATCAAAATTGCTAGCTACTTTCAATTTTCATTTTTTTTTTCTTTGATTGAAAAGCAATGACTTCTGAATACTGGAATAGTTGGTTCAATTTTAAAGCTCATTATAAAGTGTATTTGCCATTAAACTAGTTATTCTCTTAAAATAAATAATAATTCTGCTATTCTAACTTTTGCAATGAAAAAGAAACTTTTTATACCTAATTGCCAAGGGGAGCAAACTACCCGCCTCCCTGTTGAAGGTGAGGTGCAGCGCCTTGAGTTTCCTCACCCGGCCAAGTTCGGACATTTCACTGCCCTCCTCAGCATTAAAGCTCCTGAGAAATCAAAAATTGTAAAAAAATTTATCAGACGAGGTTTGATTCTTACGAAGATAGGTCCTCGTTGCGCTCGTTCCTGTTCGGGGTGATGCACCCCCTGGACTGCAGCAGCCCTTTCCTCAGGGCAGACTTGATCTGCTCGCTGTCGTCCTCGGTCAGGGTGGCCCTTTCCGCCCTTCCTCCGTCGTCCTGATTAGGAATTTTAATTTAATTAAAACCAAAATAATTAAAAAAGGATAAAGTTACTTTTGAGCTAATAAATGTTTCTTAGGTTAGCATTTAATAATAAATAAAATCTGGGAATTTAAAATTTTAAATTACGAATAAACCCTATGAGACCCGATTCTTCATTTGTACTAATTTTAACAAGAATTTAAATATAATTTGAAGAAGTTATTCCAACAAATTTTTTTTTTTAAATATTGATTTGAAAGATGAAACTGATAAATATAAGTTGGGTTTTAAAAACATAATTACAATTATGCTAGAGTTTTCGGCCCAGGAGCACCTGGCGCTGACCCCGCTGAGGTTGGAGCCGTCGGTGTTGATGCCCCTGGCGACCTCCTCGGCCACCGAAACGTCCAACTCGAGCATGCTTTCCCCGCGCCGCATGTCCGTCACCAGCCACGGACCGCCAGCTCTGTTTTAAAATTTTGATTAAAAATTCAAGTGCGATCAGACAAGGGTGGGTTTTCTCACCCTGGCAAACGCCGGAGGATGTCGATGACGCCCGGACCGTTCCAATGCTGCGCCACTCGCAGCTCCTCTGCACAAATCCCCACCACCTGACAAAAGACAATTCCAAATTATTGTTTTCTTGAGGGAAGAAATGATTAAAAAAGGATAATGTAAATCTATAAGATAAATAAAAGTGAATTATTTTATTTACAACAATAAAATTACCAGCAATTAAAAACCTTTTTTCTGACCAAATCTCAAAAGTAATTAACTCACAAACAGTAGAGAACTTCTTTTCTGAATTAAATTTAAAACAACGAAAAAAATATGTAACAAAAATTAATTAAGGGAACAAAACATTTAATTTGCCATTTTAAACTTCAATCATTTTAAAATAAACTCAACCAATGGAAATATCCGGAAATATCAGCAGCAGAACCAATTTTTCTTGCTCATTTTCACTTTGGCTGATTTCATTAAATTAATTAACCGCTTTTCTGCATTCAAAATTAAAATCTAAGTATTTAAAACAAGTTTTAATTAAATTAAAGAGGTAAATTTCTAATGATACAATTTCCTTAATTTTTAGATAATTATGAAAATTTTTGTATGATATAGAGAAATGAAATTGCAAGTGACCTGAACAAAGGTGACCATGCCGGTGGGCGCCCTGAGCTGTCCGAGCTGCGGGTCGGGCGCCATCAGCATGTGCTGGAGGCGCGACTCGCTGCCGTCGAGGGCCGCGTGCCATGACACGTGGTCGCCCGCGCATAACATGTTTTCTGAAAAGCAAAATTTTAGCAAAAATATTGAGGGAAAATTGAAAAAAAAGAGACCAACCTGACTGGAAGACGTATTTGGCGAGGGACTGGAGAAGGGCGGCGGGCCAGGTCGGCGGCGCCGTCTCGCCAGGTTCCCTCCTCAGGCGGAAGGTCAGTTCAAAGCCAAACCCGCTCAGCCCTCCCTCCAAACCCACCTCGTGCACCCGCCCGTCGCCGTGCAAATCAGACAGACCAAAACTGGAAAAAACAGATTAATTCAAATTTACAGAAAATCTTAATTTTTAAATTTAAAGAGAACATTCTGAGAGTCGCTAGCAATAGACAAAATTTATATGACAATTAGCAAAAATGAAAAACTAAACAACAGGAAAGTGATGGGGGAACTATTTTTTTACAATTTTAAAATTATTTTAACGACCCTTCAAAAAAAATCAAGGTAATATTAAGTTTACATGGTCATCAATCGATTCCTGGTGACCTGACCTTTCCAACGATGTGTCACACATAACCTGTTGCAGCCATTACTAATTTAGTGGTGGGGGAACCTTCCGGACCAATCGGATCGCTTCATTTCTATAATTGCCGTTTTCTTGGCAAATCTCCGGGAAACCTTGACATTTTTGTTCACTAATGAAATTCTTGTGGCCTCAGCTTTACAAAAATGGTGCACTTTTTTGTACATTTGTGTAAACTGATCAGCAAAAAAGCTAAAAAGGTCCCTAACATTTGGAATTTTGACCTAACAGAATTTTAACTAGAATTAATTTGTTCTTAGAGTGGTTAAAACTAATTTCAAAACAGCAAAAATATCATTATTGAAAGACAAATTTTTGGTGACTCACGTGATGTAGTGCCAGTGCGGAGGAATTCCCTGGTCGGCCTGGCCGTTGTTGGCGTACATGCTGATGTAGTCGAGGGGGTCGGGACCGCCGAGCCTGTCCGAATCAAAATGAAATTAACAATCAGCATAATTAAGAAAAAAACAATTACCATTTATAAAATTTTAAACAATTTTGAATATTTCAAATTTCAAATTTAAAACTCAATTAATAAATTTCAAAATTTCAACGCAAAATTAAATTATTTTAAATTCAAAAAACAAAATTTGACAGAACTTTTATTTAACAAGTAAAAATTAGATTGAAATTTTTCTTAAGACAATTATGAAAAGTTATACCTAATAATTTTTTTTTAAATCCAATATAAAATAAATATTCTTAAAAATTTGGATAAAAATACAAAATTATTTTTGGCCATTTTGATTATTTAAACTGATCTTGATTTATTATTGAAAACGTGTGACAGAAAAGCTGCATCCGATCGCGGCGAGACTCGAGAGGCGCAGACGGTGAATTTCAAATCTATTTCCATCCAGACGCGAACATCCGCGTGTTATAATTAAAAGTCGCACCCCTTCCTATTCGTCTCCCCAATTTCTTTCCTTCCTATTTCTCTACCAAAATACTAGATGATTTTAAAATGGAATTGAAACTGTTCGACTGCTTTTTTGTCCTTTGACATGGTGAGTCACTGACTCAGTTGATTTACGGCCACTTGGAGATTAATTAATTGAGATAGAGAGAAAGAGACCCCCTCGGAGATTTCTGCTCCGAAATTCCCACGCCCCGAAACGCAACAAGTGGTTTTTTCCCCAAGTCGAGCGTTCAAATTTCCAATTTTCCAGACCAAACTCTAGTAAATTTTGTGAGTTTTTTTGTTTTTAATTAAAAATAGAATTAAATTAATACAAATTTAAAAAATCAATAAAAATTATAAGATTGCGCTGAATAATTGAATTATTACAAAAAAAATTCACATCCATGTGAATCACGAAATAAAACTTTTATAAACTTTTTAAAATTATTTCAGCCAAAATAATGATGAATTAAATAAATAACCATCCAGAAATTCCAGAATTAGAATATTTTGGCGTAGAAAACTTCAAAATAAATGGAAATTTTAATTTATGTAAGACAAAGGACTACGTAATTCACACGAAAATCAATTCTAAAAATTGAAAAACATTTAAAGAGAGTTTAAAAAAAATTTAAAACGATAAAACAAGAGCAAATTCGGCTCTGAAAGCAAAATAATTGGGCTCGCCGGAGGAATGAGTTTGGGCGTCGGGCCGCGCGTCTCACCAGTACTTGACGAGGGCGTTGACCTGCAGGGGGTTGGGCTGGTCAGGGTAGACCCTTCTGCAGAGGGTGTAGAGGGCGTCGAGGCCCGGCGGCGTCGGCACCACCAGCGACACCCGCGTCCGATCCTCCGCCTCGCCGTCCTCCATGTTTACACCGACGGCTGCCGAGCGCCGCCGCCAGAGGCGCAACAATCGCCCCTCCCACCCCCCCCTCCACCCATTCATTCCTCAAGCAAAAAAAAGTAGAACTCGACTCGTTTTCGCACGTCACTGCACCTCGACAAGCTGAATTCCGGAGCAACTTTCTTCCTCTTCCAAAGGTACAATTAAAAGTTTGTCACATTTTCCTTTTTTATAACTTAGAATTAAAATTAAGGCTGGAATAATCTTAAAAACGCTCAAATTTTTGAAATCAATTTACAATATTAATTAATAATGTGTCAATTTTACAACTCTCAATCTAAGCAACAAATTTCCAAATTTGACATTTAAATGATACCAATTAAATAACCTGGTTATTTTTAAAATATCACAATAAAATAGTTTCCCTTTACTTTAATTTATAATCAAAACTCATCATCGTGATCATTAGTGAAAGAATAATTTATAATATTTTTCCTACAATAAATTGGTATTTTAATTACAATGTAGTCTGTGGATTAAATTTAAAGTATTTTTTTTTTAATTTCAAAAATATTAGGAGTAAAAATTATTTTAAAAATGCACAATTCATGAGATGAGGCGATCACTTATTTTAAAAGCTTATTTTCCAGATTTAAAAGCGCTTCGAGCTTTGCTCTGACTGAATTCTCAATTTTTATTAAAATATTAGGATCTTCGGGAAAGAAAGAGGAAAGCAAAAAAACTCAGCTTGCGTCGCGTTAAATCATGTGTTGAGGCGGCTCCTTCATTTAATTTTAAAGCTTATTTTCTAGATTTAAAAGCGCTTCGAGCTTTGTTCAGGATGAAATCTTTATTTTTTACTTTTAATGTTCTTAATAATTACAAAAATAAATTTTATTTATTATCAACAATTATGGAAGAATTTCTTTAAAAAAAGAAAACAATTTGCCCACATCTTATACTGGCTCACAAAATACAACTTTTTGTCAACAAAAAGTTGACTACATTTTGCTTTTTTTGGCGAAAAAGGCTATCAACGAGTCGAAAAAGTCCTGCGAGGTCCACCTTTGCTGCAGCAACTCGACTTCGGCCGCGTTGATCCTCAGCAGGTCCTCCTTGTCCCACTGCCGCACCATCCCCTTCCCCAAGTTCATCGCCTTATTTTCCACACAAACATTAAATTTATTTTACATAAAATTTAGAAATTAATTTGCTCACGATGTGGTTGAAGTCCTTGGCCACCTTGCGCAGGTACGGCCAAATTTCCCTGTCCAGGTCGGCGCTGACCCTGGACACGAGACCGCACCGCAGACCCTCCTCGGCGCTCAACACCCGGTTGAAAAATAGCACCTCGGACGCCTGATTAAAAAAATTTTAAAAACATAATTAACATATTTCAGCAGAAAAGGGTATTTTGTAAAAAATTTAATTTAATTCGGTTAAAATTTTTTTACAATATTATTTTTTAGGGTCTGCAGATTCCAATATTAAATTTTTTAAAGTAAAAAGCTTTTGCTTTTATTTTTTAAAGTAAAAATTATGTAATGAACTTTCATGAAAATTAAGAATTGTAAATTTTGCCTTATTTTATGATTTTCATGCTGAATTATTTTCATAAAATTTTATAATCAAAAAAATTTATCTTGTTCTATAAAAAATTCTTTTTCTCTATAATAAAAAATCATCATTAATTTCAATTTTATAGAATTGAAATTTCATTTTTATTAGAGTTTTTTTTCCTCATAAAATTACTTTTTAATATCTTCAAGATTATTAATATCCTTAATTTTCATATTTTATATGTTTTGCCTATTAATTTACATTTTAATTTTTATAATTCCTTTAAATTTATCATTTACCAGACTGTGTCCCATGATTTTGGGAAAGGTGTGCGAGGAGCAGCCCTCGGGGGTGAAGGCGAGTTTGACGAAGGGGCAGTTGAAGGTGGCGGTGGGGGTGGCGTAGACGACGTCGCACAGGGCCAGGGTGGTGACGGCGATGCCGAACGCCGGCCCATTCACGACCGCCACCAACACCTTTGGAAACTCGATGAACGCGTCCACGAATCGCCTTTCAAAATAAAATAATTTCACATTTTTCATTATTATTATTATCATTTTTCTGTTTAAAGTTAATTTCACTTTAAAGTCTGGGCGGCCTGTTTGATCTTGGTCATGATTTCGTCGCCGTCGCCAGACATGAGTCCATCGGTGGTCGACGAAAGGTCGTTGCCGCTCGAGTAAAAGTCACCTGACCCTGTCAGGGCGGTCACGTGCGTCTCAGGGTCGGCCGCCGCCTCCTGCAGCGCCCGAGTCACACTTTCGTAAACCTTTCAAAGACGGAAATTAATTAATTAAAATCATTAAAATCATTTGCAGGAACGAACAAAAATGAATTAAGTTCAATTTTTAGGTTTAAAATATATATATATATATTTTTTTTTTTTTTTTTTTTGATAAAAATATTGCCTCTCTTATTTAAAAAAAATTTAAAACCGAATTGAAACATAAAACATTGAATTTTTGATAAATAAAGAAATTGAAGGAAAATAATTATCATATAAAGAAATCAAACAATAATTAAATTAAAATATATATTTTTTTTAATTTACCGTAATTTAATTACAAAATTTACGGAGAAATATAAATTAAATTTATTTAAATATATAAAAGTCTGAAATAGGGATAATTTTGTAATAAATTATTATATTAAATAATTATCTAATAACAATTAGAAGTTAAATACAATTAGAAATTTGTACTGCTAATTTTTATAACTCGGAAAAATGAAGTATACAAGAAAATTAATTAACAGAAAAATTTGTCTCACATCCAGGCTAAGTGCGTTTTTCTTCTTGGGGTTGTTGAGTTGAATGACCCTGAGGCCGTCGTTCAGGGTGACTTTGACCCCCGGGTAGCTCGTGACTCCCATTTCGAAGCGCACTTATCACTTAATTCCTCTCTCTTGATTACTTTCGTGGCAAATCTGATTTTGTTTATCATTGCTGGGCCCACCTTTGGAGCCGAATGAAGGACAACAACACACAGCTGACTCTGAACAATCTGTAAATCGACACCGCGCCGATTGGTGCTCCTACGAAAAAAGCCCGGGAATGTTATCTCCGAGCGTACCAAAAACCACCATCCGTTTCATTCCAATTAAATTTACTTTAAAATTATTATTGAAAAAAAATGGCAATTTTCGACCAGGCTAAATAAAATATATTTAAATCAAAGTAGCAACATGTAAAAGAAGTAAAAATCGTGAATTTCCACACAGATCTAAAACACTAAAGAGAAAAATCATTTTTGCACGTATTTTTCTCAAATTCTAACTCTTAACATAAAACAGTAGAATTAAACTGAATATCTTTTGCTAATTAAAACTGGGCTTGGCAGTGAAGGCGTGAAAATGTGGATTTTTTTTCTCCAAAGAAAAATATTTTCACGGTGGAATTGTGGAAGTGGCGTTCAGTAGGCCGTCTTTGTCTCCACCATGTGGAACTGCAATATTTTTTTTAATTATATCGGAATTTATAAATTTAAGAAAGTAATTTAAAAATACCGAGTGAGTCGAGGGTGAGCAAGATGACGAATCCGGCGAGCACCGAAAGGTACTGCACGATTCCCGCGTGACACTTTGCCCGTTCCCTCGGCAGCACCTCGAAAAAGGTCACGTACATCAGCGTCCCTGCCGCCAGCGCCTGCAACGCCTGCCGAACAAAACATTCCAATTGCATGCAATGGCAAAAAAATAATGAAAATAATATTGTTATTAAATCAAAATTTGTAATATAACTCGGTTGTTATAACAAATTTTAATGAATTATTTTTGCACATTTGAAAAAGAGGGTATGAAATTGTCCAAAATTTGATGCAAAAGTATGATTCAAATATTAAATTGCGAAAAATGTTGACTATTAGCTAATATTTTAATTTAATCAATTGACAAGAAAGAAAAATATTTTAATTAGACACAAATTAAAATAAGTTCCAAACTGATTAAGTGGAGGTGGTATTTATTGTGTTCTAATAAGTTTAAGATCAAATTTTTTAAAACGCAGGTGCAATAGGTGCATTATTATCACCAGACACAATTTCCCAACCTTTACTCTTATTGCGCCTTTGTCAATTAATTGCAACTTTTAATCGCGCTTCAAAGTGAAGCAGATTAATATCAAGAGCAAAATTGCTACTATACATTTTATCAAGCTTTTGTTGTCAAATGCAGACGATTATGTTTAATCAGAACAATTTAACCATTTTGATAAATATAATTAAGAGACGAACCTGGACCAAAAGTCCCTCGTCGGGTTGTCCGGTGCCCATGAGGGTGAGGCCAATGAGGATGCCGAGGGCGGACATGCCCGAGAAGACGGTCATGAAGACCACGTGGAACCTGAGGGTGGTTTTGGCGGCGCCCCATCCCGAACTCATCTCCATGCCCAGGCAGAACGCGATCACGAATTTGTGCGTTGAAACCTAATTGGATAATTTATAAAATTACAAACATGTAGCGAGAAGCAGCCATTTTTAAAAACTAATTTATGTATTTTAATGTTGTACACCTATGGTGTTTATTAAACATTCCATTCCATATAATGAATCCTTCAATCAACGTAATCAACTGCAATCAACGAAATTTGAATAAAATGAACTTTCATGGAGTGTACTTTAAATTACAAATAGTTGGTATTTTGCTTAAAAAGAAAAAAAAAAAAAAAAAAAAACTTTTTCAATTATGAAGTGATAAATAAATTGCAATTGCAATTCCCATAATATGCCATCATGACAAAGTAAATTGTATGCGGACTAAAAAAATTTGTGATAATAAAATAATAATTTTAAGAAAAACACTACATTCAGAAGTTAATAAATGAATAAAAAGATCATAAAATTGAAATCATTGAAACTTTATTGAAAGTGAATATCACCTAATTCAAAATATACTTTGCATTATTTTATTGAAAATACTTGAAATTAATTAATTTTTTGTACAAACTTTTCAAATGAGCAGAAATGATTCATTTCAAAAGCAAATTAAAAAAAAGCCTGGAAATGTCAGAAAATTTGATATGTAGTTTAAAATGATGGTGAAATTAAAAAAAAAATCAACTACATAAGTTAAGATTTTAACAAAAATTGACTAGATATATTCCTTAATTGGCCAATTTTCATAGCTAATTTATCAGCTTAGATACTGATAGACATTCAACAGTGAATAAGTTTTTGAAATGTTTGGTTGTTAATTGTAAAATAGAGTGAGATAAATTTTTTTTAATTAGTACTTGAGACTAATTAGTCGCCCTGACGTGGAATTTCGGTTTTAAATTATCAAAAAGTATATTTTTTGAGCAAATTGATCTTGATTTTTTAATTTAAAAGAGTTATATTTACGGCGAGGAGGAGGAAGAAGACGTTTGGGGTGGAGGTCTGGAGTCCGATGGCGAGGCCCTCGGTGACCGCGTGGATGGACAGAGCGACCAGCGCCAGGAAGCCGCTGGTCGCTGTCATTTTCGGCTCCTTCGTCTGCAGCTCTGGCTGGTGAGGGTGGCTTTGCGAGTGCTCCTCGTCCTCCTCCTCCTCAAGGCTCTTGTACACTCTGCCGTGCTCAGGCTCAACATCCTGAAAAATGTGAGCGAAAAAAGAATTTTTTTTGCTACTTTAATGCAGTTTTTAATTATTGCTTAAAATAACACATTAATCACAATTATTTGCAAAAAAAAAATTAAAAACAAAAACAAATCTGATATTCAGTTATCAGTTATAAAAAATTTTAATTAAAATCAAATAATTCTTATGTACAAGCTATTCACATATTAGATTTTTTTTATTGGATTAACAGAATTCAAAATCAAGTTAATAACCTATTAATGCAATTTCTATTATGCAAAGCCCTTGCTCATAAAACTGTAATTATAAATAAAGGGTAAATTTCAATTGCAACTTGAAAGACATAAAAACAGCCTAGGATTTAAATGCAGTTTACAACTCATCAAATTTACACAAAGTCAACTTTTAACCCTTAATTTTAAGTGAGAATAAATACGCTTGTTTCTAAGTAGAAATATCCAAAGTTTAAATCCTAAACCTAAGATATTTTTTATAATACTATTTCACTGACATGTTTGCTGTGGCACTCGGTGGCGCCGTAGTGGTGAAGTCCGGACGTGTTGCGGATGAGGGAGTTTGCGGCTGTGGGGCGCGGCTCCTGTGACGCCACCCCCGCCGGGGGGCAGTGCGAGTGCGAGTGGGACGAGGGGGTCTTAGGTTCGGGCGGGTGCTCAAAGTGCGAGTGCTGGCTGCGGTACAGCGAACTGTGCACCAACTGAAAACAAAATGTGAGAAAAGGAAACCAAAATATTAGAAAAACATAACAATATATTAACAGTATAGGAAGGATTGTAATTTAATGAAAATAAAAATGATATAAATAAATTGCACATGAATAAAATGGAAATTTATTCAACATTTTTATTTCCATCAAAAATATATTTTAACAAAAATATTATTAAACAATGAAATCAACTGACAAAAATACACAAATTGGAATTTGCTTCTATATATTGAGTGCAATAAAATTATTTAAATTGATAACCAATCAAATTTTAAGCAAATCTTAGAATTAGAAGCAATAATAAGAATAATTAATAAATTAAAATAATCATAAAAAGTATTTTGGTAGAAAACAAATTAAAAGTTTATTGACCTCGTCGAGTCCGTAGACGAGGAAGAATCCGGCGGCAAGGAGGACCTCGGTGAGGGGCAGTCGCTTGAGCCAGGGCGGCACGTCTGGCGCCGCCATCGCCGCCTCCACGTTGACCCTGACCTCGGGCAACATGTGCGTGAGGGCCGTGGCGAGCAACACGCCCGCGCCGAAGCACAACATCGCGGACAAAACCAGCTGCGACCGCGGCGACTTCTGGCACCCGTGACTCGTCCACCTTGACGAAATTAATTAAATAAATCCTTTCGAATCTGGATTTCCTTTGAGAATTTTACAAATTATTTAAAAATTTTAATAAAAAAGAGGTTCGTAAATTTTAAATTAAATGCATTCACTCAATAGAATGTTATTTGAATTATTCAATTAAAATCTGTGATTTCTCAATTTTCATCAAATTGTTTATTATTTAATTTTTTTATTTTAATCAATAAAGTTTTAATGAAACGAATATATGCAATAAATTTTCTAATAATAAGAGTTTCCAAATAAATCATACTTAAGGACTCGTGAGATTTTGATGGGGATCATGCCGAGGAAGAAGGACACAAGTCCGAGCGTGACAAGGGCGATCCACTTGGCCGCCGTCGGTCCCATTTTCCCCGAATTCGGCCCTTTTCTTCTTGAGGAGCTCCTTCACAGGCCACCGCTCGACGCCGTCTGCCGCATTTTCCGAGTCTGAAATTCGCCAAAAATTCAAAAAATCCAACGCACGTGAAACAAATTTGATAGGAATGTTTGCTCATCGAGAGATAACGGGAATAACATATCATATTCTATTACATACATTTTGCTGCTCCCAATAATGCACAAATCTGCTCCTAACCGACACAGAGCTAGAGGGGCTAATATTGAAAGAGATACTCACGAGTTTATCTTATCGGGGACTTTGATACACACAATATTTTGTATAGTTCGAGTGTTTAACACAATCACTACTCTTAATTACACAATCCTGCCTGCCAGACACAACACAAACGCATTCAATTTCAATCAATGAGAAAATTGCCACACACAAAAAACGGTAAAAGAGAGTCAATATTTTATTTTAACCAAAGTGAGCTAAAACTAATGAGTTTGTTGATAAATTATTTTGTAAATTTCCAATACCGCTCATCAAACTTTCAATCTCTTTATTTTTTATTCTTTAAATTAAATTCTACAAAAAAAAATGTTTTACCAGGGAAAATTGTTTCTAATATAAGAAACCACATCGGAGCTTAATTGATAATTAATTTTTCCCTAAATAATTTCAAATAACAATGCTATTAATACTAAAAATTATACCAATTTTAGAAGAATTAAATGAATAAAAGCAGAGCTCACCTATATGGAAGGCGCCGCAGAAAGAGTGAGTTGCTGCGGTCGCAGGAATTTAACAAGTTCGGCAATAATTTTTGTCCCTTCTCTCCACACCAAGCCCTCTCTCTCAAATCAAGTTTTTTTTTTAATTTCAGTCGTTCGATCGAGGAGGCAGAGAGGTTATTAATGTGCCGACTGCGTTACCTTGATTGGCAGAGGATGTGGCAAGAGGGCAGTGAGAATATTAAACTCGTGATCGCTGCTGTGTGAAATACAACATTGTATGAAAGAGTTGAGAGTAATCATATGAATTATGAATGCAGCTTGGCTCTGGATATTTTTGGCGAGTTGACTGCGGCAGTTTTCTCTTAAAATTCTTAGAATTCCCAACCATTTTAATGAGAAAAGAAAAATTAAATAAATTAATATTCATGTAGAATGAAGGGATCCATTCAGTCCTATTTTAATAAAGACAAATAAAAAATTAAAGATTTATGTGGATTTTTAGCAATATTTAATAATTAAAAAGTGTTTTGACTAAAATAATTTGAATTTGGCAGTCAAATTTTACAAGCAAACCTCAATTAAATGAATTTTAAAAATTTTATCTGGCGGTAGAACGCTTAAATCCGTGCAATCAATGCGATCACATGTCTTTCGCGCGGAAAGTGTTCAAATTTCTCCCACTCTGCCCGCCCCTTCCCAACTGACCAATCACAGACCGGTCGAGGAAAAACAGAGCAAAACACGTGTGGCCGGTGCTCTTTCCAAATTTTGGATTGTTTTTCGCTTTTGTAAGTAAATTCTGGTCCGAAATTTAATTTAATTAATATTTTATTTACTTGGCAGATGAAATTATTGAAATAAAAAGAAGTCGAAATGTCAACATCGTTAGCGCAGCAGCTGCAGAAGCTGCAGGCGCCGCAGACGGGCCAGGCGTCCGTCAGCAGACAGGTGCTGTCCATCCTCTTCGACACGCACACCGCCGAGGAGTTGACCCTCGACAAGGCCTTCCAGCTCGGCGTGCAGGGCCTCCGCGATTTGGCCACGCTCAACCCGCGTTTCGCGCAGTTCGAGGACCTCCTCTTCAGGGAGTCCAGCAAGAGCACCCAGAGGGCCGTCGAGACCGCCGACTTCAATCAGCGGCTCGATGCCGAGGTCACCAAGTTCCTCTTGATGGTTTCGCCGCACCTGATGCTCAAACCCGCCCTTCAGACCCTCGAGTGGCTCGTTCACAGGTTCGTTCTTTTTACCTGGACCAGAACCGTAATCTTACCAATTTCGGCAGGTTCCAGATCGGCGAGTACTCGGCCGACAAAGTGCTCATGTGTGCCCTGCCCTACCACAACACGCCCACCTTCTGCCTCATCCTCAGGGCCGTCCCTGAAATAAAAAAGGTCAACTCTACCTGGCAGTGGCTGAAGCCTGTCCTGGACAGCGGCACGCCCCTCGACGTCCACACCGTCCATCGAATGGCCTCCAAACACGCCTACCTCCTCCGCATGATCCTCCAACACACCCTGGACGCCAGTAAGGTAAGCAACCTGAGTGTAAAAAAAATAAAACTCAACCTCAGATGACTTATTTACCCGTAGTCGTTGAAAATTTCAAAAATTAATCAACTTTGTTAAAATTTTAACCTTCAAATCTTTTAAATATAACCTTCAACCCTTCTCAGGCTATTTATTTTACCATTGACAATCTTTTCGGGTGAATTTTTACCTTTCAGCTATTGTAAAGGTATTCTTGTTTATCATTCTTCATTAAAAATTTTCCTTGGTCTTCAACCTTTGAACTTATTTGAGTAAATTTTTTAAATTTTTTTGTTTTTTATCTTTTAAAAACACCTTTTTTTTACCTATTTTCAGGAGGCGTGTGGTGAGTGGTCGAGGGTGCAGACGCAGATCTCGTTTGCCACCTCAACCGTTCTGGGCGCTTTGACCCTTCTCGGACAGGACCTGAGCCAGCAGCACCTGGCCTGCGTGGCCCCCTACCTCCACGTTGGCCTCTCCTCCCCCTCGCCCCCTCTGCTGGCCAGCAGTCTGGCTGTCGTGGCCCACCTGGCCGCCAACCACCCCCTCTCCCCCACCCTCAACCAAGAACTGCTCACCCACCTTGCCTTGGTACGAAGGAAATTAAACGATAAAATTTATAACTGAATCTTTTTTGAGCAGGCAAAGGTTGAGTCGCTCAGGGTGGAGATCCTGTCCGTTCTTATCCTGCTGATGGCGTCCCAGACCAGAATTTTAGGGCAATCGCCCAAACTCAACAGCTTCGTCGTCATCCAACTGGCAGCCCTCAGGCACTTCCCTGACCTGCTTGTGCAGATCCAAACTAAAAATCAGGTTTGATAATTTTTTTTATTCACACCTTCAGTTTATATTCAATAAATCTTGATGCAGTCCCTGAGTTTGGTGCCCTTTTTACTCCCCTTGATGGAGGCCGCCCTCGGCGAGTGCCGACAAGAGGGAGTTTTCTTCCTCAAGGGCGTGGACAAGATGGTGACCAGCGTCCTGGAGAAACTGACCCTCGACTCCGAGCAGGCCACTTACCTCACTAGGTAAAACAAAATAAAAAATTGCAGCCAAAATCAAAGCCAAATTAAACTCTTTCCTAAAGGTGCTTATTAGAAAATCTTCCCGAAGACACAAGTAAAATTAGCGAGGTGACCTGGTTTTCTTCTGCTTGCCAAATTTTGGAGTCTCGAAACCCATCAGTCTTCGACTCGGTGTCTAAAGACATCTTCTCCAAGGACTCTGATCTTCAAGACAGCTTTCACGGTTATTTAATTCAATTTATCTTTGATGAAATGAGTTTTGAAATATTTTCATTTGTATTGCAGTGATTTTGACTAACAAAGGTCTGCAAGCCGAGGATGGGGCTCTGACCGTGCAGGGTATTTGTCACCAGATGGTGCACCCAGAGGAGGCCATTCGAGCCTCTGCTGTTCGGTCTGCGGCCAGAATGCTGAAGACCGCCAAGGTCAGTTTCAAATAAAGTCTTGATTTAAAATTAACTGAAAAGAGTGCAGGAGGAGGAGAAGCAACTGTTGCAAAACTGCCTGCGAGACCGGCTGAAGGACGAAAGCATGACGGTGCTGTGCGCCGTTTTGAATCTCAAGAACTTTGGAAAGTTGTTCGGACGGAAGCAGGACATGTTTGCCTTTTGTCTCGAACTGCTTGAGTACGCCTGCCACCAAAAGTGGAACGTCAATGCTACAGCGTTATTGGTGGAGCACTTCGGAAACGCTCTTCCGTGAGTGTCAACTATCAGTTTTCTAAAACAATTTCAGATCGCCTGGCTTATTTATTTCTTTAATTTTTACTCCAATTTCACTCAGACCAATTTCAAGAATCCTAAAAATTATCAAATAATTTATTAGTGTTGGCTGAATTTTAATATGTGAATTTCTCAAAATGTGATCAAATTTGCTTTATCTTACACTTATGCCAATTATTTATGCTATTGCTAGTGATGTCCTTTCTGAGAAAGAAGAAGTGCTGGCCATCATGACTGTGACGCCCCACATCATCACGCACCCGTTTCTGTACCCAATCTTTGCGCGCACCAAGTTTGGCACTTCGTCCGCCTTATTTCAGGAAATCAAAAACAGTATAGATTTCATATTTGATACAAAATTAACTTTGCACTAAAAAACTCCCTCTGCAGAAATCCGCAACAAGGAGAAAAAGCCCGAAGCTGCTGTTCTATTGGTAGCCGTCAAGGAGTGTCTCCAGACAAGTCCATTTTCCTACCTGGAGGTAGTGGAGAAGCGCCTTGAGAGCCACCGGCTCAAGGCCATCGACTTGTGTGTCCTTTCTTATGTGTTGAGAGGCGTGGCCTTGACCTCTCACACCGCCCACCACAAGGCCGAGTGCTTCCGCCTGGCCGTTCAGGTCAAGAGCAGGGCAAAGGTGCGTCAAAACCATGAAAGTACCTGACTCTGACTTTAAAACTTTTTCAGAACGTCCTGCCGAGGAAACCTGCGTTTCCACCTTTGGGCAAGGCGGAGGAGTTGGCAAGGCAGGTGAAGAACATGGTGCAGAATGACCTGTACCCTGTGAGCGCCTTTGTGGACGTTGTGGCCGCCCTGGTGCAGAAGCCCCTGAGGTCCAACGTTTCAGACATGACGGCCGTGCTCAAGCACAGCCTCTCCTCCGTCGTTCCTTCCGAGGAACAAAACTCTGTTGTCTTCGAAAGCTCCTGCAATTTCAAGTGGCAGACCACAAGTTTAAGTAAAATTTACAAATATTTATTGTAGCTTTGCCTTCAAATAAAAAAAATTTGTAGACGATGACTCGGAAAAGTCTGAATTCTTCAAGCTGGCCATGTCCATCATGGCGGTGTTGCTCGAGTTGTGCTCGAAGGTCAAACAGTCGGACGAGGAGCAGCCGCACATGTCTGCCCTCAGGTCCTTTATTATGGTTTGATTTAAAAAATGAAGTCTCCTTTGGGTGTTATAAAATTATTCTCCAGGCAAACTGCAGCAGCTTTGAAGGCCAGCTGCATTTTCTAAGCCTGATGTGGAGCCAAAACGACCTTGCCATGGAAGATCGAATGCGCGCGCTCATTTTCGCAACTTCCATCGTCAAGCTGCATCTGAATGTCAAAACGGACAATCTGATGCTCCACTCTGAGGCAAGTCAAAATCAGAGATCTTGATTAATTTAATTATCCTCTTTTTCAATAGAATTCCTTTGTGCCTGCCGTGCTGTGCGCCCTAAGCAACCCCGAGACTTACCTGAGGCAGGTGACGGTCAAGCTGATCACGGAATTGGCCAAACTGCGACCTTTGAGTCCTGCCAAGTCTTACCACCCTTTGATAGAGCACCTTTCCAGACAGGCAGATGAGATGGTCCAGCACAACGAGTATGAAAAATTAAAAAATAATATTGAAATGTAAATTTTAATGAAATTTATAGCCAACTTGGTGTTGCTTTGTACCCTGTTTTGACTGAAGACGATTCGGCGCAAAGCTTCACAGGCAGTCTTACTCAGCAGGTGGCTCGGGATGTCAGAGAATGTCTCTTTTCACACGTTGTTGACCCTTTGACGCCGAGAGACGTTGCTGCCTCTTTACTGAAAGCACTTGTCTACATCAAGTCGGAGGTACCTCCTGTTTTATTTCAATGAAAATTGTAAATTAACTAAACAAAACTTCAGCAATGTTTGAAAACTTTGACTCCAATGGCCGACCTTCTGTTGGATCCAACAAAGGATGATCTGCTCGATTCCAGCAGTTTCCAAATCTTGACCGAAGTCCTGCAAAGAATCGATGCAGACTGGGCAGAAAAGTTTTTCAGTTCCGACGACGGCTGGTTCCTGTTCGGCAAATTCCTCAAGAGCAAGTTGGCCTTTGAGGAAAAATCTATTTCAGTTTCTGCCGTTCAAATTGTGAGTCAATTTAAATTCGCCTTGTGTGGTCGATGATCTTAGTCCTTCCTCAGGTTACCAAGGAAGTCTTCAACAGCCTGAGTGAGGCCCAAAAGCCCAGAGTTGTGCACCTGTTGCTGGAGGCTGACAACGAGGCTAGCAACCTCAAGGCTGCTGTGGCGTCCGTCCTCCGAAAACTGCCTCTCGGAGGCGAGTTGGTGGCCGAAGAGCTCAAGGCCATGGCCAGAAAAACCAAAGGGTATGTACCCTGATTTTGAATCAATAAAACACTAGCAATAAATAAAAAAAAAAAAAAACATACTTAGGAATGAAGGAACTCAAAACTGGTCCAGAGGAGTTGTTCTGCTTGAGTCTCTGGTGGACAAGAAGAAGATGGCCAACGCTGCTGTGGTCATCCCTGTCTTGTTTGAAATCCTTAAAATGTAATTTGCTTTTATATCACATGAAATTTATTGATTAGGAAAAATTCCAAATTGGGGTGGAAATGAGGTTCATTTAAAGTAACTGAATGAGAGTTTTAAACAATAAGAAATCGAGATATCTGGATTTCCACTCTTTTTTTTATTTATTATAATTTCTCTCATTTCATTAGTTTTAGAGAAACATTAAATAATTATAACTAATGAGTGTTTTGATCAGTTGTGTGGAGGGAGAGGAAGATGAGGAGTATGCCAAGCAGTTGGCCCTGGGCAGTCTGAACAGCCTGCTGGCCATAAATGAAGAGGCTGGGCTCAAATGCCAGGTGGACATCGAGCTTATCGTCAACAGCCTCAAGAGTTCCTCAAACCCTCAGACCCAGAGGGAGGCGCTCGTCCTGCTTTGCCACACCGCCCACATGGTTCCTGTGAGTCCCAATTGAGACCTTCGGCCAGCCCATTTTGAAAAATAAAAATGCCTTTCAGGAAAACCTGCTGCACTACCTTGCCAGCGTCTTCACCTTTGTGGGCACTCAGGTTCTTAGGCATGACGACGAGTACAGTTTGCAGATCATCTCTCAGGTCATCAGCAAGGTTGTCCCTGCTGTTATGAAGGTAAATTACAACTTGTTATCATTGATTATTTTTGAATTTGGAATTTATTAAAAAAAAAATTGGTTACCTTTAAAGTGGATTTAAAAAAGTATATTATATTTTTGTGGTTATTCAATTTTCACCTTTATTGATCTGATTATTTCATTTTAAGTTTATATTTTTCTTTTTAATTCATTCAATTACTCATCTCTTTTTTCATCAGTTTATTTCTCAAATAATTAATAAAACAACTATATTTTCCAGGGCAAAGGACAGTCGGTTGGAGTGATAACCATCCTGAGGGTGTTCTCGGACGCCTTCCCAGACATCCCGAGCCACCGAAGGCTGCTGATCTTCGAGCAGCTGATGACCACGGTCGGCTGGGACAAGTTGTGGCTGTTCCTGGTGTTGGCCTTCGAGAGCCACGCCTATGCTCAGCAGCACAGCAGCCGCAGGGTTGAGTGCGTCCTGGAGGCCACCAAGACCTGTCCGCTGCCTGTTCTGCTCAGGATGCTCCTCGACGTGGTCAGGTACCTCACCATCTTCACCGAAATGGAGTGTGAGTACCGCCTCAAATTGCCAAATCCACGTTTAACCTCATTTTGGGAATCCAGATGGAGGAGAAAAGAGGGTAAGCAACGCCTTAGAGATCAAAATGAAGTTCAGGGCGCTCAGGGCAGCTGAGTTGATCGACCCTTGCACCAAACCTGCGGCTGACGTCAGGAAGCTGCAGATCGTGGCCCTCGACTTCTTGTCTAACGTGCTCAGTGTCAAGTCCTCCGCCAGCAAGGTGATTACAAAAAAAAATCCTCAATTTTAAATTTTGTTGTTCAATTTTAAAACTATATTTAAATAACAACTTTTTTAATATTCTTGTAAAATTTTCAAATCAAATTGTCATTAATCATTTTTCAAGATTGCTGCCAGTAGCAAAATATGCATAATCTTGGAAAATTTTTGTACAAATTTAATTTTCCAAACAAAAATTGAATCGTATCTGAAACATTTCGAAATAATTTGGAAGTTTGAAGTTTTCATCACCGTCTTTTTAATTGACAGGGTTTCCGGCCCAATGAGAAGCTGGACAAAGAGATGGAGGCGTTGTACCGCTCTCTGATGGACAGCCTGATGAGCTACCTGCTGGCCATCAGCCATCAGGAGGCAACCCTAAAGACCAAATTCTGGTCTTGCCTACTCGTTCAGGGGTACTCGGTGCTGAACAAGGTCAACATGCTGCTGCCACTGTCCCAGTTTGTGTCCGTCGTCCAGGGCGTGCTGACCAACACGTCTGCCCTTGACTCGGTCAAGAGCAAAACTCTGGAGTTGCTGGGCGCCAAATTGCAGCTGCTGGGCGGCACCTCGGACCTACAGGAGCTGCTGCCTCTGGTGGACGTGTGTCAGAGTCTGGCCCACAACTGCGACGCCACCATCGCCAGCAAGGCTCTCTTCTGTCTGCGGCTGCTGGTCGGCCTCCTCGGCTCTGCTGACTCCACCACGGACAATCTGTCCAGGGTGCTGACCTCCCTCCTGGGCCTCCTGGCCAAGGTGGTTGGTGGCCCTGACCATCCCGTCACGGCCAACCTTCTGCTCTGCCTGGCCGAGTTGGTCCACGTGCTCAGGGTGCACATGCTCAAGGCCTTGCAGGAGCTGCTCCCGGCCACCTTGAAGGCTGCCAGGTCGGCTGCCGAGGGACAAGTTGTAAGATTTTTTCAAAGGAAAGGGAATTTCTTTTGACTTTGAATAATTTTAGGAAATAGTGTTGCTGGCGAGTTTGGCCCTTCTGCAGCGGCTGGTTGAGGTTCTGCCGCAGTTCCTCAGCTCCTTCCTGCAGGCCATCTTCATCGAGGTGTGTCAGGTGGCGGTCATTCCTGAGGGCCAGGTTTCTCCCAAGGCCTACACAGCCTTGCAACACAGGAACAAGAAAATCCAGTAAGTTGTAGAAAGTGAAAATAATTTTGTTTAATTAATCGGCAAACCTGGGATTTCAATAAGGTGGCAATCACATTAAAATAAAAATCATTAATTCAGATATTTGTGGCTTCTGTGGCCAGTAAATGACCTAAAATTTTCATTTTTGAAATTTTAGTCTCTGACATTCAATAGGAGTGTGAAAGGGAGATTTTAAGTGGCTTATTCTATATCCTTATTTCCTCCATTTTGTTAATACAAAAAACTCAAATTTTTGATAAATTTTTTATTTATCTATTTTTTTTTTTTTTAATTAAAATGTATTTTTAAACCTGATTTAAATTAAATTATATCTGACATCTGTTTTATTTGTAACCATTTCTTTTCCCAAGGGACCTTTTGAGCAGCAACATTTCCCTGCGAGTGCTTCTGCCGCCCCTGATGGGCTCCTTCCACGAGTTGTCCAGAAACCAAGAGACCCTTGCATCTGTCCGCCCTCTGATGGCCATCCTGATTTCCAAACTGGAAGGAATGACTTCTTCGGAAATCGCCGGTCACGTCCCTGAGCTGTCAAACTTGTTCCTGGAAATGCTGGAACTTCGTTCCGTGTTGGAGGAAAAGGAACCTCATGTCAAGGTTGCTAGCTTTTAATTTAAATCTATTGCTTTGTTTAATCATGATTTAATTCAGAGTGGAGCTGCGGAGGCTCTGAGTGAAGCCGAAGGTGAGGTGGTGAGCGCCCTGGTGGCGTTCGTCCTGAAGCTGCAGGAACCTGTGTTCAAACCGCTCTTCTTCAAACTGTTCAACTGGGCCCGAGAGGCCGAGCAAAACTTGGCCCACAGAAGCCGCTGCATCACTTTTTACAGGTTCAGTGACTTAAATATAAATCAATTAATAAATGGAAGAAAATAATAAAATTTTATTTTTTTAGGCTTTCGACAAGTCTGGCCAGCAAGTTGAAGGGTCTTTTCACCGTTTTTGTGCCGATCTACCTGAAGCAGGCGGCGCATCTGCTGCAGGTGTGCCAACTGGGCTCAACGGAGGAGTTCTTCGGACCGGACGGGGAGGCGCAGACCTTGCTGCTGCTCGACTGGCTGCTCGCCAACCTGCTCGAGGTCTTCACCCAGGATAAGCAGCGCTTTGTCAAGCAAGACGCCTTTGATCTCATCATGCAACCCCTCGTCGACCAGGTCTGCTTTTTTCTCATAAGTTTTGACTAATTTTTAGTCTTTATCTTAATGAATTATAATAATTTAAAAGGAAAATGACGCATTAAATTAATTAATTTAATTTACTTTGTAATTTTTTCATTTATATTATTATGCTTAATGTTTCCAAAATGTAACAAATTTTTATGAAAAATGCCTAAATCTTCATAAGTGTGGAAATAATTTGTGTTTAATTAGCATCACAATTTGAGTCATTAAAAGTTGAAAAGAATTAATCTCATTCACCAGGTCAGATTTTACTTATTCTAAATTAGTATTAATTTAATTCATCTGCTTTATGGGTGTCAAAATAAATGTTTTTAATTTTATTCATGAATCCATTTGAATCCATTTCAAGAAGATAAAAAAAAAACTTGTTCATTTTCGAACTCTGATCTTTTTTGTTTGCATTTGAGGTTTGGTATTATTTAGTAAAAATTAGAAATCATTTTTTATTTTTGCAGTTGGAGAACGAGATGGGCGGGGAGGCGGCGTTGGTGGAGCGTCGGGGGCGGGTGGTGGGGGCGTGCGTGGCGCAGTTGGCGCGGTGCACGCAGGACGACGTGCTGTGGAAGCAGCTGCACTACCAGGTGCTGCTGAAGGCGCGCAGTCCGAGGCCCCAGGTGCGCCTCGTCACCGTCGACGCCGTGCTCGCCCTGGCCGAGGTGCTGCGCGAGGACCTGCTGCCGCTGCTGCCCGAGGCCGTCCCCTTCATCGCCGAGCTCATGGAGGACGACGACCTCCAGGTTGAGAAAAAAACGCACCACGTCGCCAGGCAGCTCGAGAAGATCCTCGGAGAACCACTCGACAAATACTTCTAATGGTATTTTGTTTATAAATATTTTTTAAGGAATAAATTTATGGAGTTATTAATTACAAAGTCAAATTAGTCATTTTAAATCAAATTTTATTGAGCGAGTCGTAACGAGTTTAAAAACATACAATAATTAAAAATTCCAAAGCAGTGGAATTATATATTACGGTTTATTTGTTCAAATTGTTAGATCACATTGTTTACTTTCAATTGTTGAAAACAATTTATTTGAAGAAAAAAGGGAATTAATTGATAAAATGGCACCACCACTAGCGCAATTTTTGATAAAACTTCCCAGATAAATAAAGACCCCATCCGCCGTTGATTTTGGTTTTTGTCCTCGTCACTTATCACAAACTCTGTTGCAGATAGGCGTTGCATCTCAAGCTTCGTATCTTTAGACTTTTTTGTCTTTTTTATATTTTATCGATTTGATCACAAAATTTTGTACCATTTGCATTATTTTCTATTTGTCTAAGTTTCATTATTGAAAAAATTGAGCGCCGCCGTAGAATGGAGACTGAATTTATTATTCTTTAATTGATTTCCCTTTTTTTAAGTTAATATCCATTTCAGCCCTTAAAGTACTTCATCCCTTAAATCTAACTTCCATGTGACTTCAGGCTTATCCTTAAATATCTCACAAATCCTTTAAATCCAGGCAAAGTCTCTGGGAAAGAAGCCAAACTCGAAGAAGTGAGAGTCCAACCACGTTGAATGATATTAGGGCGAGTTTAATATTAAAATTATGCGCATGAGGATCAAAGTATTTTTTATTATTATTATTTTGAGAGTTATTCGTATGTAAAATCGTAGGGACACATTTACTGGGTTGATGGAGAGAACCATTGATTGCAAGTTTTATGTTTTAAAAATTGGTGCAAGTAAGTCATATTATAAGAAACACACTAGTCTTATCGAACATATAAAAAATTAACACTTCTTTGTTTAAAAGTAGAATCAGAGGGACTTGAAATTTAAAAGGTAAAAATTATCATCTTTTTCTTTAAGTTAAGCTGAGAGCAGTCTGGGGGGAAAATTTCACAAGAAAGAGGCTCATGGTAGGATTGGAAGGAAGAAAACCAGATTTGGTCTTCCTGATTCAGCAGCGTAGTTGTTGAAGGATTGCGGCTTCTTGGGAACATTGGAATCCAAAACGGACCACAAATCCGGGTTGTTGTATCGGCTTGTTTGAGGCGGCATTACGGTCACACAATTTCTGACGTTTTCAACAGCGTAGGTGACAACTGCGGCACGAACTTGGTACTCGCTCCCTCCAACCCACACTTTGTCTGTCATAATTGGCTCCTGAAAACAAATCTCGAATAAATATATTTATCAAGTTTGGAAAAACTTTGCTCCCACCTGGAAGATGTTGGCAAGCGGGATTGGATCACCGTCTCTTAGGGGGATGGTCACCGGAAAGCCGAGCTTGTTAACTCTCATACGGGACGTCCGTTTTCCGTTGCACTGCGTTTGCAAGTAAAATCACATTAATTCACATATTTATTAAAATACTTATTTGGCTTAAATTACCCGAGGGCAGGCAGGGACTTTTGGCTCATTTCCAACTCGAAGTTCTTCCAGTTGTGAGAGGGTGATAAAGTGGAGTGCTGTTTTGCTGAAAATATGGCACTTGTCGCAGTGCTCCACTACCTCTCCAGCTTTCCACTTGAATTGCGTCATTACCTCTGACACTGTAGCTTCACCGTGCACCAACGCAAGGCCTTCGTCAGCCTCCTTGCTGAAACCGGGAGTAAAATTTATGTTGCAAACTTTTATGAAAAATTATTAAATATCTTTCCGACTTGAAAATGTTCTCAAACGCGGTAATACACCTCATACTGGCTCGGAATTGAAATAATGAGAAAAATTAAATTGGTTGGTTTGGAAACATAAAAATTTAGGCTGAAAAAATTAAAAAGATTTTGCATAATAAAAATAAAATTTCACTCACCAGATTTGCACTAGGCGGAGTGAATGGTATTGGAGCTGACGGCTGATGTATCCATTATTGTTTGGTTGGACTGCCAACGCCAGGAACTGACGGAAATCCAACAGGCTTTGTTCCCTTGCTATTGATTTTGCCCACTCTCCTTGGCCCTGCACAAAACATAAAGAGGTCATAAACATATAGGCGGACTCTTCGAGCAGAGGCCAAAGGGCTTTGTTACCTTCCGGATAAGAGCGATGATGACGTTGAAGATTGTGCTGTAAACGCAGCGATTGTTAATAAAGACCCAGATGCCATTCTCCTCGCTCCAGAACCAGCCGTCGTTGCTTATATATTGTTGATTGTTGGACACATCGGACACTTCTACAGTGAACAAAAAAAAATTTACTTTACAGTTTCATTACTTTTCACAGATTACCTCTTGGTGTCAAATCAGGCTCGGGAAGCTCGACGAGAGGCTCTATTTAAAAAAGAGAAAACAATTCAACTTGTAATTATTTAAAAGATGTTCATAATTGTTTGCTACAGATTTGAGGAGAAAAGTCGTACCTGTTTCGGGTGTCAAAAAAATTGGCGGTCCGCCTATTGAAAATATTTTCATTTGTTAAAAAAAAAATTATCAATTTTTCATCTTAAAAGACAAACCGTGCACGAATACAAAGTCATGCTCATAGGAGAGGTCGGCCGGCTCAATGTTCTCTTCAACGTCACTCTCGTCATCGTCCTCCTCTTCAAGCTCCTCATCATCTTTGACCTCGTCGGTGACCTCTTCCTCCGACTTCCCACCCTCATCGGCCTCCTCCTCCTCGCCCAACTCATCGTCCTCCGAATGGCTCATCTCGTCCTTCATGTCCTCCTCCTTTTTTTCGTAATGCTTTCTAGCCTTTTCCAACACTGAAGAGAAAAAAATAGCAAGTCGCTCTTTAATCAGTTAAAGCAGAATTTGGTAAAATTTTTAGCTTTGTTCCATACATCACGTTTACTTAATAGTCGGAGATTAAAATTTAAGAGAAAGAAGATTAGCCAAAATTGGCGAGGCAATTCAGAGAAAATTTGTAGCAAAAAATTAAAGGGAAGTGCGGGATTAAGTGTTGCGATATTTCGCATGAAGCGCATCTTATGTTCATCTAAATTTTTTTATTTATGCTCGAATTCCATTCAACATTCCATCGCATGAAAAAAACAATTTTCAAAAATGCGGAAATGACGATAAAATTTTCAAATTATAAAAGCATAAGTAATGTGTAGCTCTGCCATTAAAAAAAACTACATACGAAAATCAAGAACTTGCTAATTTCAATAATTAATTTGCCCCAGACTTTCCATATGAATTCAATCCTAATTAGAATAATCAATAGGTAAAGTAGAAAGGGAAGTTATTAAAACGTTTTTTACTTAATCATATGTGTGTATTTTACATCACACATCAATTTTCTAATTATTATTATAATTAATTATTTTGCTTAAAAGTACTAATAAAGTAATTTATAGTGTTTTACAACTTACTGGATTTCAATCGTCCGCAAATTCTTTGGGTGCTTTTATTTCCAACCCCTTTTCCTTCGGCGGCTGCTTGGGCCATTTGAAGTAGTTTAGCAGCTTTGTCCTTCATCTTTTTCTCATCTTCCGTCGCCCAAAAACAATTTGTCGAAATGAAGGTTTGATCAAACTTAATGAAATCTCTTAGACGGAAGGTGGACTGCCACCAAGCGAATTTCAAGATGTCCTTGCAGAACTGGAATTGCTCTTTCTTCAAGAAACTGAAAAAAAAAGTTTTTTTTTATGAAAAATATGAGAAATTATTTATACATATTAAAAGATTTTTTTAGTTTCCATCTGTGCGTGTAAATTGAAATTGGAATAGTGTTAGTCAAAAAGGGGCAGAAGAGTGGTGCAGCCGGAGACAAGGGGTGCAGCCCCACCTAGGCCTATATAGTTGACATATTAGTTCATTTGTGTGCACCCTCTTTACTTCTTTTGGAAATACTGTAGAGTTATTAACGCACCAGAGCATTTTGTGAAATTAAGGGACACACACACTCCGGTCAGGTTGACGGTCGACTTTGAATTACTGCTCTTATCACCGAGGCGGTTTCAAAGCAGCAATTCAACTGCCCCATTCCGATTTGATTAGGCAATATATTTATTTAAGGCTTAAGTCAAAAAATTCTCTTCTCCAAAAATAAACAAAATAGTACCAAACATCCTGCATCATTCCATAGCTCATTATAATTTAATTTTAAATCACAATAGTCAGAATCTTTTTGTGCTATGTCTATTTTTGGTCTTCATATTGAAAGTATTTTTAATTAAATATTTGACATTTAATTTTAACCGCAAAATATCTTTTTATGCTCAAAACATTCCAGAAAAGAACATACCCTCACACATGCATGTTTTGACAGTTGGATTTGTTAAATAAATAAGTAGAAATAAGAAATAATATCTGTGAAAGCTGAAGCTTTAAATCATAAATAAGAAAAAAGTAATTAAAATATCAATAAAATATTATGTAATTAAATTCAGCTCGATCAGACTACATTCTCTCAAAAGAACCATCAATGGAAAGAGTTGAAATCTTATTATTATTTGTTTACAAGGTAATAATTCGGTCTCAAAAGAATTCCAATTTCGTAAAAATTTTATGTTGGGACCAGTATAAATTTGAATTAAAAAACTTCTAAAAATCTAAACCACACAAAGCGTATTATTTATTGTTAATACAAATTTCAAAAACATTTCATTGCTTTATTCCAAAATTTATTGAACGAAATTTGACTCACTTGGGATCAAGCACCTCCTCTGGGAAGTTGTCCAGCTCGTCGGGCTGAAAAAGAAAATTATAACGTGATGTGACATCGTCAGCATATGAGCTATTTAATAATTTCTGCCGACTATCATTGTATCAATTGCACTAAAGTGAGCAAAAATATTATTTTAATTGTTATTGTCAATGATCAAGCGACATTAAAAATTTAATTAGCCGGAGTACTTCACACCAGTTAAAAAAACTAGCCCGCAGCTGGGTTTGAACGCCTGGCCTCCGAGTTCGCTGACCATTTATATAAACACTGACGAGCTACTCACTACCATTACTTCACATAGGCGAGTAAAGCGTTTTATTCAGTTTCGCGTGTGATCCATGGCGCTATAACGCGTAAAGATTGATTGCAATGCCAAATATTCTGGTACACCGCATTTTCTATCAGCATATATGAATACTTCTTAAAAACTTTGAGCTATTGCTTTCTTTTAAAAGGCGAATATTTCACTCACTAACACTAAGTAAGTTCTCCGCAGTAAAATGATTACAAATTATGCAGCTCAGCTCAAGAATATAATAAGCATTTTTAATTTTTATAAATGATCATTTATAAACTTATAATATTTGAAAAAAAAGTCCACTAATTTTGACGGAAAATTCATTTTTGAATTCATTTAAATGTGTTTGCCCTACTTTTAATATTATTTTCTCCATTTTTTCGTGCACTGATTTAAAAACAAGCACTTTATCAGAATTTAGGACAGATTTTACGCAGAAAAACCATGCGAGAGAGCAAACCAATTGTACACTTTGTATGACAATAAATAATTTCACCATCGACAAGTTCGACAACCAATTGAACTTAAATAAATTAAATAATGCCTTACCATGGTTCTTTTCCAGGTATTGGAGTTGGTAGAAGCCATCTTTTGGGGTTTGTTTGTCTCTTGAGAGTGCAGAAAAAACTTGTGTCGTTCGATAGCTTCAGATGTGGGCCTAGTGAGACAAAACTGGCTGCTGAGCACTGCCTCAAGCCTCGCTAAATTCATTTCAACTTCAGAATTCCAAACAAGAAATATCAAGCGTCCGAATACTACAAGTCAAATATTTATGAGAAATGAAAAGAATCTGGTGCGCGGCGCTCTTATTAAGAGCGCAATCAATTTTACAATAAGTTTACCTTCCATGAGCAACGTATATATTGAAACATTTTTTATTTATTAAGTTAGAGCCGGGGAAAAGTTAATAAACTGGGTTTTTCTTAATTCAACTTTTCTTGCCTTCGCTGCAAAATTGAAGGTGCGCGACCTGAATTTATCACTCGAATTAATGCTCTCAGCCTCTGTGAACACATTCGAGGTGGCTAAAATCTAGTTAAAGCCGAAAAATGTTAATAAACTGGGTTTTTCTTAATTCAACTTTTCTTGCTTTCGCGTTGAACGACCTTTCCTATGCGCATTAGCACCACGTTGAAATGCTGCAGGACCTGTAAAAGGGTCTTTTTTTGCAATTGAAAAGTTGTTGATATCGCCAACTTCCCTTACGTAATTTTTTACCAAAATAATTAACAGCTCACAAATTATGGCTGCAGCCCGTAGGTAAAACATAATGTAGAGCAGGCTATTTTTTTTAATGCTGCAAAAAAATAGCGTGCCAAATATTCCATTGAGGGCAAGCGGAAGTAGGCGATTAGTCGCAGTACTAATTTAACTATTTTCAAGTACCATTAATTGATTTTTCCAAATTCAAGCCATTTTAAATTTCTCTGGACAAGTCTATAAAGAAAATAATTATTTAATATTTATTCTTTGTGATTTAAATGATATTAAACAGTAAAAGACAGTCAAAGCATCAAAACAAATAAAAATTTTCAAACACATCAGTCTGGCATTGACGCTTTGCTCTATTGTGGATTAAAATAAATCTCAAGCTTTGGTACGAGTAAGCTTCGCGTCCAAACTTTGTATTCGCGTCCGGCTGCTGCAGCCGCGGATGGCTTTGACTGTCGCCGCGAAGCTGCATGCCCATATTAATGCGCGCTTTCGCGTCCATGTCTGTAACTCCCGAGTCACATCTTTAAAAAAAATTCAAATCAGTATATCTGAGCTGCATATCCACGGGCATGATTTTTTGTTCTCTAACTGAGGGGAGATGCTTTCCGTGAATAAAATGCAAGGCTCGCTTTTGCACTCGCTCGAGTTTTTCAACTGTGCAGTCTGTTCCGGGGTGCCAGGCTGGCGTGCCATAAAATAGAATAGGCTTCACCAACGTCAGGTAGGTACGCTCTCTTTCGAAGGAGAGGGTCCTGTGCTTTAGCAAGTTGTTTGCTAGCGAAAAGCCATTTCTCCATTCACCCTATTAACAGTATGTCTCTTTTAAAATATATTTTCAGCTTTTTCTGTACTTTTTCTGTATAGTTTTTTTTTTTTGCTGTATTCATGACATGACTGTATCGAGTGGAGAATAAATAAATAAATAAAATTGGACTATTTTTATATTTTACCGATCAAAAATTTTGATTCACAAATTTTATTAACAGTTTGCATAATTTTCTTTCTGTCAGTTTCATAATCAAAATAATTTAAAATCTTTCCCTAGTTTTAAAATAAGAACAAACGCGCAAAACAGGCCCAAAGTCAAAGTTAACACTTGCATCCCGTAAATAAAATTAAATAAAATTCTGCGAGGAACTTGGAATGGCGCGCGGCGATTCCTCAAGGAATGAGGAAGGAGTAAATTTTTCATTTCTCAAAAACGTAACGCGCCAATATATTTGCTATATTATTTCCATTATTTCTGCCAACAATGAGTAACGAAAACAGAGAAAGGAGGCAGCGGTGACTTTGACATTGGTCCAAGGCTGGCCGGCCTGCGGTAGTTGTTGTAGGAGGAGGATTCACTGCCGGGTGTGGTCGTCTGGGAGGGGATCGAGCGTACCTGAAACCACCTAGCCCGGACACCTGGTTAGCCTTGCGCTTCCAACAGGTATTAAACTATAAAATGGCCAGAGTATTCGGCCAAAGTATCAGTCTTTGCCACAGACAGCTCAACAAACTTCACTCAACCATGTACAAGCTCGTAAGTTGAATTCAAGCAGTTTCGTATTTCAAATTCAAAATTAAACTGAATTTAAAACCGTATCCAATCGAATTTTCTTTTTACAATTTTTGTTTGAAAAAATTATTTACTTTTTTATTATTGTTTTTTACGGTTTTATATAAAATGTTCTTATTTTATGCTACTTTTATTTTTCCTATGCATTTTGATATTATTTAACAATCTTTTCAATTAATTTCTTGTTTTTCCTCAGATGATCCTCGTCCTTGCCCTTGTGGCCGTGGCTGCTGCCCAGTACTACCCCGCCTATGGCTACGGCTACAACGCTGCGCGTTCCGGATACGTCGCCAGCCCGTACGTCGCCGCTTCTCCCCTGGCCTACAGCGGCCTCGGCTACCGCCAGGCCTATGGTTATGGTGCCTACCCTTACCTTGGTTAAGCTGAGATTGTAGAGCTGAAGACAGAGCCCGGAAACCAACCCTGGTGCCGGACCCTGTCTGATCTGATCCAACCTGATGACCGACATTTGCCTAAATCATCGCCGGACTCCCGATTTTTTATTCTGATCAACACGCACGGATACCATTTTGGAATTTCAAATAAAAAATTTGGCTATATTTTGCTGAAAAACACTGAATTTTTATCAAACCTATAAAAAACATGGAATGAATTCTAAAAGAGAAATGACTAAAATGAGAGAAATATGAATATTTTAGGGGAGAGAATTGAATTATTTTATTCAACTTTTTTTTAGCACAAAATTCTCTATGATTCATTTCAAACTATAAAATAGATGACGTTTTTCCCTATTCATTCTAAAAGATAAATTTTGAGTCCACAAAATTTTATAATACTCACAAGTAGAAATAATGAAAGTTGCTATAATTTCAACTTGTGATTACATTCAATTCATGAATTAAGCAATAAATTTATACAGCTAAATGCACATTGTGTTTTTCCCTTCACAAAAATTAAATTTTTATCACTTCAAAAGCCTTGAGCTCAGTTGTAAAAATGGAGCGTGCAAAATGCTCGGCTATGTACCTGAATTTGCACCCACTCAGAATGTGTGATAACCTGATATATCTTAGCAGTGGAAAGGTGAATTCTGCGTCAAAAGAGCGCGCAGAACTGGGGCTATATCGATTTCTTAAATTGAATTCGGTTTAATTATCTTGCACCAAAGAGATTTTTCATATTTTCACCCTTCTCCTTGATATAGACGTGGACCGTGGACAGCTCGGACTGTGTCTAAAAAGTGTTTCTCGTCGCCATAGGCCCATCTCCTCTTTTCTGTTCATCGCTTACCAGGTTTCCGAAGAGGCGCAGTTTTCTTTGAATAAGGGAGAAAATAATAATTTACTCTCCAGCGCCTGCGATCTTGTCGATGTTGTTCTGTACAACGGGCGAGTCATGCGGGTTGCATCTACGCTAGCTGAATATTTATTTTCCGGTTTGCTAGTACGGTGCAGCATGCCTCGGACGTCGGACCTGCTTAAAAATCACCTACACCTTTTTTCCTGACATCAAAAGAGGATAAAAAGAGACTCAGCCGCTGAACATAAAAAAATTGCAGCCTTAAAGTAACTGCTTACAATACAAAATTACAAACAAGGAGGGTTATTTATTACTGATCTACGTCAATATACGTTTGTGATAGAATATTTACTCGTAATCACTTATTTCCATTACATGTGATAAAATAAAAATTTAAAATAACGACAATTAATCAAAACTGTTGGAAATTGAGGTAAGCCTCCTTCCCGCAATTCACACAATATTAAAACAAATAATAGTATTATCCCAATTTAAATCTTGGCTGGCTGTCTGGATCTGATTACTTAATTTAAATTTATACTAAATTAGAAATCATTTGATATAATTTAGATTTAATATAGGTTATGCAATAGATCTGTACCGGCTGTTCTGCTGAATTTAGCCTGAAAAAACAAGACGATGAAAATCGACCATTTAATGAGGCCTCGGACGTCTTAACCAGCCAGAAATAATTGAGCTAAAGCTATCAGAAACCAGTTATAATGCTTAAGCTCTCAAGAACTATGTCAAATAAATTAATCAATTAATAATAAATAAATGGAATAATTTCATTTTCAAACGACAACTAATGAGCTGCATCAATTTAGATGATGAAAAATTGTGCTCTGCTCTACTGAAAAAAACTGAAATCAATGCACTAAATCATTACCTCCCTGTCTCTTCATTTGGAAACTTATTTATTTATTCGAAATGGAACTTAAAACAAAATTGGATACATTAATAACGAAATTACGAATCAGTGGTCGTCAGGCGAGGAATTTCTGGCCAGTTCCTTTGCCGAGATGATGGGGAGGTCAGTGATACCATTAGCATCGATCATTTGCACTTTGAAGTTGGGCAGATTGACGATCAGACGCCTGTGCACCTCCTTCACACATTCAACCATCACTTTGTAGCCCTCCTCCTTCGGCAGGTCTGAAATTTCAATTTTTTTCAATAAAAGAAAAGTAAACTCTTTAGCGAGAGGACGCACCGGGCCTGTACAGTCTGTCCATGATGCTGAGGGAGAAGTAGCCGCCGTAGCCGTGGGCGGCGAAGGGCACTTTGACCATCGAGGCCAGGTAGTCCATGAAGTAGAGCTGCGCGCCCTCGTCCTTGTCGTACCCGCCCATCAACAGATTCACCATGTACGGGCTCTGCAATTATAAATTTAGATTAAATTCCTGTGGCAAAATTTGTTCCATACCCTGGATCGAAGGTAGTCTGCAAGGTTCTTGCGAGTGTACTTGGCGATGGACGACGGCGACAGTTCGTAGCTGTTTCTCATTTTGTAGAGCTGCATGTTTTTGGCGATGTACTCGGCGAACTGGGTCGTGTCGCCGCTCTCCCCGGACACGGCCATCACCACCTGCGACGACAACTTGAAGATCTTCGACTCGTCTGAAATCCAAATAAATTTTAAACAAATTCTTGACCCGTTCGGCGACCTCAAGTTTGAGTCGAATTTACTCACCACTCTTCATGACCATGATACTGTGGGCGTTGGTCATGTCGGCGGCGATCAAGACGTAGTCTTTGAACGCGATTCCGATCAGGCATTCCATTTTAATTGCCGACTTTTTCACAGGAAAACTCAAAAATCAACACCGGACAATTTGCCGACAAATAATGTTTTGTCACGGTTGCAGCGTTGCCAAAGTTTCTCAAGAATGGAGGCAACACGCCCCCTTTTGAGTATGATCGTGATTTCCCCCTTTAAAATTTTAGAATTTTAGTAAATAATCAAAATAATAATAGTTTTTATTTGTTTTTAATTTTTTAAAGTCACATTTAAGTCAAGATTGCCTTTAAAAATCTGACAATCGAGTTCAAATCGGTTGGCGAGCGTGCGATTTGGCAACGCCGCACGACTCCATCCATTTATTTTCTTGCGGCAAATCCATCGGGTGAGTAAAACGTGGCTACGACTCAAATTATCTCAATTTATCCACACAATCCCCAACTGAAATCGAATTTCAACGACGCCAAAATAATCTCCGGTATTTTTTTTATGCATTTAATCCATTAAATCGGAGCCGACGGGTCAAAAAGTGGCCGATTGGCCATTTAAATTCGGCCCTTGTCACTCGGCCGATGGCAATCACATGTTGTTTTGATGCGTGTTGCGTTCGTGAGAGCCGAATTATTTCATTCTTGCGAACACCCTTGCCCTTATAATACTTTCCCCATTTGCAAATCGTCATAATTGGAAGGAGAAAGAGATTCGAAGCCGATTGTTTACGTTGATTTTGACATTTCAGAGCGTCCGAGTGAAGCTCCGTCACCATGGCTCCCAAAAGGAATAACATGATTCCGAACGGCCACTTCCACAAGGATTGGCAGCGGTTCGTCAAGACGTGGTTCAACCAGCCCGCCCGCAAATACCGCAGACACCAGAAGCGCGTGAAAAAGGCGCGTTTGATCGCCCCCAGACCGGCCGCTGGACCCCTTAGACCTATTGTTAGGTGTCCCTCCCAGAGGTACCACACAAAGGTGCGCGCCGGCAGAGGCTTCACCCTCGACGAAATCAAGGTACAACAACAAAACCATTCGCAAATTTTGCTAATTTCGATTAAATTACACATCTGGTCCGCTAATCCTTTTTAATAAAATGAAAGTTGAAGAAGGCAAATAATTAAGTTATCAACTCTGGATCTTTATTCCGATTTCTGGACCTTATTAAGTCTTATTTTATTATTTGCTATTGAGGAGGACCAGAGTTGAAGCTTCACCAGAAATATGTAATTTTCTAGTGGCCCAGATTTGTAAATGAACCATAAGCTTTTTAAAATTTGATTTGACAACTTATTAACAATTTTTTTTGTCATTGCCCAGGCTGCAGGTTTGAACAAGGGTTTTGCTAGAAGCATTGGCGTGGCCGTGGACCACAGACGCCGAAACAAGTCGGTCGAAAGTCTGCAGACCAACGTGCAGAGGCTGAAGGAGTACCGCAGCAAACTGATCCTGTTCCCAGTGCACGCCAACAAGAAGCCCAGAAAGGGAGACGCCACCGTACGAAATTTATCTTCGAAAATTTTGAGCAGTTTGTAATGAGAACGGAATTTGCAGGAGGAGGAGCGCAAGGTTGCTGTGCAGCTCAAGAGCAAGGAGGTGATGCCCATCAAACAGACCACCATCAAATACAAGGCCAGGGTCATCACTGGCGCCGAGAAGAAGTTCTCTGCCTACCACGCACTGCGCAAGGTAAAACCAAGCCAAAGTCTAAGGGGTTGAGATGAAAAGGAAATTATTTATGGCTGAGTTGAAGAAACAAATTGTTTTTAGCAAGATGGAAAAGCAATAAGGGGGATTCGTATAGCTCTGGATTCTTAAAAGTTTTGGAAAATTAATTGATCAAAAATTGAAATTAACAGAAAGTTTTCTTAGTCTTGAATTTAAAAGTTGTGCGCAATCTGGAGCTTATTAAGTTTGAAGAAGCAAGATAAATCTTAATTTAGTTGAAATGTAAATTATGAGTAATCGATTATTTTCTTTTGCTGGATTTCATCTTCGATACTCTGGGAATGAAATTATTTATGGCTGCAATGATATTTTTTGTTCAGTTTATTCTCACAGTTTATATTTTTAATGTTAAATTAATTTTAACTAATCAATTTAATGTTTTCAGGCGCGTGCTGATGCCAAGTTGATTGGCAAGCGAGCAAAGAGAGCGAGAGAAGCTGCGGAAAACGCTGAAGACATTACAAAGAAGAAGAAGTAACGGAATGCGTCTGTATGTGTACAGAATAAGGATCCAATTAAATTTTTTCTCCACACATGACCACTTGCGCTGTATTTCTACTTCATCTTCCGTTTTTTTAAATTAGAGCAATTATGAAATTATCAGAAATTATTTTGAATAAGTTGGGACTTGCCTTGTAAATATAAAAAGTATCAGAAGTTTTAGTGAGTCTAAAAACACTGCGATCAAGCGCTGGTGTGAGTCACAGACAGACCTCTTGAAAGACCCATTGAAAGCCTCTCGTTGCGACAGCCAAGTGGCGCCTCAATTTTTTTCCCAAAGATAACTTGACTCTGCTTTTATGTTTCACAATTTTTAATATTGATTTCAATATGTTGAAAAGTTAATGTTCGATTTGAATTTTCAACTGGAGAAGAAATAATAAAGTGTCTTTTTAAGTGAGATTAATGTGACGCAGTCTGCGTCACAATTAGCTGCACTGGACGTTGATTGGTGAATTTTCGAGACGCGTTTTTGCTCTTGGAAGATTTATTCTCTGGTTTATGCGCCGCTCTGCACTTTTCAACGTTTCTTCCTTGAGTGGCGTTCGCTTGGACGAGTTAAAAAAAAGTATCAAATCGCGCTCGGCACTGAAAGGGCAGCCTTGTCCGTCCGACCGACCGAAATTTGTTTATGAAACTGGGGAAGCTGCACAACTTTCCTCCTCTTTGTTTTTTATGCTTCTCGGAATTGCGCCTTCGATTCGGCTTCAACATGAAAAAACAAAATAACTTTGGTGAGCAAATTTTATGCTCATTTTAAGTTTAATCCACGTTTAAATATGAAAAGATGAGCAGGTTTTACAAAGTTAATAAAAAAAAGCAGTTTTGTTTTCACAAAAAAAGTTAAAAAGAAATGTTAAATTTTCAAGATTTAAACTTGAGGAATCAGGCAAAACCAAAGCTGGTTGCAATTTGCATATTTCCTGATTTTCTTTTCACTTCAATCAGTAAAAAAACAATATTATTTTTGACTCTTGTGGCCATTTTTTTAAATGTGAAAAAGATGTAGCTTAAGAGAGTTCGAAGCAATAATAAATAAAGTGAGGGTTGAGCTTTGGCAATAAAGTGCGATTAAAAGCAGAGTGCTCGCCGCCAATTTACAATATTTTTCAGCGAGCCTTGTTTTTTCTATATATATTTTTTATCCGTCTCGAAATGGCTTTCGGACAAAATAATGTGTGCGGTCGGTGCGTTTCCAGTTTGGAGCCGAACGATTAGTCACCACCGCGCTTAATGGAAAGGTGAGCAAACCGCTCTCTCATCATCTTTCCTCCTCACTCTCTCGCCGCAAAGTCAGAGAAAAAAAGAAAGAAGCGCGGCGGATTAGCATACAAGAGTGAGGATCGCGTTTGGCCAGGAATTTGCGCGCAGAATCTGTGCCTGTAATTTATTTTCGCCGCGCGCTTCTACACATTTTTTAAACATCTCGGCCCCAGTGGCATATTTGGATACCAAATTGAGATTAATTTAAAAAAAATTATGCTTTTTCCTGATTTTTATCAAAAAGACACAAGAAGATGAGAGTATTAATTATGAAAAAGATTGTCTACTAATTTGCATTATTTTTAGATGTAAAATTTAGTGTTGTTTTAATAATTTTGATTTTGTCTCGTTTATTTGCAAGTTTTGATTGAAAATTAGTCTTTGATTTTCCCCCCAACAAATCAGAACAATCGAATCTGTTGAGAGAAACTTTCTAGCTCTTCAAATTTTCTCTTCTAAAGATATTTTATTTCGTCTGCCAAATTATTATTTAGTCCAATGCGAATTTCGCTGCAACTAAAATTATTGAAGATTTTTTTTCAAGAGACGCCACTGTGTTAAAAAGTTTGCTCTCTGATTTTTTTTTTAGTTAACGAAAAATGATGATCGGAGGCTACAGCGTGGACCAGAATGACGCGAGAAAAAATGGAATTAAAATCGATTGGATTTTTGTGAGGTGAAGCGCAGGTGTGCAGCAAAGTGCCTTCACGTTTTTTGCCCATTACCCGCTTTTATTTATTTCTGCCTTTTAATTAATTATCCGGCGCCGCGGCAAAAGTGCAAAATTATTCACCGAGAGCCACTTAAGAACTGCATCAGAATTTTAAATGCCCCCCTTTTTCATTCCGTCACATGAGGGAAATTTTTATTTTAAACAACTTAAACTTGAAACTTATTCATATCCACGAATATAAAAGCCAAACAACACAAAATCAATATAATTTGGAAGTTTCAAATGAAAGGAAGTTAATAAATTGAATCAAACGCTAAAAATTAGAAAAATTAAAATGTAAACTCGCACTCATAAAAAAGGCAATTTCGGGCCAGAAAATTTATAGCTATTTAATTAACATGTTTAATTATTTTGAATTTTAACGACTGCCAAAATATCAATATTTTGTTATACTTATTTAAAAATGGATCAAAATTTTGAAAATATAAGCAAACGTGGTGGTTTGAGGAAAGGCAAGAATTTGCACATTATTTGTACAGCGAGTGCCTTGAAGCGGCTTAAGAGATGATTCAGCGGCGTGTCTGCAAATTCTCTTGCGCAGCATCAATAAATAAATCGCGCTCGTCGGAAAGCAGCGATATAAATTTCCCGGGCGCCACGTTAATCAACAAAACGTATTTTTCTCATTACTTGCGGCGAGAAAAGAAGCGACAAGTAAAATCCACCTAATTTAACTTGATGCTTGTTTTTCTCTTGAAAAGGTTAATAACTCAAGCCCTGCAGCTTTGTTGCACAAGCTAAATTAGATCCAAATTTAATTAGTTAACTATTTATATTGGAACTTTCAAATTTAAAACTTGATATCAAGTGGAAAAATTTATTTATATGAATATAATTTTGTGAATTTTGTCATTTCACTATGTGTTTTTGGTTTTTTTTTTAGTTAATAAGTGTGTTGCAGTTGTAAATACATTTTGTTTTAAAGAGCTCTCAATTAAATTAAATTAATTTTGTGACTTAAATTGTTACATACTTTGCTTGAATATTTAATAATCAAAAGAAATTGCTGACTTTTAAATAAAAGTTTCTATTTTTTTTATCATCTTTATAACGATTTGGAAATAAGTAATTCAAATTTATTCTACATTCATTACCAACATTAGCGAATCTTAATAATAAAAATCAAAATTGTCTAAAGTATTGCCAAAAAAGTTTATTTTATCCGCTGTTGTTTTAAATATGGAGGAAAAAATGTTTGATTATTTTTACAATTAACTTGTCATTTATATATTTATGGCCGTGGACGTGTGGACTGTGAGAGTGCAGTGTTGTGATGACATCGGGTGGCGCCTCTGCTGCCCTTGCTTTTTGCAGCGAAGAGACAAAAAGCGGCGTTCGGCGCGGCCGCATTAAATAAATATTATGTTTGGAGTGGCGCCGACCGCCGAGAGGGCATGTTTGCATCTCTCTCACTCTTTCCCTGTCTTGACGGGAGGGGGGCGCCGGGGGTCATTAATCTCTTAACATGGGAATAAAAATCGGGTGGCTTATCTGGCAAAATAAAAATGAGTGAGTGCAGCAGCTTGGCGACAACGTACGCGCACAGTCTTTGGTGTCTCGGCGCGGACGGAGACGCCGAGCTGCCGCCCCAACCAGGCGACACACTCGCCAACATCTCTCTTGATCATCACATCACACACACACACACACACGCAATCTCCGTGTGCATTCAAATTTATGTCATTGAAATTCAAAAGGGATCGCACGCCTTTTTTATTGAGGATTATTTAATTCTACTCTGTATTTAATTTATTTAAAATGGGTGAAAATGTTTTTTCTTCTTTTTTCCTATAAGAAGTGCGTATTGTTTTTAATCAAAATTTGGTAACAATCATTATTTCTATTGAAGCAAAAAAGTCACGAAAAGTTTATCAGAGAACAAAAGTACAGGACTCAGTAAATTTGTTTTTGTTCAAATATTTATATGGCACTGATTTTCAAGATCAGACTTAAAGTAAAAAAACTTTACGTTCAATATCTCAAAATAAAATTATTTTTGCATGGAATGTTTCATTACAGGAAGCAAAAACTAAAAAAAAGTATCAAACGTAAAAATAAATTTAAAAAGGTATTTTTAATCCAAAATATTATATATTATTTTATTTATTTTGAATAAAATAATTTGTGCCTGAAGTGACCTCTCCTTTCAAAACGTATCGTTTTTAACCTATTTTATCTTCAAAAAAGTTACTTCCCCATTTGAATTATTCAAATCAACCCTGCATTGCAAATGAGATTGCGGGGTTGGGGCGAAGAAAACAAAGTCGTAAGTCCTGCTCAGAGACGGATTGACTGCGAAAATATGAAATAACAAAATAATTTGGCTCCGCTCTGCACTTTGCACCCCTATGGAGGGAGGGAGGGGTGGGGGTTGGTGCCACCCTTGGTGCCGCAGGGTCGCCAGCCGGACTGGCGCGCGCCCCTTTCCGCCGAACCAAAGCTTTTCTTTCCAACCCCGGATGAATGAATGAATGAATCGCACCTAATCACGATCCCACCCCAATTATCCTCCCATTCACACGACACGTGCGTCATTTGTAGGGGGACAATTTTTTTAAACATGAGGAAAAAAGCAAAAATCATTGGGGATTAAAATATTTTCCCTGCTTGAATGGATTTTGGCCTTTTATTTAATTTTCAATTATTATTTAATTTCACAAAATTTGGCTGTGTTTTCTGGTCTCGGAGGAATGCAAGATGAATGAAATTTCTTATATTTTTTAGTATTTAATTAATTCAGATTTATTGTTTATTAGCAATTTATTGAAGTGAAACACTGATGGTAGAATTAAAGAAATTTACCTAATTAAATTAGTGAATTTTGATTAATAATATTAATTTTTTAAATTCACAAACATTTAATTTCTAAAAAAACTGAATTTGAAATCCAAAATAATTTTTAAAATTCCTAATATATGCGATTTATTAAAAATGTCTTACAAATTAAGAAATGAAAAAAAAATACCAGTGTGGTTATTTAAATTTTTGGGTCCAGTGCAAAAATGTTATAATTATGAATTGTGCCTGCATCAAACTTTTCG